CGCCGCCGCCCATCCCCGTCCCCGTCCTCCCCCCGGCCCAGACCCGACCGTCTCACCACATCACCCACTCTCCCTCACTACTCCGACACCATCCCCTCCATCGCCGTCAGCCCGGCCCTGGCTCCGACAGCTGACCTGACATCAGCTGTCATGGGCTCCGGCGGAAAGCCCGCAAGGGCATCGGGCTCCAAATCGGCCCAGCCCTCGCCGTCGTCGGCCACCGCTGGCCCTGGGCCTTCAACCCTCGCCGCCAGCAACGAGGGTTCACCGACCCCGGCTCCGTCTTCCTCCAAGTCGCGAACGCGTACGACACGACGTAAGACAGATCTTGCCAACAAGAACCCCGGTGCCTCGACTCCCCCGGTCAAGCAACTCGACGAGGACGAGGCGCAGGAGGAAGACGAGGAAACGCGTAAACGCCGCGAGGCACGCCGCGCAGAGCTCTCCAGGTGAGTACACGATCACATCGGGGTCCAACGGCATAGCATCCATTGTTCTGGTTCACGCTTGTCGCTCCTCGTTTCTCCGGTCCATCTCTTCATCGAGGTAGGTGCTGACATGCAACTCTACAGTCTCGCGCTCGTCGTCGTCCAGCAGCCGGAACGCGCACGCTTGTGCTCGTTCAAGGAAGAAAACGAAACCAGTACGTCATCTTGCCCCGCTTCGGTTTCTCCACACCGGTCATGTATACTAAGGTCGCAGACGATCGACGCCCCGTCGACCCGCCGCCCGTGATTGAGCTCACCTCGGACGGCGATTTTCCGTGAGTATAGCCGCAGCATGCGGCATGCCAGCACTCATGCAACAAGCGCTGACCAACCCCAGTAATAGCAACCTCCTCGACTCTACATCATTCTTCATCCGCGCTTCCCTCGTTGCCGCCGAGCAAAGCCCCGACCCGAAGACCGGTGAGAATGTCTATCCGACCGTCAAGACGCCGACGGGCGCGAACGCAACGGCCGGCGAAGTGATCCAGACCCCTGAGCGGCTACGCCATCTCGATGGCAAGCCAGGAGCGCTGTGCATCTTCGCCAAACTGTCCGTTCGATTACCTGGAGTGTTCCGCCTAAAGTTCACCCTGTACGAGACGGCCCAGTGAGTCTTCCCCGCCTGCATCCATCCACTCTTAAGCATGCGCGCGGAGCTGACGGCGTGCAGGGACGGTATCATTGAGATCACGCATACGATATCTGAGCTATTCGAGGTGTTTTCTCCGAAGCTGTTCAAGGGCATGCACGAGTCGACTGCCCTTACCCGGCATCTGGCGACGCAGGGCCTGAAGGTCAAGCTGCGCACTGAGGCGTCTGGACACAAAGGCTCGAACCGGCGGCGTGCCGCGAGACAGCAGCAAGAGCAACGTACTGCAAGCCCGAGCTTGCGTACGACGCCACTGCAACAAGCTCCACCCCCACACCTACGTTACGCCGTCTCGCTGCCTCCGTCCATCGGCCCATCGTCTGCGCCCCCGTATCCGCCACCACACGGCAGATCGCTGATCTGGCCCGGAAGGCCGGGGCCCTACGACTACGACGCGCGGGAGTACGAGCACATTCGCAAGATGCGGCGCACGAGCCACGAGGGCCGCGGTGAGCCCCGCGACCCACGAGAGCGAGACCCGCGCGATCCGCGCGATATGAGAGATCCCAGGGACTACCGGTACCGCGAGCGTGACGATGGGATGTTTGCATTGACGGACATCAGCTCCCGGCTCGACTTTTCGCTCTCGTCGCCATCGTCCGACCTGTCGGCGTTTTCGCTGTCTCACTCGGGACGCCCGGTGACCGCGCCTGGGATGTATCGTCGGGAATGGGAGCCACGGCGCGAGTTCGCCCCAGGCGACGATGGCTTCCCTCCCATGCCTGGGCCGGCGCACGGCGGGCCGCCTCACTCGAGCGGCGGCCCTCCTCCCCACGGACACTATGCCCATCCTCCGCCGCCGCCGCCATCGTCGCATTCTGGACGACCGCTGTCGAGCCACGGCCGCCCTATGTCGGGGCATGGTCGCCCGCCATCGAGCCATGGTCGCCCCGCCCCTCCGCCTCCGGCAGACTTTGCTCTGCCAAGGCTTCCCCGCATTGTGCCAGACCACCACGACCCCTACGACCACCATCACCACCGCCCGCACTCGCCTCATGCTCCGCACGCCCACGCTCCGCACGCACACATGCCCCCAACGCCCCACCCGCACTACCCACCCGCACCATACCCATGGCCACCCCCACCACCCGCATCCGCACGGTATGACGTCCAGCCCGCCTCCGACCCTCCCGCCAATCCGCCCCCGCTCGCCCTACAGGCCGTACGAGTACGACCGTGACCCGCGGTCTATCTGAGCGGCCACGGACGGATGTTGAGGGCCATGAACTGTGACGCACAACTGGACGCCCCGGACGCCGCAAAAGATCAGACTGTTTCATCTGGACGATCAGGATATTTTTTTTTCTTGTCTTTTTTAACTCTGCTCTTTCTTCCTGCTTGCCTTCACTACCCACTTGTTTTCCTTCCTTTTCTCTCCCACATGTGCGCGCGCGAACCTCTGCCGCCCCGCGCTTGTGCTCCTTCTTGCTACCAGACTTGCCTAGAACGTGCCATAACGAGCAGGAATCCCTGTACTGTAATGCATTGATGATGAACTGTGGCTTTATCCCTTGCCCCCATATTCCTTTCTACCATTTACTCATCCTTCTTCTCCTCTACCACAGCCGTGGTCTCCTTCTGCTGCGGCTGCCCCTCGCGGAAGAGGTACTCGCGCCTCTTGACCCAGTCCTGCTTCAGGATGCCCATCCAGCGCCCCTCCCACTTGCCCATGCCGTACACGTCGGGCTTGCGCCAGTTTGCATCGGGCGTCTTGATGACCTTGAACCCGGTCTTGTCCCAGACCTCCTCCCCGCCGCGCGTGAAGGGGTTCGTGCAGAGAATAACGCGCAGGACGCCAGTGGAGCCAGACGAAGTGCCGTCAGCGGCGATCCCGAAAGCGTGGTCGAGCGCGGCGGCGATGAGCTCGGTACCAACGCCGTTGTGGCGGTACTGCAGGTCGCAGGTGAGGTGGCGGATTTCGGCGTCGGTGCTGCCTGCGTTCTTGCCATCGGCCTTTCTCTGCTTGGCCTCGCCCTTGCCCGGCTTTCCCTTCGTGGCCGTGCTAGTGGCAGAAGACTGATCGGCAGGCTTAGGACCCCGAGAGCCATGGGTGCCGTCACCAAGCACGCTCTCGAGCTTCTCTCCCGGCTGTCTCGCGTCGAGGCAGATGACGCCAATCGCCTGTCCGCCGTGCTCGAAGAGGAGGCACTTGGACCGGCCACCCTGGTAATAAGCCCCGGGGTCACGGATGTCGGGCGAACCGACGATCCGACGCAGGATCGGCAGGAAGGACCCGCGGTGCTTCCATTCCACCCAACCCATGATTGGGATCAGGACGAGACAGGGGCCGATCAGGGGCGAGATCAGCGAGAGGTTGTCCCCAGGCTTGGGGGTGAAGCCGACTACATAGTCGAGTACTGCACCGACTACGAGGACGGTTAGGATCGTAGAGGGCTTGAAGAGGACTGAGGGGTTAGCTCTGGCCCGAAGACAGCATAGCTGGGGGATCCTTCTGGGGTGCCTGGGGGTGAAGGTGAGGTGCGCTGCGCCGTCGACGCCGCCGTTGAAAGTCTTCCTCTGGTGAGGATCGGAGTGGTCTCGCCGATCCACCCGCTGAGAGCTGATAGGATTGGCTGCCAACGACGAGGAGACGGCGGAGCACGGAGCTAGGTGGATCGAGCCAGCGATTGCGGCAGCATGCCAGGCATACCAGCCGGAACGACGCTAGCGTCGCAGTCCAGCTCCCACACTCCTTCCATGATCTCGTCGCCCTCCCTCCCTCCGAGAGCTGGACCTCACCCGCCCTTCTCATTCCCACAATGACCAGCGCCCTCTCAGCTTCCTAGCTCCCTCACGGTCTGCGGCCGTTCGGTAGCGACACTCACCCCAGTTATTAGCCTGCGCCTGCGCCTCCATGATGCTCTGTCCGATGAGCTGCTCGACCGTGTCGCGGTCCTTGGGCTCGTAGGCGCGGACAAAGTCCTTCTCGCCCGGGTCGACGCGGGGCGTGGGGGTGTGTTCGAACGAGGCGAATTCGGCCATCTCTGCTACGTTGGGCTCGTTTGTTTACTCCAGAGAAGAGTCAGAAGGGGTCGGGAGGAGATGCCCGGTTGCGTTTGTTGTGGGGTAATGAACCAGGTGGAGGGTGGAGGGCCAATCGGTTAACTGGCAACGAGTCGATGTGCCGACGTGTCGCTGTGTCGCTGTCTGCTCGCGACGTATCGAGCGAAGAAGAGGCAAGAGAGAGGCGATGGGGGATGCTCGACAGACCAGAAGAGATGTGGTCTTATGAGCGACACGCAGTGAGAGATAAATGCCGGGCTGGAAAATCCCAGATCTCGACCCAAAGTAACCGTACGACAGAGCCCATCTCGGGGTACGCGCCGTTCTCGCCCATCGGCTCCCCACACGGCCTCCACCGTCATTCCCCGCGCCCAAAGCCACCCAACCATGGGCCATGACATCACACGTGTGTCCCACCGTCCAGTTGGCCCGAGTAGGCGTACACGGAACCAGGGCTGTTCTGACCTATTTATACTTGTGTTTGCTGCTTGCATTCACGACTTCCTGCGTCCTACGGGCCTACGGAACTGGGTATGGGTATAATGATGATCTCCGGGTGTGGGAGATCTACTTAACGGTTTTAGGCAAGCTTCTCTGCCCGCCAGACTGATCATTAGCTATGTCCGCAGATACTAGCACCGTTGGTGCAGGATGGCCATCTCGGCGCCATTACACTCACAGCTCGCGTACATGTTGACGCGGTCAATCGCCTGACCGTTCTCGCGAATGTCAATCGGCTCGACCTTGAAGCCAGCCAGCTCGAACCGCTGCCTGTACCACGGGTACTTGGAGGCTGAGCGCCAGACAGCGTGTCCGCCGACCTTGAGCACGCGGCGCATCTCGAGGATCTCAAAGTCGAGCTCGGAGCGAAGGTGCTCGACCGCTGCCTCGGGCGTGTCCACCGTCGAGTCGAGCGCGGTCGAGCCCGCCGGCGGCAGAGGCGTGGAGGGCGGAATGCGATCGAACCAGTCCATGCTGTCCATGACGATGACCTTGGTGAGGGACTCGTCGCCGAGGCCGCGGAGGACGCTGCGGTTAGCTAATGAGGACAAAGACGCAGCGAGAGAACGAGGTTACTCACTTCAGGATCGTGTCCGTGTGCAGCTTGAAGGCGTTGTTGACCTTGGCGTCGCGAAGCGCCTTGAAGCCCTCGGGCTTCAGGTACGCGGGGCACGAGGAGCGGATGTACTTTCCGTTCAGGCAGAGGAAGTAGAAATAGTTGTCGTCCTTGAGGCGGGCGAGGGAGGGGACCGGGTTGAGGGTAGCCTTGACAAAGTCGGCGACAGAGCCGTCCTCAAGGAAGCAGTTCATCTGGTTACGGGGAACGCCGAGGGCATGCCAGTTGAAAGCCGGGTTGCCGAGGAAGCCTTTGAGCATGACCTGGTTGAGGAACACGGGACGCAGGCGCTTCTCCCAGATCCGCTCCTGCTCGTCGGTGCTGTTGGCGTAGCAGAGGCGCTTGACGTCGCCGCTGACGCCAGCGATCCAGAATGCAGCCTGGGCGACGCGCAGGGCAAAGCCAGAGTAGCCGCAGAAGTAGAAGTTCTTGCTGAACTGGTCCGCGTGCGTCTTCCAGTAGGCGTAGGCGTGCGAGGAGAGGAACGGGGACAGCTTGGAGGTCAGGATCTCGTCAAAGCGCTCGTGCGCGCCCTCGCCGAAGATCTGCCAGAAGTCGGCGTACTCGAGCGTCTGGATCGCGGCAAGCTTGAGCTCGAGGATGTGGCCCTGGCACGGGTTCATGTCGACGGCGTGGATGCGCTCACACTTGGCCGCGAGAGCGTAGTGCAGCACATTGTCGCCAGCAGACGTGATGGCGAGCACGTGGTCGTCCTTGTTGATACCGAGCTTCTCGACATCGACGGCAGGGTCCTCCCAAGTCCATCCGTAGATGTGCGTGCGGAACTCCTTGTGGATCTGCTCCTCGAGGTACGGGACACGCCACGCCTTGCGCAGCTGGTAGTGGAAGGGACTGAGCGGGGCGCCAGCCTCGTACAGGGTCTGGGTGAGCTCGCGGTCGTCAACACCACGCTCGATATCGACAGCCTTGGCACGCTCGAGAGCAGCAGGGCCGATAGTCAGGTCAGGAATAGAGCCCATCTTGGTAGGGCTGTACTGCGGGGAACGGAACGGCGAGGTAGGCGTCATGAGACCGCCCTTGCCCTGGCCAAGGCGGTTGCCCGCCTCCATCTCGAATGCCCGAGACGCGTTCGTGGCGTCACGCTGGCGAGAGCAGCCGAGGAAGATGTAGCTGCAGGTCAGCTAATGTCGCGACTCTCAGCGGGAGACATACTAGGGGATCTGGATGAACCAAGAGTTCAGGAAGTTGTTGCGAGCGTTATACGTCTTGATCGTGCCCATCTTGTACTCGAGGTAGTCGCGGCGCGAGCCGTGCAGGTGCACGTTGTCAAACTCGAACCAGCACTCCCAGAACCACTTGGCGAACCATGACATGCTCTTCGACTGGGTGCCGATAGCGCGCTCCTTGACGCCGAGGTCACGCGAGGTGTAAAAGTCAACGACGCCGAGGAGGCCGGACTCTGGGGCAAAGCACCTGGTCACAGCGGTCGAGGAGCTGGTAGAACGGAGGGATCTGTGATGTCAGCTGCCCACTCGTTGTGAAGCTGTGTACCTACCATTGACAAAGAGTAGGACAGGGTGATGGCGGTAATGCTGCCGCGGGGGTCGAGGGTGCCATCCTCCCACTCGGGAAGCACAAAGGTCGAGGCGTCCTGGCACAAGACGTGAACGTTGTTCCAGCCCTTGGCCTTGAACCTCGCCTTGGCGATCTCGAGGAGGGGCTCGCAGAGGTCAATGAGGTAGACGGCATCCCAGTAAGTGATCGGGAGGTACTCGTCCATCTTCTCGATGTTCCAGCCGGTGCCACCGCCGATGTCGACCCAGATGCGAGGCTTGCGGGGCGCATCGTGCTTGGCGAGGGGGACAGGCTGGGCCTTCAGGTGGGCCGCCAGGAGGCTCAGCATGGTTTCACGGCCCTTGAGAAGGTGAACACGGGTCGTGTCATACACAGACGCTTGGCCGGCGTAGAATGCGTTCAGGTGGTCCTTCTGGTCGCCCTCGCCCGACTTCTTAGTGAAGGGCTTGAAGAAGCAGTTCCACATGAAGATCAACGGCGTCTTGATCGCGGGGGCAAGCCCGAGCACGATCAGAGACGAGGCGAGACTGAAGATCGACCAGCCAAGCATGGCAGGCGAGACCTGGACGTGCGTCGAGAGCAGCGTCTTCAGTGGTCTAGGGGTCAGTGGGGGCTATCACTCGTGAGCTCACCGTAGGCCGGCGATAAGGGTGCAGCCCGACGCGACGAGCGCGACCTGCTGTATCTTGAGCATGGCGAGGGACAGCTGTTGAGGCTAGAGGGGCGAGCAGTGCAATGAGCTGGGGAGAGCTCGATTGTTGAAAGTGGTGGGGATCAGGCAGCCAGGAGCGAGGGGGTGCACGACTTTAATCAGTAGTGATCGGCTCAAAGTGCCACCTAAGTAGCCGTGCCATTTCAGACTACGCGGCGCGGCGCGCGCGGCGGACTACCCAGCATGCTGGCATGCGGTGCCTACCCGCGCGTTCGGCGCGTATTCCTGCTGGGAGAGTGCCCTGCATGCAGCGCACGGCAAAGCCAGTCACGCTGGGAGGCCAAGTGTGGTACAGTCGTTTGGGGACACTAAGATAGGCTGGACGATATGTTGTTGCTAGGAACGTGCGAACGTGTCTGTCAATCTTGAGCGGAACGTTGAGAACGTGGGTGGCGGACTTGACCTCCACGACCCATGCGATCTCGCGCGCAGCCAGTGGGAGGCCCTTCATTGCGATTGCCCGTATGCGCTTAAATGCTGGTTAGGAGTGTCGGGGTTATTCCAGTCGACGACGCGGCAGGAGGTTGAGAGATCGATAGAAGGAACATGTCGATCACCTTCGACATGATGCAACAGTGCGGCGATCACGTGCCTTGGGTCAAAGCGATGTTCTGTCTTCCCTCTGTGCCCAGGCCGGATCTCGGTTATGCATAGTCAACCTTTCATTCAGTGTATGTCAGCTTGAAGCCTGCCGATGAGATCGAAATGAGTATGTGCTGCAGCTCTTATCGGAGGAGTATCGTTCGCCATGAGCATCCACGCTGAAAAGCGAACTAGTGACACCCACGTTCTCAGATGTCGCTTGAAGAATTCAGCAAACCCACGCAGCACTCCAGCAATACTCGGAGAAGTTGCCCCTGTGAGCTCCCTATTGCATCTTAAGGAATGGTCAAGGTCATGTGAGTGGTGGAGAGCTTCTGGGGAAGGATCACCGAACGACGACATCCGCCATGGCAAAACCCGACCACACCGATGGAGGTTGCCATCAGCCCCGATCAGCATCGTTACCAACACCCGCTTGCGACACAATGCCTCTCAACCCTGCTACAGACTTATACAATCAGTGAAGTGACGCGGCTGAGGGCTTTGGGGGCAGTCCTGCACCCCCGCGTGATGTCGACGTGTTCGAGAAAGCCTGCGAGACCACGAGCTCAACTACTGCCTGGTCTGCTATCAGTCCCTGGGTCGGGTTCACCGTTCTATTCGCCGATCTCCTCCCATCGGCTACTAAGCGTGCGCTGTTCAATGGTCTTCCACGTAGCACAGACTTATATCACAATCACTGCGGTTGATATCCACTGCTTCTGTCGGTCTGTCCGGAGCTTTCTCCCAAGCGACCTTGTATCCGTGCAGACACGGTGTAGGAAGGGCAATACGGCCAGGGCTGACTGATGTCAAGGGGTTCATCGTTGCTTCACTACGTTAAGCACTTGTGATAGTTGTTTTCGTCGAACTTGCGAAGTGCAAAACGGACAACATGTCTAGCTGGTTGCTTGACCAGACCTCCCGGCTCATTCTCTTGCTCTGCAGCTTGCCATGCATGTCTGCACTCTGTTGCGCGTGGGTTTTGTTCCATAGAGTATGAGCAGCTCACGTGACCAGTCTGCATCAAGCTCACGCGAGGTTGCCTCCGTCGCCACCGTGCCTCCACCACGCGACCGTTTCTGCGCCCTCTGTGCCTGCGACCGTCCTGGGGAGTTTAATGAACAACAACTCGTCGAGTGTCACACCACCAACACACCTGCCCACCGCAACCCATTGCTGCCCCGCCCATGCCGATTCGCGCGTCGTAGAAGGGCCCTCCTCAAAAGTCACTGTCTGGTGACGCTCAACAATGGCATCCCAATCCCAGGTCTCGGCACCTTCTACGACCACCTCACCACCGTCCGCGCCGTCAAGCACCCCTGGTATCACCAGGGAGTCCTTCCTCCAACGAGCGAGAGCGGCAGCCCTCAGAGATAAGGGAGGCAGTAAGTCTCCCACTTCGTCTCGAGCCCAATCTCCGGCTGGCTCTCGGAGTAGCACGGCGCAGCAGGTGACTCAACCCGAAGATGCGGTGTCCCAAAATGGACAGGCCGCCCGCGCCTTCCCCGCTCTCGAAAGCGCGCCCCGCCTCGACACCATAACCCAATCAGCACCGTCATGGAGTGTCGACAGAGCTCTTGATTCCGTCGAACGCACCCAACCAGCGCCTGCGAGCTCTCCGACAACTGAGGTGCTGGAAATGGACGAGCTGCAGGACTTGAAAGCAGATCAACGCCATTCATCGCCTGACTCGGTCGAGTTTATACAGGAGACTGCGCCGACCCAGCAACGACGCCGGCCGCCTCTTGCATCCTCCTCGGCTCCGGCGCCTTCCTCTTCAACGGTCCAACCAGCCGCAGGTCCCGCTCCTCCTACGCTCGATAACTTAGCGGAGGATTCTCCAAGTGCTGCTGTCGAAGATCAGCTTGAACTCTCGCTGCCAGACGTGCCCGTGACGAATGTCGCTGAGCCAGAGGTTCCCGAAAACACAACCACTGCCGAAGCCACCGCGTCTCTCCCCACTGCCGGATCATCGGATCCCTCTCAGCCAGCTCTGGTAGGCGGTCCCTCGCCCTTACTGCCACTCATCCAGTCCTTCCCTCCGGACTCTCGAAGGGTTGCCATCAGATCATTTGAGGCCCTGCCCGAGGACATCAAGAGGAAGGTTCTCGGCAGCAAGGCAATGATGGACAACTTCAAGGCATACGTCTTAACGAACGTCGTTCCGGCACAACAGCAAACGACCGCTGCCTCCACCGCGACGACCTCTCAGTCCTCGGCCGTGATCGCTCAGCCTATCCCCAACGAGTCAGCAGACTCAGCAGACCTGGCTCAACAGCAAGCACAAGCTCAGCAGGTGCAGCTGGCGCAACTTGCGCAGCAGCAAGCGTGGCCGGCCGTCCCCGCTGCCGATATAACGAACATCGGAGAACAGCCTTCGACCAATTCGGGAAACACGGTTCCCACCTTGCAACAGACGCAGTCTCCCCAACTTCACGACCCGCATTCATCCGCTTATGTTGCACAGCAACAGCAGTCACCGGTTGTCCCGCAGGTTGCCCAACAGGTTCAGTCGCCGATCACTGCCTTTCAGGAGTCGCCTGGAGTTTCGCATGCGTCGACGCTACAGTCTCAGTCACCTGTGATCGTACAAGCTGCACCGCAACATTATGGTCCGGCCGTACCACCCTCTGTCGTCCCATCTGTGCAGGCGCCATTACATCGGGTCGGCCAGGGAACGACAACTGCGCCTGCGACAGTATCTAATTCTGCCGTCAGCTCGGCACTGGTGAGCGTGAGCGGTATGGAGAACAGGCTGGGGGCGTGGACACAGGGCCTTTTGTGAGTGATCTTCGTGCGAGGGGCAAATCATGTTAAGGGCGGTGTGCTGACCTGATAGCCAGGACGTTCGCCAAAATCTGGTTGCGCCGTTGGAAGCGGCTCTGAGGGAAGCGGAGCGACAGCGAGATCAGTGGAAGTCGGTCGCAGAGAACAACTCAGCTGCACTCTCGCAGCTACTCGGCCAACAAGCGAATCAGCAATGGCAGGCCCGGTTGACCGCTGTCAGCAATCAGCTCATCAAGGCGCGCGAAGAGAGAGACAGGTTCAAGGAACTGTATCAAACAAGCATAGTCAATTTCAACAGCCGGACGAGTCAGCTGCAGTCTGCTCAAACAGCATATCAAGATCTCGAGCGCAGATTCAACGAAAACCGCAAGCACACCTTGACCATTATGAACGGTTTCGAAACGCTGAAGCGGCAAAACGACGAGCTCAACCGTCAGAAGCAGGTCTGGATGCAGAGCAGCAACGCAGCGGCGCAGCAACAGCAGATCCAACAGCTGCAGCAGGAGAACAACGCTCTGATGTCCGAGTCGAGCAACAAGGACGCCAAGGTCGCCGAACTTGAGAAGCGCGTCAAGGAGTTGCAACACGACCGCGAGACTGCAATCAAGGTCATGAAGACGGAGGCGGAGAAGTGGAGGGAAACGGCAGAAAAGAACGCAGCGCTGGAGGAGCTGGCCCGGCAAGCGGACTCCCGCTCGGCAGCGCTAGAGATCAAGCTGCGAGGCGTGGAAATGCATGCTCAGGCGAAAATCGCCGAGCTAGAGGGCCGGCTCAAAGCTGACCGCCCACCGGCACCGGCAGACAACGGGGCGGAGGCGAGGATGGCCGAACTCGAGCGCCGGCTGCAGCAGGCGGAACGGATGGCGCAGGCAGATAAGGAGCATGCAGAAAGCAAGGCGCAAGCCGAGCGTCGGGCGCAGCTCAGGGCGATCGAGCTTGAGAAGCAGCTGAAGGAGTCCGAGAGCGAGGTGCAAGATTATAAGCAACAGTTCGAATCGCTGCGCACCACCGCCCAGGCCAAGATCGACCAGCAACACGCTACGATCACGAAACTCCGTGAACGCAATCAGCGCTACAAGGAGGTTGCGCGGCAGAGTATCGGCGGAGCTTCCCCCGCGCTGAAACGCCCCGCAGACAGCCAGGCGTCACCCTCCCAGCAGTCTCAACGCCCTCGACAGTAGATTATGATGCCCCCCGCAATTCCCGTAAGATGAATCGTACCAGGACCAGGAATTTGTTGTACTTCGTCCGAAACCTGGACCCATGTAACCCTAAATGTGACAAACATGCATGTGCCCAATGGGTAACCGAAACACTGAGCAACAACTCTCTTACGTACCTGATCCACACTCCACACTTTCCCGCTTACTCCTTCTGACACTGCCAACATCCCGGCGTGACAGCGCGATGGAGGTAGAACAGGAGCATGTCGCCAAAGAGGTACGTGTTCGGTCCCTTGGCAAAGTGCTGATCATTATCATAATAGACATTGTAGCCTTCGAGTTTATCACCCCAGGTGAAGAGCCTGACACCGAGCTCCTTGCCCAGTGCCCGCAGCCCCTGGTCGAGCTGGAAGATGGTGAGGAGGTGGAAGTTGTCCACACTAGAGCGGAGCTGTCTTGTCCTAAACATGACGGGCGTGTGCGGCCACATCTCACGGACAGTCTCGACAAGCTTCCTAACGCGGCCGCGGAACCAGGCTAGCTCATTCCACCAAAACCCGTGCGCGCTCTTACGGTCGACAGTCTTGTCCCGTCCACGCTCGTCGAGGAACTTTTCGTCCCAAAACAGGCTCGAGGCAATGACGAGGTCGGGCACGCGCTTCTCGTACCCGAGCTTAGTCATTTGGGGGATCATAATCTTCTCGAAGCGGTCCTCGAACGGGAACGGGTGCTCCTCGCCGTGCGGCCAACCGTCGTCAGAGTCGATCATGCCGTAGCTGGTGTCAGCGGTGCCTAAAGGAGGGCAGCGCAGGACTCAGGGGTGTCCAAGTGGTCATGGGAGAAGGCATGGCCACACTTGCCAAACACTGGTGCGCACTCGACCACACGCAGCCGGTGAGCCACACTCACAGGAACCAATTCGCGACGAGCAGATCCAACCCCTCGTGATAACAGTATCCGCCCGAGTGTCCGCCCCAGCTGCCCTTCTTCCCGCCAATGATCTCGCACATCTGATCGTTGTTGTTCCGGTCGTGCGAGGAGCCGATCAAGATCACGGTCCGATTTCGGAGCCAGTTCAGATCACGGGGAGGGGTCCAGTCCTGCCATTCTCCCTCTGTGGTCGGCTTGAAGCGCTCAAGGAGGGCAGTGTACTGTTTCGGCGCGGCGAGCCAGGCCTGAGCGGGGATCTCGTCCGTATGCGGAAGATCGGAAGAAGGGGCCTGCGCGTCCCACTCGTAGTCGGCCGAGGGGAAGGGGAGCCATCGTGTTTCGTTGTCGGCACCACTTGGGGACCAGTGCAGCATGCCAGGTTGGCGGAAGGGGTCGACCTCGCACCACTCCGGGCAGGGAGTGAGGAGCTCCTTGGCCGAGGTGTAGTACTGCTTCGTGAGGGGTCTACATGTCAGTGACAGGGAAAGAGAAGGGGCCAGTGAGGAGCCACACTTACTGCTCGCTGAAGACTGTCGCGGCATCGAGGATCAGCACGATGCCCGTTATCACGGCGCCGACGACGAGCGCGTACCGCCATCTCCGAGTCGTCATGGTCGGTAGAGGGACTCGGGGCAGTAGCGGGACCTGGGACATCCAAGCGGGCGAGGACATTGTGTTCAAGTGTGATGAGCGTATTTGAGTGGTGTGTCGGGGGTCGCCACGAGAGACGGCGTGGTGACTTTGACTGGAGACACGACGACGAGGAGAAGGATTGGGGCGTTGAGAGTTCACAAGTTGCCAGCGATTAGGGAAGGCGACGGCGAGGGAGGGGGGGAAGGAGAGAGGTGCCGTGGGGTCGTGGGCGTTAAACAGCTCAAGAGCTCAAGTCCTCTTCCGAGAGCACGCTGGTGAGAGGGTACGTTTAAGATGAAGCGATGGAGCGATAACATAAGGCAGATACGCGTGCCGCGACGATCAAGGCTTGTCTCCCTCTCACAGGTTCACGAAAGCCCCGTTTGCAGCCACAGAGCACAGACTCTTGAATAAAAGCAGCAACGAGGGGGGGCGGGGCAGACAGTGCGGGCAACCCTCTGTGGCCAACAATCCCGTGCACGGATTGGTGTCCCTGCCCAGCATTGCTCGCTTCCAGCATGCCGGCAAACAGGGATCTGTCCCGCATCGCAGGTCACGAGCGCACGACAGGTCAGAGGATTGACTACCGCGGCGTAAAGAGCCTAAGAGCCTGCAGAGCATTCAATGCAGAGACCACAGACCAGAGCGCAAAGCGCAGACGGCGATTGCAGTACTGTGGCTGGGGTCGCGGAGCGCCACACTCACCGTCCGCCTCTCCAGACCCGAGGATGCCCAGGTATCCAGGGCCCATGTATCCGTCCAAGACGCCTCCGGAGTCGCGGCCCTTTCTGGCCATTCTTTGTGCCATTCTGCACGTTCTCAACTCCGCGCGGCCCCGAGGAGCTCGCGTGGAACGGGGGCAATGGACCAGAGACTCTCCGCGCGACTCGGGGCCTGACCAACCACTGCATCGGACGTGATGGGGCCTGGCGAGTGGTCTGATATGCCCTCCAAGAGCTCGCTTACACATCCACCTGCTGACCGCGCCTCTTGCAAAGACACTCAGCACCAGCCGTAACGACAAGCATGCCGTCAGACAAGTACTTGCGCACCGCCGATGCCAATTGCAGGGCGCACAGGCATGCAGGTGCGATGGCCACCTGCGCAGCTGTCATCGCATGGTCTTCTCGCAGTCTGATACCAACGGAAGGCCACAAGCTGCCGCGCTAGACGAGATTAGTGCAGAGATCGGCTGATGCCCTTGAATCGAGATCTCACTGATAATCGGCAGTATCAGCACTAGTGCAGAACGGAGTTCCGATCACGTGAAGCGGAAAAAAGATACGGCGAAGCTGAATTATGCATACAGAAAGTACATGAAGGGGCCCTTAAGCTTGGTATTGAAATGATGGTTGTGCAATGATTTTGATTGTTGACTTCTCTAAAGCATTGCGTAGCTGCTTATCCCTCGCGGGCGACCTCCTCGACGGCCTTGGAGAAGACGTCGATGGCCTTCTGCATCTCCTCCTCGGTGACGACGAGAGGGGGGATGAAGCGCATGGTGTCGAAGCACGAGGTGGTGAGGATGAAGATGCCGTTGTCGTGGCAGATCTTCTGGACGCGCTTGCCAATGTTCTCAGGGATCTTGGAGGGCTCGGCAACACCCTTGTGGGTGAGGGAGTCGGCGCGCGAGCGGAACTCGACGGCGACCATGAGACCCTTGCCGCGGACGTCGGCGATGAGGGAGCCAGTCTTGGGGTTGGCCTGGAGGGCGTGGAGGGCGTCGAAGAGCTGCTTGGAGCGGGCGTTGACGTTCTCGAGAATGGGCTGGGTGCGGAAGACCTCGGCGACGGCGACGGCGGCAGCGCACGAGACAGCGTTACCGGCGTAGGTACCGCCGATGGTTCCGGGCTCCTGCTTCTCCATGATCTCGCGACGCGAGACGACACCAGAGAGAGGGTAGCCGTTGGCGAGACCCTTGGCGAAGGTCATGACGTCGGGGCGGAAGCCGGGGGTGTACTCCGAGTTGAACATCTTTCCGGTACGACCGAAGCCGGACTGGACCTCGTCGATGACGAGGAGAATACCGTGCTTGTCACAGAACTCGCGCAGGTACATGAGCCACGACGAGGGGGCGGGCACGTAACCACCCTCACCGATGACGGGCTCACAGAAGATGGCGGCAACGTCGCCGGGCTGGACCTGGGTCTTGACAAGGAGCTCAAGCTGGAACTTGGCCATGTTAACGAGCTCCTCCTCGGGGGTGTCGGGGGAGACACCGAGGGCGTGCCAGTAGGGGAAGGGAGTGGCGTAGACACCGGGCATGGTGACGCCAGTGCCCATGGTGTAGACGGTCTTGGACTTGGTCAGACCGGCGGCACCGTTGGTGCGGCCGTGGTACGAGCCCTGCATGCAGATGACGTTGGGGCGGCCAGTGGCGCGCTTGACGAGCTTGAGGACCATCTCGATGGCCTCGGAACCCGAGTTCCAGAAGTAGAAGCAGTCGAGGCTGGGGTCGGGCATGAGGGGGAGGAGCTCCTCAACGAGCTGGAGGTAGGGAACATTGAAGGCGATCGAGCACTGGACGTGGGAGATCTGCTGGGCCTGGTTCACGACAGCGGCAGTGACGGCGGGGTGAGAGCTGAAGATGTCAGCGTGCTGGTCCTACACGGTAGATCTGGAGAACTGCGCAATGCAATGGGGTCTTCGGCACGGCCGCGCGGGGACAGTGCGCATACCGGAGCTCGGACCTCGGCGGCTGGATGCCAAAGTCGGTGGAGCCGTGAAGTCACCGAGCGGCGAGGGAAGCGAGCACGAGCAGCGGTGACGCGGTGACGTCCGCCGCTTGGCCATCAAAACAAAATCGGCAGGATTGCCCCGATTTCCGTACGGTATCGTCATCGATTCCGTCGTCATCGGCGGTGAAACAATCGTGGCTGCTGCCAGGCTCACCGTCGTCATAGCCAGGCTTTCCGGATCGGCATGGGAGATTTTCGGGGAGGAATGCAAACTCACTGGCCAAGGTTCGTGACACCGATACCGGCGGTGAAGTCGATGTACTCCTTGCCCTCCTCGTCCCAGACCTTGGTGCCCTGTCCCTTGACAAGGATGTGGTCGTGGATACGGGTGAGGGCGGGGGTGACGTGCTTCTTGCCGGTCGCGAGAAGGCTCGAGAGGTTGGCGTCGGTAGCGGGCATTGTGGGCGATGTGCGAGCTGGGTGGGCTGTGGAGTGTGGAGTCGACGGTTTTAGTGGGAGAGAGGCTCTTTACGCTCGGTGGGGTGCGACAGCGAGAAAAGAAGAAGATGTGGGGGCTGGATTGGAATGATCTCTTTTATGTGCTGCCTGCCTGGGGGTGGGAGGGGCTGGGGGAGACTGTCGACCTCGGCGGACGCGGTGGTGCGGGCGAGGTATCCAGGTATTCCAGGACCGATCCAGGACCGGGCCGACGAAAAGGTCAGATGTTGGACGGCTGATGACGGTATGCTCGCCCAGTCTCGCCTCTCTCGCTTGCGGCAACTCGCCGTTATCTGACCTTTTCCCAGGCACGCACGTGGTTTTTCTGACCTTCTGCGGTGACCATTTCAAAACCATCTGCCAGAACCCGCCTATCTCGCCAACCAAAAAGTCAGATCGCGGCTGCCCGCTCTCTCTCGCGCACAGAGCGCAATGGGGGCCCGCGGCCGACGTGCCGATGCCGTACCCCACTTGGCGCCTGGGTTGCGCCTCTGGGCCGCCGCCATCGGCGCCTGTCTCTCTCTTAGCGCGCCCATGCCTGCCCAGACGAGCTAGACGACCGGCCCTTCCCCGATAACATTGCTCGTGTGCCCGAGCGCGTGTCCGGAGTATGCGGGGTGCCTCATGCCTCGAGTCTCTGAGCTTCGTGCCGCGGCGGAACCTGCCCCCACGTTCCCTGCGCCTGGTGTTGTTGCCCACATTCGTGTCTGATATGATGTTCCGAATTTGGCTTTATAAGGCGTTGCAGCCCTGCTGGCGGCGCCGCCTGGGCTCCGTGTTTGGTGAGAGGGTCAGATCTGGAAGCCGACCTATCTGACCTATCGGACGAATGATCTGACCTCTTACGGTGAGGACACGCCCGTGCGCCGTGCTCTGGGTCTGCATACAAAGCCGTGCATGCAGACTAGGTCGCAATTGCTGGAACTTTGGGTCGGCCCTGTTGAATGGGCGGACGGCACCGGCTAAGTCTCGGTTTAGACTTCTGGCCAATCTCCCGCATTAACGGTGACACACCGATGTGCCGGAAAGTCGGATCTCCCGTTCTGCCAGATCTCGCACCCGGCTTTGTTATCACACTGAAATCAGAAGTCAAATGCTTGATAAGTCTCGGACCGGAGCTGAGCGACGCTCACCTGTTTAGGCTGTCACCGGGACAGACACCTCATCAACATGGGCACGCGCTTCGATCTCTACCACCTGACCCTTCATGACACTCGACAAGCTCAGCGTCTGACTCAACTTGTTCATTCTTCCCGCCACTCTTGAGCTGGTGCTTTTCGGGGACTCGACTGTACTGGCCATCAGATCAACGTCGGACACTCTCCGTGTGTTTGGCCGGGCGAAGCAGTCAGGACTGACGGTAACTGACCGGTGTCCGTAGACGTCTGCTCACAACACTGCCAGACGAGCGCCCCTCTCTCCAGCACCGCGGCCACGAAGAACCAAGATCGGCGGGCGCAGTCTAATTGTCTCCGATCAGCGGTGTTCCAGAATTGGGAGCTGCTTCCGAGGCAGATGCTCACGAGCGACCCGCCGATTCGAGCAGAGTGGTGAGTCAAGCTGAATCAGTCGACGATTCGCAGAGCAGCAAAGGCGACAAGATGTCTGAACGGTGCGAAGAACTATGCATTACACTATACCCAAGACTTATGACGGAAAATCTCTACTCGATCTCGGAACTCACTACAGACACTCCCACATCAGGCTAACTCTCGACACTGCCTCGTCTCTTCGGTCGGCTGCTCTCGCCATCATGCTGACGGCCGCATGCCAGTTTAGGTGGGGACTGGTGCGACCCCCCTTCCAGCGACTAGAGCCACTGCTGCCAAGCATACACCTTGCGCTGCACATCCGGCTCCTGCCTGGATGCGCTCCGGTGGCTCCGCCTGCTGTCGACGCGCTAGCCCTCCCGGCGATGACTGCCGTGGACACTGCCCATATCCCTCATCTCCTCGACACGGTCTCCCACCCGGTCCATGCGTTCCCTCTCCCCCATCCGCGAGTCCATCCTGCTGTCGCCCATTCTCGAGTCCATCCGCGAGTCCATCCGCGAATCCATCCGCGAGTCGCCACCCATCCTCGAATCACCCCCGACGCGGGACCCCTCCCTGCCGTGTCCCTCGCGGTGGGAACTGTACCCGTACCGCAAGGAGCCGAGGGAGGACATGCTCATGGCCGAATCTTGGCGGCGCGGCGCCGGGTCGCCCTTCCACGCCGTCGTCAGGGCCCAGGTATACATGCCCGGAATCATCTGCCAGACGTTGACGGGCATGTGGTGCGGGTCGAAGACGTTTGCGCTTCCCAGTCCGGATCCGGGGATGTTCATCATGCTCCATGTCCAGTCGCCCACATCGAGGCTCGAAGAGCAAGTGTACGCGTCCTCGGCAATCGCGCCGGCGATGAAACCCACGAGCGGACTAACGCTGGAGGGCTGCTTGATGCACTCCCGGATCGTGAGAAGGAGGAGCTTGAGAACCCCGTCACAGGCATACTTCCGCAGGAAGAGCACGAGTCGCTTCACGGTCACGAGGGACTCGAGCGTCGTTCCGTCCCCGGGCACGAGGAAGGTGGCATGCACCACGAACTCGAGGTAGAGGCCGATGATGACGGACGTCTCAAAGTCTTCAGTCAGGACGAGGCGCTGTTTTCCCGGGGAGGGGGACGATTTGGCCGAACTCGCGGAACACTTCGCTGTGCGACTGTCAGCTTGAGCTCCTGCGTGCGTGGGGGAAGAATACGCCAATGCTTGGTGTGGAAGAGCATAAGGAACCAAGGTAAGGAGTGACTCACGAGCTCGCATACATGTAATAACTCGGGACCCGGAACCGGACCCCATCAGCGCTCACGAGCTCAAAGTCTCCCTCGGTCCACGCCGGGTCTTGCTTGACTTCATTCTGGGACTGGCGCGGGTACGCGCACTGCAGAAAGTCCTGCGCCGACGAGTCGGAGCTGTTGTGCGACATGGTTTCGGACTTGGCTGACTCGGCGACCGAGTGGAGTGAGGTGGCAGAGGGTTTGGAGGGAGCTGGGTGGGGACGGTCGTCTGCAGCAGAAGCAGCGGGGGCTTGCGGAGTCGGAGTCGCCTCGATGTCTGCGGTCGGCTGCGTAGGGACGGCCGCGTCAGCCGCTGGGGTGACGGGAGGAGCGGGAGTGGTAGCAGCGACGTCCGAGGGGAAGCCAGCCGCAGTCGGGGTTACAGGCGACGGGGCCCTGGTCGTATGACTCGAAGCGACACTCGGTTCTCTCGAATGCGACGAGCTCAGTGACGGGGCCTGCGACGAGGTCTTGGACCTAGACCTAGAAGATCTAGAGAAGAAGCTCGAGACCTGGGAGAGAGTCGACGCCTGTCTTGAGTGCGAGACAAGGTTCGAGACGTGGGAGACAGCCGACTCTTCGCGCGAGTGTGCTGGAGAGCCAGAACCTGAGGCAGAGCCGGCGCTCGACGGTCGGCGCAGCCAGCTGTGCGCCTTGGCCTTGAGCCTCAGCGACCCGAGGCGGGGCAGGTTGGCTAGTGTCTCTGCTGTATCTTGTTAACTTTGGAGCGCCGTCGAAATCGATGTCGACGAGCTCGCACTCTTGAGGATAGGGTGGTGGGGGGCGGGCCTGCGTTATTCCGGAAGTTCGGCTAGATGGACTGGAGGCCTTCGGCGACGGCGAGGGCGTACGTGGTATACGAACGAATGGGCGACCGACGATCCTCAATCTCGGCGTAGGCGTAGGGCGGCGACGACGATCTTGCCAGAACCAGCAGTCAACAGCGATGGACCAACGAGACAACATCGCAACCTCTTTCCAGAGACCCGTCGAGCCGTCCAACTCGTATCTGCTCGGGCCACTGTGGACCGCCACCAAGCCAAGAGAGTGCGCCTCGGGGCACATCGCACGCCGGCGCGCACGGACCTTGCGCCCGTTCCTCTCACAGCTGCTCCCCTCCCCACAGAAACCAACTTTGCTTACAGCACAGATGCATAATCGCGGAAAAGAGGAAACATACAATGGTGATTGAGTGAAGGTAAAGAGTAAAAAGTGGAAGTGGATGTGAACCGGGTTGTGCACCGAATACTGCGTGGTGCTATCCCGTGTGCCGCCAAGTGGCTGTAGTGATCACGGTGTTGTCCTCACACACCGCCGACTACGTCTTCAGCAGCTCGCCGCGCTTCTCGTCCTCGAGATACGCCCTGTTTGTCAGCCTTTGTCCTTTCCAGCCACCATCCCTGGAGCACCCTGCGGGGCGCTGGAGTACTCACGTCATCGCATAGCTGGTGTCGCCGTACCGCTCCAGATACTGCCTGATGGTGCTGCGCTCGGCGTGCGGAAGCATCTCGAGCATGTACCGGACATCCTCCTCGTTGACGCCGTCGTCTCGGCTGAGCGGCGAGAGCCCATGCGGCGCGTTCACGCTGCCGGCCTTATTGTTCGAGGACGGGCGTCCGAGAAGTCCCGCAGAGTCGAGGCTCGAGCGCGAGCTGTCATAGCTCGTCCGGGTGACGGGGCCGGGACGCGGACCGTGTGGCGAGGGGCTGTGAGGCGCGCGCGGGCCGTCGGGCGAATCGATCGACGCGCGGCCAAGCGACGTCGAGGACGAGGTGTAGCTCCGTGCGACTTTGCCGTTCGAGCCGTTCGCGAGCAGGTTCGTCGGCGGGCCGAGCGATGTGTTCTCCTTCTCCTTCTTGAGCCGGAGTGCCGACAGCAGGCCGCCACCGCTCCGGTTCTTCGCCGGTGTCGGCGGAGCAGGGATACTCGCCAGGCTCTGCATGGACCCCGAACCCTTGACGCTCGCGAGCTGCGGGTATGGCAGGTTGTTCAGCGGCACGGTCGTGCTGTTATCCGTCGTCTCCACGGTCGGGACCCTGATCTCGTTGGCGCGCGTCGCATCCGATCGCATCGGGAACTCGGACGCGCCAGAGACGTTGCGCGGTGTCGGCTCACCGATGGTTAAGCCACGCGGGGCACCAGCCGGATCCCGGATTCCCAAGCCCACCCGCGCCTTGGTGACGTTCTGTCGTGGGGCGTTGCCTGTGATATCAGCGATTGTCCTTGTTCGCCTCCGCCCCTGACGCATCCTTTACTCACGAACATTGCTGCACCACTCGCGCAGACCCGAGTCGGCGCGGGCCAGCCCCTCAATATGCTGCTGGTAGGCCCGGGCGCGCTCGCCCGGGGTCTTGAGCGCCTTGATGTTACCATACATGATGGCGAAGGGGAGCGACTTGACCGGGGGCTGCTGCTGGTGGTTCTGGAACGTAGCGTTCGTCGGCGACAGCGTGTAGCTACTCGAGCGCATGGAGAGGATGGAAGACGCCTTGCGGACGTGCCTGCCGACGTTCTGACCGACGCTGATAGCACTCTGGCCAACGTTGATAGCGCTGCGCTGAGTTCCTGCTAATGCGGACGACACGCCCATGCTGCTCATGAGTCCCAGACCGACTGCGCTGTTAGAGCTCGACGAGTGGACGTGCATAGGCGGGCGCGCCCCCGGGAACTGAGCAGAGGTCGGTGATAACGATGCGCCGTCGCCAGACGAGATCGACGACGATGTGCGCGGCGGGAGGGAGGAGGTCGCTAAGTCGCTGCGGGGGCGGGAAGGGGTCGACTTCTCGGGCTCGCTGAGCAGAGGCGGCGGCGTGTCCTGCGAGTTGATGAGGCCGATCTCGTCGACGGCATTGTCCACCACATGCGTCAGGTCCTGGATCGTGCTCGAGTTGGCCATCTGGGATGACGATCGGGCGTCACCGCCCGGGGAAGGATCCGTCTTGGAGCGGAGCTGCTGCGAGGATCGCGGGGACGTGACTGGCGTGTGGGGCGTATTGATGATCGTAGGCAGTGTCGTGGTGCGGTACGGGGCCGTAGAGTTGTACGAGGTGCTAGTGACCGGTTCCACCGGTGTGGTGGATGTTGGAGACGCAGTAAACACCGTGCTTGATTCCTGAACGGCTGAAAGATTCCTGAGTTTGATTAGCACGGACCTCCTGATGCTCATATATATCGGTAATCATGTTACGCACGGTTGCCGCAGCTCACTGCGTGGTGGCGGGTCGGGGCTTCGACGAGGCGGCAGCTGTGGTGATGGACTCTGTTGTCGCTGCTGCTGCTGCTGTTGTTGTTTGATGGACATCAACACCTCGGGCTTGTCGAGCGACTGCGATCGGCGCGGGGGATCAACCTTGGCTGCAGGCAGTAAGCTTGCCGGACGACCCGGAAGTCTCAGATCGCCGAAGGACGTCTTGTACGCGGGGGCACTGTGCGGCGTCTCGGGATCCTCCTGAGGGCTTGCGGAAAGACGTCGCGGCCTTTCCTGTCGGCCACCATTGGCATTCCTGCTCGAGCCCGACGCCTGCGATGATGTCGAGCGGCGAGAATCCGGCCCATCGCTTCCCGGGGTGCTGCCCGGGGCGCTTCCTCCTGTCGGCCGGACAGACAGCCTTCCCTTGGAACTGTTGTTCGACGACACGGGCGATGGCTTCACCAACACCTCAGTGCTTCCCTGGGGAGTCTTCTCTCCCGAGTCTGCACTCCGGGGCGATGGCGTCTTGCCACACTCCCTCAAATCGGTGTTGACGGCGACGTGTGGGCGGTCCCCGCGCTCGTTCGCCATCTCTTGTGTCGGCGTCACGAGCTTTTCGGCAATCGTCGACGCGGCCGAGCCGGACTGTGCCTTGTTCCAGTTGCCGCCGCCCTGATGGGCCCACTCATCGAATGTTGGGTCTAAGAGCACGTCAATGTCGCCGTTCATGTCGACCATGCCCTTGCGGTGAGAGTGAAGGCGCGCGAGCTCGTCCTGGATCGCGGTATCACGGCGCACGAGTGACGGCGGAATAGGTGCCGGGCTGTCGTCGACCGAGTACTGGCTCTCGCCTGACTCGGAGTCCGGGCGGCTCGGCGGTCGGCTCGGGAGGCGGCGGTGGGAGTGAGACGAATAGCTGCTAGCGGGGGAAGATGTCTGGGGTGTCGAGGTGGGAATCGGGGGAAGGGGAGGGCGTTTCCGTCTCGTGGACGTGGACCGGATCGTGTCCGAGCCCGAGTCGACGGTCATCTGGGCGGCGATGGGCGGTTGCGGAGACGGTGACGGGGAAGGAAGGTGAGGAAGGCGTTGAGGTGGTTGGTGGTGCGAATGCATGGTATGCGTGGGGTGGGACGTGTTGTGTGCACCATGAGGCGTGATGCCGGCATCCGGGATCATGGGTAACGATCTCCTCGAAGTTGAGGTTAAAGTTGAAGACGCGCTGTGCGCATTGTACGCACTAGGCGGAGGCTGGCTTGATCCCGGCGGCGGTGGTGTCGGACGATTGCTTGGCATCGACGTCGCTTGCATTGTCGTGTTTAGATCGTCGGTGCTGTCTGGCTCTGCAACGAGCTGGAGGCCGCGAGTGCCTTTTGGGGACTCGCCCCCGACAATGACCTCCTGGAAGCTCATCTGGGAGTGTGACTTGCCGTCGTGGAGAAGGGGGTTTGGTGAGATCGAGTAAGGGGACGAGAGTACGGTGTGGGACGAGCTAGTCTCGAGCGGCGAGGCAAGTGTCCCGAGACTAGAGGAGAAGGACTCGCTCCTTCCTCCTGCCGAGGACGACCAGTAGTACTGCAGAGCCTCGGAAGCTCCTGTGGATCGCCGTTTCGCTAGAGTCGAGGGGTCTGGCAGCGTCGCAGGGCCATAGTCGGACAGGGCTGGGGAGGGGGTCAGCGTTGTCGTGTCGATGGGGGACAATGGAGTGCGAGTGCGAGCAGAAGGAGGAGGAGACTGTGTTTCGGGCAGGATGGAGGATGAAGCGAAAAGCATAAACGCGTGAAGAGGTAGTGCGTGTGTGTGTGTGTGTGTGTGTGTCGACGAGACCATGTGTCTTTGTGTTGTTCCAGTGACGGTGTTCCTGCACAGGTCCTGGGTCTCCTTGGGTCTCCGGTGGCTCCGGAACGGATACGGATGCATGTGCACGAGATTGGTGAATGCAGCCGCTGCAACTACTGCAGGAGTGAATGCTGTTCCCGGCCTGTAGCCTGGCCTGGTGCCAGGGCAGGTGTCAGATGCCGTTGGTCGCCCGCGGATACGGGAACCAACGAGGACCTTGACCTTAATCCCCGCGACGCGCTACCCGAGCCTGGCACTGCATCCAGCCCGTCGCCGTGGTCTTTCCGACGCGTCGCACGCAGGTTTCGCAGCTTTTTTTGAGTAGGGGAGCAAAGGGTTTCCGAGCAAAATGCAGAGCCGTCTGCCGCCCAGTCCGAAGGTGCACAAGGATGAATTGCCTTGTCCCAACATCAAACCAGACCCAGGACACATAGCATAGCCGCTGCCGCCTGCACTGCACAGGGAAAAGCTAGCGGCTCATGTGCATAGCGTGCATAGCCATGCCTTATCAGCACAGCCAGGACAGCCGGTCTCTCCTGATGCCTGATGCTTCGTCCCGCACAGCACACGGCGGCACAAGACATAGCTTTCCAGGAAAAGAACTTTCGGACCAAACAACACTCCAACCACAACCACGGAAAAGTTACTCCAAGTTACTCACGAGACGGTATCGCGCTCCCGTACATCGACAGCGCCTCGCTGCTCGGCGATGTCGAGAGGAACATGGCGCCATGAGACCGGGGCAACATTGTGTCGGCTTTTGACCAATGTTTGGGGGAAGCGAGTAGGCGAAAGGAGACGAGACGGCGGGGTGAAGAGGAGGCGGCCGGCGGTGGGGGCGGGTGAAGGGATGGCTTACGCTTCAACAGCGCAGATCAATGGAGATCAAAGGGGCCGTTCTGGGGAAATGGACATGGGAGGCGGCCGTGCTCGTTGTTTTGTTTTGCAGGGGCGCGACTGTAAAGAGTTGTGTGGGATGGGATGAGTAATGTTTGGGTGCTGAGTCGCTCGCTCGTTCGGCAGGGTATCGAAGCGTCACTGGGACACAGGTCGGGGGCGAGGGTGCGTGCGTCGCGAGGGATCGATCGGCAGGGAGTGACGATGGTGGTGACTAGCAAGAAAGTGGTGGTGGTAATGTCGAGTGCAACATTGACTCAATGTCGAGGTCCGAAAGAAGTTGCAATGTTGGTCGACCGAGCGTGTGGTGATCTGCGAGATCTGTTCCCTGTCTTGGACTTCGTCGGCTGGATATTCGTGCTCCGAGGTCGCTTCTGGGTTCTCGATTGCATGCGCAGGAATCAGCCGTATACCGTGCGCCGCACGCCGCACGCCGTGCGCCGAGAGGGCTGGAGAGAGAGAGAGGGCAGGGCATGCGCGCGCATGCCGTCAGTGCGGAGCGCAGCACCGCGAGTCCAGGTCCGAGGTACCACACACATCTATCGAACTGCGTTGGCTGTGAGAGCGCGCGGCGCAGCGGGGCTGTCACTAATGAAGCATGCCTGCGCCCAGCACCACAGATCCCTGCAATAGGGCATGTAATCATAGGCCCAGACACGGTTGGTTCCCCAGCGCAGAGTTCAAGCCATGTCTTTTTCTAATTCTGCGCCGGGCTCAGCCAAGGCAAAGCCAAGGACGCCAGTAGTTCACACCGTCATGGCTGGCTGGTCTGCTTGCAGCACGCTCCACAACAATCTCCCTGTGCAGATGTCCTGGATCCTGGAGATCCTGGAAGATGTCCTGGAAGAGTAGACAAACAAACCCACCATCCCCTCTTCGGCGCTTCCCAGCGGATCAGCGGAGGCATGGGCAGACGACAGTAGACCAGCTGTTCTCGGAAAAGAGGGCTGCAAAAGTCCCCCAGGGCAAGACAGGGACGAATGCCAGGGTCTGACTCGACCCTGGAGCAGATGGCCAGTCGTCTCTGGACAGCGTCGCCGAATCCTTCTATGACACCCTCCAGGGAGACCTTCCGTACGCCGCTGTCCTGCGCCGTCGCTCATAATGCAGCGCCGCGCGACGCAACTGCAGCGCCGAAACGACATGTCCGATGGACTGGGCGGCGACCGCGGATACGGCCTGGGTAGAGACCCTTTCGCCCAACATCTTCACGCGGATCTTATTGTTTTTGCGAATCTGCACCAGATAATCTGACCTTTTTCGTGCCGCTTGTGGATATCGGAGCCCGAAAATTCCTGCCTCGTTCCCAAAATTGAGAGCTCACTACTAACCCTGTTCCTGTCCTCTGACATCTGGGTGCTTATACCGAGGGGAGAGCCGGGTGGTGGGTCGGTCCTTGCTGAACTCTGTTCAGAGCGCTCAAACACCACCCAGCCCGTTTCCCGGCGGCAACTGCCACAGAGAGGGACATCACGTACATACGCGTACGACACGTCGTATAAACGCAGTTAATATGAACATGCACAAGTCTAGTACAACTTTGCTGGTTGTATCGTTCTGCCAGCAGACTACTCATAATCAGGCACAACCTCACCCGCATGCACGCGCGTCCAGAAGGTAAACGTCTTGTACTCGGGTTCCTTGTCCTTCGCCCCCTCGGCGTCGTCGGCCCGGTAGGTGAACCGCACCTCGAGATCAAACTGCTGTCAGATGCTACAACCTCCGAGTAGAGTGCCTTCGTGGACCCAAACATTGTGTAAACAGACATAATGAACTTCGTGGCGAGCCCGTGCGACGTGCCCGCCCTAGGAACTGGTGCTTCGGGGTGGTCCCGAGTGCAGCGGCCTGCACAAGGAACACCTTTGGTCCCGAGAGGTCCAGAACCAAAGGCATGCGCGCGACACTGCCTCGGCACCGAGTGAATGATTCTGGGGTCTTTACTACTCACCTCCACAGGACCTTCCTCCGCGCTGGGCAGCACTTCCAGCTCGAGACCGACTTTGGAAACATTGCCCCGTTTCTCGACGTCAGATGCACCCGGATGCGCTCGCGTTGAGCGCGTCAAGCTGAGGCGCTTCCGATCGTCGAACTCATCCTCTCCTCCCGAGTCGTCGTCATCTTCATCGTCGTACGCGAATGTCTCCTTCAATGCCCCGACTGTGAAGTGCGCAGTCGGAATATGAATGAGATGGTTCGGAGGTATTGAGTGCTTTTGGTGGGGCGCCGACAATCGGATCTGGATAGGGTCGTACAGTGGGTTCGTGAAAGCTAGCTGGAACGAGTACTGCGATGTCAGCTGCGAGGACGACCGTTCAAACTCACGACTTCGCCTGCTTTCAGCGGCTCGCGCATATCCTGGTCCGCCTCTTGCCCGGGTGCCAAGCGGGCTCGCCGCCGATCCTTGCGCCGCCTCTCCATGTCTTCCTCCGTCATGCCCGCGGGCACAGTTTCACCGCGGCGATGGCGTCGTCGGCCCAGTTCTAGCGCAGGGAGGTAATTCGACGCCACCATCTTGATGAGCATGCGCACACTCTTGGTGTCGGGTTGGATGAGAATGTGGCGGCACGTCGGACTTGGGCACCGTTTGGTTAATTTCGCCTGCAGTGGGATGCGTTCTGGTACTGCGTCCTTGGCAGTGCTGGGAACAGCCCAAGCACCCTCCCACCGCTTGTCCAGCGGCGTGATGTCCTCACCCGTCATCTCCCGTAGTGCGTCGATGTCGCTTCCTCCATTACCCTGCTCGTCTGAACGCCACGCATGCTTCGCTTCGTACTTGCCGAGCTCATCCCAGCCTGCTCGTCCCTTGTCATCCCCGGCCACTCGACGTTTTGGGCGGGCTAGAGGAGACCCCGGGACATCGCGACCCAGAGCACGAGCGGCAGCTTGCGTGATCTTGCCGATATGCCGTGTCGGCACTCGTCTTGAGTGGCCAGTCTTCGGGTTCACTGACGGCGTATCTTGGATGTAATTCTCGAGATGATCCTTCAGCTGGTCGAACTCGGCCTGCTCTTCCTCCGGAATGGGGTAGACATTGACCGCTTGGCCTGTTATGTGTCAGCTTGCCTCCCCACCGACGCAGCTGTAACTCACTGGCCAAGGAGGAAGGCTTCTCAAAGAGCCACCCAATCTCGTGACTTGACCACTTGCAGGACGGGCACAAGAAGAAATACGGGGCTCCTCCGACATGATGACCTCGTTCATCCTGTTTCATTGACGGCAGAACCGACAGAGCAACGCAGCATTGTGGACAAGCAAAGCAGGACCGAGCGCATCTGGCGTCGTCAGCTTGACAGAGCGATTGCCATAGCTCACCTGTTCTTGTCGGCGCGCACATTGGCGGTGGGGACGTCGAACAGGCAGTTGGGACAGTAGTAGCTGGCGACCTCAACGGAAATGCACTCCGAGCATCTGATGGCGTCGCATTCCTCACAGAAGTAGAGGGAAGGCAGCTCGGAGAGGTCAGCCGACGACGACGCAAAGGATGGGGCGAGGGGTGGCCGAGGAGTGTCCAGGTGCGGACAGTGGTACGTGACGTTCTGGACCATGCTGTCTGGCTGGTCTGAACGCGTAAAGTCGCGTCGGATGGTCGCGCTCGCTGCTCTTGTCGCTGTCCAGAATGTTGCTCGCTGTCCACCGTGATGACGACCAGTTGCCGCTGGACCTCCACTTTCTGTGGTCCACTGTTTGCTCGCCACGTGGCAGAACTTACTCGAAACCTCCGTTAAGATGAGGTGGCAGTCGGACGTGGAAGTTCGGTCGTCGGCGCCGGTTCTGAGCGGCAAATGCCCTGGACCCCGATATTTCTGAATACGGCACGACGCGTCCGAATCAACGTCGAACCGTCAGCAGCCCAAGAGACGCTGACAAAGCCGCTCATTTCTTCATCCTCGACTTCGTCACACCCAGATCTGGACATATACGGCACGCACAAACCCGGTTTCTGTCGCCACCGGTGGTGCACGTACCCCTCCCCGACATTACTCGGCTGTAACCTTATCTTGCTTCTGCTAAATCGACCATCGCCCACCTCCCGCCCCGACAGTCTTCGCCCGAAATGTTGGACAAGGCGTGGACGCAAAGTCCGAACGATGTCCTCGCGCATTTCGGCACGGACTCCGCCAATGGTCTCACCGACGAGCAGGTCGTGCAGCACCGCAAGCTGTACGGCGCCAATAAGCTCCAGGAGTCTGAGCCCACCTCTCTGATCGCCCTCGTGCTCGCTCAGTTTGAGGACCAGCTCGTGCTGATCCTCCTGGGTTCAGCCGTCGTCTCGTTCGTCCTTGCGCTTTTCGAGGACACTTCCGGGAACTGGTTGACTGCCTTTGTTGAGCCGCTCGTCATCCTGCTCATCCTCATCGCAAACGCTGTTGTCGGAGTCGTCCAGGAGAGTAACGCTGAGAAGGCTATCGATGCGCTGAAGGAGTACTCGCCCGACGAGGCGAATGTCTACCGCAATGGTCGTCTCGTCAAGATTCCCGCTGCCGACCTCGTCCCCGGCGACATCGTCTCGGTCCATGTTGGTGACCGCATTCCCGCCGACTGCCGCATCATCAGCTTCTCCTCAAGCTCGTTCCGCGTGGACCAGGCCATGCTGACGGGTGAGAGTATGAGTGTGCCGAAGACCGACGCTATTGTGAAAGACGAGGGTGCCGTGAAGCAGGACATGACCAACATTCTCTTCGCGGGCACGACGGTCGTCAATGGCGCTGCCAAGGCGGTGGTCGTCCTGACTGGCGAGAAGACGGCTCTGGGTGCGATTCACTCCTCGATTGCGGACAAGGACGATGAGGACGAGAAGACGCCGCTGAAGCGCCAGCTGGATGAGTTCGGCGACCAGCTTGCCAAGGTCATCTCCGTCATCTGTGTTCTGGTATGGCTCGTCAACTTCCGCAACTTCTCCGACCCCACCCATCACGGCTGGCTCAAGGGCGCGATTTACTACCTCAAGATCGCTGTCGCGCTCGCCGTCGCCGCTATTCCCGAGGGACTTGCGGCCGTTATCACCGCCTGCCTCGCGCTCGGCACGAAGAAGATGGCAAAGCAGGGTGCCATCGTACGCCACCTGCCGTCCGTCGAGACGCTCGGCTGCACGAATGTCATCTGTTCCGACAAGACTGGCACGCTCACGACAAACCAGATGAGCGTCGCGCGGTTCTTGACCATCAACTCTGACGGCGTCGCCGAGTTCCAGGTCGGCGGCACGACATACGCCCCTACCGGATCCGTCTCCACCATGGCTGGCGAGTACGCGCCGAAGGAGCTCGTCCGCACCGCGCCGGTCGACAAGCTCGTCGAGATTTGCTCCATCTGCAACGACGCCAAGGTCAACTACCACGACGAGACGGACACGTACACGAACGTCGGCGAGCCGACTGAGGCGGCGATGCGTGTCCTCGTCGAGAAGCTCGGTTCGGACGAGGACGCCTTCAACTCGACTCTCTCTGCGTTGACACCCGCGCAGCGTGCCATGGCCGTGAACGAGCACTTTGAGTCTCGCATCGAGCGCCTGCTCACGTTCGAGTTCACGCGCGACCGCAAGTCCATGTCCGTCCTTACTTCTAACAACGGCAAGGTCTCGCTGCTCGTTAAGGGTGCGCCGGAGAGCATTCTCGAGCGTTGCACGAGTGTCATCACCCCCAACGGCATCAAGCCCCTTTCGGCCGAGGTGAAGAGGCAGATCGACCAGAAGCAGCAAGAGTACGGCGCCCATGGTCTGCGCACGCTCGCCCTCGCGTACGTCGAGGAGGATGACGGAGACATTTCGCACTACAAGTCCGAGTCGTCTGATGATTACGTCCGTTTTGAGCAGAACATGACTTTTGTCGGCCTGGTCGGCATGCTCGACCCTCCCCGCCCCGGCGTCCGAGACGCGATCGAGAGCTGCCGCAAGGCGGGTATTCGCACCATTGTGATCACGGGCGACAACAAGTCGACGGCCGAAACGATTTGTCGCCAGATCGGCGTGTTTGGCGCTGACGAGGATGTGACCGGCAAGTCGTTCACGGGCCGCGAGTTCGATGCCCTTTCGCCCCAGGCAAAGCTTGAGGCGATCCAGCACGCTTCGCTCTTCTCGCGCACGGAGCCGACGCACAAGAGCCAGCTTGTCGACCTGCTCCAGTCTCAGGGCCTAATTGTCGCCATGACGGGCGACGGTGTCAACGACGCTCCGGCACTGAAGCGCGCCGACATCGGTATTGCGATGGGCAGCGGCACGGATGTCGCCAAGCTCGCGAGCGACATGGTCCTGACCACGAACAACTTCACGACCATCGAGGGTGCCGTTAAGGAGGGAAGGAACATCTACAACAACACGAAGCAGTTCATCCGGTACCTCATCTCGTCCAACATTGGCGAAGTGTTCAGCATCTTCCTCACCGTCCTGCTCGGCCTGCCCGAGGGACTCATCCCGATCCAGCTCCTTCTCGTCAACCTGTCCACGGACGCGGCGCCCGCCATGGCGCTCGGATTCAACAAGCCGGACCATCACATCATGACTTCCCCGCCGCGCCGCGCCAACGCTCCGCTGATCACCAAGTGGCTCTTCCTGCGCTACCTCATCGTTGGCCTTTATGTCGGCCTCGCGACTGTCGGGGGATATGTCTGGTGGTTCACGACCTACGCGGACGGCCCCAAGATCAGCTGGCACGAGCTGACGCACTTCCACTCGTCCGTGACGCGGTTCAACGGCGAGAAGCTCTTCCTGCCCAACACGTTCCCGCAAAAGTCTGGCTCGACCATGTCGCTCACCATCCTCGTCGTCATCGAGATGCTGAACGCGTGCAACGCCCTGTCCGAGAATGAGTCGCTCCTCACGCTCCCCGTGTGGACGAACCCGTACCTCGTCCTCGCCATTGCGGGCAGCATGATCGGCCACTGCATCATCCTGTACACCCCCTTCCTCGCCGACCTGTTCCAGGTCGTGCCCCTGAGCTGGACAGAGTGGAAGACGGTCCTCGCCCTCTCGCTCCCTGTCATTCCCATCGATGAGGCGCTCAAGTGGGCCACGCGGACTTTTGGCCTCGAGGAGGACTCGGTGCCTCCAATCTCTGACGAGGAACTCGTCGAGGACGTCCTCAAGAAGGAATAGAGACAATAGATAGCATTCATTTGGTTATGCATTGGTGATTTGGCCCTGCCCAGGCTGCGACTGCAAGATCTTCCCGAGGGATTTTGGTGCGCCCTTCGCGCAATCTGCCCCACGTCAGAAGAGGGCGACTGACTGGTCAATTTGCGTGCGACTTGTGCTCTCATTATCGCTTCCAAGTAATCATAAATAGCTGCATGAAAGTCTACAGATGTCTCCCCGAAAAGGACCAAGTAGGGCACCGAAATAAGCCCTACCCGGTGAGTAATGGGGCGACGTCCTCTCCCGTAGAAGAGGGGCCAGGGTACTCTTGGGTGCATGAAAATCGCTAGCGATGTAGGTTACATTTCGCTCGCAGAGTGTTGAGCCCCGTGTATATTCCAGAGTGTGGAATCGTGACAGTAGATGAAGTGGGTGAAGGAGAGGAAGGGGTGCTGTGTCAGTAATCTCAAGCTCACCGGAAGGGGTTAGTATCGTAGGGCTGCTGGTAGGTCGGAAATCGAACACGTTTGCATTGAACGTGTCCGACGCCTGTGAAGTACCCGCCTCGTGAACGCGCCGAAGCTGCAAAGGGGTAGCAAAATAACGCCGGTACCAGTGAAGGCGTCGCTCTGCGCTCCAGCCTCGCGCGGACACCGGGATGAGGATGCCCATACTCGGCCGGAGCGGTGAAGGGAGGAGGAAGTTGTTGATGGAAGTTGGGGCAGTCTTGGAACGTTGATGAATGCATGAATCTGTACACAATTACCGGTCTGAATGTCAGCAAAGTCTTCAGTAGGCAGAGCCAGTTTACTCACAGAATTCGAGCCTATCTTCTGACTTCTTGACGGTGCTCTGTGGAGAAAGTCAGTAACCGAAGTGCGGCAGACATTTTATATGGGTGGTTCTGAAATCTCGCACCGCGCTCGCACTGCGGGAATTCCAAACGCCGCCCAGTGGCACCACGCACCTTCCAAGCCTCCTCGAAGTCGATCGGCAGGATGACATAACGGTTCTTGCGCACGGCTGCGGGAACGTTAGCGACCATTCGGGCGATGCATGCATACCTTGCAGACCAGCGGCCTGGCAGATGGAAGCAATCTCGGCGGAGGAAAGCTTGTCTGGCCGCGAGACGTCTGTTCGTCAGTTCGATCCCTAATGACGGTTCTCAGGGCCTGGAACTCACAGTCCTCGAGGTCGACGTCGGGGCTGAGGTTCATCTTCGACGTGACAGTCTGGAAGATGAGACGTCGCTCACGACGAGACGGGTTGGGGAACTCGATCTTTCGGTCGAGACGACCAGGACGAAGGAGCGCGGGGTCGAGGGTGTCTTGACGGTTGGTGGCCATGATGACCTGATAAGTTAGCTTCCGATATACAGATTGTCCTTCGCGCATACCTTGACGGTGGTCTGCTGGTCGAAACCGTCCATCTGGTTGAGGAGCTCGAGAAGAATACGCTGGACCTCACGGTCCGAGCCTGTCTGCGCGTCGAAACGCTTGGTCGCGATGGCGTCGACCTCATCGATGAAGATGATACAGGGCGAGTTCTCGCGCGCCAGACGGAACACATCTCTGACCATACGGGGACCCTGTTTGTCAGCGGAAGCGACGGACAGCCGGTGCTGAATACTCACCTCTCCGAGGTACTTCTGCACGAACTCCGATCCAACAACGCGAATGAACGATGCCGTAGTGGCGTTGGCGACAGCCTTGACCAGCATCGTCTTTCCAGTACCTGATCGTCAGCTTCACATGCAACGGTTTTTCAGCATAACATACCGGGAGGGCCGTAGAGCAGCACACCGCGAGGGGGGTCGATACCAATCTTCCTGTACAGATCCATCTGTGTTTGTCAGCTTGTCTCCATCTGCTCGAACTAGCCGTATCCAGTACCTCCCAGTACTCACCTGCACTAGAGGAAGCTCGACAGCCTCCCTAATTTCCTGCTTCTGCTGATCCAGTCCACCGACGTCCGAGTACTTTACATCCGGCCGCTCATCAGCGCCAAGCATGGCGATACTTGAGTCGGCCTCAGGTGGCAGAATATCGACAAGCGCATTAGAGTGACGATGCAAAGCCACACTGCTCGAGGGCTTGAGGAGTTCGCGGTCAAGAGTAGAGAGGATGCGCACGACGTAGTTGGAACCTGCGTGTTAGTTAAGGTGGGGACTGCGCCAACTCACCAGTGGTGGATCCAACGATGCCACGGCGCTCGTCGACCGCCTCAAGGAACTGGCCGATGACAAGGGGAACGGACTGGATGCGCTTAACCTCCTCCTGGGCGCGGAGCAGCTCCTGCCTCAGGTTCTTGGTCTCGTCACGGATGTAGTCCTGTCAGTTAGCTATGTCGACTACAGTGGGCGAGCTAGTAAGCACATCCCGGATGCCTGAGCCAGTGTGCTTCGTGCGCCTCACTCACCTCCTGAAGCTGGAGAAACTCGCGGTGAGCCTCGAGCTTGCGCCAAGTGGTGTACAGCTCGTCATCACTGGCCGGCAGCGAAGCGTACAGCGCCTGCTTGTCGCTAAGCTGGGCGGCGAGGGTGGGGTCCTGCGACTGTCAGCTTTCCGGGAGAACGTCGTAAGCATACCTCAAGCTTGAGGTCAATTCCGATCTCCTCCATACTGAAGGATGTTCGATGTGTAGTAGGGGAGGAAGACTAGATGTGGAAGGGGAAGGAAGGGACCGATGATGACAGAGGCAGCGAGTGAGTGGGAGGCGGGGGACGACAACGCGCATGCTTTGCGGGCACGATTCAGACTCCGTCATACCACGTGGTCCGAACCCGGGGTAGGGCGCCAGATTCAAGATTGGGAGATGACTTAGCCTGAATCTGGCCACCCGGTGTCTCTCCTTTTCACCACCTTCAACTGCATACAACAAGCACAACAATGGGAAAGCGCAAGTCGTCGAAGAAGCCCGTTGCGAAGAAGACGAACGAGCCGCTGTGTGAGCTGAATTAGTGGTAGGGAGCTGACAAACAGCCACGGTGTTCAAGTGTCTCTTCTGTCACCACGAGAAGTCCGTCCTGGTCAAGATGTAAGCGTGTTGGTACCGATATCGACTGACAATGCAGTAACAAGCAGTCCATGTTCGGCTCGCTCAACTGCAAGGTAGGCTGCGTTTTGCGCGATTCAGCTAACGGCAGACGTGTGGACAGAAGTTCACGACACCGATCAACAGTGGGCCCTCCTTGCCGATCATCGCTGACCACAGACCTCTCCGTTGCCGTGGATGTGTACTGCGAGTGAGTCAGACTGCGCCCCGCTCTTGACTCCTTGCTTTGAGCTGTCGACTCCCTTATGATGAGCTAACATGACAGCTGGGTCGACGCCTGTGACGAGATCAACCAGAAGGCCAAGCCGAAGCCCAAGATCAGGCAGCGCAGCCCCGAGCCAGCGCCGCGCTTCACCGAGAACGAGGATGAGGACGAGGACGAGCCGCCCCGCCGCAAGATCTCGAGCCGCGACTATGACTCGGACTCGGATGACGAGGACGACAGGCGTGCGCGCAAGGTCGCGCGCCGTGCGTACGATGACGACGATGAGGATGACGATTAAGCTCGCCGCGTCGAAGCAGCGTGTGTATGCAGGTGCGGCGTCTGCAATCCGCGAACGTAAGCCAAGCCAACTGTGATGTTTGTTTCTTGCAGCCTTTATAGAGTGTATTGTATGCATTGATAGGTCATGAGGTCGTTACATGTTACAACAGGTCTACTTATCCCCTACGTCGACTCAGGTTTCGGCTTCATCCCGAGCGCCGAGAAGAGATTCTTCTGCGTCTGCCTGTTAGCTATCCGTCCCTCCGGGCAGCTTACCGGATCCTCGACAGAGGAGTATCCCGCCTCACTCAGCCTCTTCCCCTGCGCAACGCAGTCAAGGATCCCTGTTCGTCAGCTTCGCCAAGTCGAAATCCAGCTCACAGTCAACCTTGACGGCGCGCGTACGCTGGGCAGCACCACGACTTCCCTGTCCATTGATGTACTTCTGTGACTTGGTGCCCGACAGGCGCTCAGCGACGACATGCGTGCATCGCGACGTCTGGTGCGGAACGTATCGGCCGCCATTGGCCGTGATCATATTCTGCACCTGCAGGTTGGACGCTCGAGGACCAGTCGGGCCGTTAATGGCAATCAGGCAGCCGGCTGCTGTCAGCTCCAGTTCGCCGAAAGAATAGCTCACCAAAAATGTCAGTCTCCTGTCCGTTAGCTGTGGATCCGAGCAGCAAAGGAGATATGGCCGTGGGAGAGGGGTCGAAGAACTCACCTTTGTCCTCGCCGCGTCCTCGACATTCTTGGTCCGCACGTCCCAGTACGTCATCTCGCGACCACCGTTCTGGCGAGCGGCTTCGGCCAGTCCAATAGCCCGCGCCTGCGTGTAGAACCCCCTGTCGCCGCCGCGCTGCTGGTGTCCCGTCGAGCATGAGTGAACGTGCCGAGTACGCGCGAACGCCTCGCTGTGCGTGATCGGGTTGGACTGTTTGCCCAGACTATTCAGCTGGAGGGTCAGTTATACTCAAAGAGGACGCCATAGCTCAAGCAAGAGTGTACCCACCATGCGCTCCGTCTCGCGAGATCGCGTCATGGAACCTTCCCTACGCCGCTTCACGTCAGTTGACGTGTCCGGTACGGTCTCTTGTTTCGAGTCCAGGTCGGTAGACTTGCGCTTCCTCGTGTCGTCGCCGCTGAGCGCGGCCAGGATCGCCCGCCGGCGCTTAGCGGCCGGTTCCTCCGGCGAGCTGTCTGGCACCTCTATGACTTCTGGGGATGGCGGCGGCGGCGTCGCGGGCATGGTCTATTGGAGGAAGACTGGACGCGCCCAAATTGTTGACATCCAGCTGAGGTGTACGTCTGGCACGTGGTGTCCCTGACGATCTCATCTTACATTCCGCACAACCAGGTCCAGCGCGTCGAGCGGTGCGTTGTAGTCGTCACAATGTGTATGGCATGCAATTTACAACATTACTAAGGTATCTATGCTTAGGTATCCCCGACGTAATAGAAGAAGCCGACCATGGCGATCCCAGCGACAATGACGGCCCACCCGAGCCAGCCGGCGCTCATGATCTTGCGGCCAAAGTTGTATGTTCTGATGAGGTAGCTTAAGAAGGACATGACGGTGCGCGCGCCCGCGTCGATGGCGACATCCTGGAAACGCCAGGTCCACAGGCGAGGCTTGATCCCGCCCCTGATCTTGAGCTGCACGTTCGCCTTCTCGTCCTTTAAGCCCTGGATCACATCCAGCTGGTTCTTGACCCAGTTGCGGATGATATCCTTCTGCCGAATCAGCTGGTTCACCGTCTCAACCATCTGATCCAGGGCCTTCGTCGCATTCACCCGCGAATTCGCCATGTCTTTCTGAACAGCCCTCGCTTTGTCGCATGATAACTCAAGACGCTTGATTGGATCCACGGGCTCACACAGCACCGGGTCCACGACAGAGCGCTTTGGCCATGCCGCCTGCATCCCCATGGCGAAAACAGGTAGGTTGTTCGGAGGAAGCGTGCCCTGACGCCGTGGACGGAACGGATGGCGGTAGCCAGTTTCGGAATCAGATCGCAACGGGTACAGCTCATCGGCGGTCTCGTCCTCGTCTTCGTCATCATCGAGCGGAGACAACTTCGGGGCCGGAGGCAGGTTGTCGAATCGGACATCGACGTCGGCGGCGGAAGCAAACATCGCCGTGACTTGACCAAGCTGGGCGAGGTAGTGCGCGACGCTTGTTACCATCTGTTCCTCGCCGTCGTCGAGCTGGATGAGGCGCTGTCTGGCCATCTTCAACTCGTCGTCTTTCTGCACAAACAGCGCCTCGTCGAGCTCGCCTAAGCGCTTCTCAGCTTCCTGCTCCACGATAGTGGGGCGTCGCTTCATTTGACGCTCCCTGTTCTCGCGTTCGCGCCTTAATGTCTCCTCGAGGTTGCGCTGCTCCAGGTATATTTGGTCGCCATTATCGGCGCTGTTCGGTCGTTGAGCCCATTCCTCTACCCGCCGTTGACCTCTAGCAATTAATTTGCGCAAGTGGTGGGGCTCATCTTCAGACGTCCCGGTTGTAGCGTTGTTGTCGTTAGTGGAGCGCATGTTGCCGAACTTGTTTCGAATGCGATCCCTGGTCCGAGGATGGTTATGCGCAAGCGACTGGGAGCGATTGTGGCCCTTGGAGGACAAACCGGGCGATTCGGAAGCGAGCCTCTTCGAGCCATACTCGTCCGGTCCATCTACAGCAGACGATAGTTTCGCCAAGGCCGAGTTTCCCAGATGTTTAGGAAAGGCTCGCAGTGCCTGAAGAGTGCTTGGCTGTGCTGCACCCGACATGCTATGCGCATGGCGGTGCCGCTGATGTTGCTGCTGATGTTGATGCTGCTGCACTTGCTGGTGCGTGCCGTGATCAACTGACCCGCCTCGCGAGCGATCGGGTGTTGGAGGCTGCGTAAGGTCCTCCTGTGACAGGTAATGGTTGTCGGGACCAAGGATGAGCGAACTGCTGGAAGGCCGCGGCGGTTCGGATACCATATTAGGTATGTATGGCAGATCCCGACCACGGTCATCTGATCCGAACGAAGGTCGATGCGAACGGCCGTCGTGACTCTGGCTAGACTTGACAGACATCGAGAGGTCCGCAGATCGGTCGTCGCGCTTTGGCTCCTCGGCCGGAGGGGCAGGCGGAATGAAGAAGTCGACTCGGCCGCCACAGGCATTGTACGCCACGACGTCGTTCAGAGAGTAGTACCATCCAGGTGCTACGCGGGCTTCCTCCTCCGCGATACCGCCCGAGGGTCGTGGGCTGAGTGCCCTGTTGTAAGAGGAGCTGAAGCTATTACGGCTGATGTGGCCTGGTCTCGACGGTGACGCCGATGTGCCGACCGATGGCGGTTTCAAGTTTTCTGCTTCCCACTTGGCGCGCGCCTCCTTCTGATCATTGTTCCGCTTCTTCCACCTGAGCACGGCCAGCGGGTTCATCTTTGGCGGGTTGTTGATGCCATCGTAGATGAGACTGTAGTACGCGTCAAGGTGCGTGGAGACCTTCTGGGCACGACGAGATGCGGCGGGATGAGCGTGGATCTGCATCAAGGCCTTGTAGCGGCGCTCTGGGTACCGGTCAGCCTCTGCACATGGATAACAAGTATGGACATACCTTGTGCAAGCTCCTCTTCGCGACGCTGCTGCTCTGCTCGACGCATTTCTTCCTCCGGATCAATTCGACGTTGAACGGCGGCGGCTTCGAATTGCTGTGGAGGATTGCTAGAAGGACCAGGTAACGTTGCAGGCTGTGCTCCTGCAGAAGCGGGCGGCGAGGATGGGACTTTATCCTTCTTGCGCAATCCAAAGAAGCTGCTGATCCGATTGCGTTCCTTGGAGTGCGTCGGCCTGACTGTCCGTGTCGTCTCAGACACGCCTTCTTCGGCACTTGCAGGCATGTGAGCTGCAGTCCTGTCGTGGGTCGGAGGTTGCTGATGATGCGGCGCCTCGTCTGCTTCCGGAACAACATAGACACTGTCATCCTGCTGCTCCTCCTCCTCCCTGCACTCATCGATGTTGTCGTCGCTTTGCAGCTGTGAGCTTGGGGCCTGGGGGAAGCCGTCGCTGTCGACGGAGGTGGACGCGGACACAGTGCGGTGCCTGGGGCCGGCGAAGCGGCCAGGTCCGTGGGTGCCGAAGCTCGACGGGCCCATGAAGCTTGACGCAGTCGAGGGAGCCCTCGGGCGGCCGGGCCATTCTCCATTCGTGAGAGCAGGCGGTGCGGAGACAAGGAAGGGCTTGAGAGGCGAGGTGACAGTTGCGTCTTCAGGTAGTTCGGATTCGGAATCATGTGCCGGCTGCGGGGGCTCGTGCGCGGTAGGAAATACCGCTGGGATGCCTCGAGTAGCCGGTGCAGGAGCCGGAGGCGACATGAGCTGCAAGGCTGAGGCGAGGTCCGCATTACCAAGCAGATCTTGCAGTTGATCCGGGGACAGAATCTGCTGCTGGGGAGACTGACCCAAACCGAGACTTGCGGTGAGGGGATTGCCATGATGAGAGTGCCGCTTGCTGCGCCGCTTCTCGGTGTTACTCGTAGCCGGTGACCGTTCTCGCTCCGGCTCCTCTTGGACAGCGTCTCGGAAACCTCGGAGAGAGCCAGACCTCGTATCTCTCAGCGTAGGGCCGTCGACTCGAGGGGCGAAAGCACCGCCATCCAGTCGAGGGGACGAGCCGGTGCCCGCGCCCCGAGTGGACATCGGAGAACCAAGGCCGACTGATGAGCGCAGACGTGACTGTCGACGAGGAGTAGGCGGTGCCGACTGGTCAGCCAGTGCTGGCGAGATCAAGCTTTGCGCGCGTCGACGACTACTTGAGGATGCGAGTTGTTGATGAGGTAGACTCAACGTTCCACTCACGGTGCGAGAGTTCTGCGGCGGGCTAGGGACGTAGGCCCCATGTCCGTGGGCGGCATGGGCTGAGCTGGCAGTGGAGTTTGATCGTGTCGGCGTAATTGTTAGCCTACGGGTTGGTGACCGTGCGCCGGTGCCTAGAGCTTGGGCTGGATCATCCTCGTCCGTGCTCGACTCGTACCCGCCCGTCACAAGGGTTGGTCGCCTTCCGTACTGCAAGGAAGTGTGACGGCAGGGCTGAATAGGAGCAAGGGTAGAGGGTCGATTCCGGTCAGACGTGGTCGAGCGACGGGCCGGCATCCGGACGTTATCCGAGGGGAAGCCGTCATTTCTCGCCAATGGTGACCCAGACGGGGAACCTCCTAGCTGGGCCACCCGGTCCCGCCGCGATGTGGTGGACGGGGATGACGAGGTCGAGGGCCGTCCACTGGCCGGAGGACTGAATTTGGATTCCAACGGAGAAGACTGAGGTGTTGACTCGCGTGTGGAGGCTTCGTGTTGTTCATCGTACGGTCGGTTCAGGCGAGGAACGAAGATGTTGGGAGGTGCCGCAGTGGCGTACTTCGGTCGAGGCGCTTTAAGCTCTGGGAACTCTGGGCCGCTGACACCTTGACCGCCGCTGTGGGGACTGCCATTAACAGCCCCAGCTTGACCATTCCCGTTGAGCTTTGCAAGGGTGGTGGCGTGCAATGAAGCGGCAGGCTGGGCGGCGGAGCCGTCCTCCGGTGACCGGACAGTGGAAGGCATGTAGTGGGCGCCTGACGCCTGTGCGTCAGGCTTCAGCGCTGATGACTCGCCCAGTGTTGATTATAGCGGCTCTTAGGCCGTCAGTGGATACACTGGCATCAAAGGCCAAAGTAGTAAATCGGCGTCAGGTGAAGAAGGAGTGTTGAGGACGCAACGGGCGGGCTAGTCGTTAAGCCTTGGCGTTCTGAGATGAGTCGACTGTAGGAGATGGCCGACGGATTGAATGGGGTAGTGAGTGTGAGTGTGATGTTGCTTGTGAAAGAAATGAGAGGTCGTGAAGGGTCGTTGGCGATGCGGAGCTGTTGACTGTGGAGACTTGATGAGGGGCGATTGCAATGGATCGATCGGAAGGGGAGGCGGGTCGGAGTTGAAAGAATGGTATGGGTTGTGGAGAGGGTATGAGGTAGCGGTGTGTGTCTGTGAGGACGGCACAGCACGCAGGCGCAAGGTCAGCCCAGGACAGTCCGCGCCAGCCGCTCACTGCGCCCGGGATTACAGGGTAACCGATTGTTATTGAACACCTAATCGAGACTTCGCACCCGGGTTGTGCCGTCATTTGGCCCACTAGATTCCATTAGCCCCAACTGTAATCGCCACCTCCCGGTCCTCTTCGGTCCGCGTTAAGACCAGAGTGCCCCACGTAACGCGCCTGACGGGACTGTCTGGACCAGTCTTCGCAGTCACGCCCCATTCCCACCCACACGCACCCGCGCACACGATCGCCCTCTGTATCCGATCGATTGATCAAGGCGATGCTATGTCTCAATGCCCCATGCATGCTTGGCTAGTACAGATAACAATGAAAACTTGCGTGTCGTGTCCTTGATTACAGTCATGGCTTCTAAACCACCTCACTTCGCCAGCGACTTCTCCGTCTTGTAGAACTCCTGCACAACAGGAATCGCCTCAACCTTCTCCAGAGCCTCCGGGGTACAGTCGAGCAGCGGTCGGCGCACGCGGGCAGAGGGGTAACCGTCGTGCTTCTTGAGCCACGCCTTGGTGCCCGCGATACCAGGCTTGACAAAGGCCGCGTCCGCGCCAGCACACTGGTCCTGGAGGGCGAGGGCTTTGTTGAGGTCAGCCTTGCTGGGCTGCTCGTCCGTAGCAAGCTTGTGGCTGAGACGGAACAGCTCAGAGATGGCAGCCGGGTAAACATTGGAGAGACCCATGATGGCACCGTGGGCACGACCGCCGCCAATGGTAGGCAGGAGGAAGTCGGCGAAGCCGCCAAGGGTGAGGAAATCAGGAGCAACGTCCGGGTGGGCGCGAGGGTACTTGGCGAACGCGTCGGTAGCAGTAGCCGCAGTAATGCGGGTAAGCTTACCAACGGCTCCGCAAGTGAGCTTGACACCGCAGATGTTCGGGTTCTCCTGGGCAATCTCGATAATCGTGTCCGAGTCGAGGTCGATGCCGCCAGTGGCGCCCGGGTAGTTGTAGATCATAACGGGGATAGGGGAACCCTCAGCAACGTCGGCAAAGAACTGCTTCAGGGCCTCCTTGCTCATAGCTCCCGCAAAGTATCCAGGAGGAATGACAATGGCGATATCGGCGCCGGCATCAGCGGCCAGCTTGGAGAGCTCGATCGTCGACCTCGTCGAGTTGCCACCCCTGGGTGTCAGCTAGTGGTCAGAGTGGCACTCACGTTCCGGCAATAACAACAACGTCCTGGAAGCCGGCCTCGTCAAGAGCATTACGTGCCTCACGGACAAGCGTTGTCCTCTCCTCAGCGGTGAGGTGGTGAGCCTCTCCCATGGAGCCATTCACAACCGGCGCAACGCCCTGCTGAGCAAGGTGGACAATGTGCTTGCGGAAGGTCGGGATGTCTGTACGTCAGCCACATGCCCTCTACTGCACATGAAAGCGCCATCCAGCTCTGTTCCATCCTCTGCCGACTGCATTGGAGAACGAAACACTCCTGGCGCTGTGCTGATGGCCGGTCTCGTCGATATGCTGTACCGCATCCGCTTTATCGGCGTGGCGCCAGGTGGGCAATAGCCCGGCTCAACCTGCGCTTCCCATCGAGGCAAGCCCATCATAACCCGAGTGCTACACAAACTGTCATGGTAACACAGAGGGCGAGCCCAGTTCCGCGAGAGTTGGAACTCCAGTATGCCAAGAGAATGAGACAAACGCGTCGAGTGGAACGGAACACCACTACTCACCAAGCTCCTCCTGCTCGTCCATGAAGGCGGGGCTAGGAGCCCAAACGCCGGGCTTGAGAACACGCTTGTGAATACCGTTTGAGACCATATCGAGAGTGTTGACGGGCAAGTATGGTAAGAGTGAGAGTGAGTCGTGGGGACGACGTTATAACTGCGAGGAAATAGGGAGGAAGGTGCCCATCGGCCCGCTCGGCCCGCAAGACCGGCATCTCGGAGGAAGTCAGGACAATCAACTGACCCATTCACCATCAACACGGAGCCAAATCGCCGGTAACTCGGGCCGCGCTCCCGGCTGGCTCGGCGTGCTGGGCAACAACTCTCCATGATAAAGCTCTACAGAATACATCTAAGATTACTATGTACATCAATTACGCGAGTTCGGAGTAGATCTTGATCGTCTTATCCGCACCGCCAGTGATGAGGCGGGTACCCGTCTGGTCGAACGCGGAGCAGAAAACGCCCTACTCTGTTAGCATTCTTCACGGGTCTTGTAGGTATGCTCACAGCTTCAGCATCCAGCGATCCGGGCTGCGGGATGTCCTTGAGGTGCTGGAAGGGCAGTCCAGTGGCGTAGTCCCACATAGTGAGCGTGCCGTCATCAGCTGCCGAGTTAGCAACGTCGCATGTAATATCCCCATCGGAAAACTCACCTCCCGAGAACAAGACGCCTTCCTCGTTGACGGACAACGTGTTGACAATGCTCTCGTGCCCAACGAAGTTGGTGACGAATGTGCCCTCCGGGCACTTCCACTTCTTGATGCTGTTTGTCAGTGACCTGCGCTGGACGATGTACTCACTTGTTCGTGCCAGAGCTCGCCGACGCAAAGCTGTACTCGCTCGGGTGGATAGCCAGAGACCTTACCGCCTTCTTGTGGTGCGTGAGAGTTGTCATACTCTTACCCGCCGCAAGATCCCAAAGCCTGATAGTGCTGTCCATGCTTCCCGAAATGATCTGAGGCTCCGCTGCCTGGCATTTCACAGAGGCAACGGTGCTCGTGTGTCCGGACAGAGTGAAGATGTTGGCGCGCGACCGCATGTCCCAGATCCTCACACTCGCATCACGACCTCCCGTCGCCAGGACATCCAGAGTGGGGTGAACATCCAGCGTATAGACGCCAGAGTGGTGGCCGTGGTATTGCCTGATGACCTTGTTCGTCTCGAGATCCCAACACTTGACCATCTTGTCTTCACCTGCGGAGAATAGATACGGGTGGCGATCCGAGACAGCCAGAGCACGAACGGTGGAGATGTGACCGGTGAGCGAAAGCTTGAGCTCTCCGCTCGCAAGGTCCCAAATTTTGATAACACGGTCGCCAGCACCAGTGGCGAACCACTGGTTTCCGGGATCGACGGCGACAGCGCGCACCCATCCCATATGACCCGAGATGACACGCGAAAGCTTCCCTGCGTTGTTAGTCGAGTGAATGTGGCTGTTATCTTACATTGCGGGTGGTAGACAGGCTTGACCTCGCGAGCCTCCTTCTTCCGCATGAGAGCCTGCGACAGGCGGCTGGAAGCCTGGCCGCCCTCGGCGCCGAACCCCTGCTGATGGCGAAACTTGACGAGAGACTTCGGAGCGACCGGGCCTGCAGAAGGTCCCGCCTCCGTGCCAGCTCCAGCAGCAGCCGATCCACCGGTAATCAGCTTTGGTCCAGCAGATGGCCCAACGGGGCCGGCAGCTGGTCCAGCCGCCTCCGGTCGCTTCGGTCCGGCAGGGGCCTGGGTCTGGAGAATCGGCGGGAGCACTTGGACGTCCTTGTATTCACCGGCAAGGCGAGTCGCGAGCTTGATCTTGTTGCTGATCAGTCAGCCTTGAGGTACCTTGCTGATGTACATCGGGGCCCAAAGCATGCGGCTGGGGCCACGATGATGTCTTGATGAACTCACGCTCGGTCGAGGCCGTCTTCAGGTGTTACCAAGTCATTGTTGTAAACTGCCCGGGTTCGCTTGGTACTTCTTCGGACAAGCTCGGAAAGAGGAGGAAGATTTTTCTCCTCCGATGGCGTTCCGGAAGCGACCTCAGCAGACATGACTGGCGAGGGATGGATCAGTAGTAAGGTCGACGTCGAACCAAAGTTGTGTGGAGGTGTTCTGACTTCATCGATGTTGAAATCGCGACGCGCAGCGGAACCTGATTTTGAAGTGAGCAATTAGCGGAATCAATTATTGACCATCCCTAATACCGAACACTAATGTTCTCTGTGTCCCTTCATCGCTGCCTCAATGCGCGCCTGACGCGGATCGCTGGAACGGCTATGAGTTATCAGATACGAACACAAGCTCTGCCGAGGAACTAAATGAGGAATCGCTGCCCGTGGCCAGACCGTACAGAAGCACAATCTATTCATCGTAGGACTACAAAACATACACTAACTAAGCTTAGACCAGAGGATAAGAATGATGAGAAGCACGAGAATGCCGATGATTGCTCCAGTAACGATCTTCTGCTGGTACATCCTGGGCATGTCAGTGCCCTGTCGACAGTGGAGATCGACTCACTTGCGAATCATCTTCTTCAGAGTACCTGAAGCTCGGTCGATGGAGCTGTCCGCCTGCAGGAGGTGATTGCGGGAGTTCTCGAGCTGTTCCCGCTGGCCGCGCAGCGTGTGGAGGATTCCGGTGCCCACATCCTCCGTTTCAAGAGCAACGCGCTGCGCATTCTCCAGACGCCTCGATGAGTCCGTGAGCGACTCGGTTCCAGCAAGCAAGCGGGTACGCGTCGAGAAGGCCGTATCGTCATCTTGATATGGGTCATCGCCGCGGTATCCACTACCAGACAAGAGCTCCGCTCGGTTCGACTCCGCACGGGCATCACGCTGTCTGTCAGCCCGCGTTTTCTCACATGTAAAGCCACTCACGACACTCTTCTTGACCTTCTCAACCTCAGACTTGCTTTGAGCCAGACGAGTTTGGAAAGTCGAACGAATGGAGACTGGCATGGACGGGATCTCGACCTCCATCTGAGCAATCTGCAATGGTGAGTATGCGGGCAACCCTGCACTATAACTAACAATCTCCTCAGACTCGTCCAGATCATCGGTGACACTTTTGAGAGACGCCTTGCGAGGCTCTGGGAAATCAGCATCCGGCATTCATTTCAATCGCAGACGCATCGCATGTGAGCGACAAAGATACGAACCACCTTGGAGCCCCTTGATCTCGTCCAACTTGGACCTGAGGCTGCTAAGCAGCTGCTTCAGATCCTCGTCGTAGTTCTCGAACAGAGCGCTGTGGGTTAGATTAACATAGAGCTCTCGTGCTTACGTCGGCGAGTTGTCCATGTCGAGCAGCTGTTGACAACGCTGATGGTATGCAAACGCAACTGAGGATGACGCCAGTGGCCATCGGTTGGCGATGGTTAGATTGGTGGGTGGCGGGATTGTGGGAGTAAAGTGGGGGGAAAAGGTAAAGGCGTCGATCAGTTGGTGGGCCCTGGAGAGCTGACGTTTCAAGAGCAACAACAATGTTATTGCCATTGCGTCGCACTAGATATCCAGCATCAACAGCCCCAACGAGCGTTCTCAACGGTCCGGCCCAGTTTCTTGCATTGTCTCAAGCTATTGGCATCATCAGGTCTTGACGTCCACTTCGATACTTCCGCACTTCTGGCTGCCCCTCTCCTGCGCTGTACGAATAAACATCACCGACAGAAACACTCTCGTGTTGTGGTTCCTTCAGACTTGGCTACGCCATGAACTTCTTCAACCGAAACCGCCAACGCTCTCCAGTAGACTCAGTTAGAGTCCTGAAAGACTATATCCAACGGTTAGATGCGGGATCTGTTGATCAACGCAAGAAGGTCAGTCTCGATGTTCCAGCTCGCGCTGCCACTGTTGAGCACTCTTGGAATGTAGCTCCCTATGGAAGCCCATTTCACACGGCGCAACTCTTGCTGACTGTCCGCAGACAACGGAAGAGTGCTCTCGCTTAATAGGCACTATCAAGGCGTGCCTCTGTGGAGAAGGCGATGGCGACCACTCGCCAGAGACTGTTACACTGGTTGCGAACGAGATCTACAACCAGGACTTGCTGTCTCTGTTTGTCGCCCGTCTGCCAAAGCTGGAGTTTGAGGTGAGTTGGTTGCTTCTGGTCGTTAAGGAGACGGTGCACTGGCCGTGATCGACAGATCAGCGTCGGTAGCTTCCAGTGCAGCATTCACCTCGACATCGCTTCCGCCGAGATGCACGGAACTATCAGAGAGACGGCCGCTAACTCTTATCAGGCGCGCAAGGATGTCGGCCACATCTACAACACGCTCCTCCGTCGATCTATCGGTTCACGCTTGCCAACGGTAGAGTTGATCGTGAACAAGCCGGAGATCATCTTCGCAACGCTTCGAGGGTATGCCGACGCCGAGGTCGCCCTCAACACGGGAATGATTCTGAAGGAGATGCTCCGTTATGAGCCGCTGGCCAAGATCCTGCTCTACTCGGACCAGTATGTCGGCTGGGGAGGTTTACATTGACGTCCTAGGTTCTACACGTTCCCGAAGTACATCGAGGACACAACATTTGGCATCTCGTGTGATGCGTTTGCGAACATGAAGGTACATATTTCAGGATGGCTGTTGCAGCTGACACGCGCAGGAGACACTCACGAGACACAAGCCCATGGTCGCGGCGTACCTTGACCACAACTACGACCGAGTGCGTTAGCAAAGTCTCCGTGACGAGCCAGGCGGGCAGCTCATCTCACATGCTAACCCACGCAGTTCTTCAACATGTACAACACGCTCATCGTGTCAAACAACTACGTGACGAAACGTCAATCGCTGAAGCTCCTGGGCGAGATTCTCCTGGACCGCGCAAACTACACGATAATGACGCGGTACATTGCGTCGGAGGCTAATCTGAAGTTGATGATGAACTTCTTGCGCGATCGCAGTCGGAACATTCAGTTCGAGGCGTTCCACGTTTTCAAGGTGAGTGAACCAACAGGAAGAGGCAACGGCCAGCTCCATCGCTGCGTTAGCTGGGAGATGCTGTCGATTGAAAGGCCGGCGTCGCTCTACCTTCAAAGGCCCGGAATTCGTTTGCCTCATCGGAGAGGTAACAGACAATGCTGACGCTGCTCAGGTCTTCGTGGCGAACCCTAACAAGCCACCTGAAATCGCGAGGATCCTGCGCCGCAACAAGGACCGACTCCTTGTGTTCTTGAAGGACTTCCACAATGACAAGGACGGTAGGTTTTCTCCGCTGGGAGGAGGATGCAGTTCGCTGACCAAAAGATGACCAGTTCAACGACGAGAAGCAGTTCTTGATCGCGCAGAGTGAGTACACGAGAAGAGATCGCCAATGCCGCAAACCCTGAGCTAACGTACAGTCGAACGTCTTTAAAACGGTCACGTTTCGATCTATACCGCCGCGGTACTGGACGCCATACCTCGGCCCCTCGGCGCCGTGGTGCGCGGAGATCCACGCGGAGATCAGCGGAAGCGACGTCAACGCACCTCCGCCCCCACTCACACTCACGTCCCTCAATTTAACGAAGCATCATCCTTGGCCCTACCTGCAGCCAGGGCCAGCCCAACCATCACACTGGCGCCAGCGGCAGCGCCACTTTGCACGCCGTGTCCCCTTGACATTCCCTGTCCTCCATTTCGCCAGTTTCAATCCCCGCAGTGCATTCCCCAGAGAGAACACAGAACAAAGCAGTAGACGCGTAGAAGCCGAGAAGAGGATCAGAAAGACATGATAATGAATCTGTACAAACATCCCTGCCATGGCGTTCAGGTTAGCGCTCGGGCCGGAGCCATGTCGGCGGGCTGTCGGAGGCCGATGGCCGAGCGTGCGAGCGTAGCGAGCAACCGCAACAGGCATGCGGGGTCGACCAGTCACACCACAGTCCCCCGCAATGAGGTGCTTCAGAAAGATCTCGATGAACATGAAGATTTGGTACGGCGAAAACAAACCAGTCACAGAGTCAGAACCCGCCTTGGCACATGCGACGTCGAGATCTGACGGCCTTGGTGCAAGGCGCCAAGATGCCGGCGGGCCTGCCGACAGGCCCGGGGGGTTGCCGGACCGGGCCGGTCTGAAATCTTGACCATAGCCAGATTCCTAGATTCGATGCACTGGCCGCTGGCTGGTTCTTGGCCTCTTGGGACGGATGTGCAGGAACGATCTGGTGGATCTGGGCGTGTCGTGAGGGTACAGCACGATGCCCCAGCGGCCCAGGTGGACACAGCATGTGTGCGGCGTGGGCGGCGTGGACTGCTCGAGCCACCCCAGACGGTCCCCAGCGTGTCCCAGATGGGCCCAGGTGGGGGCGCACGTTGCAGCGTGAGCGACGTGAGTGTCGTGAGAAACAGTCCCAGATGCCCAAACACCAGGAGTGCTGGTCGCGCCAACGAGGCACAGAAGCCAAGCGAAGGTACCAGCGTGCCAGCATGTCATTGTGTCTGTCGCGCGGTCGCGTCTCTGCTACAAGGCTTTGAGCTCGGCGGCGCAAAGGCAGCGCGTAACCTTGAGCTTCGGTCAGTGAAGGCGGCGGAAAGCGCCCGATCACTCTGAGAGCTCTGCTCGCAAGTCCGACGAGTCCGATTCCTATGAACGAGCGATGGCATCATGCGACCGTGTGAGTGTGGGTCACCACTGCTGCGTATTGCGGGGCAAATGTTGCTGCATCGGAGCACAATCGGAGCAAGGGTGCTCGGGTGTTGCGCGCAGTGCGGGGTCGCCTCGTCAAAAACTTAAGCGGTTCCTGCCACCAACGAGCGTGTCACTGGTCACTGACCAGCGTGCTCTGTGTCCCCTTCGGTCAACACCGACACGTACGCACCTCTTACAATTCCTTCCGTAGTCCGCTACAGTGCCATAGTGCTCGCCCTCAAAACTCTGATGCATGCGCGTGAATTGTAACACGCTCGAGCTTCGCGCCGCAAGCTTGCAAGCTTGATCGATCGCACCATGCGCCCATCTGTGCGGATGGGTGCAAGCGTTCTAATCATAGCCTCTCAAGGCAGCCTCAGCACCGAGCGCGGACGCGGACTCGTCGACCAACCTTCCAACTCGTGCGAGACCGTGCGAGGCGGTAGGCGATGTGCGATGCCGTCGCGTTCGCTGACAGAGTCGCAGTGACGTACAGACCGTACTGACGAGTACCACTGTCGAGCGGGCCGGTAATTTTTCTGAAAACCCTGGGCGCTCGGCGTCCGGCGTCGTCCAGCGGCACGCGGCGTCAGCCTCTTGGACAGCTTTCCTGGCTCTCCTGGCATCCTGGGCGAGCGCGATCGCCAGTTCCGACCCGGATCTGGAAATGTAATTTCCGGTTCGAGCAGGTTTCACCTCATTAGCAGTTCATAAGCAGCAGGTTGTCCCTTTCAACTCCCAGGCTCACTCACGCATTAGGAATTCACTCGTCCGCGGCTTAACGAGCAATTACAATAGCGCATGATTACTAAGTTGCGCTCGCGTTGGTAAGGAATTAAGGGACCACTAACAAAGTTCCTGGCCAGCCAGCCAATCGTTGGGTGGCGAAAGAGCGATTTCGAATACCGCAGCCCTTTACCGCCGGACCAGTCGTATACTGGCGCACAAGCTGCCGCTGCGACTTGCCGAGAGATGCCGCGCCCTTTCTCTTGCCCCCCTGTTGCGCTGGCAATTTCGAATTCGCGCAGATGCCACAAACATTCGATGCATAAGCATACCAGATATGCAGCGCACTTGTCGCACTGGTCAGATCTGCGCGCACCGACCACACGATCAGCAGGAGGCTGTACGCACAGCCAGGCGTGCCCACCTGTTCAAGCTGGGAAACGATGGAATGAATTGCGCTGCAGTCGTCGGAATCTGCCTCGGGACGACACTGCACTCAACAACTAGACTACGGCGCTCCAAGGCTGTCTACGGCTCAAGGGTCGGCCCCGCAGTGGTGAATGGGCGATTACCCCAAGGCCCGCGGTACCCCGGAAGCATTATGACGGGGGTGTTTGTTGGGGCACAGGCTGGGCCCTGAGCTCTGCGGCTCGGCTCCCTGGACCAAGGTGGGGGAGGTAGGGCGGAGAAAAGCAAGGCACAGCGAATCGCCAGCGACTGGGAGGACGATCATTGGCCTCCATTGGCCGGCTGGCGATTGCCGGCTGGGACAGAGGCGCATCGAGGCGCCGTAAGTGGGGTCGCGAAAAAATAATGCTCGCTTTCGTCGGCAGGCGACGGCAGAGGCGACTGCTCGACTGTTCGTCACTTCGGCCCTGACCCCAGGGTCGTTAGGGGGGGCACGAGGGCAGGAGGTCACGGCGGACGAGAGGAGAGCATGACGCGGGCGCGGGCGCATGGGGGCGGCACGCAGGCGGCAGGCGGCGGCGTGGTGCTCGCACAGACAGGCAACACATCCAGGGATTCCGTGGTCCCCAACCCCGTTCCTTCGTCACCGCCCTGGCTGCCCCGCCGTGCCTCCCCTCGGCTGTACCACCCACCTCACAGCACACACTGCCCATCGGCCAGCATCGATGGCAAAGGGAGAGCCTGCGATTTTTGTTGCTTTGGTGAGCATGCTCTGCTAACGACCACTCCTCTGCACCTACGACACCCACCCAAACGGCACACGCCAGTTCACCGATCTCCTCCAGACCACATCATCATCCCACCCGCTTCGCCCTTCCCTCATATCTCCCTCCTGACATATCTCAGTTCCCAACTTTCCTCATCTCACATATCTCAACTCGTGTTTTGGCTCTGCCTGGATCTTTGACTGTTCCCACCTCGATCTATTCACTACTACCTCGACTGCCCCTCTCCACTTACACCCACTACCGTCGACCACAGCTACTAAGCGCCTTCGCTTCATCGCTGCAGTCTCGACCACACCCCCCACCAGCACCACCACCATGGCCGCTGCCGTCCAGCCCCACTCCATCCTTCTCCCTTCCTCCTCGCCCCTCGGCGCGGGCAACAACCCGGTCGCTGTTCCCAACAAGGCTGGCGTCCAGGTTCAGGCTCCCGCCGCTAATGGTGTCCACCAGCAGAACGGCGTCGCTCCGCCGGCGGCGGCGCAGCAACCCCAGCAGCTGAACAAGATGCCTGGCACCACTGCCCACGCCGTCCCGGTTCACCAGTCCGCCGGCTCTAGCCAGGAGTCTCTCGCGTCCAACGCTGTTCCTCCCCTGTCGCCCGGCGGCAGCCAGTCGTCGACTCTCGCCGACTCGGTCAAGACTGACCACACTTGGGACGATGCCGAGACCCAGACGAACACCTCGTCTACGGCCGGCGAGCTGACCCCGCGCTCGTCCATGATGGGCTCGCCCACGCCCAAGATTAGGTTTGGCAACTGTCCCGAGCGCCCTCCTGAGCTTCGCCGCCGCAACTCGATTACCCTCGGTGTCCTTGCCCGCAAGAGCATGCTTCATGCGCAGGGCACTCTGCCCGGTGGCACCCGCGTCGTCAACATGACCGACGAGGAGTGGGAGGCCTACCAGAACAAGTTCCAGAAGAGCACGTGAGTATTCTTTGCTTGGTCGCCGTTGAGACCGTTGGCGAGAGCGGGTTCGCCGAGCAGAGTGCGTGGATATACCGCATATAGAGTGTGGGTTGCCGTCGGCAAACCCCAGAAACTCACTGGGGCCGTCAGCCAATCACCCGAGCGGGGGTACAAACCGCAACTCCCCTGGACGGACATGTGCCTGTTTGTTTTTTCAGTGCGCAGCGACTCCCGGCGGGCACGCTCCCAACTGCCAAAGGGTCGTGCATAGGGGTTGTGCGGCGTCGATCGGTCCCAACAGTCCGCTTTTCTTGGCGATCATGCGAAAATCTGTGTAACAGCGCGCTGACCTTTGCAGCCAGGCTCCCGTCGATCTCGGAAACGTCGTGTCGTCTGGAGCGAAGAAGCTCTGGGGCAAGATGCGCCGCGGCTCCAACGCCTCTGTCGGCGCCGCTGGTCGCGGCCGCTCCGACTCGGCATCCTCCATGCCGGGCATGCCCATCAGCCCGCGCGTATGCGCACTCCCCCGCCAGGGGAGGAGACGCCTCGCGTCGGCCGCTCGCCCTCGCCGCCACCGCACCCCACGTTCGACGACGAGGACGAGGACGAGGAGGAAGACGACTCGTCGTCCGACGGCGGCGACCACCGCGAGGCCGACGACGGCCACGGTCTGGACGACGCCGACCACGTCCACCGCTCGCGTCATTCGAACTCGGTCGCTGCCCTCGGATTCGAGATCGGAGACTACAAGCGCCGCCACCCCGCCTTTGCCTCGCGCGGATCTAGGACCTCGCTCCGCTCTCTCCTCCAGGAGCAGGACGAGGACGAGAACGACCCGGCCCAGAGCGCCCACCCGGTGCACCCCTCGCAGGCCACCGCTCCGATCATGCAGCACCCCCAGGTCCAGCCGCACCTCCAGCAGCCTGCCCCGGTCATGCAGCAGCCGCAGCAGCCGATCATGCAGCACCCGCAGCAAGTCCAGCAGACGCACGCTCTCTAAAACACGACCTTCGACGCTCCTACACGGAGCCCCCTTTCATTTAATACCGACGACACCACCTAACCCTTGCATTTCCTTATTCTAGACTATTTGTAGGCATCTATGAGCTACCTGTATAACGTATGACTTCGTATGAATCGGCATGACTTGTCGCAACTTGGTGCAGCGCAGCAGCATCATGGCAAACTGCGTCCGGAGTGAGGTCGCAGCACTCATCCCCACCAGCTTCCGTCTGCAGCCTTCGGCGTCTCCCCCTCCCTCGTCTCCCCCTCCCTGTATCGCAGCGCCCAGCGCCCACATACCCCGCCACAGCCCGCGGCGCATTCCAGGCGTCTTGGAGAGAACGGCTTCGGGCATCGGGCGTGCATAGCATTGGCAGGAAAAGCGTGGGGCAAAACATGGTGCAGAACAGCCTAAAAATAGAAGACTCCGAGGGACCCAGGGTGAAGTCCGAGGGTTGTGGCCGCATGCGGCGCCGAATTCGATCGTCCTGCGCCCTTCGGCGCCCGCACACTTTCGCATTGGTTTTCGGAGCGGAGAGTGAAGTGCGGAGTGGGATTGAGACTTTCGGAGGATCTCCAATCAGGCGAGGTCAACAAGCGAACGGAGGGCGTGACGGAGCACGTGGAATCGGAGAGGAACACGGCGTGGGTTTGGCATTGATTGTGCGCAAAAACGTGATGCATTCTCCAGATGGAGTGTAAGTGTAAGCGAGGCTCCTGCTCTGTGCATTGAGACGCATTCATGGACGTTTGAAGGAGACATTGAGGCCCAACCTTGCGTCCACGCATACTAACGCGGAGACGCATCCGCACACGTCTCACCGATGGAAGGGCTGGACACCGAGCGAACGTTCAGGTGCGAACGTTGGCGACAGCCTGCCCCGGGCCCACGTTGTTCGCGCCGTTACGAACGTCCCAGACCTCCCGGACGGCCCGGACATCTGGACGATGCTCACGTCGTCGTTGTTCTTGTCGCTCTCAGCAGCCCACAGAGCCACTAACCTCGCCCCAAACTTGAGGGTTGATCGCCACGGTTGGCTGGATGGGCAGAGGTGATGACGAGGTGGCGCGACTGACTTGCCTTGACTTTGCCACTGGCCAAGTGACTGGCCCCCTACCTGGCTGAGCTCCACCGTAGTTCCACTTCTCCCCTTGAGCTCCACTGCAGACTCTATGATCCACCGATTAAGCAGCTGGGGGCCTGACCCCCTCCGCTATCGCCACTTGTCAGCTGCCCCTTCAGTATGAACGGCGCCCGGAGCGGCGAGAGGCGGCTTTCGGCGATCTCCTACGGTGGAGCCAGGTCCGGCCCACCCCTTCCAGACCGTCAGTCACCGGCTCCACCAGGCTTTCAGGCTTTCTCCGAGTTGCTTGACCCACGCAGCGTCTGAGAGTGCATTGGACCTGGACCGGCATGTCCGGGGCCGTCATTTCTTTTCATTTGCATCACTGCTTTGTTCTACCGTATCGCCTCTATTTGCCATTTCAGCCGCTCCTACGACCCATATACACCTTTCTGCTAATTTCCAGTTCTCGGCTGTCGTCATCATCTGTCAGCACCGCTTTCTGCCGCTCAGCTCTAGACTTTTGAGACCTTTGGGCAGCTTTGTCGTCATTTCAGTCCACATTCCGCCGCATTCCGCTGCGTGCCTCGTGCTGTTCCGGGCCGTAGCGTTTCCGCTGCAGCCTGCACTGATCGGTAGATGCGCTTCCGCCGGAGGCTAGCTCCACTGCGGGCACCGTTCCGGATCGTCGCGGGGACGCACACGACACAGTGCTCACGCGACCTTCGCCACGCCGACACTGGGTCTGCGAGCGCGGTACGCGTCTGACTTAGGCGCGGCAAAGACGTACCCGCCCGCCCAGCCTTCGTACTTGCGAGGGTCGCCTGCTGCGTCGTACCCGGCGCCCGAGACGGCGAGGCACACGGGCGTGCTGAAGGATTCTGCTGTCAGCATTCATCCACCTCGATCTTTACGACACGGAAACCGCTTCCTAGAGTGATAGAGACGGAAAAGAAGGCAGAAGGATGCAAGAAAGACGCAAGGGAGGCAAAAAGATGTTCGGATGGACGACTTAGGAATCGAACCAAAGACCTCGTCAATGCTAGCGACATGCTAATGACGCGCTCTACCAACTGAGCTAGACGCCCCGACTTGATGACAGACAATCCCCGGACTGCTGATACCTGGTTTCCAGTCGCTGCGAATTCGATTAAGTGGCTGTGACTACTCCGCACCTCCGAACGAGCCCGCGTCGCTAGACAGTGACGCTCACGGGCAGGCTGCTCAATAGCGGATGTGAATGAAGAGGCCGAACATGATACTCACTGGGGATCCACTCGACTTTGTGCCCACGTTTCTCAAGGGCCATCGCGTCCTCCTTCTTCCAGCCCTGGACGGGTGCACCACGGTCTGTGTCCTGTTCAAACGTAGTGAGGTTGGGGAGCAGCTGATTGTGCAGGCGGCGGAAGGACAGTGCCTCGCCTGGCGGCATGCCGTAGTCGACCATGTTCCTGATGACCTGCACGTTGCAGCTGATGATCGTCGAGCCGCCCGCCGCGCCGCCGGCCATGAGATCAGGTCCCGCAGGTACCTCGGGGGACAGCGAGTCTGGGGAAGCACGCTCCAGAATGTAAGGGCAGGACGAGGACTGAGGGCGTTTTCCCGCCTGGACATAGTTCGCAGGCGACGGAGCGTACCCGAAGCCGTTCGGACGACCAGGGATGCTGAAGTCGTCGAGGGAATCGTTCAGCACGATGTTGTAGCCTGGCACAATGATGCGGCTAGCCCAAATTTGCCCGATCGTCGTCGTCAGCGTCACTGTCAGGCCAGTCTCGTCCGTGACTGTGATGTTCGACGTGCCGTGGTCGACCGGTTGCGCATTTCTGCTGTTAGCCACATGCCCCTCTCCTAGTGCGATTCCAGTGTTGAGGATCATCAGAGCACAGCCACCATTGCCACAAGAAAGACGCAAGCATAGTTTAGATTGCAGCCACCACGACAAGAACATGACAGTAGCCAACATCCCGCAGTGGGTTCACAATTACTTTGCCACTCAATCTTGCCGTCATCACCGTAGTAGCCGGTGATCGAAAGGACCCTCCCGCGTGTCGGAGAGGAGCCATTGGCCGACGCTCACATCCGGGACTGTGGGCATGCCGGCAACGCCGCCAACATCGGACATCGATCTTATGCCAGCAGTGGACACGCGGTGACCGGCACAGTGCACTACAGGCCTAAAGCTACACCTTCGATGTCACAGCTGCGCCTGGCAGCCCAATGGCTGCCGGCGTGAACGAGTACGACCACGAACAACTTCGAGGAGCGAGGACATGAGTCGCCAACAGGAGTTGAATCAAGCCAAGCTTGTTTCTCTGGCTCAGAAGCCACCAGATCAATGGTTTGCCGTCTCCGGAGAACCTTCCGACTGTCTTAGATCTTGTCTGCACACCAACTCAGGTGCCACCCGCGCAAAGAGACGTAGCGCCGTCGACTAGCTGGCGGCTAACCTAGCCTTACGTTGGCGGCAGCGCTTCTGACGGCTTTGGGCGGCTGGCAAAACAGGTCACGCTGGTCGGCGCAGACCGCTGCCACAGTAGCCGCCGACACTCCTGACTCGCTGCAAGTGGTATCATGTGGCTGATAGCTGGTTGCCACATGGGCACTCACTTAGTGTACGCCTCCGGCTCCTGCGTCTCGTCTTTGATGAACTGAGCCTTGGCCTTGGGATCCGCGAGCATTCTCTTCTCCGTCTCCTTGGTGTCCTTTACGAAAGCTGGGTCGCCAAGCGCCGTGCGCTCGCCATAGGCGAGCCTCAGGGCCTCGATCGTGATGTGGTTGTCGCGCTCCGAGCCGGGATCCTTCAGCGGGAACTCGTTCATCGTCCCCAGCGCCGAGAGCAGCACGGCGCCCGACGCTGGCGCCGACACCGAGGTTACCTTGTAGCCCCTGTATGTTGAGGAGATGGGATCGCGCCATACAGGCTGATAGTCTGTTGTAAGCTAAAGCGAGACGACTACATGGCTTTGAGATCATTTTTAACATTCTTGAAAGTCAGTCACGGGCCGCGATGGCCCCGGCGCAACGCCAAGGCCGTTCGGACCCCTACGTCCTTTGGACACCGAGCCTCGTGACTACACCGACACCGAGCATCAGAATGGGCGACATCGGATGTAAGGCCTATGTCTGCCGGCATCGGCACATATCCACGTCTCCCTCATCGGCAACCTCGATCCGAAGAGCCCGTTCTCAGCAGACATTCCGCTGGTAGTGTTGTGCATCGTGAACGCGGCGTCCTCCTTGGTCGTCCTTGGTCCTCCTTGGTCCTCCTTGCTCGGTCACACCCGGCCAAGCTCGGTCGAACTCCTCCTCATCCCACAAAACATGGCCCACTCACCAATAAGGTCCTGTTTCGTCATGAGCCCTCCCTTGTCTTGGATCGCTTTGACAATAGCGTCGCCCATCTCACCCTCATAGAGCGTCATCGGATCCTCGCCGATGATCTCCAGAGTCCGGGCATACTCAAGCCGTTGGTAGTTCTCGCCTTCAGGAATGATGTGTCCGTTTCGGGTCCAGGTCTTGAGGAACTCGGAATCGTCGGCCATCCACGATCCTTGCGGACAGTCGCGCGCAATGAACTGCCATGAGTATCAGAGGAGCCAAGAGGGCTAGGAGACAGGGAGAAGAAAAAGAAGGCATGGAAATTTGAGGAAGACACAGAAACAAACGAAGGAGGAAGACAAGTGCAGACCTGTCCATCACCGGCGCTTGGCACGCACATTCGCATGAGAATGCCAATGACCTCACCCGCCACTAAACTCAAACACTAGCGGTGCTAGTAGGGTGGTTCTGAGCATATTGAGTAGGGTCAGGGCGCGACTGCTTGGTCGCGACAGCAGGGGCTCTTGCAGCAACCATCTTCCGTGACCATAGGTCCGCTAAGGCATTCTCGTCATGCCTTGCGTAACGAGTGATCAGCCTTGACCCCTTCGAGTGACCTCGAAATTACGGACACGTTTACGACGACAAACGCGCTTGGTACAGGACCGCCTTGCAGGGAAGACATCAGAGCGCAAGGGGCACGAGGGGCTCGTGTGCCGGTGTTGTCATGTTTGCGGATATGCGGATCTGTCCCTGCGCAGCTGGCCGCCTGAGACCAGTGTTCTCTACGCACTCGTCGCTGTCCGTCTCCTTGACGAGAATAAGGATGGTTGTCTTCCAAATCGACCCAAGATCCGAGCATGATAGGAGTACTCACGTCATACAAGTCCTTGCCCATTGGGATACCTTCCCTAGCCAGCCGCACGACAGGCGCAATGCACTCCTTCCAAGCAAGTTTCCCGAAGCGCTCGTGGAGAGCCTTGAGGCCCTTGATCTCGCCGGGCACAATGACGCTGTTGCCGCCCACCATCGTGTCCTTGTCCTGGATGTACTCTTGCGTGATTGCCTTCGGTGCTGTGCCGCGGAAGTCGACGTAGCTGTACTCCGAGCCGCTCGAGGAAGGCTGACGCACGAGCGCAAAGCCGCTCCCGCCGACGCAACTGTGGTAAGGACAGAAGAGGTGCACTGCCAGTGTTGTGGTGATTGCACAGTCGACCGCATTGCCGCCCCGCGCCATCGTTGCAGCGCCAAGGTGAGCGGCCGAGCCGTGCTCACTCGCTATAGCGCCGGGAATGGGGTCGGGCATATTGGGTGTCGATGTCGATATAGGAAGTGAATGTGACTGATGCTACTCAGCCCCAACAGTGAGTGTGCTGAAGGTGAGTGTGTGGGCGGTGCCGAGGGCAGCCGGGAACAACATCACACCGCATACACCGGACCGTTGTGTGCCGTGGCGCGGTGGGCTCGGCGTAAGCCGACGCCGTACACCGTCTGATCTCGGCAATGCTATCTGAGTCACCGACGCGGGATCTATTTCGTCTCGATAAGGTGTGCCTTCCTCCCGTCCTTGCAGCAACCTCGCCGATTATCTATCTAGATACCTGATTATGTTTCTGCATAGTGTTACTGCTTACTCCGCCCCCGAGCACCTCGCCTCGACCCAAGTGCGGTCCCTACCGACGGTGGTGAGGTTCTCACACTTCTGTCCGTCGCGAACGACAACAACGTCCTCGATGCGCACACCGCCCACGGGGAGGTACTTCTTCAGAACCTCGTGGTCGATGTACTGGTTGTCCCAGACACCGTGCTCGTCGAGCATCTGCGGCGCAAAGTAGCATCCAGGCTCGACGGTAAGCACCATCTTGTCCTGCAGCTTCTGCCTGAGGCGGAGGTAGGTGTAAAGCTTGGCGGGCGTCTGCTTCGTGCGCTCCGGCAGGTCCAGGTGAACGGTGCGGAGGTACTGCAGAGAGTCGTGGACGTCGAGACCGAGCGAGTGTCCGAGACCGTGCGGCATGAACGCAGCCGAAACACCGGTCTGCAGGATCGTCTCAGCGTCGCCCTTCATGATGCCGAGCTTCAGGAAGCCGTCGATCAGAATCTCGTGAGCACGAAGGTGAAGCGTGTCCCAGTGCGCGCCAACACGAACCATGTCCTCCGTCTCCTTCTGCATGCGCAGAACGAGTTCGTAGATCTCGCCAGCGCGGTCGGTGTACTTGCCGCCGTTACCGACCGGGATCGTGCGAGTAACGTCCGAAGCGTAACCCTGCCAGTCGGCACCTGCATCGATCAGGAGAATCTGTGGCTCGAAGGCGCCGGCGTGCAGAGCGCTCGTCGAGGAAGCGTGGTCGTGGTCGGGAATGTCGCCGCAGCAGCCGCGCGCCATGCGGCGCGGAGTGAACGACGTGTCACCTGGGACACGGGGGGTAGCAGTGGAAGGGAAAAGCCTGTCGTTGCACCTGAATCGGTCAGATTTTCTGCGGTCGTCGAACGCCTCTGACTCACACATAGTGCAGGGTGCTGGCATGGTGGCCGGAGGCACAGATGGGGAGGTAGGCTTGCTCGGCGCCCATGCGACGGCAAGTGGCAACGAAGAGAGCCTCGGCGTCCTGCTCGCTCTCCACCTCCCACTCCGTCAGCGCCTCGTGACCGGTACGCTCCTTCGAGGAAGGTGCGCCCTTAGCTCGGCGGGCAGCGAAGCGTCCAAGCTCACGCATCAACACCTCGTGAGCTCCAGAGGTGATGGCGTTGGCCTTGCGGATGAGGTCGATCTCCTCCTCGGTCTTCGTCAGACGGGCAATGTGGAGAGCAGTGCGGAGGTGCTCAGAGGAGTGCTTCGCCTTCTGGAGCACCTCGTTGACGGCGGAGGGAAGAGGAGGGAACTCGTGGGTGACGGGGAGTGTGTGGATCGTCACGTCGCTTGGGAGCTGAGAAAGGGCGCTCGCGATGTCGGTCGTCGCCTTGTACTCTCCGGCGTCGAAGCGGTTCCTAGCATCGTCGAGAGTGGGAGGAGCCACGCTCCACATCGTCTCGAGCGGGTCAGCGGGAGGAATGAACAGCGTGTGCTGGACATTGTTGGCGCCAGGGGTGAAGGTGATGAGGACGCTGGCGTCGTGCACGTCGTGCGCACCAGTCAGGTAGTTAAAGTTGGCTTCCTGGTCTACAGGTTAGCTCAATGGTTAGAGATGAAGAACTCACGGAAAGGCTGCTCGCGGTCAGTGTCATCGCGACAAGTCACCGGGTGACCTTGGAGGAAGATCGCATGAGTCTGCGGTTAGCTCGCCGACGGCGCGGTAAATGCTTACGCCCTGTCGCTCAGCCTCGGGGAGCTGCTTGGTGAGCTCGCCTGCAAGCTTAATGGCGTGCGTGCGAGCTGGCAGCTTGGCAACGGGGGTGACGGTCATGGCGACGGCGTGTAGTGAGGTGGCAAGAAGATGGACTGTTGAAAACACGGCTATCACCGATGAGTGGAAATATGTCACCGCTCGGTCGGAACAAGGGCCACGCGCCGCCTCCCGCGCTTACTTCAAGTGGAGGCAGCGACTTCGACACCATGGCGCTCGAGTTTCTGAGACAATGCACGTCGACCACTTGCTGCGCAACCAGTATTCTGAAGTGGGCAAACAGCATGTGCACCAGCAGGGCTGAAGGCAGTTCAACTGCATACTCTGATTTGTGATTTGTGGCGTTCGGACGGTTGAACTGGAGGGCGGCTACTGCCCAGCGAGTGTCTTACTTACTCGTGACGAGGGATGGCAGCGTTAAGAAAGCTCATGCATGTTTACTACTATGACAACAGTTGTTCGTCCCTATGTCTCTATGTGGTCGTTAGTCCGTCTCAGATGCGGTCGACGTAAATCTCCGGCTCGGACTTGCGCCGCTCCCGCCGCTCGCGCTCCTTCCTCTCCTTTCGCTCAGCTGGATATGCCGAGGAGAGAAGCTTCTCTATCCGCGCCTCGTAATCGAAGTCGTCGTCAGTACCGACGCCAACGTCTCTTGTGACATTGGGCAGCGGTGGAGGCTCAACCTTGGGTTGAGGCGGGTCCACGTGAGGATCACCAATAGTCAAGTTGGAGATGCCAACGCCGCAGATGACGAGGACGACAATAATGGCAATAGCCCTGCGCGTGGCCTCCCACTTGGCGCTCTCAATCTCAGTCTTGAGGTCTCCAACGGAGATCGTAGCACGGTTGTTGATTTCCTGTAGGCTTAGCATATGAGAGGCATATGAGAGACGACACGACCGAGCGGTGCCCGTGACTCACCTCGATCAGGATATCGAACGACTTCAAGCCGGCCCTAGTCTCGTCCTTTGTCGTGCTCAGGTCCAGCTCAATGTCATGCTTTAAGACCTGCACATTCTCTGCCATGCGCTGGTCCACGCTCTCCAACTCACGCCGCACAGCAGTCACAGCGTTTCGTGCAGCAATGCCAGCGTTACGGTTGCGCACCTCGAATTCGGTACGGAGCTTCGACAGCGCAGCCTTGTACAGATACGCCTCCTGCGCATGTTAGCTAAAGTCCAGCACGTGTGAAGCTTACGTTCTCCAGCTCCTCCTTACTGAGCATGTTCGAGGTGGCGCGCTCAGAACGCTGGTTCAATAGTTGGCGAGTGCCGACCATGAGCGTCTTGGCGGTTCCTTCGGGCACGGACGCCTTCTCGAGCACGGTCACAAAGGTATATGTGTTGAACGGGTGGCGGCGCTGCTTGCGGGGCGCAGATGAATCTCCCGGGAACGGATTTGGTAACGGCACACGAGCGACAGCCATAGTCGTCGCATCCGGTTCGTCGATGTCGGGAAAGAAGTCAATTGGGCGTCTTGGCCCCTTGTCTTCAACAGGTTGCGGCTTCTCGTCATGCTTCTCAGCAGCTTCATGAGTTTCTGCCTCTGGCTCGCGCGCTTCCTCAACGTGCGGTGGCGGGGGAAGACCAATTGCGTCGTGGTGGTCAGGAGGAGGACGAGGCGGTGGCGTTGAGGACAGTGCTCGCTGCTGCTGTGCGGAAGCGCGAAGGCGCGAGCAGGACACTGCACGCCTTGCCAGACGGGTCGCGAGCATGTGTGTTGGGCGAAACGAGAGGACGGGGCGGGTCGAGGTTCGGGAAGTAAGATACAGGGGGTTGGGTGAGTGTATGGTTAGTCTCTTCGGCGCGTCATACACTTGCGGACCAACAAATACACGACCAGACGTTGCCAGCACACTCCCACGTGGTCCACGTGGTTCATTGTCACGTGATAGCACACTGGCCTCAGCCGCCCAATCCGGTGTGTGTGCGGTTCGTTTCGAGGAGCGAATCGAGATGCTGTGTGATCGTCGTATTACAACGCCACAAAGATGAACGAGGCTGCGGGGCGCATGTGAGAGGCGTTGTCAACGTTCCCAAATAATGGACCTGCGATTCCTGTGCAGCTTCAACGCTTCATGTGTTGTTGGGCGGTTAGGGCGCAAGCCAGGAACGGGCCAGAGCATATGTAAGATCTGTGCTTGCGCCAGCGTATAGACGTTGTCCCCGTCCAGACCGCCGCTTTGCGACCGCCTATCCGGCGCCAGAGCCTCGAGCTTCGCTGGACTTCCCAGGCAAGACGACAGTGTATGGATCCATGTGCGGCTGTGTTCTGTACCTCTCGGATCTCGGCATTGGGGATCCTCGCTTCTGGGGAAGACGGTGAGCTTCGGGGGCCCGGGTTGTTGGGAACAACGCCTCGGGGCGTCTAGTTCGTTCGAGCAGGAATTAGAACGGAGAGGAATATTGTTAGCGCTGAGAAGAGCTGCTTCGCCCAACAGAGCAGGCACGGCACTTAGAGGAAGCTTCCCGCTGCGACCGGCGTTGCTACGGGCAGCTCGATTCGTTGCGAACCGCGAGAGCAAAGCGTTAAGATGCTCAGTCTTGGAACATCAGGTGAGTCAGTTACCGCTGTGCCGAACTCGTGAAAGAGCCTGTTCGATGGCCGAGGTGCCCGACGATCAACTTAGAATGGCCACAACACCTTGCACGAGGGCAGAGACTGCCTCGCGTGGATTTGTGTGCCTTTTCGTTCCTCGGCCTATACCTCGGGGACCTAAGGATCGTCAATCCATGCGGGCAGGGAGCGCAGGGTTGGCCTTGCCTCCGCGCGCCGTATGCGAGTGCTGGGGGTTGTTGTTGTGTCATTCGGAAACCTCAGTTGAGGGGTTGAGTGGGAGGCCCTGCTCATCTGCGACAAAGGGAAGAAACTGTTACGCAAGCACTCAAGGACAAGAGGAATGGGCATTGACGTACATGAAGCCGGTCGACGGGTAAACGAAGTGCGCGTTGAAGCCAACAGGGGTTTAGCCACATTCAGCCTCTCCTTGTAACTCACCCTGGCAAAACAACGAAAAGCCCACAGGGCCGTTCGAGACATCGAGGAATCTACTGTAGATGCGCTTCGTGACAAGAGTATCCGGTCTTCTGCGCGCGATAATACGTACTCTCTCCGCGTGGCCAGGCGGACAGCGTCTGACGACGCTTCTGCAGGAACCGCTAGGAAGGTAGACGGCGCGTCGTCACTGCCCGTTTAGGAAGGCTGAGCGACGTTGAAGCTTAATCTTTAGTTGTTTCGCCCACAACAACTATGTGGTAAACACCGTCCGGAAGAGAGGCTACGTACGTTCATGCCACACGGCGGGGTACCACAGGTACGGTGCCCAGTGCGGGTCTGGCAGTGATGATGAGGGGCTGCGCACGAGCATTGAATCGCCTGGGCGGGCCCGAGCGCGTGCGCAGCGATTGCAGGGGTGGCACGTTAGACATTCGGAACTGAGTGGCCTGGGCCACATGAACCACGGCATCATTAGCTTGGCTATGCAGGCTTTGGGGTGCGCGAGGCAAACCAGAGCCGATGTTATTCCAACGGATCACGGCCCAATGTCTAAGGCGCCCACGCTTGCGGAGCATAGTACCCACGTAAGCCCGCCGGCCCTGTTGCTGCGAGATCTTCCTCCTTGGCCGGAGAAACGTTCTCTGGAGTCAATCCCTGCGTCGTGGAAATTATCCAGCCTCTCAGATGTAGGGCGACTGAGCCTGCCCTGGTCTTAGTCTGCCTGGGTTTCGGGACTGAGGAGGCGTTGAGGCGTGGAGACGATCGCGTCCGAAAATCGCGCACCCAGGTTCTTACCTGTCCGAATCACTGAGAGGGTACAGTTACCGACTTAAGGCAGCAGGGTAGGACGCCGCACAGGCGGACGTTGTCACGGTGGTCACGGTTTCTACTGTTCTCAGGTTCATCCTGTGTCAGGTGCTACATGGACTCTACCCTTCAGCGCAAAGTATTGCACGATGCCCGTAGGGCAGTGACGTCAGGAGTCGACGAGAAGCGGCTTTGCGGATCTTGCGGCTACTGAATATCCAGCGCGCGACCATCGTATAATCCACGGAACACGATCGCGAAGGGCATCATGTGCAGCGTGTTCACAGCGAGCGCGATTGCAGGGCGTATGAGCATTGACGAAATCGGAAGCGGAACGATCGGCTAATCAGTCGAGCGAGACCACGGTGTACGCGGACAGAGCGGCGCCGACTGGTCGTCACGAGATGGAACGAAGTACGGGGAGGCGGAGGGGACCCCGCGATGCCCGTCTCGATGACCCGGCGAGGTGCGGAACAAAGCTCGGGTGGTGTTGCAGCTGCGTTGCCGTGTTAGATGCTATTGTCCAATCGCGCGGTAGAGGGAGCTTGCCGTCACTGATCTGCCACGCTTTATTCCTGTTGGTGGGCGGCGATCAATAAGATTAGAGAGCCCCGAATGCTGAGGGGTTGTGTGATGGGCTGCGTCGTGTGGGATTGGTTGGAGGAGACGCACAGGGCCCGGCGATTTGGAGAAGATGCGGGCAGGCTGCTGAGGATTGGCTCTTGAGTGAGCGATAGGGAACGCACTAGGCGCGGTCGAATCATCCAGAGGACGGCGGTCTCTGGGGCCTGGGTCGCCGGTGTCCAGCTCGCTCTTCGGCTGTCGCTGCCCTAGTTGGCCTCACTGGCCCCGAAGAGCGCGGAGACGGCACCGCGGGCCGCGTGGCGTGTCGAGATAAGAGCTCCAGCATCCGAGACAGTCCCCGCCTTCCAAACCAATGGGTCCCAATCAGGTCCGCCCAGGGCTTCCCCAGACCTGTCCCTGACAGCCCTGGACTTGTCCTGATGCGATCCTAGATCTCAGATATCACTGTCTCCACTCACCCCCGCACCCGCAACCCGCCCAGCCGCTGGCTCCCTGCTCCCAGCTGCCCGCTCGCCCTCGTAGCTCTCGTTCACCGTCACAGTCAGCCAGTTAGCCAGTCAGCCAGCCAGAGATCAAGTTAAGTGATGTTCCGTGCGCAGTTCGCATGCAGACAGCTGCAGATGCAGCCGACACCCGATCCTCGGTCCCGTCACCCGTCCCCGAAGGTGCAGCTGAACTTCATGATGTTGACACGCAGCGGCCACCGCGAGACAGACCGCCCGAGGACGTGGCCGCTAGATAGAATACATGAGGGTTGCAGAGAACTATTACGGGCAATCGCAATTTCCAATGACAATGTGTCCGTGGCCCGCCTGAACGGAGCTACGGACTTCAATCGAATGCAAGATAGGACCGATCATGAGAATATTTGGAGATGTTGTACACGGGCGTCGGGCATTCACCCTAGCGCCAGGCCGCATGGCGAGAAGATATCCGCCAGCCGATTGCTTCGAGGGCATGACTCTAGAGTCCCTGCAAGGCCTTTCGGAAGCTCGTTCGTTGTGCCCAGTGACCCCAGTAGATGTGCAGCTTTGGGCCAATCCTGTAGCCGCCGATAAACTGTTCGACGCTCTGCAGCCCATGCGGTCCCAAAGACATTCCTGGGGAACAGATCTTTACAATCTGTGCTAGCCAGGCGACAACATAGCAGTCTGCGAACGTCTGCGGGACGTTAGTCGGTCTCTGAAATCCGTTAAGCTCCCTCCACAGACACTCACCAAGTCGTCCCCTAGGCAATATGGCCCAACGATTTGCGATTCCAACTTTGCCAATGTCGAGGGGAGATGCACGGTCCAAGATGCTCTGCTGGCTTCGATGAACTCCAGCACCCGGTCCTCTGGAGCGTCGCCCGTGTAAATGTCGAGTATCGCCTGATTCGAGAGAGCCTTTTGTTCCAGAAACGAGATGAATCTGGGTTCTGCCGATTGTTGCGACGATGGGGCTGGACTCATTACGTCTTGACGGTACTGCTGGAGATACCGTCGCAACGCAAGGCTTCGCGCGCCAAGCATCGCTCCCTGCGGTCCAGACCACTTTCTTCGAGCTTCATTCTTGTCGACGATGGACAGATAGAGGAAATTTGGGTCAACTGTCGACTGGCGCACCAGATCAATCAATGTGGAGGATAAGCTTTGGTCTATGAGATGTGTCAGTCAAATTCGTCCAGAGGACATCCCGTCACTACCTACCGGCTGGTGTTGCTGGTGATAGTCGCGGGGAAGGTCTTCCTCCTGGGGCAGCTGGCGTGCCGACCGGAAGACAGTTATCGATAAACTCGCATATTGACTGGCCACGGTCAGCATTTCCCAGAGCGTGCTCTACCTCCATGATACCCACTGCGGTGTCACACAACATGTGGTATATGGGCTCGGCGGCTCCTAGCTTCGTCTCTTTCCGCGGAACGGCGAAAGTGGGAATGGCGCCTGCTGTTAGTAGGAAGTCTGTGGGGTGCATGTTCGATTCGCATTCACCATCTGCATTGATTCTGCTCTTGTCAGCTATTGAACGTACCCAGCGCCTTCCTCGCTCGGAGCCACTCACTTCAGGTAGTTGTGGGAAAAGTTCTCGCCCTTGGCTGTGCGGCACGTCAGCTTCGCCCAGTGATGCGGACCCGAATTGCCTCACTGATGTCAACTGGGCTGATCACATATTCGTCTTCACTGTAGCCCTTCTCGATAAGGGCTAGTCTGGGAACGGTCGCTAAAGCTGATGTTGGCCAACTGTGAAGTCAGTATCTGATGCATTCGGTCGGAAGGCGAGTGTGAGTAACCTCGTATCGAAGTGACAGAGGGCACCTGTTAATGAAGTGAGGGATCGACAGTGCAACGCAAACATGGGCAGAAGGTTCCGTGTCTGATCCCCTGGTTTCGGCTCGCGATCTGCACGTTGCGCTTGCATGCACGACTCACCAGTATAGTACTGCTTTCGGAACATCTGCCTCAGCGGGGTCCATGACGACATTGCGAACGACCTCGAAGGCGCTGATGATGATGAGCAGTGGTGGTGGAGATGTTGGAAAGCGATGGGCGAAGAGGTTCGGAAGAGTCGCTTCAAGCTCTTAGAAGAGGGAGAGGTATGCAAGGGTAGGCCAGGGAACGGGCCCTATGGCTTTTTGACTTTGTATGGAGGGACTGATTGGGCGAGGTGCCGCAGGTCTTGTTTGGCAGGGTTCGCTGGAGAGAGACACGACGAAGAGGAGGAGGACGAGAGGTTAATAGTACTTGTAGTACATATGGCAGGGATACGTTGCAGTGGAAACGCTGTATCCCCCAGAAGCCGTCAGGGTAGAGGGAAGGGGGAAGAGGGGTACAGAGGAGAAGATCAAGGGCAGCGTACGGCGGACGACGAAACGGAGAGTTGTCAGGATCCAAGGTCAAGGCGGCGAGTGATGGACGTGTCGTATGGGATGGGCGGCAGGAGGACCAGGACCTGGAGACTGGATGTGTTTGCACTTGTGGGATGATAGGTTTAGCGTCGATGTGGTGCGTGTGGGGTTGGGATCCAGGAAATCAACGTAACCGCAACTGGCAGCAGCGGGGTCTGGTGTGCTGATGCGTTGATGCGTATGTGTGCTGTGGGCATGCAGTCAAACAGTCCCAGTCGTGCGGGCAGTCCCCCGAGCAGCCGGGCAGCCTGGCCCTGTCTAAGTTTCCTCGTGGACACGACACTGACCGACTACCCAGGCCATCAGGCTGCCATCAGCAACTAAACTCAAGTCAGGGCAGCCATCCGGGCTGTTGACTGAGTGTCCCGAGGCGCGCGCCGTCCGCAGGACAGAGTTTAACGAGCCATTGTCTTTCATCAGTACCTGTTGTCCCTAATCCGTCCCTGCTTTCCTCTCCCTGTCCTTCCCTCCGCTGCCTCGTTTCTACCGTTCTACCGCATCCTAGCGGTTGGCTCCTGCAGCCTGCGGGCAGGTGACTCGACCGCGATGTCAGCTTTCCATAAACCTCTCATACCTCTCATCTCGGCTCATTTCTCGCCTCTTTCTGTTTCTGTGCTTCTTCGCGACTCTTCTGAAAATAACAACGCCACAGTACACAGGTCACTTTGTCCGGAACCTCATCGAGTTTCTTTTCCTTCACGACGTGACAGCTCCTCAGGGCAGATCTTGCGGCCTGGGTTTAGGTTGTCTCCGAGACTGCCGCCCACAATGCTGAGGTGCAGCTTGCAGATGTGCGAGCTTATAAGAAGCTGGGGGGGGGCATTGCCTGTGGTTCTTCCCCGCAGAAATATGGCTTGCTTCGCATTCCCTCCTTCGATTTCTGCGACCTCTTAACCATACAGTGTTGAAAGTACGCTTACGAAGATGACGAAATTAGGGTTCAATTCGACAGGAACCACCCGGCCAAATGGGCGCCAAGGATCGGCGAGTTCTCCAGTACCCGCTCGTGCCGCTCGCCAGCCAAAACCTTGTTCCTCTCCGACGACAATGATGTTAAGAATCAACCAGCAGCGTCCGTACAGATGTCCTCCATACGGATACAGCGATAACACATCCAGCTCCGGGGCCTTGATTTGTGTCTGACTATATCCTGACTGGTACTATGTCGTGTGCCACAGCTCTCCATGAGGTGTCCCCGAGAGCTTCACACGAGGCCCTGGTATTCTGTGGCGAAAGGCTATCTCACGCGCCATCGCAATCCTGGCCAATTCGCCGGGCATGTCGACGAACTCCACAACAGCATTGTGAGGGTCAACAGTCCTTGTGCAGTGCATGGTACCCAGGGCCGGCCCTCTTCCTTTGGAGCTCGCAAGCCCGCGTGTGGGCCCACCAAGCGAATGCTAACCTGGCAGGCATCTTCCGGGAATCCCGCACGGTGAAGACTTGAGGTCACTGGTACACGAGGGCTCTCTCAGTGGCTGCTTCTCTCCTGGCCTACTCGCCTCTCGAGACAATTAGCGCTCAGCGGGCTGATTCTGACAGAAGTACACCGCTACCCCTCTATCACCTGGCCCGCCGCAACTACTCCATCGAACCATGACTTGACGCGCTTTTTTTTGCCCGCTACCGGTCTTTGGTATGTTAGGTGCGATTAACCTGGCATATAACTGCCGCCAACACAGTCCATCTTCCTTGGTGCTTGGGCTTTCCACCCGGTCACTGACCAATTTCGGGACATCCTTAGCAACTTCCAAGGGGAGGTGCTAGTATTGGCTTCCGTTTAGTCCCGGACTTGGTCGTAAAAGAGCGCGTGGGTAGGCTAGGCTCCAACTCCGAACCGACATCTACGCCCAGACCCGAGATCTGATCCTGCTAGTCTGGGTGGTTCAGGAAATCTCCAAGTGGTGGTTATCATTCCTTTGCCGCCTTGAATTGTGGAGACCAGTCAGCGCGGGGTTCTGCAGTAGCTGCTCCGCACCATCGAGGTGAGGCACCTCCCCAAAGGGCTCATTTCGTTTACCTGGCCTCAGCGTGCCAAGAACATTCCGCTGTTGGCGAGAAGCTCATCATGCGTGCTGACTCGCTCGCCGTCATAGCCTCGGCGTCGGATATGCTAATGGCACAGAGCGTGACTTCGTTGGAACCGCCGTAAGATCGAAAGTCGGAATGTCACAAGGCTGTCTGCGGATTTGAGCGTAATCTGCAGCCGAGGCTCAGAGCACAGATCGAGTCTAGCGAGCTATCGAGGCACCTCCCTTGATTCCCGTGGCAGTGGTCCTCCCGGCCCGTTTGATCGCTCCAGGCTGCTTTTGGTCGTCCGTATGAACCATACGATGACCAGCATAGTCCCCTTCGGACGGTCCAATGGGAGACACGTTGGCACGCCAGCCGAGCCTGCTCCTGAAAGTTTCAAAGCAATATGAGAAACCCCTTCTCCGACTGCGACGCGATGGAGTGGTTTTGAGACCATTCTCTCGCCCACGTATTCCGTCTGTTGGTGAGAGGATGCACATCTAAGCACTTCCGAGGTTGAAGGGGAACAAGGGCTCGACAGACAGCCTTGGCCGGTGTCCGTCAAAATCGCGGTACGAGCCTGTTTGTTCACCGTTGTGGCACCATTGTCGACCAAATAACGGGCGGCATTTGTCGTGCCTGTTTTCGGTCGTCCCGTTGTCGTCGCCGAACCTGAAATGTCTGGTGCTGTTTGGTAAGCGCCGAACTATACGACGACCTCGTTCAGGACATCACATCAAAGCTTGTGCTGCAACGACCGACAGGAGGACACCTCACACGAAGATCAGGGGTCGGCTCTGCAGATGACAATGGAACACACCTGGCGATCGTCGGACCCCGGCATCTGTAGTCTGTGAAGATACTCCTCCAGGAGCTTCGCTGGCATCGTTTCCCGCCGGGTTTCGTTTCGGTGGGACTTGCTGAGCTCTGACGCACTCGTTGTCGAGTGAGTACTCATCCCGTTATTGACCTACTGTAACGCACTATAGCTGAACTCAGGCGAAGGCGTCGCGTAACAACGCACGAGTGTACCGCAGAGCAAACTCACTACCTTGGGGCGCTGCTCTGGCATGATGGCCTCAAACCAATTCACCCATGTTACTGATAACGGCTCGGTCGATTGCGCGGGGAAGGATGTCTTTCTTTTCTCGACTTGCTCGTTGAGAGGAAACAGGATTGGTGGGTGGTCATCTGTACTTACCCTACCCGGCTGTGTGAACAACCTTCGTTCCAATAAACCGACTGTCGTGAGTCCATCGAGCCCTGCTTATATGACACATGAAATTGGACACCTTTGGCTCGGCTGCGTCGCAGTGGTTGTCGTTGCCTGCCCCGTGTGCCGACAGTATCCACACGGCCCTGGCCACGCAATGACTCAAAGCAATGTCGGTCGACGAGGAACGCAAGGACTGCCCTGCACAGGTGAACGCTCTGAACCTACGTACCCAACAGACTCGGATTTCCTCCGAATCCAACTGCGATCTGCAGTGCCTTAACATGGCGCGTGAGGCGCGGTTTATGCCAGTGGGCGAAACCTCACAGAGCCCTACTCTTGTATCTGTGCCCGCCAGAGGGAACGGGCCTGCGCTCCGAGAAGAAGGACCGTGCTTCGACAACGGTGCCCGGTGCCAATCAGGAGAATGGAAGGCACGTCCTCCGCACCTCCTTTCCGCACTTTCACTGTTGCTGTGACGGTTACTCATCTCAGGTACAAGGAGACTCCTTTGTTCTGCTCGGTGCTACTGCGTCCGATGAACTCCACGGATTGTCTAAATCCCCAGGCCCTAGGAGGACTGGCAGTCGGACAAGCTGAACGCTCTGTACTCGACGCCATTTCGTCAGTGCACATATCATGACATTCGGCGGTCAGTCTTCGTCCATCACGTCGCGCTGATGCGCGCCGGTCAGTGGTTCACCCCACACTTCCTCCCACATTCACTGGGGCTTGCTGACAGCAGGGAGCGTCCAGCCAAGTAAGTCAGCTGCCTGGATCCGCTCGCCGAAAGCCTTCAGTTCGAGACCGAAAAGGTAGCATGGACAGCGAGGCACGATATCGGTTCTCTCGTGAGGTCATCAGACAACGTGCCTCATATTTCTATTCCAGCCACCTTGGCCTGCAGGTGCTGCGACACGACGTTCCAGTGCATGAAACCCCGGAGACATGAAGCGGGCAAAGCTGACTGCTCCTCACGGAGGGCACATCTCGCGTCGTTCGAAGCTGGTAGCGCCCACTGTGGACCGGTCTGCGCGACGAGGAGAGTGTGCGATTTGACCATGCTCCCCTCGCCGCAGCTCTTCGTAAGATGCCAGGCGCCTCCAACTGGCCACAGTCGCTGCGGCGCGCGAGATATGAGAAGTTTCCTTCACTATTTGGGACTGAAGTCCCTGTTCTTCGGAATATTGATCGTTCCTGTCGTTAAGAGTCTGCAAGACGTAGAGGGAGGGGTAAGATATACATGGTATGCAAAATGATATACGCGTTAATGCCGCTATGCGTGATGTGCCGGGCTACCTCATCTACTTCTTCTTAATCTCCTTGAGCTTGATAGTCTCGTCATTGATGAAAATACCCTGTAACACTGGTCAGTTCCCTGCTCCAGAATGCAGCAAGCCGAGTCTTCAATCTACCCACCTTTCCACGGTACGGCTCAGGCTTACGCCACCTGCGAATCTTGGCCGCGAAGAGACCGAGCTTCTGGTTGTCCGTACCAGTCAGAACGATCTTGGTCGGCTGGGGGACTGAGACCTTGATTCCCTCCGGGATGTTGACGAGAACGGGGTGCGAGTAGCCGAGCTTGAGGTTGATGCGCTCAGTAGGGATAGGGGGAAGAGTGTAGGGAGGGGCTCCAGGCTTGGCCGGTCGCGCGACGCGGGGAACGCTGGCCAGCAGTTCACGGAAAACCTCGGGGATCGGCTCGACGGTGGCACGGTAACCAACACCAACGAGCCTCAGCTCAGTGGTGTATCCCTCGGAGACACCGGTGACGGCGTTCTTAACGAGGGCACGGGTCAGACCCCACATGGAACGCTGCTTCTTCTCCTTCGCGTCGTGGACGTTGAGGGTAAGCTGGCCGTTGTCGGTGGGCTGGAGGATGATGGAGGGGTCAATGGGGACGACAAGAGTTCCGAGGGGTCCCTTGACCTCAACGAAGCGCTGCGCGGTGGCCGCATGGCGGGGTGTCGAGGGGGGAATCGAAAGTTCCGGGTAGGTGATGGTGACCTTGTCGGGAATCGGGACCGGCATGGAGCCGATGTGCGAGAAAGTCGGCGCGGTCGTCGAGAACGCGCGCGAAGACGAGGCGATACCGCACTGCAGCGTGCGCAGACCCCTCAGAGCGCTCATGTTGGAGAGTGGTGGACGCGTAAACAAATGGTGTAGGTCAAACCCGTCTCTCACCCAAAAAGTCGAGATCGAGGATGGACATTTCGGAACGACACTTCGGGGTGAAACCGGGATTAAAGGGAGAAAATGGCTCCGGAAATAATACCTCCACCACTCGTCTCTCACTATCAGAGGATCTCGACGTGAATGATGCATGGCTGAACATCGAAGTTGTTGTGTCATCCAATTGTTGTCGCATCCATCAGACCCTCGACCGGCATTCGACACAATGGGCAAGAAGAAAAAGACTCAGGTGTTCGTCCTCAAGCCGTGGTGCTGGTACTGCGAGCGTGAATTTGAGGATGAGAAAGGTAAGTTAGCTCCCCACATTGGCCCATCATGTGCTGACATCCACAGTACTGCTGCAGCACCAGAAGTCGAAGCACTTCAAGTGCCAGCTTTGTCCTCGAAAGCTGAACACGGCCGGAGGTCTCATGGTTCACTCGCAACAGGTGCACAAGACGGAGCCGGAGCCGCTTACGAACACGCTACCGGGACGCGATGGATTCGAGATCGAGATCTTCGGTATGGAGGGTGTACCGACGAACGCGCTCGCCGAGTGGAAGGCTAGGAAGGAGCAGGAGGCTGGTGTCGCTGCGCTTGCGGCTGCCGCTCAGGCTAAGCGCCCGCGGTATCAGTACAACGCGATCCCGGAGGCGGACCTGATGGCGGCTCTTGAACAGCACAAGGCGCTCATGACTGCGAGGAGAAACGGCGCGATCCCGCCGGCCTCTGTGCCGGCCATGCCGCCGCCGACATTGCCGGTTCCCCCAGCAGGCATGCCTCCGCCTACGCTCCCGCCCGGAATGCCGCCATTCCCCGGAGGTGCGCCGCCGCCCCCACCGCCCGGCACTCTGCCGCCGTTCCGACCACCGTTCCCCTCCAACTTCCCCCCTCCTCCTCCCGGCATGGTCCCCCCTGCCCCGGCACGACCGCCGCCCGCATTCGTTCCTTCTGCGGCTTCCGCCCCTACGACAACATCTGGACCGGGCACGCCGATTGGACCAGATGTCATGCCGCCGCAAAACGGCGTCTTCTGGCCGGACAACAATGCAACCCCGGCCGAGAAGCGTGCACAGCTGCCGAAGTACCGCTACACGTCTCCCGGTCCCGAGGAACGGGGGCAGAAGCGGAAAGCGGCGGCAGACTTCCTGTAGATTTAGATCTGAGATCACACACACCTGTATGGTTTCTTTTCCTAGACAACGAACCTCCGGTGGCGGAGGGTGTCACAGTCAGACAGCAGACAGACAGACGGACAGATTTGCATGTATGGATTTCTAGCAGTGTTTATTCCGCAGGACGCGCACTGTGCGACGCCAAGTGGTTAGTAACCCTTCATGCTTGGTGTCGTCCAGGGTTCCACGACCTCGTACAAGTCCTTCGCCAGACGTCGCTGGATCTGCTCGCTCGACTCTGTTTCCGTCGGCGCAACAGCGCGGATAGCGATATACCGCCGGCACATAAGGACCTCACCGATAGACGCGTCGCGCTCGAAGAGCTCTTTACCGCCGGAGAAGAAGGCGCCAACCTCCTTAAGCATGACTGCAGCCGCCTTATGTCAGCTTCACATTGTTCGTTCACCTTACAGTCACATCCCAGGCCCAGCATCCCGCATCCCTGGCTCGTTAGCTCAACACCACAGCCACAGTTTTACCATGAGATGTCAAGTTCGCCAGCCGCCACATGGACGAGATTGCAGGTCGTAGCGCCGGTTGCTGAGGTAAGCGATTGATTGCAATCTTTGCAGTTTCCACTTACTTCGCAGCGCGTGGCAGAGGACACCTCCCTCAATGCCCTTTGCGGGGTCGCCATTAAGACGCTTGAAGCTGTTCAGCTTTGGCGTGACGGTTTCGATGCTTCGGTCGGAGCCCCCTAGGCATCAGCCATGCCCTACACAAACTAGCACTCACACTCCGCAGCCACAAGACACTGGGACAGAGAGGTCAGGGGCTGGGGAATACCGCCGGTCAATGGCAGAGGGATGGTGCGATTCAAGAAAGCGCCGCCGCCGAGACGAGCAGAGAACTGAGATGAGCCACGGGTATTACCGTATGACTTACGATTCGGTTGAGGAACGGCTGAGAGATCACACCAACAACGGGGATCTTGTTATGTGTCACTCCGATGGAACATCCAACCATGGGGCTGAGGTCAGACGCTTTCTGTAGGCCGCGGACTCACTGGTTGTGAACGAAGCTGGGAGACGGTCAGCTCTCCGCATTGAGATTCACCTCACTTCATGGTCCCCTAATGTCAGCTTCCGGACGATATGTTGAGCTTACGTCAATGGGATCCACAATCCAGGTGAAGGCATCCGTTAAGACAGGCTTGCCTTGCACTTCACTGGTTTCCTCGCCGATGCTAACGTCAGCCTAGGTGGGGACTGCTGCAATGCGCACAACTTGTGGTCAGGGTATTTCTCAGCAATCGCTTTCTTGATAAACTCCTCGACAGCCCCGTCAGTCTCGGTTACGAGCTGGGGTCAGCTCCGGCACCTGGTCGAACTCACGTCGACAGCATTCTTCTTCGTGGCGAAATCGTGGGAGGTCCAACGCTTGGCGGAGCCTTCCAGGATGAGCTTCGATGCCTAGAATGATCAGCTGAATGTTCGCAATAACAACTCTCACCTTTTCGACGAGGTCGTAGGCGAACTCGAGAATCTCTTGGTATACCTGCTCGTCGCTCATGGTGAATGTGGAGTAGTTGAGGTCTGTTGACGTTTCATGGATGCCGAAATTCAGGTGGATTGCGGGGCCCATCTGTTATCGCAGACGCCTACTCCGTAATTTACCAAATAGGCCCGTCAAGCCACCCCGTGCCTATCGCTGTCGCCGCCCGCTCTTGAATGTTGTCACGCGTTCAGACGACCGAAAGAACAATCATCTACTCGACCCATCACAGCCTACACTCGCTTTGCGAAGAGCTCACTTACTACCCACGACCACTTGTCGAAACCGCGGCGAGGGCGGACGCGCAGGTGCCCATCATGACCGACGATGTTGGCGGAGGCCGCGGGTTTACTCTATAAGTATCACGCGTCAAGGAAATGTTTGTGTAATATCAAGTGCTGACTTCCTCACGTCGCATCAGCGCAATGTCATTGAAATCGACTTTGCAGGCGTCCTTAACGGCTCAGCGCATCTGACCATCACGCCCACGAACCCCGCTTTGAGGACGGTGTACCTCCATGCGTCGCCTCTGCTGCAGATCAACAGTGTGACGCTCTCCTCCGACACCACGAGTAACCCTCTGCTACCAACACCAGCTTCCTTCGCGGTGACGAACGCCTTCCAGCCTCTTCCCGTCCGAGAACCACCGATAGATCTCAAGAGTCACCAGGAGATCAAGCGCAAGACGTGGGCCGCGCTCAGTGAACGCGATGAAGGCGAGCTCGCCATCTCCGTGTCGCATGGATGGGTTCGACTGGTGGAAACGGACGGTGCAGGACCAGATGGTGGCCCAGCCGTATCGTTGGCTCCCATCCAGATTCAGATCGACTACCAGCTTGTTGTTGGAGGAGAGGTGGTGGAGGGCATCGTGTTCAGACGACCAGGAGACGGTGGTGACGACACTGTGAGTTGAACGGTATTCAAGCCATTGCTCATAATCAGCAAATTCCGCACATGTTCCTCTCTCCGACCACCTATGATTCGGCTCGCGTTTGGACGCCGTGCGTCGACAGTCTCTGGGAGCGATGTACGTGGGAGCTCGAGTTCATCGTACCACGATACCTGGAAGGAGGCGAACCGCGCGGCGACGATGTCGCTTACCCTGTCACCGTCGTGGCAAGCGGCGAACTGATTGAGCAGGTTACGCACCCGCACGACCCACATAAAGTCGTTTTCTACTACATCCAGACGACACCGGCAACTGTCCAGCACATCACGTTCGCCGCCGGTCCGTTCGAGATGTACCAGGTCCCCGCATTGCACGGTGGCGAAACGCAAAAGCCAATGCTGGCGTTTTGCCTTCCCGGGCAGTTGGACGAGCTGATCAACTCGACCAACTTCCTCTGTCGCGCCATGTCGTTCTACACCACAGAATTCGGTTCATTCCCGTTCAGCGCCTTCAAAATGGTGTTTGTGTCAAATCCGCGAGTGCAGTGCTTCACTGCCGTCACCATGGCGATCTTATCTTCGGACCTTCTCTACCCAGCCAATGTGATCGACCAAGCCCTGGAGACGCGGCAAGTTCTGTCAATCGCGCTCATCCAACAGTGGGTGGGTGTCAATATTATCCAGCGAACACTGGCGGACACCTGGCTCATCGTGGGACTATCGCAATACCTGCACTCCCTCTTCATCCGGCATTTGCTCGGTAACAACGAATTCCGCTTCCGGCTGAAGAAGGACATCGATCGCTGCTGCCGCCTCGATCAGGGGGACCAGTATCCTCTGTGTATGCCGAACACGATTGATCCGCCGTCTGCGAGCACCATGAGCTTCATGACGCTGAAGGCGCCCCTTGTTCTTCACATCCTGGACCGCTACATCGCGAAGGCTGGGACGTCGCTTGGACTGTCGCGCGTGATCCCGCGGATATTCCTCGCCTCACTGTCCGACGAGCTGCCAGGGAACATGTTGTCGACTGGCTATTTCTTCCGACTTTGCCGGAAAGCGTCGGGTATGGACATGCAGCCGTTCATCGACCAGTGGGTGTATGGAAGTGGATGCCCCCATTTCCAGGTCCGAACAAACTTCATCCGAAAGAAGTTCACGGTGGAAATGACGATCATTCAAGTGCAACCGGCGATGCAGGCTGCGGAGAAGCTCGATGACAAGAATAAGCTTGCGCGGCTAGCAACTCGGCGACCAACGCCTTTCTTCGAGGGAAGTCTGACGATCCGTATCCACGAAGCCGACGGCGCTCCCTTCGAACACCTGCTGGACATAAAGACGGCGGACAAAACGTACAACCTTCCCTTCAACACGAAGTACAAGCGTACGAGACGTTCTGGCCATGTCGCTGCTCGTTTCAGCAAATTACAAGATGTCCTTGCTCAAGCGGACGACAACGAGGTCGAGCAGGCTGAGCAGCTCAAGGATGTGGACCGGACGGAGGTTTTCGCGTATCTACCCTGGGACGACGAGGAGGAGTACCGAAAATGGAGGGTGCATGATTGGAGCGAGGAAGAAGCCCAGGCAATGTTAGGCGAGGGTGGTGGTTACGAGTGGATCCGTGTTGATCCGGATTGCGAGTGGCTGGCGACCTTTGACATTCAGGAGAAGCCGTGGTTCTGGATCTCGCAGCTGGAGGGAGAAAGCGATGTCGTGGCTCAGCTTCAGGTACGTCTGTGACATTTGTCATCAGCTGACACATAGGCCATCCAGCGCATGTGCATGTACCCCTCACCAGTGATTGCCAGTGAGCTGGCAAAGGTTGTGCTAGTCGAAAACTACTTCTACCGAGTGCGCATGGAAGCAGCGCGAGCTCTGGTCCTGGTGAGTTTGAATGACCTGAACCCCAACTGACGGCCCAGTATAACTCGGCTGAAGCCGACTATATGGGGCTGTTCCTCCTTTTGAAACTGTTCCATACCTTCTACTGCGAGCCGACAGACGAGGAAGAACCAAGCAACGTCAAAGCTGTGCCGCTGCCGAACGACTTCAGCAACTTTGCCAACTACTTCCTGAAGAAGAGCATGGTGACCGCTCTGTCTGACCTCCGAGACCCTGCTACGCGAAGAGTTTGGCGTCACGTTCGAGAGCTGTTGCTCGATCTGCTGCGAATGAACGACAACAGTCAAAACGAGTATTCCGACTCGCACTACGTCGCCACTGTAATCTCCGCAATCGGCAGCGCATTCTCGGCAGGCGTCAACGTCGGAGGTAATCTGAGTGAGGAAGATCAGGTCATGGACGGTCAACTGTTCAAGGAGGCGAGCGAGGCAAATGAGCGTGCCATCACGGTCGACCGTTTGGTTCCCAGTTACCACAACGTGGTGACGTTGGCTGGCCTTCAGGCTCAGTTGAAGTCAATTCTGGTCGGCCAGCGAACCAACGATCCGCGATTATTCCTGGGTTACACGCGCGAGGGTAACTACGAACCTCTGCGACTCGCTGCGTTCGACTGCCTGCTGCTCTGCAAACCTCCAGGACGCTCGATGGCGCTGGCTCAGTATCTGTTCGACGTGATCAGATACGACTACTCCTTGACTGTTCGCCGCCATGTTGCTCGTGCACTTTCGGAGTCAATTTTGATGACTCTTGCTGCTGGTGAAGTCTACATGTCTTCCGCACCTGGTATCATTGACATGAACGGCGACTCCGGGCAAAGGGAGCGCGAACGAGATCACGAAGATGCCAAGATCGTCAAGGCCGTGCGCAAGGAGTTCAACACCAAGACTGAGCTGCGAGAGCTAGCCCAGAAGGCGCTCCTGGACTCCTTCACTGGAAACGATCACGAAATCTTGTTTGCCTTGATCAAGGCCGCCGAAGTCATGTCGTCCGGAACAGCGGAACCGAAGCCTGGCGTGCTGATAACACTGCCAACCCCGACAGACACGCCTTCGGCATCTACACCGAAGATCAGGTTCAGTTTAGCGGGCAAGAGCGGTTCTTCCTCTGCATCTGCATCGGCACCTGCACAGGAGGGTGGCGACTTCCCCTTCCCCGACCAACCCGCCCCAGCTCCCGAACCTCCGGCGTCCGCCTCTGGACCCATCAAGCTTGTCCTTAATCAGCCGACGAAAGAGAAAAAGAAGAAGAAGGCAGCGGTTGTCAAGGCACAGGCTAAGGGTTTGTCCGACTCAGACTTCAAGACGATCACTTATGTACTGCAAAAGCTTCTCGCCGACAAGCGCAGTACCTTCTTCCGCATGCCGGTCGACCCGATTCGCGATCACGCTCCCGACTACCTCAGTATCGTGACGAACCCCATGGATCTATCTACGGTTCAGGCGAAGATGGACAATGGCCTGTACACGTCGCGCAAGGATTTCGAGAACGATATTCGGCTCCTCATTTCCAACTGCCACCTTTACAATCCTCCAGGATCAGGCGTGAGGAAGGCAGGCGAGGCGTTCGAAAAGTTCTTCAACGGTCTCTGGAATAAGACCGAGAACACTTTGAAGTCCTCCGCGAATGGTGATGCCGAAGAAGGACCTTCCACGTCTGAGAAGAAGAAGGCCGGTCGGCCCAGTTTATCCATTTCAACGAAGAGTGCCATGCCTCCACCCCCCGCTCCTGCTCAGTCGTCTTCCAGTGCCACGAGTGCTTTACCGAAGATCAAGATCAAGTCTGCCAAATCCGTCACTCTGGACGTCCCGTCGCCTCGCGCCTCGTCGCCGATGGCCCCTCCGCCGGTACCGTCTCGCAAGACGTCGGCTGCGTCGTCACCAGCGAAGGAGAAGGCGCCGAAGAAGAAGCGCGAGAAGGCTCGGGACCCATTGGACGACCTCCTTGGCGCTGAGGTTGACGCGATCGATCGCGAGAAGGGTGGGGACGAACTCTTTGACGAGCTTCTCGGCACGACTCCACCGCCACCGGCGAAGAAGTACAAGATCAGCAAGTCGACAGTCTCCATCAGTTCGCCTCGCCCTCGACCCTCTCGGTCACCATCGGAGGCGAGTGATCAATCTGATCAGCCTCTGTCGAAGAAGATCAAGCTGAAGTCAGCGTCATCGTCCAGCGAGCAGAAGTCGAAGCGCTCCTCGCTCAGCAGCGAGCCTTCGTCGCGTCCCCTCGCTGATAAGGGCAAGTCATCCAGCGACAAGCCGCGATCGACCTCGGACAAGACGAAGTCGACGGGAGAGAAGACGAAGCCTTCTTCTACCTCGGAAAAGCCTCGTTCCTCGATCGGCGAAAAGAGCAAGCCTACCTTCGAGAAGTCTTCGAAAATTAGCAGCGAAAAGCCGCGGTCGAGCACCGACAAGCCTCGTTCGAGTAGCGACAAGCCTCGCGCGAGCCTTGACAAACCGTCGAAACCGAGCAGCGAGAAGCCGAGGTCGAACGGTAGCGAGAAAACACGATTCTCGGAGAAACCGAAGTCTACTGATAGACCGAGGTCACCATCAAAGGCATCCGCGCCCTTGGCCGCTTCCTCTGTGGCAGGTCCATCCACAGCTCCAGCGGCGAACCCAGCCGAAGTCCCTCCGCCGATGTACCCGCTTGGATACGCTCCTCAGTGGCCGACACCACCTCCAAGCCTGCCGCTCACGGTGAAAAACAAGATGCCGTTTAGGCAGAAGCGCGCCAAGACTCTCATCAATGCCTTGATGAAGGAGCCGAACGCGATCTTCTTCCTGCGACCCGTCGATCCGGTGCGCGACGGCTGCCCGACCTACCTCGACGAGATCGCCGAGCCGTCGGACTTTGGCACCATACAGAAGAACATCGAATTGAAGAAGTACTCCACGATGGGCCAACTGGCGCGTGCGATCGAGCTTGTGTTTTCCAATTGTCGGCAGTTCAACCCTCCTGGTCCCATCACGGACGCGGCGGCGATCACGGAGGCGCTGTACTGGAAGGAGTGGCCGAAGGCTGTATCGCAGAAGCTGCTGCCCGAGGAGCGCAAGGCGCTCACGGCCGTCATCAACCGCTCGTTCCGGGACCCATTGTCGCAGTTGTTCCGCGAGCCCGTGGACCCGATCGCGCTCGGTATTCCGCAATACTTTGACATCATCCCCAGGAGGATGCGCGCGACCTCAGCCTGATCAAACAGAAGCTCGAGCGCGGCACGTACACGACCGCGCGCCAGGTCGACGACGATTTCGAGCTCATGCTCGAGAACTGCAGAGTGTTCAATGGCGAGGGCGCCATTAGTGATATCGCCAACCAGTTTGGTGCCTGGTACAAGGCCCAACGAGCAAAGATGGATGTGTAAGATTAGTTATGAGCGTTAATTCAGAAGCGACGAGCTTTTCTAGTAAACATGTATCATGATATATGACTTCGACGCACGACTGTTGCCTCCAGCGCCCCGAAACATCGATCCGCACATAAGCATCGATCCGCACATAACTCTCCCAACCTCATTCCCTGCTGATTGTTGGCCACCTTGCTCCAGAAGGGCCAATTTTTATATCAAGTGCATATGCTGTTTTTAAATCGTCGTTACGTCTAGCTGCGGTACCAGCGAACACCTGCCCTGTTGCGGCGCATCTTGCGCTGGAGCTGGAGCATGCCGAAGAGAAGGGCCTCAGCGGTCGGCGGGCTGTCATGTCAGCTTATTGCTCCCCCAAGGGGCTAGGTAGCTCCTGCGAGGGACGAGATAGTGGCAACTCAGGACATTCCACCGCTCTTGCTCCGTTCAAGAGCCATCCATGTCTGCCTGACGTTGCCTCCTCGCCACCTCGACTTCTAGACTCACCATCCAGGAACGTAGATGTCGACGGGGACAATGCGGTCACATCCACGAACGACCGAGTACGAGTAGTGGTAGTAGCCACCACCGTTGGCGCAGGAGCCCATGGAGATGACCCAACGGGGCTCGGGCATCTGGTCGTAGACCTTGCGGAGAGCGGGCGCCATCTTGTTGGTAAGGGTACCGGCGACGATCATGATATCGGATTGACGGGGCGAAGCACGGAACACAACACCGAGACGGTCCTGGTCGTAACGGGCGGCGGCCATGTGCATCATCTCGACAGCACAGCACGCAAGACCGAAGGTCATGGGCCACATGGAGCCCTGGCGAGCCCAGTTGACGACCTTGTCAAGGGTCGAGAGGACATACTCTGATTGTTAGCTTGGCGAGACTCCGTGAGCTCAGTGGCGACGGCTCCAGAACACGGCCAACGTGACGGAGGACAGGATGCAGTTAATCACGCTTATGCGATCGTCTGAAAGATCCTTCCCGGTTGCGCCCGTCCACCATTGGCCACTCGTTCAACGATCCGTCGCCAACAAATAACACGCACCGGCACCGTTGCGGGGAGTCTCGAGGGAAGTCTGGTTGCTCTCGCGGTTGGCAACCTCGGTGAGGACGGGGCCCTTCCACTGGCCAACCTCCTCGCCGCGCGCGACGGCGGAAGTGCTCAATGAGCGGACTGAAGTGGTCAGTAACTGTCGGAATGGAGGTGGGGTCGGGAATGACGCGCGGAGACGTACGGGCAAGAGGCCTGAGAGCCGACGACGAGGCGCGCGAGGCTGTGGGGGGTCAGCATGTAGGTCGGGGGCGGAGTCGCATACCGGTTCGGAGGCCGGTGAACATGGCCGTCGACATGGTGAGTGGTGATGGGGTTGACGACTAACTGACGTTGAGCAGCTGAGGTTGAGCGGCTTGCAGCGAATACACCACCCACATCTGAGCTTCATCCTCGCGGTGATTGGCTTACACCCCTGGCGGAGCTCAGCCTGACTGTCCGTCCCGGCGTTATTTCGACTGTGGCACCCCGTCTCATTTCAAAACCGGCCCCTTTGATTAGCCCTCCCTGGTGCTCGATTAGAATACCGGCGCGCTCCTAATCCGGCCCTAATTCGACCACGCGGTGCGCTCGGACACACTGCGCACTCCGAGTCTTTTTCCAGTTTCAGGCCGCAAGACCGGACGGAGTCTGAAATAATGTTGGACGAAACGTCTCCGATCACTCTATCCAACAACAAAACCGCCGACCATGCTTGCGAGGTCGATCAACGCTAGGGCTTTCCAGAGCAGGTAAGCATAAACCTTGCTGTTCCTTTGCTGACAGCCTGTAGGCTCGCGCCCGGCCTTGCTCAGGCTCACGTCCGCCGTCTGTCCCTTGCCGCCCAGGTGAGTACTTGCGCCCCGATCGCACCGCCGAGCAGCGTGTGACTAGACCGAAAGCTGACAACAGCCCGCGGCTCGGACGCTCAGCAAGAGGCCGGCTCTCGCCAACCCGGTCCTGCTCGGCGGTGCCGCCCCGATCGGCATTCGTAACCTGTCGATCTTCAGCGGCAAGGACTCTGCCTCTGCTCCCGTTGTCGAGAAGGCTGCTGCCCCCGCCGTTGAGCAGGCTGCCGAGGCCCCTGTTGCCACTGCCTCGCAGGCCGCCGAGAAGGCCACTGAGGCGGCCACCTCTGCTGCTGCCCCCGCCGCTGCTGCCGCTCCCCACCACGCCCCCGAGCACATCACTGCCAACACTCCCGATGGCAAGTTCCATGAGGACCCGACACCGCTGCTCCCGCAGTCGCCCGCGAACGCCGAGACGCCGACGCTGGAGGACCTTGTCACGCACTCTGGCCTGCCACTCGAGGACGTGCTCAACAGCCCCGAGGCTATCCACGCTGCCGTCAAGCTGTCGGACCTGAAGCTGATCGGACTCGACCACTCGTGGTACTCGGCCCCGGGATGGATTCGTGACGCTCTTGTCGGCCTGCACGACATTACCGGTCTGCCGTGGTGGGCGTCGATTATGGCGCTGACGCTGTCGATGCGTGTGGCGCTCCTCCCGCTCGTCATCCGCAACATGAAGCACGCCTCGCGCATGCAGGCTGTTGCGCCGCAGATGAACGGACTGATGAAGCGCATGACGGACGCGAAGAAGGAGGGCGACCAGACGACCATGATGGTTGTGCAGAAGAAGCTCCTCGAGCTCTTCAAGGAGCACGACGTTTCGCCCTTCCGTTCCTTCCTCCTGCCCATGATCCAGGTGCCCTTCTTCCTGTCCATGTTCTACGCTCTGCGTAAGATGGCGTCCCTCCCCTTCCCGCAGCTCAAGGAGGGTGGTTTCAGCTGGGTGCTCGACCTCACTGTCCCGGACCCGCTCTACATTCTCCCCGTGACCTCGATCGCCTTCCAGATCCTCGTCCTCAAGCTCGGAGCCGACGGCATGGGTGGCGGAGCCTCCAACCCCGCCTCGCAGCGCCAGATGGCGCACTTCCGTAACGGAATGATCGCCCTCTCCCCGCTCCTGGTCGCGTTCACGTCGACCTTCCCCGCCGCGCTGCTGTTCTACTGGACGTCCGCGAACCTCATCACGCTGACGCAGAGCGCCGTCTTCCGCCTGCCCTTTGTCCGCAAGGCCCTCGGCCTGGACTACAAGGGCGCCTCGCTCCCCCCTCCCCCGGCCGACGCTTACGTCAACCCGAACCCGTCGCTGAAGGAGACGTGGCAGGCGATCCGGGACTGGCAGAGCAATGCGATGGAGAAGGCACGCACGCAGGCCGCCGAGACGCGCGCCCGCCAGGCGATCGAGGACGAGCGCAGGGCCAACAAGCGCGCTGGCACCGCCCAGCTCGCTGAGCGCGTTAGCGAGCCTGCGCAGCAGGACAAGGCGCCCGAGAGCGTGCAGGCGCAGGCGCAGGCTACCGCCGGAGGAGACGAGCAGCTCGCCCGTGACGAGGCGCGCGCCAAGCGCAGGGCCGCCATGGCCGCTAGGAGCAGGAAGTAGACGCACATCTTAGAACAGCCGGGTAGACTCTGGGCTAATAGCATTTTCATGTCATTTCATCACCACTTGGACGAGACTTGCAGATCTGCCACTCCGTTGCCACACTCACTTCAGCAGGGAGTTGTGAGAGCGCCTGACATTCACTCAGTTCCGCCATCTGCCACACTTATGGCTCATGTCACGGCGTCGGAGCACAAGAGGCTGCATGTGGGAGAGACAGGTCATTGGCTTCCTTAATAGGGGACGGCCGGACGGGGAGCCCCTCACCTCGTGACCAGTCCCATCCAGCGAAGCTGTTTCATTGTAGTAACGCAGCCTGGAGCATCCGGAGCCGCGACCTGAGCCGCAACCTTCGTATTTACAGCTGTAACATACCTCCCCAATAACCAGTCCTAATGGTGGATTACATCAGTCACCGCGAGGGGAGGTAGACCTGGCCGGCGCTCGTGCCAGGATCGACGGGAGCCTGAGCGCAGGACGCAGCGCAGGATGACGTTGAAAGTTGGGACACACGTACACACGCATACAGGGGTCCGAGACATCCGGCCGACGCATGGGTGTGTGGGTGTGTGGGTGTGTGGGTGTGTGGGTGAGTGGGTGAGTACCTGCCCTGGGCCGGGAATGCGTGACGATCCCTCTCCGTCCGTTACATCTCTCCTCCCCCTCCACCTCCCTTCCACTCGCCATAACCCGTCAGTTCGCAGAAGACACAGCACACGCGACGAGTCAAGGGACAGATAGTTCACTGGAACGACCCGGCAGCTCGTCGGACAAGCACCGGCTCCTCCGTTACGTGAGCCCGTCCTGTGTCTGTGCGGAGCACGCGGAGTGCGTGCGGAGTGGGTCGGCGCCACACCATAAGTCACGACCGTATTCATCGCCACGGATTCAACGCTGCAGCGGAATCGAGCTGATTGAATCATACCACTGACGCCGCGTCAATAATGGACTTTCTACTCATCCGACGTTCTAGCGCTCGATCGGAAAGTCGGAAGCATCGAACGTTCGAATGCGCGAGATGTTCTCGGGAAGCCATCCACGACACTGGCGTCATGTGTGTATCGCTGTCGTTGCGTGCCGTTGTTGTCTCGGACAGTGTAAATTGTCACTTTGGCAAGCTGTCTCCAGAACAAAGTAGGTCACTGCAACCGTCGGATGGGGATTTGGAGCCGAATGGCGAACACTGCATGCGCCAAGAGACTGAATCGTTACGACGTGTTGGCTTGATCGCGTCTTTCTCAGACTCGCACAGTCGCAGACTCACACACTCTTTTGCTTTGTTTACATGTTTATCTCTGTGTGTGTTTTGGCTTTTTCTACCAAGAAGGATGTATCCTGGCGATCGCAATTGGGCTTAGGTTTGCTGTCGCTAAGCATATCATGCGAAGATGCCTGCCAGCCTTTGCTCATTGCAGACTCAATGAGAGGGGCAAACTTTGGCTCGCTGATCGTCCATAAATGACACGCGCGCCCCTGCTCGACTTTTAGTGTTGGCTTACGCTACCCCCCTTGCTTGACATGCTCAGCTGCTCATGAGCGTCAGCTAATCGCATGCGAGAATGCACATGCACAGGGGCTGGGTAGAGTGCAGTTGCCCCTTGTGGAAACGGACCGCTCGTCTCTCGGGCTTATGACTCCCCCTGCCTAGCCCTGTGTTCGCCATGATGAGCCTGTCCGACGCGCATAGCGCGCTACGGCAGGCGCGATCCGGTTGGTGCGACAAATGCCGCGAAAATGGCGTTACCCCGGCATCACCCATTCATTCTTCGATAGCGCTGCTGGAATCCAATCTCTTCTCCGTCTTCCGTTCTTCAGCATTCATGAGATGGCCGCGGAGAGAGGATGTGACTGGATGCAAGGCGTGCAAGAGAATTACGAGAATATGTGCGCCGCCAAAGTCTGGCTTGCAGGGAATGCAGCCTGCACTGACGCGCTGGACGCGACGGGGGCCAATGACGTGCACGCCCTGCGCACATCAGAGCATGCCTTCGGTGGTGGCATCCAAGCCCGCAAGCTGCAAGGCTGCAGAGCTGGCAGAGGCTGCAAGGACCCTCGGTCCTCATAGTCCTCGTCCAGGCGCACAGGAGGTTCTTCAGCAGAATCCCAGGGTGCGCCAGCTTCTGCGCCCCTCTTAGCCCTCTTCTTATGCCCTCATATCTGGAGGCTGGAGATGGCGCAGGCCGTGCGCGCCATTACACCTGGCAGTCACTATTCGTCGAGGTGCAAGGACGGCAAGGAAGACCCTCTTTTTCGCGCCTGCTATGGCGCAAGCGCGCAAGAGAAGGCAGACTGCAGACTGACGCGCTCAAGGGCAGAAGCACAGAAGCACAGAGAACATTACCGTTCCTCGCAGCTTTCCTGCGTTCCTTCATGAACTTTGGGGGGACTTGAGATGGGCCCGCGGCTGTCGGGCAGTCGCGCGCCCGTTTCTGCACCAGTCATGAGCGAGAATAAATGAGGCGACGGGGGCGCGCACAATGCAAAGCTTCGAGGCGCGCACTCGCTGCGATTGGCTTGGTCTTGCAAGTGGGCTTTTGGTCTGTGCGTCCCTCCTTCTTCCTTCACCCCTCCTTCTTCCTTCACATTCACGCTCCATCAGCTCCCAAAGGAAGAGAAGCAAGGTTTCATCATTACCTCATCGCGGTGGATCCAGTGATCGCTGTGCTGTGTGTGAGTTGGGATGCCTAAGCAAGAACTGTGCAACCAGTCACTGTGGAATTCTGATCGCAGTTCGCAGAGTGCGCTGCTTGCTGCTGCTCGCTGTTTGACTGCGTCACGCGTCTTTCGCAATCGAATGGGTCTGCACCGGGTGTCGAGGGAGGGATTGAATGGATGGCGTTGCGAGGAACCCACAAGCGCCTGGATTGAAAAGGGCATTGAGCACGGACGTGTGCAGCAGCCATGGCCAGGGCAAGTGACCGGCTCCTAGGCACGGGTGGGAGGACGCGTCAGGGCGTGCAGGGCGCCAAACAATGCGTGCCCCTGCTTGCCCTGCCGCCATGAGACGCGTCCCTGGGCCTGACCGCGATGGCCTGACTGTCTTTGCGCGCGTCGACTGCAGCATCCCCTTGACTTTTGCTCTTCATCTTGCGAGTCTTAGCGTCCTTAGTCCCCCGCCGTGCCGTACTAGCTTACTTCCAGCGCTTTGCACACCCTCCTCGACACTCCTCGCTGTCCAAACCCTCGCCTTCATCGTCATCTTCCCCCCCCCTCTTTCTTCTCCATCTTCCTCACATTCTTCACTCCCGACTCCCTCGTCATCTCCTCCTCCTCCTCCTCCTCACCGACGCACCTCCTACTCCTCTCCGGGCGGACTCAAGTCTCCTGTGCCCTCTCCTCCGACCCATCCTCCTCCTCTCCAAGCTTTCACATTTCAACAACAAAGAACAAACCCCACACTCTTTTTGGTGCGTTCTTCCTGCTCCCTGCCCGAAACATTCTGCCCTTTCTCAAACGGGAACCGCGGCCCCTTGCCCATCACGGCCATCGCCATCACTGATCATCCTCCGCCTCTGGCCGCCCTGATCACCCTATCGCACACCTCGGAGTACTGACGAGCAGAACGATTTCACAAAGTCTCAGCATCAACAACGACACCTCTATCAACTACCGCGCCATGCGCTGGCCGGTCGCCTATCTTTGCCTTCTGGGCTGGGTGACTCTCGCCGCAGCAAAGCCCAACTTGGTCACTCCTCCGCAGTCTCAACTCCCGCCCGTCGCCCGCGTCGGCGAGGACTTTGTGTGGGACATCCTCCCGGCTCCTTCACGTCCTCGACCCCGATCCAGTACTCTGTCGACGGTCTGCCGTCATGGCTCAACTTTTCCTCACCTGTCACCACCTTCTCGGGAAACCCTTCGTCCAAGGACGTCGGTCAGTACAACTTTACTCTGAACGCCAACGACGGCAACGGCACGACCAGCACGATCATCAACCTGATCGTCTCTGACGAGCCCGCACCTCAGGTCGGCATGGCCTTCTCGTCTCAGCTCCAGGATCCCTCGTCCCGCCAGCTCGCTAGTGTCCAGATCATGGCTAACAACCAAGGCGTCACTGTGCCTCCCCGCTGGTCCTTCTCCCTTGGCTGGAACGGCAACACGTTCAAGCGTGCCGAGGGTGGCAAGCGCCTGTTTTATGATGCCAGGCTCAAGAGTGGACAGCCCCTGCCGCAGTGGCTCGAGTTTTCGAACAGCACGTTCACGTTCAACGGTGTCGCACCCTCTGGCGGTGTCTTCCCTATCGTCGTCACGGGCACCGACTTTTGGGGCTACAGGGCTGCGACTTCCGAGTTCATCCTCGCCGTCGGTGGAGGTGACGCCGTGGAGCTCGCTGGTCAGTGGCAGCCGATCAACACGGTCGCCCGCTCCAAGGTCGACTACAAGATTGATACCTCGACTGTGACTGTCGGCGGCAAAAATGTTGACGCCGCCGCGCTCAAGGTGAATGCTCTCCTGAGCAACTTCCACTGGCTCTCCTTCGACAACAAGACGAACACTATTTCTGGCACGACCCCCGACGACCTCGTCAACGGTACTGTCGTCCCGATGGACCTTCCGATTAGCCTCGCGTCTGTCAATGCCTCCAACTCTCTCAGTTACCTGGCCTACACCAAGCTCAACATTCTGCCCTACTTCTTCACCAACTTTACTCTGCCGAACGGCAAGGCGGCCGTCAACGAGACCTTTGCCTACAATTTAAGCCCGTACATCGCCGCCGACTCTCCTTCTATCAATGCGACTGTCGTTCCCGCCGAGGCTGCCAAGTGGCTGACATACTACTACGAGAACCGCACCCTCGTCGGTACTCCCCCGGGAAACATTACCTACAACTCGATCAACCTCACCTTCATGGGCACCGTCAACAATGTCGCCGCGACCACCCAGGTCTTCATCCCGATCGATGGAGTCCAGCAGCCGCCGCAAACCAACAGCTCCGCCCCGGTTCCGAACGGCAAGGTCGGCAAGAAGTCGAACAAGGCTGTCATCATCGGCTGCGTTGTCGGAATCGTTGGCGGTCTTCTCGTCCTCGGCCTGCTTGCTCTCCTCTTCTTCTGCTGCTACCGGAAACGCAAGAACCAGAAGCGCGTGTCCTTCTCCAGTAAGGCGGACTCGGACCCGTTCGCGAAGCGCGAGCGTGCCCAGGGCACACCCTCGACTCTGGTTGCGACACCCGAGGCCAAGAAGAAGCTCGACGACAGCTCCATCTCTTCGGGCACCACGGCGCAGAGCACGCCCCTCGCGACACCCTTAATGCCGCGCTTTGGCGGTATCGGGGCGGCTGACGGAAACGACGACGCGGCCGAGTTGGAGGACAAGGTTGAGGCACTCAAGACGCGCGACGACTCGCACGGCTCATCGTTCGTTGGCCAGGGCGAGATGATTGGCTCGGTCGACCCGAACGCCTCGCTGAACCAGACGCCCAAGATGAAGAAGACGGCTGCGGCTGGCGCAGCTGCTGCAGGCATTGCCGCTGGAGCTGCTGTGACCAAGGTGCCCAAGTCTGCGTCTGGTCAATCTGGCCCTCGCCCCAGCCGTCGCACGTTTAGTGGCGAGTCTCTGGCGAGCTGGGAGAGCCAGCCGTCGTTCCACTGGTCGGACGAGTCCAACTACCTTCCCCCGATGGCGCTGCCATCCGACGGCGTTCCGTCAACAGCTAACAACTCGGTCGTCAACACGTCTGTGATTCCCGGCGTCCCGATACCGAGCTCGGAGACCGCCGACATGCTCGCCGCTGGCGACGTCGCGCGTTCCCCTGCCGGACCGATACCCCGCCCGCTGCCGGGCTTCTACCCCAAATTCCCGCGACACATTGCGCCCGGACAACCGGCGCCCTTCATTTCGTCTGACAACTTGCCGTCAATCGACTTTTCCGAGTTCCGCGACGACACCTCGCGATCCCTCAACTCCAACTCGTTTGCGGACTCTGGCTCGCCCATCAACTCGGCCAACTTCTTCCCGAGCCGCAGCACCAACGCCCTCTCCTCGGGCGAGGTGCTGTACTCTGGCGCGTTCACCTCGGGCGGGTATCTGTCATCTGACGAGCCTGTGATTCAGACCGCGCAGCGACAGAGCCTCGAGGCGCAGCGCTCGACGATTGTCGAGGTCGCTCCCAGCTCGGTTGTGACGCCGCCGTACATGGCGTCGAGCAATGTGCCTTCGCCTCCTGCGCCGCACATTCCTTCGCCCCTGTCGGCGGAGAAGCAGCGTAACACGCAGCGCCGTGTGTCGTCGCAGCGCCGCCCGCCAGCCGAGCGCACAAACTCGACCCGCGAGCACATTGTCGGTGACGCGCCCGTCGAGGCGTATGACGACGGCTACTGGACGACCGACGAGGCTTAGGAGCCCTCACCCTCGTCCAAGGGCAAGCGCGTACGGTTCTCTTTAGGCACGCGGCCGGACGGCATTGCCGTGCTCGACCCGGTCTTTGTCGTGGACTACCCGCGACACCCACCGAGAACCTACCTGCGCGTCTAGACAAGATCGCCATGTCGCTTGCCCCCCTCCACACTGTAAACACCCGCTCACCCCGGGCGTATTTCCCTGATTGACGGACACTCATCATCCATAGACACACTCCACACTCCTTGCATTGAACCAGAACGGGCTGTATCCTAGGTATAATAGAATGTAACATATGTGCCTGCGCAAAGATTGTTCGAGTGAGGCGTAAAGTCAGGCGCGGTGTGAGGTCGAGTGCAGACTTCTGAGTCAGTTGGGTGGGCAATGACGCGATCCGGAGCCGGTCGGTTCCTGAGCCATCGCCGGGAATACGCACGAAATCGCGGCGAACCTCCGGCGTATCGGCCCCCATTAAACAAGGCACTCAACTTTCTTGCCCCCCTCAGCCAACCGCTCCGGTATCTCGGCCTCTGCCTGCCCTCCCAGCCCGTCCCACCCAGAGAGCATCCTATATCTCGGCCCTCTACCATGTCCGCATCCTCCAGACCGCCCAACATCAACATGGATCTGGCTCCGAACCACCCGCACCAGCCCGAGGAGCCCATCCCGCCCTTCCCAACCGATGTCGACGTCCCCGCCCTCGATCCTAGCTTGAAGCTGCCCCCGAAGGAGGGAGAGTACAGCGACCTCCTGCTCGGCTGCGCGACGTTCGGATACGGCGTGTACGAGAGCAAGGAGCACGTCCGGACCAATGAGCCGCTCAAGATTGTCAAGACGGCGCTTGACGCGGGCATCAACGGGTTCGATACTTGTGAGTGTTGGCTTGGGGGGATGAGCGAGAGTAAATCTGCGGCGGGGCGCGGGGCAGCGTGGCTCCGCGTCTGTGTCTGCGCACGGGGAGGCTTACAGGACTTGCTTAACATTGCATTCCCCTGGCACGTTTCATAAGCTAACGACGATGATGGAGAAGAGCAAAGAGGCTAGCGCTGACACCCAAGCCCCCCACTACCACCCCTCCGAGACGATTCTGGGGCACGCCCTCGCCTCGCTCCGCGCCCAGTACCCTCGCGAGAGCTACAAGCTCCTGACCAAGGCGGGCAAGTACGGCCCCCGGCTGCAGGACCACGTCTACAGTCCGGACGTCATCCGCGCCTCGGTCGAGCGCTCCCTTCGCCGACTGCAGACCTCGTACCTCGACGTCGTGTATCTGCACGACTGCGAGTTCCTCTCGTCCTTCCCCTTCCCCATGCCGGCGGGGGACCACTCGCTCGCCCTGAGCTCGGAGGCAGAGGCGGAGGCATGGGGTCTCGCTGAGCCCTATAACCCGCGGGGGGAGGGCGACGCCGCGGTACTTGCTGCGTTCCAGGAACTGCGCAAGATGCAGAAAGAGGGCAAAATCCGAGCCTGCGGATTGGCGGGATACCCGCTCCCGACGCTGCTGCGGTTCTGCCGCATGATCAAGGCGCAGACGGGGGAGAGCGTGGATGTCGTGCAGAACTATTCCCACTTTACGCTCCAGAACAGCGCGCTCGAAGCGTACCTCCCCGCCTTCACTTCTGCCGGCGTCAGGCAGGTCATCAATGCCGCACCCCTCTCCATGGGCCTACTGACGACCGCGGGGCCGCCGGGGTGGCACCCCGCCGTGTTCGTCGATCATCTCCGGGACTCGGCGCGCGAGGCCGCCCAGCTCTGCAAGAAGGAGGGGGGCAGTATTGAAGAGGAAGGACTGAGGTTTGGATACAAGCGGCTCAGCATGGGAGAACGGGGCAAGGAAAAGGTCGTGCCCTGCGTCATTGGGTGCACGACGCGGGAGCAGCTGATCCAGACACTGCAGACTTTCAAGAAGGTCCGCGATGGAGAGGAGAGGAGCGAGCTTGGTGACAAGGTCAGGGGGTTGCTCGAGGAGAGGGGGGCGCTGGGCGTCAGCTGGCAGAAACCGGCGCCGGAGGAGATGATTTAGGCGTTGGTAAAGCTGGGGAAGTACAGTGATCCCGATCCGCATGTCCATAGAAGTTGTTAGTAGACCCTTGTCATAGAGATGAAGCCATCAGCAGTGCACGAGCAGCCACTCAAGAGGAGCATGTGTATCATTATTCATTATGGATAAGCTACAACTGACACATCTCCTTTACGCTGTACAACTGCGAGATCCCACTCACACCTCCTCGAGGATATCCACCAGGTCTTCATCGAGGTCCTCTCTCCTCTTCTGCGCCGCCCTCCTGTCGTTCTCATCCAACTCTCCCACGTGGGGCAACTTGCAGTGCTTCGCTCTATCCTCTGCGCTCCCCTCCAGCGCATAGAGCATGTTCTCCCCGCCCCTGCGCTCGCTGCACCGGTGCCGCATCACGATGGCAAAGACAGCCCTCGCATTCTCCGGCCGAACGTACCAGTCCTCGACCTGCGTCTCCGGTCCGAACACAGCAGCAGGCTTGGGCCTCTCGCCCGCCTTGCTGGCCCAGTCGCCCATCCCGCCCTCGCCGACCGTGAAGGGCGTCGCGGAGCGTCCCGAACGTTTCTTCCATGCCGCCATCGCCTCCCTCCATCCGGGAGGTAGGTGGAAGGAGGACGACAGCACTGTGTGCGCGCGCACGAAGGCGTCCAGACTCGCCGTGGCTGAGCGGGACAGCTGCGCCACGAGCGTCGGGTGCAGGGCTAGCGCTGAGACGAGGTTGGAGACGTAGATCTCGAGCGGCGGGTGCATGTGCGTCGGGATCAGGAGCGAGCGCACATCCGCCACGTACCCCGGGTCGAGCAGGGCATGCACCCCCAGACCGGCCGGCGGCGCCGTCGGGACAGGCAGCGTCGCCATCCGGATCGAGCACGCGAAGAGGTTAAGCTGGTGTCAGTTGAGAGTCTCGAAGAAGACTTACCAGCCACGGCGGGAAGGCGTCATAGTCCTCGTCTCGGACCCAGATGAGCAGGGCGTCGTTCCCCTCCACCTCGCGGCGTAACTTGATCGCAACGGGGGAGGAGACGTGCTCGAGCCCCGTGACGACGCACGCCTGAGCACCAGTCAGCGAGACAGAGGACGCCGTGCTGTGTGCGTTCAAGTGTAGGAGTTTCGTCCGGAAGCCGAACACGCTCTCGCATAACTGTATTATCGTCAGCTTCACCAACGGCGAAGCAGCTTACGGTTACGGCTTGCCTCGTTGCTCGGCCTATGGCCCCGCCTGGTCGCCGGCTTGAGGACACGTCGACGTCGAGGATGATGCCGCCCCCGCCCCCGCCCCAGCCTCGGTTCATCAGTGTCATGAGCCAGAGAGCGAGGAGGGTGCCGTCTGGCACCCAGCCTTGTAGCTCTGCCCGCCGGGAGAGATAAGACACAAGCTCGGAGACATAGTTTGGGACACCCGGTGAGGGGATCTCCTCCATCCTGCGAGGCCCTTCTGTCGAGTTCCCGGGTTCCAGGTTGCCGGCTGATGCTGCAGCTCGTCGTGGGGGTGGGGGCTTGTAGACGGTGTCGGAGGAGCACCAGAGGGATGCCGCCGCTTGAGAGTATTCTGAGAGGGGCCACGGTACGAAGCAATGTTGTCGGTTGAGAAGAAGTTGTAGTGGATCGATCCACGAGGCTCAAACTTCTTCGATTGTGCTCTAGCTGCCCTCGCTGCGTCATGTGTCTGCGTGTGGTGGCAACTTTCCTCCCGCCAGGCACGCGCCGATCGTCCTAGCGGGGGCCATTATTGTTGTCGCGCAATCCAGTCACCTCCACCTCCAACCTCCACCTTCCCCGTCCGCCCCCTTGCTGATCCAGACGCGCCCTTCCTCCCTTCCAAATGTGCTTTCAGCGTTGTCCACATCGTCACACGCATCGTCACCAGTCACCAGATCAACCGCGGCCATGGTCAAGCTGCCTCCTTTGGAGCGCTATGTCGCCATAGGTGCGTCGGTCACCGGCGTAGGGGCACAGCAGCTGGTGGCCGAATTGTATGGAACCTACAGCTGACGACAGACTGCGAGATGGTGCTGACGACGAAACACCAGCTGGCGCGGTGAGCTAAGCACTCGTTCAGATAGCTGACAGCAGCATCGCGCTCGTCGACCACCAGTGCCAGGTCCTGTACCACTCCTACGTCTTCGTGCATCCCCATAACGTGAGGGACTACCAGACCAAGTGTGAGCTATCATTCTACCCGTCTCCCCAGCTGACACACAGACAGCGGGATCCGGGCAAAGGACCTGGAAGGAGGTACGTACCCCAACATAGCTACAGGGCTTCTGGTACCAGCTGACCCCCAGCCCCGACGTTCGAGCAGGTCTTCGCGACTGTCATCCCGCTGCTGAAGGACAAGATCCTGGTCGGGCACGCGCTCTTCAACGACCTCCAGGCGCTGGGGCACAGGCACACGTACGAGGACGTCCGCGACACGGCGCTGTTTTACCCCCTCCGCACTCGCGTGGGATGCACGCAGGACGGCGTGTTCCCGCCCCTGAAGGCGCTCGCGAAGGAGGTACTTGGTAGCGAGATCCAGGAGGGAGAGCATGATCCGGTAGGTCCCCAACAGGGAGCAGCTGGTGGGAACGACGCGTGACAGCTGACAGCCAGGTGCAAGATGCTCGCGCGACGATGGCCGTCTTCCTCGCTGTGCGCGAGGAGTACGAGGCTATGCTCGCTCAAGGGGGAGACATTGCGCCGATTCCTGAGTGAGTTGTGGGTGGCTCTCCAAGCTGACGACCAGTTCTTATGCCAGGTGGTACTGGTAACTCGGATGCCAGCTTCTCGTAGTGAGAGCCAATGAATACCAGTCAATGTTGGTCTGTTGAGCTGATGTCAGTCAGCACTACCTCAGGAAGGGGAGCGCCTCAATCCCTTGCTCGGAGACGCACAGCCTCGACAGTCAGGCGCTCATCGCAGCCCGATACGACTTCAAGTTTTGGCTCTCGGACGAAAACGAACTAACCGCAGTGTCCTGGTCCTCCCTCCAATCGTCAGTTGTTGTTCACTTGCAGTAAAACTGACAAGCAGCCCACTTCGTTCTTCAGGATGCATATTCACTTATCGTTTGGTTTCTTAGACTACTTCTTTCCTATCATTTCTGCAAGACTTTCGTTCTAGATCCGAGACATTAGCTGCCACTTCTCAGTGGCCAGATTAGGGACTCGTCGCTGTCAGGATTGGGAGGTGGGGAAGGAGTGTGTGTGAACGGTCGACACTTAGTAGGTGCTTCCGTGGCCCGTGGCGCCCTCGCCGCGCTTGATCGCCTCGCCCTCGAGCACCTTTGCCTCGTCGTGCGACATCTTGCCGCTCATCACCTTCATCTCGCCCTTGATCTTGGCCATGAACCCGACCTTGCCCTTCTTGCCGCTCCCGGTCGAGCCGACGCTCTCGTTGCGGCTGTGGCCCGTCGCGCCCGTGGCGGTCGTGTCGTGCGTGCCGGTGGTTCCCGTCGTGCCGTGCGTGCCGGTGGTACCCGTGGTGCCAGTAGTGCCGGTCGTGCCAGTGGTGCGGGCAGTACCGGTGTTGGCGGCCGTGGTGCCGGTCGTGGCGTCGTGATGTCCGGCAGTGGTGCCGGTGGTGCCGGTAGTAGCACCGGTGCTAGTGGGGGTAGAGCCAGGAGTGCGGCCGTGCGCCGCATCCTTGACACCCTCCTTCACATCGCGGGTGGTGGAGCCAGTGTTGTGGCCCGTGCCGGGGGTTCCGCCGGTGGTTGTGCCAGTGGTGCCCGTAGTACCAGTGGTGGTGCCAGTGGTGCCAGTGGTGCCGGGGGTAGAGCCGACGTGGGTCTCCTTGACGGGGCTTGAGGTCGTGCCAGTAGTTCCAGTGGTACCAGTAGTGCCAGTAGTTCCGGTGGTGCCAGTTGCACCAGTAGTGCCAGTGGTGCCGGGCTTGTTACCATGAGCGACGTCACGACCGGCAGCCTTGATGTCCTGGGTTGTGGAGCCGGTCGCGTGGCCGGTACCAGGGGTGGAGCGGGCGGCAGAAGCTCCGCCAACGGCGGCACCAGTACCGGCTCCGACGCCGGCGGCGGCGGCAGCGGTCTCGGCAGTGTGGTGGGTCGAGTCGTAGTGGCCTGCACCGAGACCTGCGGCCACAGGGGCCGAGATGCCGGACTGGCCAGTACCGGTGGTACCGGTGGTACCAGTGGTGCCCGTGCCGTTAGTACCAGTGGTGCCAGTGTGGCCGGTGGTAGTGCCAGTGGTGCCAGTGTGGCCGGTGGTAGTGCCCGTAGTGCCTGTGGTGCCAGTGTGACCAGTGGCACCGGTAGTGCCAGTGGTGCCAGTGGTGCCGGTGGTGCCGGTGTGGCCAGTGGTGCCAGTGGTGCCGGTGGTGCCGGTGTGGCCAGTAGTAGTACCAGTGGTGCCACTGGTGCCGGTAGCGGTGCCAGTGTGGCCAGTGGTAGCAGTACCCTTCTTCAGAGCGTACGAGGCATCCTCTGGGTGGCCGGGACGCTCAGTGTTGACCCAAGCGCCGGCGGAAGCAACGCTCGCATCAGTAATGGGAGGGTTGTGACCAGGCGAGCCGTGGTTGTGCCACTCGTCGGGGTGAGTGACGGTGTGGTGAGCGGTGTAGAGAGTGCGGTGGGGAGTGTGGCCATGGCCAGTACCGGACTGGGCAAGGGCGTACGAGGCATCCTCCGGGTGACCGCGACGCTCGGTGTCGACCCAGGCGCCGGCGGAGGCAACGCTCGCATCAGTGACGGGAGGGTTGTGGCCGGGCGAGCCGTGGTTGTGCCACTCGTCGGTGGTGTCCTTGTGCTTCTTGTCCTTGTCGTGGTGGTGGTGGAAGAGGCCGTGGTGCTTGTGGTGACCCGAGGTGCCGGCAGTAGTGCCCCCAACAGCACCAGTGCCGGTGTCGAAGTGGCCGCCACCAGCACGCTTCTCCTTCTCGGCGAGCGCTGCCCACTCCTGCTCAGTCATGACGAGAGTGCCGTCGGGCGTGCGGTGGGTCTGGGCGCCCTCAGCCCACTCCTCGCGCTCCTTGGCAACGTCGGCGTTGGTCGCCTCGACGCCGACAGGAACAGCGTCCTTGGCAGCACCGGTACCGCCCGAAGCGAGGATGGCAGTGTCAGCACCGCCGGGGTCGGGGTGGTGGTGCGCGCGAGCCGCCATGGAGGCAGGCACGTCAGTGAAGCCGGGCACATCGTCAACCATCGCGTCCTGCTCCGAGGCGATGAATCGCTCGGCGCCGTCGCGCGGCTTGCCAGCCGAGGGAATCTCGGCCTCGCGGGTGCGGTAGCGCTCGATGGCAGCACTGTCGCGAGTGGACGTGTGCGACAGCTGAGGGTCGCGAGACTTGCTGTGGAACAGGCCACCGGCGTGCGACGAGTGGGACTGAGTGTGCGACAGGTCCTGGCCATGCTGGTTGTGGTGGACGGCCGCGGCGCCAGCGGCGCCTCCAGCGGCAGCACCGGCGGCAGCGCCGAGAGCAGTGCCCTCGGTCTTGCCAGTGGGGTAGCGGTCGCGCTGGCTGGCGGTGCCGGACGAGGTAACAGAGCCGCTGTTAGCGGGCACACCGCGCTGCTCAGAAGCGACAGCGGAGGTGGTACCAGGGTGCGAACCCGTGGCGCCAGTGGTGCCGTGGGTTCCAGTAGTACTAGTGGTCCCGGTGGTCCCGGTAGTACCGGTAGTACCGTGGGTTCCAGTGGTACCAGTAGTGCCAGTGGTGGTGCTGGGGTGCGAGCCGGTGCCAGTGGTTCCGGCGACACCAGTGCCGGTAGTACCAGTCGTACCCGAGGTGCCGGTAGTACCAGTAGTTCCAGTGGTACCCGTGGTGCTAGGGTGAGTGTTGTGCGTCGAGTCGTAGTGACCGGCGCCCAAGCCCGCCGCAACAGGAGCAGACACACCGTGGCTGCCCGTGCCAGTGGTACCGGTAGTGCCAGTGTTTCCAGAGGTGCCAGAGGTGCCAGTGGTGCCGCGCTGGCCAGAAGTGCCAGAAGCGCCAGCGATGCCAGAGCCCTGCTGGGTGCCAGTAGTGTCACCGGTACCAAAGGTGCTACGACGGGTGTCGTCGTTGTCGCGGGTGCGCGAGTGGCCGTCGTCATTCACGACAGCAGCGTTGGACGCGGTGCGGTCGCTCTCCGTGAGGTGGGTCTTGTGAAGTTGAGACGTGACGCCGGCGACGCCAGCGCCCACGGCACCGCCGGCAGCACCGGCGCCAGCGGCGGTCTTCCAGCCAGCACCCTCGCGGGCGCCGGTGGGGTCGTGGTCCTGATACTCGCGGGAGTCTTCCCAGACATCGTTAGACTCCTGGCGCGTGGGGACACGCGAGGCAGACTCGGAAGGCGTGATGTTGTCGCCGCCGGTGGACTGGTAGCCCTGCTGCCTGGTGTTGCTGTTGTAGGCACCAGAGGTACCCGTGGTACCAGCACCAGTGCCGGTGGTGGCACCCGCTCCGGTACCAGTACCAGTCTGGCGCTGGATCTGCTGACCAGTGCCAGTGCCAGTAGTGCCCGTAGCGCCAGGAGTGACGATGGGCGTGCTGGACGCGGTAGAGGTGGCTGAGGCATCAGCGGGAGTTCTGTCCGCGCCTGTGTTTCTGGTGGGGCTGTGCTCGACGGGGTTGCCCTCGGAGCCTCCGTGGATGGCGGTGATGGAGGCGGCCGAGTCAGCGCGGAGAGGGCCGCGCCTTGTCTCGCTCGCCTACACGACGCTCTTCCGATCTGCGCCGGTGGAGGCAATCATCGCCTCGCGGTTCCCACCTTCGGCCGTGTCAGGTCGAGTCACCATGACGGCCTCCGTCGACGTACCGGTGTTGTTGCCGCCAACGCCGCGCTGGCCTTGGCCTTGCTGCGCGTACGACGACTGGTCCTGCCCAGAGTGGGGCTGGATGAACTGCTGGTTGCTCTGAGTACCACCAGCGCCTCGAGCACCGCCAGTGGTGTCGTGGCCGCCGGCACCGCCAGTACCGCTCGAACCGCCACCACGGTACAGGTTGTCGGCGGTGTCAATGCTGTCATAGCTAGCCTCATCACCGACCTCGTCAATGAAGTAAGCGGTGGTGTTGTCGTCGAGCGCAACGGCCTGGACGTCCTGCGTTGGGTTCGGGGACGCGGGAGCGTTCGAGCGCTGGGTCTGCTGCTGCGACGAGGCCTTGGGAGTCTCGGAGCGCTGCTGCGAGGTCGCGAATGACTGCTGGCTGAAGCCCTCGGGATAGTTTGAGGAGCGCTGCTGCTGTGGCGGGGCGCCTCGAATGCCATCGAAAGCCTGTCCGACGTCATCGGAGAAAGACTTCTCGCCGGTTCCTGCTGGTCAGTGTTCAGTCGTCGATCGCGTACTAACCTCCGGAACCGCCCTCGGCGGCCCGCTTGGCAGCAAGTTGCTCGCGGGTCAGGCCTGCAGTGTTGGGCTGGCCGGTGGCGGGGTTGATCGAAGTGCCGGGGCGGGGCACATTGGCCGACGTCGCCAGGCCGCCGCCAGTGACCGAGCTCTGGTTGTACTGGTCGGCCATTACGGGGCACTCGGTTGGTCTGTTTGCTGTGTGCTGTTTGCGAACGGGTTATACACAAGGTACGAAGAAGATGATAGTGATGTCAAGACAGAAGGAAGTACGGAAATGACACTGGAATGAGAAAGAGATGGTTAGAAGGTCAGCGTAGGTGTTTAGTCCGGGGGGGTGTGGGTCCATCGTTCGCGGATACGACTTCGCAATTGGAGTCCCTGGTGGACGGTCGGTCTTGGTGGAACGCTGCGAGGGCAGTAAGGTTGAGGGGGTGTGGTCATGTCTCGAGGTGTGGATCGGTGAACGGGTGACGTCATTGTGCACTCTGGGTATGAGGACTGATGCAATCGCAGGTGGAGGTCGTTGCTGCAACGAGTAATAATAGTCCGAGCTGAGTGGAGGTTGCTCAGTTCTAGAGGGCTCTGTGTTGTGAACACGTGACTTGGCTCGGTCAAGACATCTTCCGACCGGACTTCTGGAGCATCGCATCGGAGAAGACGCAGTCCCTCTGGTTAGGAGGCGAAGGCTGGTTCCAGTTTGAGCCTGGTTCCAGTCCAGTTGCGGATCACGAAGCCGCAAGGGTGGCACTTGACGTTGTGGTGCGACCTTCTCCGAACTGTCACGCTGCTGTCTAAGAAAGACGAGGTGGCGAGCAGCGGCGATGTTTATGTACTGGCTGCGCGGCTGCGAGAGTGGAGCATGTTGCATGCTGCAAGATCTGTTGTTCCTCGCCCCTGCACTCTGCGATCTGCCTACTCGGTTCAGCAGTCCTGCGACGTCCTGTGGAGTCCTGTGGATCCTGCAAAGCTTGCGGACTGCGGTTCGTCACCTTCCCTCGCTTCTTCGCCCTGCGCAGGGACGGGCAACGTGCGGCGCGGATCAGAATCGCGCCGCCGAACGCCGCTGATGCCTTCCTTTGTAGACAAGCTTTCCTGGAATCCTTTCGCAGACTCCTGCACACGGACAGTTCCTAAAGCCTATAAGCCATCCCTTCAACCCGCCGTGCACGCCGTGCAGCACGCCGCAGCAAGCCGCTGCGCAGCAGGTGGCAGTGTCGGCCTACTCGGGCCCGCGTCGCCTCTTGCATTCTTTCATACTCGGCGAAAGCCGTTGCATCGTCGGCGGCGTTAGCATGTCCCCCGTTGTGGGCATTTGGGCGGTGGGCCGCACTTGACACGGCGGGTTCTTCCGATCCGTCAGCGTTTCGCAGTGGATACAGCGATCATTAAAGATCGTCTTGCAAGCCCTGTGCATCTTGACGATCTTGAAATGGGATCTGGACACAGCCTCGGATGTCTTTCCGCCCCGGCCGCCTCGTTATGCCCGGTCAGCTTTCCGAGTCCGCCGGCCCAGCCTCCTGCTGACTTGTGTGGCTGTTGCGATCTGAATTCAACAGCGCCTCGTCCACAAGTGGAAGACTACGAGCAGGAGACGGAGCCCGAATGCATAGTCTGCATAGGTTAGAGGTGCAGCGAGCATGCGCGTGCAGCCGTCTCCAACGGAAGCCCAGTCCAGGGCGCAGCGTCATCGCTCGTGCCAACGGGCCAGCGGGGAATCCTAACCTTGTAAAAGTGCGCTACCCCTCTGATCAGTCATCGATCGTGATCGTCGAAACCTTGCTCTCAATTCGTCTTTGGGCATGTGCTGCAAGGGTATGCTAGTGCCGCGGGTCAGAAGCACATGCACAAGGGCACACAGGCACATGGGGCGGAGCTACGGCGTCATCAGAGCTTGCCAAAGCTTGCCTCGGAGCTCCCGACGACCCGTGGGCTCCGAGGGCGGAACGCGGAGCTCATTGGCTGTCTCCGCCGAGGTACCACATTAGCGAAGTCGCACGTCGTCCCGAGCCTAGAGCCCACCCACCCGTGTTCATTAGCGAGGGCGATCGTGCTGATCGCTTTCCGCATGACGCATGATCCGCATGATGACCAGGATCCGCAGGGGAAACGTGTGATCGGATCGTAGACGATCGTTAAGATCGACGAACGGCGATCAGGCCAACGTATAGGTCGCACGATCGTGCACAACAGTCTCAGAATAGAAACTGTGATCGATGTACCCGCCCGCCTCGTGCAATGTGCGCAATGTACGGGTACTGATGAAGAGGTGTCACCGCTACGTAACCGCACTCGTGGACTGAGCGCGGCGTCGAGCATGACTATTGGGCCGCACATGTGTTTGGGGCGCAGCCATCGGCTTCAGCTTCAGCCCGCTTCAGACAGCAGACGCCGCCTCGAACGCCGGTGACGCCGGCGACACGATACACCGGCCACTTCCACGCCGTCCCAGACGCCGTTGCACCTCGTTACGGTTGTGGGCGGCGCCAACCCGGCGCCAACCGCAGCCTGGCGGAGGACTGCCCGCCAACCTGCAGTTGCCAAGAGGGGGGCGTTCAGCCGTGTCCAGCCGTGTCCACACATAGCACACAACGTCAGCCCTGCTCGGATGCCCCAAGCTCAACTGGGACAGGTGCAAAGGTGCGGCACTCGCAGGCCTGGCGGACATGCTGATATCGCCCAGCGAGCGTCAGTAACGACGCAGCATGAGTATACTGACTGTGCATTTCGTGGCGTAGCACCAGACGCCGGGGGAGCCACAACACGTTTGCAACGCAGGTGGCATGGTGCACACGTAAACTGCCAGCCTGCCAAGCCGCCCGACAAGGCTATCGCAGGCTATCACTAACCGGAAGCTGGAGCAGCCACCCACGCATACCCGCCTCTGCGTGGGGGTATTGACGGCCCGTATCCCGGTCGCGCCAGTCGCCGTATCGCCGTTCTCCCCGGACCGGCTTGTTCTCTCTCAGCTCTCGGTCCGTATTCCTCGGCTTGGAGCTTAGCAAGATCTAGCGGTCTCGGCGAGAAGCGACGGCACGTCGGTACGTCGGCACGCTCGGAGGCTAGGCCTGTCGGACCGGCTGCGAATTGTACCATTGCAGTAAGCAGGAAAGTAGGGCCGAGGGTATGGTGCCGAGGGATCAGCGTGACGTCTGTGTCTGTCGGTCTGTCGCGTCTGCCGGACCACTCCTGCGCCGCTGCGCCGGTTCTACGCCGGAGCTTGCGGCTGCTGGGCGGCTGCTGGGTGGAGCAGATCTGGCAGGCTGGCAAGTCCAGTGGCGCCCGGCGGTCCAACGTACAAGCAGTACCAGCAGTACCTGCGGCCCAGCAATTCTGCGGTGTTGCGCCACGATTCAGTCGCCCTGCAGTCGCCCTGCAGTGCTCCTCAACGCCACCAGCGCACGCCAGACATGACAATTCACCATCTGAATGCTCGGTGTAAGGTGCCTTGCGCCTTTTTGGGCCTTTTGGCGCCTCCGAACGCCTCGTATTCTAGTGGGTGAGACAGGCCCATTCTGATGTCAGTAGTTCTGCCAGTTCTTTCAACTCTGCAAGCTCTGCGAGCTCTGGCCCGTTTCGAGCCCACCCATTCCAACTGTTCCACGGGCCACGCACCGAGACCACCGAAGACGCAAACCGGGGCTGGAAGGGCGCTGCAGGGAATCACGCCTCGTCCTGCAGGCATGTCTCCTTTCCTGCAGTATCCTAATGCATGCTTATGTCCTCACTTATACACTTACCTGTGCGCGTGTTTGCTCCCTGTCCAGCCTTGTAGTACGTTGTTTATTGTCCACCTAATGCACCGAAGCCATGACAGCCCAAGGGGGCCGGACCGCACGGCTGGATTTAGAACTCTCGTGAAGCAGTACGACTCCAATCTCTCGCTGTTCTGATGGTGTCGGATTCCCCGTATGCCCTGTACCCCCGTACCCCCGTGCCCCGCACTGAGTTGCTCAGTTGTGCGCAGCGTTCAGCCGCGAGGAACAGCTAGCGAGGAGGGCACGAGGAACGCGTGAGACCTCCCACACCTGCCAAGTACGCCTGATGGACGGCTTTCGCAGCCCAACAGCGAGCGCGCGAGCGCTTACGGCGGATAGTGCGCGGGGAAGCACATCACATTTCACGGGTCGTCCGGCTCGGGAGGGGGCGCGGGCAGCGCGCTTGCGTACTCCTCTCGGCTGATCCACTGTGCCTTCTTGCCACTTGCCATGCTTGCCAGTGTTGCAGTGGTGCCATGAAGCACTGCACAGCTGGACCGGCAACTGTCAGCCAGCCTCGCTCGCGAGACATTCGCCGCCTCAGACACAGATCTCGCAGACGCGCAGACACCGCGACATGCGCGACAGCGACGCGTCGGCGGCGGCCATGAGTAATGAACCAGGGGCTCAGCACGGAGGCAGGCCTTATCGCGCCCTTCGTCGATATCCTGCAGGTTGCCAGATTGAGCTGGGCGGCTTGCGTCAGGAAGAGCAGAGCGTTGTGCTCGCGAGCAGGAGAGGAGAGGGGCGCAAAGTTGAACAGAGACGAGGTCTGGAGCCCAGAGCCCAAGGGGCCAGACTCGCCAGGTCGAGCTGCATGCTTTCCCTGAACGCCTTGCTTAGTTGTTAATTCTAATGGTTTTTCCTAATCTACCCTGAGACTGTTCAGATGCCTGAGATCCTGGTCCTGGTCCTGGTTCTGTCCTGCAGGCCGTATCATCATCATTCACAGACGTACAGACAGACGGGTTGGAGCTGTGCGCCGGTTTGCAGGAACCGGGGTGCGCAGCCTGGTCTACCTGCGTTAAACTTTTACGAGAGGAGTGCGGGGGCCTGTCGTGGCATGTTGATGTGCAGGGGGGATGATGATGCGTTGGCCGTTGGCGCACAAGCGAGCGGAGGAGGGTGCCGGCATGACCGGGGAAGCTTTGGCTGATGCAGTCAGTCAACGGGCGCTCCGGCGCACGGCGTTAATACCCTTCGGTCCCTTTAACGCTCCCTCGTCTCCCTCCCCCCCCCCTGCGCCTCTCTGCACTCGATCCCTCACCATCCCTCGTCTTCCCTCACGTCCGCTCCCTGTCTGTCCCTCACCCGTCCCTGCCGGCACCATCATCCTCCTCATTGTACAGCTTTCCTCCCTGTCCACCCGGAACCCAAAGCGAACAGCACCCAGCCAGCCAGTGCGGCCAGCCAGCAAGCCAGCCTGCGAAGCTCGCTCAACATTTTGCCTCCCTCGTCAGCCTCGAAAACACGTCCCCGTGCGACATACCCAGCCTGGCCCCTTCCTCCACATCTCTCTGTGCACACATCTTTCTCCATTATCCATTCCTCTACCCCCCTCCTCATCCTCCTCCGACATCCTCCTTCCCCCTCGTGCCACCGTGCACATCCCAACTGGGCGACCGAACATCCCCTCCGCCTAGCGTGATTCGCAACTTCAGGCTCTCGTCAAGACGAAACATTCACCCTGACGAGGTGTTCTTCAACCCAACTTAAAACTCGAACCACGAGATCGATCCACGGACTCAAGTTACCACCACTTCACAGCGCACGCATCGACAACTTGCGAATCACTCAATCCACCCTCTTCCCTCCCGACACTCACCACCTACGTCTAGCCTCACCTTCTTGTTGCCATCAAATCGCTCTCTTCGCCGCCTAGAAGGATCCATCGTCTGCGCCCCCCAAAGACTTCCCGACGCCAACGCTAGTCGCGTGACGGTCTACTCGCCTTCCTCGAGATGAACACCCCCGGCACCGGCCCCTCTTCATCATCCGGGGCGTCTAAAACTTCCAAGTTCAAGCTGGACCCCATGTCGCTGCTCCTTCCGCACGAACGAGCAGCGATCCAGTCTTCCAACCCGTCTTCGTCATCCTCCAAACAGCCGGCTGCGTCGGTCCCCGCGGCTGCTAAGCCTGCCCACAGCAAGGACCCCGGCACGTTTGTGGGCGGATTCCGCGTCCCAGCACCCCCAAGCACGAGCCAGCCCATCCCTGCTCTGCAGCAACCTACCCGTGAGTTGGATGACATTCCCCTGCCTGCCTTGCTTCTGAGATCGTCCTCCGATCGAGCCTAGGTTGAATCTGGGCGATCGGATCGAAAATTACCTTGTGCATCATTGCAAAGACCACTAATTGTCACCCCGTGCTCCACACCGTCGGAATGCAGGCGTGTGCCTACTTGCGCAATCTCTCCCAGAGCCGTATCGGCTGACACTTCCGCAGACTTTGTCCCAGTTCCGACAGGACAGGCCGCCCCTCTGTCCCCACCAGCATCGCTCATGTCGACACCGCCCTCCGTGTGGGACACGGCGTCGTCATGGGAAGCCATGGAGAACGTTGTCGAGACTCCCGACGCGTCGTCAACGTCGTCGCCGAACGCCGCCTGGAACCGATTCGGACGGCGGCCAGCCCCTGGCCTGTACAAGTCGCCCAGCGTTCGCACGAGTGGCCGCGCGCGGCTACAGGACTGGGAGATTGTGGAGACGCTGGGAACAGGAACGTTCGGACGGGTGCTGCTCGTCAGGCAACGGCCGTCATACCGCCCGGCGTCCTACCACCCCATCTTCCCGCACTTATACCAGGCTTCGGATCCGCATGCGCCGTCACCGGCAAGCACGCAACAGGCCGACGGCCAGCTCCCACATTTCGCTATGAAGGTTTTGCGCAAGTCGGAGATCGTGCGGTTAAAGCAGGTCGAGCACATCAACTCTGAGCGACGGATTCTCGAGCGCGTGCGGCATCCGTTCATCGTCGAGCTGTATGCGACGTATCAGGACAACCTGAACGTGTACATGCTGCTGTCGTACATCCCCGGAGGCGAGCTGTTCAGCCACCTGAGACGAGCTGGACGGTTCTCGGCCGATGTCACGCGGTTCTACCTCGCCTCGATCGTGCTCGCCATCGACTACCTGCACCAGCAGAACATCATCTACCGCGACCTGAAGCCGGAGAACCTGCTGCTCGACCGCACCGGATACCTTCGCATCGCCGACTTTGGATTCGCCAAGGTCGTCGAGGACCGAACGTTCACGCTGTGCGGAACACCCGAGTACCTCGCCCCGGAGATTGTGCTGTCGCAGGGCCACGGCAAGGCCGTCGACTGGTGGGCGCTCGGCATTCTCGCCTTTGAGATGCTCGCTGGCTACCCGCCATTCTTCGACGACCACCCGCTCGGCATCTACGAGAAGATTCTGCGCAACGAGATTGCGTTCCCGTCGCACATCGATCCGTATGCCAAGGACCTGATCCGCGGCCTGTTAACGGCGGACAGGACGAAGCGTCTGGGCAACCTGCGCGGCGGAGCGAAGGACGTCATGAACCACGCCTGGTTCGCTGGCGTCGACTGGCGCAGCCTCGAGCGCAAGGAGATTGGCGCCCCGATCGTCCCCCGCGTCGGCAGCATGAGCGACTCGCAAAACTTCCAGCGCTACCCGCCGCCGAAACCGACCGAGCTCCCCGGCATCTTTGGCCAGGAGTACGACGAGAGCGAGGACCAGTACGCGGCCATGTTCCGCGAGTTCTCCTTCCCGCGCGTCGGCGAGGACGACGCGATGGACGAGGAGTGAGCCCCCCGGGCGAGCGTGAGCGAGCCTGAGTCGGGCCCGAGTCCCAGTGTAGTTAGACCGTTGTCACGAATGACAACGCCGCAGCAGGGGAAGCGATCCCGCCCCCTTCGCGCGGCCCGGACATTCACCACCACATGTGTTGTAGACTCTCGACGAGTCTTGCTAGAACCATTAGATTTTGTTCAACTTTCGCCTCTTTTTTTGACTTCCTTTATTTATCCATTTTGAGCCAAAAGCCGCGCGCTGCGAAACGCTTCCGCGCAGGCCGTGTAGATACTACAGAGCTACTTGTTATGCTAATAGTGCTTCCAACATGTCAAGTGGCAGCTGACTTTTCGTCTGCTGTAACGAATTGAAAGCAGTCCATGGTTATCTAAGCGAGGCAGAGAAAGGCTCTCCAAGATCCTGATCCCTTGCATGTCTGCGTCCCCCTTGGCATTCAAGCGTAAACCTTCAAAGCAGTGCAGCGCGAGAAGAACAGATTCGATCGTGTGACGGTTAGTACACAGGATCCTGGCGCACAATGCCTTTCGGAAGGGATTCTGAGTTTGGAGTCTGTGAAGGTGTGTTGCGTTTCTGTCATCTAATCGAACATTCTACTCCCGCCCGCCACTTGAGGGGGCGTGCTCGCTACCAGGGGACTTCTGGCGGCCACTTGGCAACGGTTCCTCACGGTTTGTGATGTGAGCTCTTCACTGTATCAAACAGAGACAAGGTACGGGCGACGCTCTGTTCCTTCCCACTTCTCATCACTAGTCTCCACAGACACCCTCCCCATCCTCCCCACCCTCCTCAAGTCCTTCTCTTCTCCCGCCCAGCCTACCCTCGTGTTGAGCCGCTTGGGTCGGTATCCCTCTCCTCTTCTCCAATCACGCTCCCCAATTCTCCCTATCCATCGAGAAAGGGCAGTAGGTCGAGCAGGATCATGCTCATGGCAGCAACACTGTTTGCATAAGTCTGTGTGAGGCTGTGTGAGGCTGTGTGAGGCTGTGCAAGGATCGGCTTGGACGTGTCTGAGGGCGGACTGGCGTGTCTCGAGTTGGGGGGCCAGATGGAATGGAAGGCGAGAGTCGTTGGGTGACTAGGACCGATCTCCCGATAGAGCATAGGGTTTGAGGGAACAGCTGCGCCTTTCATACTAGAGACCAGGGAGTTTGTGTGAGGATGACAAGCGATGTCAGTAGCATGCGAGCTGGAGTAAGAGAAGTCAGTTCAGAGTAAGCGCAATTTCGTGAGTTTTCGAGAATATTCAACAATCAGCGTAAGTCGAGTGCCGAGCCATTCCCAGACAATGAAACTCTCTCCTGCAGATCGGCTTCGCGCTAGTGCGCCCCATGAGCGTGCCTGCGCCCTGCACACGGGCCCAGACTGCCACCAAAGCCCCTCCCAGCCGCCACACCCCCGCCACACCCCTCCACACGCCAATGTGGCACCTCCAACTTTACACCTCCTCACGAGACATCTTATGGATACATCTTCCTCGTCTTCCGACGCATCTACAGCGGCCATTCGAGCTCCTGCGACAAATTCTCATGAACTGCTTTTATCTGCACATACGCGTCCAGTCCGTACGTCCCGAGCTCGCGCCCGATGCCGCTCTGCTTGAATCCGCCAAAGGGGACGCCGGCATGGAGGGGCCCGTACTGGTTGACCCAGATCGTGCCCGCGTCAATCTTAGCGGCGACGCGGGTCTTCTGCCTTGCGTCGTTCGTGAACACGCCTGCGCCGAGGCCATACGTCGTGTCGTTGGCGATGTCGATCGCCTCCTCCTCCGTCTTGAACTTGGCCGTGACGCACACGGGGCCAAAGATCTCCTCGCGGCTGACCTTGAAGTCGGGCTTGACGTCTGCAATGACGGTGGGCTCGACGTAGTACCCGCCCTTGGACTGGGCCCACTTCTGCCCGCCGGTCACGATGCGCCCGCCCTCCTGCTTGCCCGACTCGATGTAGTTGATCACCTTGTCGCGCTGCTGGGCGCTGATCAGGGGCCCGAAGGATGTCTTCTCGTCGGCCGGGTCGCCGATGGCCGCCGCCTCGGCGCGCCGCTTCATCGCGTCCAGGAACTTGTCATAGATGCCCTCCTGCACGTAGATGCGCGAGGAGGCACAGCAGTCCTGCCCCGAGTTGAAGTAGATGCCGAGCGCGGCCCAGTTGGCTGCCTCCTCCACGTCGGCCGAGTCGAACACGAGCATCGGCGACTTGCCGCCCAGCTCGAGCGTGACTTTCTTCAGATTGCTCTCGGCCGCCGCGACGCTGATCTTGCGCCCCGTGATCACACTGCCCGTGAAGGCGACCTTGTCGATGTCCATGTGGCGCGAGATGGCCTCGCCCGTCGTCGCGCCCAGGCCGGGGACCATGTTGAGCACGCCGGCGGGGATGCCTGCCTCCTTGACGAGTTCGCAGACAAGGAGCGCAGTGAGCGGCGTGAGTTCCGAAGGCTTCATGACGATCGTGCACCCGGCCGCGAGCGCGGGGCCAATCTTCCACGCAAGCATGAGCAGGGGGTAGTTCCACGGGATGATCTGGCCGCACACGCCAATGGGCTGGTGCAGCGTGTATGCAAACTTCTCGCCGCCCCACGAGTTGATCGTCTGCCCGTGGATCTTGTCCGCCAGCCCGGCGTAGTACCGGATACAAGCCACCGAGTCGGCGACGTCGCTCTCGCGCGCAATCCGGATGCCCTTCCCGCTGTCGTAGGACTCGAGGGCGGCGAATTTCTCCGCGTCCCGCTCCAGCAAGTCTGCGAGCTTGTTCATCAGCAGGCCACGCGTCTCGGCCGCAATGTTGTTGCCCCACGTCGTCTTGAAGGCCTTGCGCGCCGCCTTGACGGCCGCGTCGACGTCGTCCTTGGTCGCGTGCGAGATGGAGACAATCTTCTCCCCAGTCGCGGGGTTGAGCGTGTCAAACGTCTTGCCGTCGGAAGAGGGGACGAACTCGTTGTCGCTGGGGTTAGCTTCGACGGACACAATCAACTTACATGAAGAGACCGGTTTCGACGGACACAATCAACTTACATGAAGAGACCGGTGGGGATGGTCATCTTGCCCGCGACGGGGACGTCGACCTCGGCGTGGAGGTTGCTCTTGGTCATTGCTTGTGGTGATCAGTGGAGAGTGAGTGAGAGGGATGAGAAAGAGAGAGAAGAGGGTGGTACGTGTCAGCAATACGATAGGCATCGGTTGTGAGGTCATGAGGGCTAGTCGATCCCGACGACTCAGTCAGCCATCCAGAGGCTAGGAAAGCCATCATCAGCGGTGGTGTCACCGGTGAGGAATGCCGCTCAGATTGGAAAACGGTTGACCCAAGATAGCGGGCAACGTCAGGCCACGCGGACATCCGGGGATGGCCGGTGCCACGTGGTTGGCTGTTTCTCCGATCAGGCGGAAGGGATTACCCGGAATCATCCATGGATGTGGGCGCCCCGCGTTGTTGGGCATTCCCCACGCTATGTGTGTTATACGACGGCGGCACGATGGGCGGGGTTCCGAGATCCTGGATCTAGGCAGCCAAGATATGCTACGGAGACACGCAGTCGCTGTGCTAGCTGGAGACAGGGAACTAAGATACCAGATATCAGTCGTCGATACCCCACAGAAGGGTGCGTCACAAGGGCCATGGATGCAGGCAGGTCTTGGCGAGTCACGAGACACCTTGGAACAAGACACCACACGTTCCTCCTCGTGTGTCAACTCGTTCCCCCCCCGCAGTACCCGTAACAATAATACCCCCACGACCCCGCATTCGGTGGCTCCATGGCTCCGAACACACTTGGTACCTTAACCCCTGCGTCCCACCCGACTACCGACTAACCTCCTCCTTCTCTCCCCCCGATCGACATTCTCCCATTCACCCACCTTCCGCCTGATCCACTCAACAACACACGCACCATGAACACCGCCAACACCTCCCAAGACGATGCCGACACCAGTCCCGGAACACGAAAACGACGCACCTTGCGTGCTTGTGATGTGAGTCACCCACCGCCTGTGCAGTACACATCCGAATGCATCGGGTGTCCTCGGTGTCGAGCAAGGCGCAGACGTGGATGCAGATCATGGACAACATTCACTGACCAAACAGGGATGCAGACAGTGAGTCACCAGTGACACGACCGGTTACACACCCTCGGCGCCATTGTCCAACGCTGGGCAGAGGCTGATCAGTGTCCAACAGCCGTCGCATGAAATGTGAAGACGTCCAGACCACGGCGAGTGGTAAGCAGCGGTGCCGCGTGTGCAGAGACAACAGGCAGGATTGCACCTTCAACGCGCCTGTGCTGAAACGGTAGGTCGATGGGCGTGCGTCGGGCCATGTACTGATTTTCCAAGCGGCCCCCGACCGGGTTGGAGGCAACGGCTGCTCGAGCGCTCTGTCTCGCCGCCAGTCGGCAACACGAACACGCTCGGATTGCAACAGGACGGTCAGCAACAGCAGCAGCAGCAGTCATGGAATGCTGGGGCTTCAAACACGGAGGAAGGCCAAGAGCCCCCGAGAAGCAAGCGCCGGCAAAGCACACCTTCCCCCGACGGACAGCCGCGTAGCCGGGCGCAGCAGCGTCTTCCTTTGCTTGGCCTTCCGCCCCCACTCGTCGACCAGCTTCTCGCCGTCTATTTCACGCATGTTCACGTGCGTTATCGGGCCCTGGGTATTCCACTGACGACAGAATGTTTGGCCGCTTATCTACAAGCCTTCGTTCCACCCGCAGACGGCTTCTGCACCCCTGCTATTGGCCATGCTATCTATAGCAGCATGCGTGGCGCACCCAGATCCGAAATACGGTCTTGATAGCAACAAGCTGTTCCACATGGCCGAACGCGCGCTCCACCATTGTCGAATGGAGAACCGGATCGATATCATCCAGTCGCTGATTCTGCTGTCCCTGAGACAGACCGGCTGCGGCGACAAGAATCTGGCGTTCACGTATGCCGGACGAGCTTGCTGCATGGCTCTCAGCATGGGCCTCAACTTGGCACCCGCCCAGCCCGAGTCCCCCGTGGAGGCAGAGACTCGATCAAGGGTTTATGTGAGCTGCATTGTGTGCGTGGAAGCTGACAAAGCAGTGGAACTGCTACATCTTAGACAAGACGTTGGCCGAGGAGACGGGGCGCTCGATCCTCCTCCCCTACCGCCGGAGCTCGACACCCCTGCCGTCCATGACAGAGGCGGACGAGTTTGAGCTGTGGCCCCCGATCCCGTCCTCGTCTCAACCTCTTCCGGAAAGTGTACAGCACTTGACCCCAAGAAGGGGCTATGTCATGAGCTGCTTCGTGTGGACTTGCTATCTTGGCATGGTAGTCGAGGGGATCCTGGAGCTCGACGTTCCTGGGCCACCCAGGCCCCGGCCGAGTGAAACACCTTGGTTCAACCAATGGTCGGCGGAGAAGCTCGAAGAGGAGCGCAAGCAAGTGGTCACGACCGCAGCACGGATAGCCCGAGAGCTGGAGTCCTGGCGCAATGCACTGCCGCCGTACCTCGAGGTCGATCTGCAGGCTAGCCCGATGCCGCATCTGACTATCAGCTTAGCCGTGAGTTACGCTGCTAGTGAAAGAACTGACGGTCAGTGGTACGAGACCGCACAGATCCTGTTGTACTCGCACTTCATCAGAAGCGGGCCGTTGCCCGAAGTGCTTACGCCCGATGCGTCGGCCGAGCACGAGCTCATCTCGAAAGCGCACAGCACGTGCACCGCCGCAGCGGAGAAGTGCGCAGACTTCATTTCGCACCTGGATAAGCACAGACTGCTCTCAGTGACGAGTGCGGATATCATCCACATTCTCGGCCTGGTGACACTGTACGAGGCATTCGATGCCTCGGACCCTGACGAGGAGCTGGCGCACAGGGCGAAACTGACGTTTGCGCAATGCTGCATCTGGCTACGCGACTGCAGCAGTGCGTGGCCGGCGGCATCGGCGCACAAGGTCTTCTTCGAGGGCCTGATCCAGGGCGGAATCAAGCTGAGCTCGACGATTCATGAAACGGAGAGCTCGCCGCAGCCGCTCGACGCGGGTCTGCGAGGGCTGGGCAACAAGCTCCGCTCCCCGCGGGCGGACTTTGACACGACGCTGCCGCCGCTGGGGCGCAGCAGCCTGTTCCAACTGCCGCAGTTCTACTGGAACCAGCTGTCGAATGCGATCCCCGGGCAGAGCACGGCCACATTCTCCGCTGAGGGCAACGTGCTCGGTATTGCGCAGAGCCCCGACATGCCCTTCATTCCGCCGGCCCTGTCGCCCGAGTCGCAGAACCAGCAGACGGACATGTCGCCGTACCAGCGGCAGAACGACTCTGCTCCGCAGCAAGAGTGGCACAAGCAGCAACAGCAACAGACGCAGCCGCAGCAGCCACCCCAGACTCAACCGCAGCAGAACCAGCAACAGCCGCTTCAGCAGCAGCCCCAGCATCATCACCACGGCCACCACCACCATCAGCAACATCACCAACCGCATCAGCAGCAGCAGCAGCAAACCAACCCGGCGCAGAACGCGATGCAGCCAAACCAGTTCTTCGACATGGTGAACTTCAACCAGTCGTGGAACAGTGGAGGTATGGACGCGAACCTGGGTGCGTCGATGGACAACAGTGCTGTCTACTCGGCGCTCATGAACTTTATGGTCGAGGCGGCGCGGTCCCGTTAGTTTATTGCCTTGTTGTATACAGTGTTGTAGGCATATCTGTCATTTTTGGATGTCATCTCAAGAAAAGACTACCAACTAGGAAGTTCCCGGGTCTAACCTATCTTTGCAATGCTGTGCACAAAATGTTGCCCTTATTAAAAGATTGTACGGATGCGATGATTGCTTTGATTGCGATGCGTTTGCGTTGCCTTTACGTTTGACTTGCGTTGCGCGCTAATCCACTCTTTGTCTTTACCAACTTATTCACTTAAATACAACTGTCTCGTTTACTTGATCTGCTGCTCCTCCGGCTCCTCGACGGCCTGGACGACGGTAGTGGTGCCGTTCGTCTTGCCCGGGTCCTCGACGTGCCCCTCAGCGTAGGCCTGGATAAGCTCGTCATTAAGGTCCTCGGTGCGGGGACCGTGGAAGAAGGTCTTCCCGCCAATCTTGGGGAAGTACCAGAACCCAATCGCGAACGCCCACACGGCGGCGCTGACGACGATCGCATAGTTCATAGTGCCGGCCGTCGGGTGCATGTCGGCCGGGAAGCAGAAGAGGACGAGCGCGAACACCATCCACACGCACGCGACGATGGCGACGGGAATGGACCATTTGCCGAGGTACCACGGACCGGGGTGGAAGAGGTGCTTGCCCCACACGACGCGGGCGAAGATGGGGATGCCGTATGCGACATAGGGTCCAAGAATGGCAATGGCGAAGATGGCATTGATGGCTGCCTGGTTCACCGGGTCCGCGAAACCGAGCAGACCTAGCGGAATGCAGCACCCCACTACGAGCCAGACGGTGCGCACGGGCGTGCCGCTGCGCTGGTCGACCTTGTACAGGAAGCGGGAGAAGGGGAGCGCGCCGTCGCGCGCGAACGCGAACGCCTGGCGACTGCTCGGCAGAAGGAGGGAGCACGCCATGCCATAAGACGACACGGCGATGAAGGACCAGATGGCCAGCGTGCCGTTCCGCCCAAAGCCGAGCATGTAGATGTACGCGAGGGGCTGGCCGATGGCGCTGTCGTTGACGTCGGCGACAGAGGGGCCCATGCAGAGCGCGAAGATGGCGAGGATGATCGTGCCGAGAATGCCAGCGGAGCCGATAGATCCGACAATGGCCTGGGGCACGGCGACCGAGGCATTCGCCGCCTCCTCGGAAATACTGACGGCACAGTCAAAGGAACAGATCGTCCACACCGGCGCGAGCATGGAGAGGAAGAACGCGAACCCGTTTGGCCAGTCGTAGAGATTCTCCCACCCGCCAAACGTGAATTTGGCGCTGTTCAGGTGTCCCCTCCGTGCGATGGGCAGGCCGATGATGGTCACGAGGGCAAGGGCAGTGTTGAGGATCACGAGCGGGGTTTGCAGACGCGCGAACAGGGCTGTGCCGTACGCGCAGAAGAAGCCGCAGGTGATCAGCACGCCGCAGTACACGCCGAAGGTTACGCCGACACTCGGCGCGAACGTCTCGTCCGCCACTGAGCCGCACGCGAGCAGGATGCCCGCGCAGCCCCACGCCACACTTGCCGTCGCGCCGACGTTGCCCAGGAACGAGTTGTCTGAGGTCAGCACTGTAGTTTCATATCGTGCACTGTCCGCGAGCACGGGGACTGGAGCCCACGCTCAAGCGCAGATCTGGCCAGACCATGGACTGGCCGATAAGCGCATGGAGCACAGGACTAGCGAGACAGCATTTAAGCTCTAACGCCCGTCCCCCGTGATCCCTGGCAGGTCCGGCGGGGCCAGTTCTCAGCCTCATTGCAGGCTCCATTTCCCGTGCCTTTGCGTTTTCGCAAAAGTCAATGCTCTCCTAGCGATCTAGCGAAGCGATTTGGCGAGCGCAACGGGAGAGTCTGTATGTACTCACAGCCAACCATCCAGGAGAGGAACGCGGCGTACTTGCGCGGCGCGAGCTTGTAGGTCCAGTAGTACAGGCCGCCGGATGTCGGCATGCTCGACGCGAGGTCGGCCATCGCGAGCCCGATGAACATGATGAGGATGGACGAGAGGAACCAGCCCCACACCATGCCGACGGGGCCGCCGTAGGGGAGGTTGTAGAAGATGGTCGACGCGATGGACGGCACGACGCCCATGATACTGAACGCGACGCCAAAGGTCTCGAGACTGCTAAAGTTGCGCTTCAGCTCGGGGCGGTAGCCGAGCCCCTCGAGCGCGGCGTCGTCCTTTGTCAGCCACTCTTGGCCCTCGGGGTCGGCTGTTGAGGCTGTCTTGGACGCATCGAGGTCGCCGGACGCCAGCTTGGACGCCGGCCCCATGTCGTACACGGGCGTCTCGGCCGGGGTGGGTACTCCCATATCTCTGTGCTTTCGGTGGAGGTCCGTTTAGCTCCTCAGCAGGGCGGAGGTGCAGGCGGGATGGCAGGGGCGACCGCGAGCGGGGTCGGGGTCGCGAGGGTGCTGAGGGCGAGGTGTGTGATGGTGCGGGTCGACGCGCTGTACTGCGGTCGAAGTGTGTCTAGGGTGTAAAGAGGGATGTGGTGGTGATCGACTCTAGTGGGGTCGAGTCTCTTGAGATGGCAGCGAAAAACCTGGTCGTGTGAGCCGTGTGGGTGCAGAACGCCGATAAGATCGCCGAGTAATGTAACGGCACGCGGCAGGCCAATGGCGGATGTGGGGTCGCTGGTAGCAGGGTCTTTGGGGGCGAAATCGAGGGGAAGGTCGGAAACTACGGCCTTAATTAGAACCAACGGCGGGGCGAAGAGAAGAAAGACTTCGCTCGGCGTTGAGTAGCTGTAGTTGTTGGTTGGGGTGGTGGATGTGATGACGAGCAGAAGTGAGGCCTTTATGTGTCTTGCTGATGCGATGCGATCGATCGGGGATCTGAGTACGCGATGGGAGCGAGGGTCGATGTACGGGGCCTCCGCCTGGACTACCCGGGTCTGGCGCCGGCCGCTATCGATGGCCTGGCGCTCAAACAAGATACGCTGATAACGCGCCCAAAGTGCCCAGGTACCCTCCAGGTCTCAGACAGAGCAATAGAGATGGGGCGTGTGCTTGTCACCTCTGTTGGACTGGGCGTTTGCGCCTTCTGCGCTAGGCGTATTCACCGTGAGATCGCGGCCTGAAAGTCGTTTGGGCCTGATCTGTAAGCTGGCGCGGGTAATTATCAGCCGTATCTATTGCTCTGGCTTTCGCCGTTACCCGTCCAGGTCCAAGAAAGTTGATGCACAGAGATAACTTTGCCCGTGGGAGCGCAGGCTTGGGTGCGTGCCAGACTTAGCACAGTGCAAGCTGCAGCGTGGGGTCCGCAGATCGCAGCACATAGCCCACCTTGCGCGCATGGCTACATCCTCAGGTCATAGGCCGGGTCTGGCTGGTGGTTGACCCAATGGCAGTAGGCACACGGTCCCTTGTGGGGCCTGGGCTGGCTGCCTGAACAACCAACACGGCGAAATACAGAGTTGGAGATTTCGCAGATCCACCCCCACGCATACCCACCACACCACATGACTAACTTTGTTTCGCCCACCCATGGGGCACCGGCGCTGCTGCCATAGGCTGTCACTTGGCGCCAGTCATATGACATCCGCTGTACACAGGTGTCAACGTGTAGGCTGGAGGAACGAGGAACGCTGGGTCGGCACGACGTGTGTGGATGATCCGGAACACCAGGGCTAACAGGGCTGATTACACGACGGGGTCTGCAGGTGCAGCGGCTACACGCGGGTACGGGGCAGAGGCACCGTGGCGCTGCTGTCCAGTGCCGGGCCAGGATACGGATAACTTCCCCACCATGCGAGCACAATGAGAAAGAACCGGCACGGTCGTCTGAGTATCAGGAATCAGGGCAGACGAGCTTGGGACTATCGAATGCGCCGAAACGCTTGGCCGTGCGAGGCGAGCTGTGCGAGAGTCGCTCCGGGTGGTTGCCGCTGAGTTTATCAGTGCGGCATCCCAAGAAATCGGGCGGCATCTGGGGTATATCTTAGCATATCTTGAGTAGGGCATGAACGGGGAATTTGATCAGCCGGATCTCCCTCACCCTAACTCACCGCCCTTATCTGCCCATTTATCCAGTTCTCCCAGAGAAGGCCCAGCCGTCTGCGATACGTTTCCAAGACACCACCTCGCCGCTCCAGTGCGGTCATGACGTGCATACGCGGTACGCGGGGAACACCTGCATGCATACACGAGCTCTGGCGCCGTACGTCCGCCTGCCCGCTGGCTTGACCGAACCCCTCTCCGACCTCCGAGTTCCGGCACAGTGGTTCCAGCCTCTTGGAGCCGACTACATAATGCACCGAGGCCTGTCAGCATAACTGCATCCCCACCACCCACGAGTCCCAACTCGCTCCCTGCACCCGCGCTCACCACCACCCTCATACCATAACCACCATGGTCACCGACGTCAATGCCAATCTCGCCCACCCGTTAGATCCCCTCACGGCCCAGGAGATCAAGCTCGCCGCGGACACTGTCCGTGCCTTCATGGCCAAGGGCAAGTTCGAGGGAGCCCCTGCGACCCCGCTGTTCAACTCGATCTCGCTTCTCGAGCCTCCCAAGTACGACATCCTGCGCTGGGCCAAGACCTTCACCCCCAAGGAGCTCGCCGCGGTCGGTGCTCAGCTCAAGCCCATCACCCGCCAGGCTGATGTAAGTACTCGGACTCAGCTGAAACAAGATTGAAGCTGACACACAGATCCACATTATCTGCAACCAGTCGAACCAGGCTTTCGAGGCTATCGTCGACCTCCCCTCCAACCTGAAGGGCGAGGACGCCTGCCCCGAGCCCAAGGTCTCGAGCTGGAAGCTTCTCGAGAAAAACATTCACCCCTCGCTCCAGACCGAGGAGCTCCTCTGGGCCGAGGAGATCTGCCGCACCGACCCCAAGGTCAAGGAGGCGTGTGAGGCTGTCGGCCTGAAGCAGACCGACATCTACGTTGACGGCTGGTGCATTGCCGTCGACGAGCGCTTCCCCGGTCGCCGCCTGCAGCAGTGCTTCGTCTTTGCCCGCTCCCGCCCCGGCGACAACCTCTACGCTCACCCCTGTGACCTTATCCCCGTCCTCGACTCGAACTCAGGCGAGATCCTCACGATCGACTACCCGCATTCGCACTCGACGACCGACAAGCACTCTCCCTCCGGCTCAGATGCTTACGCCAAGGCCGAGCCCCGCGAGCGCTTCGCGCCGCCCAAGACCAACCACAACTACCTCCCCGAGCAGATCATGCAGGATGAGCCGAACTTCAAGCTCCGCGAGGGTCTCAAGCCCCTGCACGTCATCCAGCCCGAGGGTGTCTCGTACTCGCTCGCCGGCCGCATGATGTCGTGGCAGAACTGGAACTTCCACATTGGCTTCAACTACCGTGAGGGTCTTGTCATCAGCAATGTCACCTACGATGACGGCGCCAAGGGCAACCGCCCGATGTTCTACCGCATGAGCATTGCCGAGATGGTCGTCCCGTATGCGTCAACAATCTACCCCCACCACCGCAAGCACGCCTTTGACACTGGAGAGTACGGTGTCGGCGCTCTCGCCAACTCGCTTGCTCTTGGCTGCGACTGCCTTGGTTCGATCAGCTACATGGACGCCGAGTTCGTTACCCGCAACGGTGGCATCCAGACGATCAAGAACGCCATCTGCATCCACGAGGAGGACGCCGGTCTGCTGCACAAGCACACCGACTTCCGCGACAACGTTGCCCACTCGGCGCGCAACCGCAAGCTCGTTGTCAGCATGATCTGCACCGTCGCCAACTACGAATACGGCTTCTACTTTAACTTTGCCCTCGACGGCTCAATCGAGCTCGAGGTCAAGGCCACCGGTATGGTCAACGCCTACCCGCTCGCGCCCGGCGAGAAGGCCAACACCAAGATCGAGGTCGAGGTCGCTCCCCGCATCGCCGCCCAGCACCACCAGCACCTGTTCTCCTACCGTATCGACCCCATGATCGACGGTCTTCAGAACCGCGTCGTCCAGGTTGACGCTGTCCAGGATGAGGCGCCCGTTGGCTCTGAGGAGAACTTCTACGGCAACGGCTTCCACACCGAGAAGAAGGTCTACAAGACCTCCAAGGAGGCGTGCTCCGACTACGAGGCCAAGAGCTCGCGTGTCTGGTCCATCGAGAACCCGAACAAGCTCCACTACGCCACCGGCAACCCGATCGGCTACAAGATCAAGTGCAAGGACATGCCTCCTCTCCTCGCCAAGCCCGGTTCGATGGTGTGGAACCGCGCCCCCTGGGCCCGCCACAACATGTTCGTGACCAAGTTCCACGACGACGAGCTCTTCCCGTCCGACGTGCACATCAACCAGAACCCTGGTGCCGAGAAGTTCGGTCTCCAGAACTGGGTCGACCGCAACGACAACGTCGACAACGAGGACATTGTCTGCTGGCCCATGTTTGGTGTCACGCACATCTCGCGTCCCGAGGACTGGCCCATCATGCCCGTCGAGATCCTCCGCTGCCACGTCGTGCCCAACGGCTTCTTCGATCGCCACCCGGGTCTCGACATCCCGTCCAAGAAGGACATGAAGAGCCGTAACGCCAACGAGGCCTTTGTCGGAAACGCCCCGTATGCTAACGGCAACGGTGTCGCGACCAACGGAGGCGGCTGCTGCAGCGGCCGCGCTTAAGCCGCGGACCCCCAGACTCATCACACAGTGCATCAGTAGCAGAACGCAAACTTTTGTTGTATATATTAAGTAAATCACTGTCGGGTAGATTAGTCAAGCACAGAATGAATCAACTGCATTGCAACTTGCAACTTGAACTGCACATTGACCGATTACAAGCGTCTTCTTCCTATGCCCAGTTTATCACTGACCATGAGGAAGCTCACCGTAGATGACGGAGTAGTTCACAGCAGCGCGAGTCATGCAAGTCGAAGATAAGTAACCGGTCAACACGGCAAATGCGACAGATGCAAGAGTCAAAGAGAGATTCATGTGCTGTACAAAAACATTACTACCGACCGGACTGCTGGCGACAATCCAGCCGACATACTAAGAAAGGAGAGAAACGTAGCGACTTCTGAGACTTAAAACACTTCTTTCTTCAGACTTCTTCAGACATTTCTTCGAATTTCACTTCAATTTTCGATCGTTTCGTTGCGGTCGTGGAACAGAGTCAAACGAGTGGGACAGTTTACTGCGGGTAGCCGCCGGGGACACCGTTGAATCCGGGGTCGGTGGTTCCCTTCTGGCCGAAGCCGGTTCCCGACGAGCCCTTGCCCTGGAGACGGCTGGCCTCGTCGCCGAGCTTGGCCATGAAGCCCTCCTTCTGCTCGCCGTGGGCGCCGTGCGTGTCGTGAGTGCCGCGAGTGCCGCCGACGCCAGTGTGCGAGCCGTACGCTCCCGTGCCGGTAGTGCCACCAACACCGGTGCCGGTGCCGGTGCCAGTGTGAGAGCCGTAGGCTCCAGTACCGCCGGTGACGCCCTGGCCGGGAACACCAGAACGGCCGTCAAAGCCTGGGTCATTGACTCCCTTCTGGCCGAAACCAGTGCCGGTCGCGCCGCGGCCCTGGAGCCTGGAGGCCTCGTCAGACAGCTTCTGGCCGGTGGTCTCGTGGCTGTAGCCAGTGGTGCCGGTGCCGGTGTGCGAGCCGTAGGCTCCCGCGCCGTAACCGGTACCAGTTCCAGCATGGGCACCAGTGCCGACACCCTGTCCGGGAACGCCGGGGCGTCCGTCGAAGCCCGGGTCGTTCACACCCTTCTGGCCGAAACCGGTGCCGGTCGAGGAAGCGCCCTTGAGGCGGCTAGCCTCGTCAGAGAGCTTGCCGCCGGTGCTCTCGCCGTAGGCACCCTCCTGACGGTAGGCGGTGTTGGGAGGGAGGCCGGAGCCGGTGTGGTGGCCGTGGTGGCCGGCAGCGGCGCCAGCACCAGCACCGAGAGCACCGCCACCGAGGGCGGCACCGGTGCCAGTGTGGTGGCCGTGGGTGCCACCGACGCCCTCACCGGGGTAGCCAGAGCGGCCGTCGAAGCCGGGGTCATTCACTCCCTTGTGGCCGATACCGGTACCAGTCGAGGACTTGCCCTGCAGCCTGCTCGCCTCGTCGGCGAACTTCTGCATGGGGGTCTCGCCGTAGGCGCCGCCGGCGGTGTGGGTGCCGCCGACACCAGTGCCGTGGGTACCGTGGTGGCCGGTGTGGCCGACGCCACCGACGCCAGCACCAGCAACGCCCTTCTGGCCGAGGGGGGTGCCGGTCGACTCGACGCCGCCGAGGCGCGAAGCCTGGCCGCCGGTGGTGCCGTAGCTGTCGGCGCCGCCGTAGGTGTCGGAAGTGTAGGTCGACTGACCGTCACGGTGGCCGCCAAGGTGGTGGCCGGCAGCGGCGCCAGTGCCGGCGCCAAGAGCGCCGCCAGCGAGGGCGTCACGACCAGCGTGCGAGTGCTGGCCAGTCACGCCCTGGTTGTAGCCGGTGGTGCCGTGGGTGCCGCCGACGCCCTGTCCGGGAACGCCGGAGCGGCCGTCGAATCCGGGGTCGTTGACTCCCTTGGAGCCGTAGCCCGTGCCCGAGGTGCCGTGGCCCTGGAGCCTAGAGGCCTCGTCCGAGATCTTCTGACCAGTGGTCTCGCGACCGTAGCCGGTACCAGTGGTGCCGGTGGTGCCGTGGTGGTGGTCGTGGTGCGACGCCGTGGTGGCCGAGAGCAGCGCCGGTAGCGGCGCCAGCACCAGTGCCGAGAGCGGCGTCGCGGCCGAGGTGAGAGTCGTGGCCGACTCCGGAACCGTAGGTGCCAGTGGTTCCAGTGTGGGTTCCACCAACACCCTGGCCGGGGACGCCCGAGCGGCCGTCAAATCCGGGGTCGTTAACTCCCTTCTGGCCAATACCGGTGCCAGTCGAAGACTTTCCACCAAGACGGGAAGCCTCATCAGAGATCTTCTGGCCGGTAGTCTCGTGGCCATAGCCGGTTCCAGTGGTGCCAGTGGTACCGTGGTGCGAGCCGTGGTGGCCAAGAGCAGCACCGGTGGCAGGGCCAGCGCCGGTGCCGAGGGCAGCGTCGCGGCCGACGTGGGAGTCGTGGTGGCCGGTGGTGCCAGCACCGGGGATGCCCTTCTGACCAACAGGGGTGCCGGTGGACTCGGTGCCGCCGAGGCGCGAGGCCTGGCCCGAGCCGTGGACACCCGAGCCGACAGTGCCGGGGTTGCCTCCGGTGGTGGTGCCGGCGCCGTGGCCGCCCTCAGTCGAGCGAGGGGGACCGCTGTAGGCGGGGTCGGTAACGGGGCGACCCTCAGCCTCCTTGATCATCTGCGAGCCGATCATGGCCGAGTCGCGCATCTCACCGCCGCCCTCAATGGTAGCCTCGGTAGTCGAGGTAGGAGGAGGGGCAATGTCGCGGTTGGAGGGCTCCTCGTCGGCGCCACGGACGTGGTGGACGTCGCCAGAGGCGACACCAGCACCGCCGCCGGGACCGGTCGAGCCAGTCACGCCGGGACCGGCGCCGACGCCCTTCTGGCCGACCGAAGTGCCGGTCGTGCTCTTACCGCCGAGGCGGGACTTCTCGTCGTCGAGCTTCTGGCCAGCGGTCTCGTGACCGTAGCCGGTGCCAGTGCCACCAACACCGGTGCCGGTGGTGGTGCCGTGGTGAGTGCCGTGGTGGCCGAGGGCAGCGCCAGTGGCGCCACCAGCGCCGGCGCCAAGAGCGGCGTCGCGGCCAAGGTGCGAGCCGTGGCGAGTGTCAGCGCCAGAGACACCGGGGCCGGTTCCGAGGCCCTGCTGGCCGACGGGGGTGCCGGTCGAACCAACACCGCCGAGGCGGGACTTCTCGTCCTGGATCTTCTGGCCGGTGGTCTCGTGGCCGTAGCCAGTGCCGCCAACGCCAGTGTGGGTGCCGTGGGTGCCGGTCACACCTCCGACGCCGGTACCAGTGTGAGTACCGCCAACGCCCTGTCCGGGAACGCCGGAGCGTCCGTCAAATCCGGGGTCGTTGATTCCCTTCTGGCCGTATCCGGTACCAGTCGAGGACTTGCCGCCAAGACGGCTGGCCTCATCAGAGATCTTCTGGCCGGTAGACTCGTGGCCGTAGGCACCGGTGGTTCCAGTGGTGCCGTGGGTGCCGTGGTGGCCGGCAGCGTAGCCAGCGGCGGCACCGGTGCCAGCGCCGAGGGCAGCACCAGTTCCAGTGTGAGAGTGACCAGTAGCGGTCTGGCCGGGGACGCCCGAGCGGCCGTCGAATCCAGGGTCGTTGATTCCCTTCTGGCCGATGCCAGTGCCGGTCGCACCGCGGCCCTGGAGGCGCGAAGCCTCATCAGAGATCTTCTGACCAGTGGTCTCGTGGCCGTAGCCGGTGGTGGTGCCGTGGGTGCCGGTTACACCGCCGACGCCGGTGCCAGTGTGGGTGCCGTGGGTGCCAGTGACGCCAGTTCCGGTGTGGGTGCCACCAACTCCCTGGCCCGGGACGCCGCTGCGCCCATCAAAGCCGGGGTCGTTGACTCCCTTCTGGCCGAATCCTGTACCAGTTGACGAGGTACCCTTAAGTCGCGAGGCCTCGTCAGAGAGCTTCTGGCCAGTAGACTCGTGGCCGTAAGTGCCAGTAGTGCCAGTAGTGCCGTGGTGGCCGGCAGCGTAGCCGCCGGCGGCACCAGCGCCCGCGCCGAGGGCGGCGCCAGTGCCGGTGTGGGAGTGGGTGCCAGTAACACCCTGTCCCGGAACTCCGGAGCGTCCATCGAAGCCCGGGTCGTTAATTCCCTTCTGTCCGAGACCAGTGCCAGTGCTGGAGTGGCCCTGAAGCCTTGAAGCCTCGTCGGAGATCTTCTGGCCGGTGGTCTCGCGGCCGTAGGTGCCAGTGGTACCGCCGACACCGCCAACGCCAGTGCCGGTGTGAGTGCCAGTGTGAGTGCCACCGACACCCTGACCGGGGACACCGGAGCGACCGTCGAACCCTGGGTCATTCACACCCTTCTGTCCGAAGCCCGTACCAGTCGAAGAGGTACCCTTGAGGCGGCTAGCTTCGTCGGAGATCTTCTGGCCAGTGGTCTCGTGGCCGTAAGTGCCAGTGGTGCCAGTGCCGACTCCGCCGACGCCGGTTCCGGTGTGGGTGCCGTGGGTTCCGTGGGTACCCGAAACACCCTCGCCAGGGTAGCCGGAGCGACCATCGAATCCTGGGTCATTTACTCCCTTCTGGCCGAAGCCGGTGCCCGTCGAAGAGGCGCCCTTGAGTCGAGAGGCTTCATCGGAGATCTTCTGTCCCGTGGTCTCGTGGGGGTTGCCGTAGCCGGTGCCCGTGGTGCCGGTGGTGGTGCCGTAGCCAGCGCCTGTGCCGGTAGCGGTTCCAGCACCAGTGGTGGAGGGGTGAACGCCGCCAGCGCCCGCGGCGCCGGGGCCGGAGTGGGCGGAGGTGATGCCCTCGTGGCCGGCGCCAGTGTTGGTGTGGTGCTTGTCACCGATGTGGAGCTTGTCCTTGATCTGCTGTCCAAGAGACTCCTTCGGGGCGTTGGGGTCTTGAGACGTTAGCGCACGTTCTCTGGGAACTAGTGGGGCAGAAGGCTGGAATGCCGACTGAGAGTGGCGGAGGCACTGGATTGAGACTCACCGTCAGACTTGCCTGTAATACCCATGTTGGAGGTACTGCTGAAGTCGTGTAGTTCAATGAGATATGTCTTGTCCGTCTGTTCCGATGCAGCTATGTAGAACAGAGGAAGTAGGGGGTATGAGGACCTTGAACGATGCGAAGTGGGTCGTATATATGAGGGCTGTGGCATTCTGACAAGGTGGAGTTGAACCTGGCACGATGGACGGGTATGATGTCATTGACGATTTAGGTTGGACGGTGTGAGCGTCATCGGCATACCGGATGGTGTTTCCTACCGCAGTAGGATGGGACGGAGCAGTGGAGTCGCAAGAATCCAGCGTTGGGGATTGGCGCGCGGTCCGCATGCAGCAGTCACAGGACTGAGGACTGTCGGTGACGTCTTTGCGTTGCGGATTGCTGGACCTTGACCAATTGAGACTGCGGCCCCGTGTCGGCGGGTATGCTGGGTAGCTAAACATATCCAAGCAGTCCTCTGCTCCTGTGCCCTGCAGCTGCGGATGTCCTTGAGATGTGTTTGGAATCTAATCTGGTCCCTGCTCATGCTGTATGCTGTGCACGGTGACGAAAGCGTTGTTGCAGAAAGGGGTTGTGACGTTCGGATGATGATGTGAGCGCAGTCGGTTACCATTTCTTTGGACGCCATCTCGGCATGATCGTCGCCACTGGGCCAGCCAACATTAATTGTGCGTGGCGCCAAGTCACGTGCTGAGCCCCGGTGTGGGCGATCCCTTGGTCGATCAATGAGGTTTTCCTGCGCTAACCGGTCTTGGGACATTTATCGGTGCCATGGCATTGTTTTGGCGCGGTTACGCCGTGAAGATGACACTCTGATTCGTGTGCACAGACGTAGAGCAGATTCTGAATAACTTTCTGTCACGTGAGCTCTGTCAGACAACTTCATCGGTCAGGAGTGGTAGTTTCGTGCTCCGATGGTGGTGCCTGGCAAGTTATCAGCCAGAGCTTGTGGTCGGGGTATGCATACGTACGCATGCACGCACGTCAATTGTTAGCGTCGGGCTTCGGGCGACCACCAGTCTCGGATCGCAGGGTCGGTCGGTCGGAAGGCATGTCGGCTTCGGGTCTCGTTTCGCAGGTGGTATTGTTCGTTGTTCAAGTAGGAGTAGCGAAAAGCGGGAGGAGGAAGGCGAGCTCGGTGAAATCGAGCTAGGTGAGTGAATGTAGTGATGAGAGGATGGGGGAAGATGAGAGAGATGGGCTCAAAGTGACCTTTATATACGTTGTAGAGGAGTCCTCGACCCAGGGCAGACGGTGTGAGTCGTCCTGACCTCTCACTTGATCAGGCGATTGCACCAAGATAGCATCGAGGGCGCACCAAGAGCTCGCCGAGGAGGGCGCGATAGAGAGGGCGCAAAGGAGTGGCGAATGCGACTACCAATACCGTCCACTGCGCACACCTGTGCGGCGGGATCCGTCCGATGCTCAACATACACACCATTTGGCCTTCTGATGACTCACCCCTTCGTTCGAGCACTGCTCACACGATGCCAAGTTGCCTCCTCACGACGCACACGAGGTTGGTGACCTGCATCGGCATATCGGGACGGCCATCGCCCCATCACATTACGGCCGCACGCTCTCCCTCACCGCTCCGCTTAGTCTTCGGCCCTTGCTGAGGTGTTCGCTAATGGTCCATCGCACCAATCTCGGGCTCTGTCACGACTGAGTGAACCTGTGCGCGTTGTCATCTACGCTGACGGCGTACTTTCTCACACAGAGCTCTCCTCCCATCGGGTTTCGCCAAGAAAGATCACGCCACCAGAGGTTGCCTCGCCCGCCTGAACATGGTCCATGATCACGTGCAGAGAAACTCGTATCGGAGGTTGAGGTATTTGGCGCAGAATGTCAGTGCAAAGCGACGCCCTGTACAACTCTCGGTGACACCCCGTGATTAACGCGCATGACTCCCTACGTAGACATGCAGGTACGAGACACCACCGACTGCCTAACCCTCGAGAAGAAGTCCACAGTCGATCCACGTCTGTGCCATCAATGTCACATCGTGTTCGGCATTGGCTGCAATCTCCGCGGTGAGACCGCTCGTTGTGTACCTCGAGATCTTGGCCCGAACCCCTCCGTTGCAGGGATGGAGGTAGTCGCCGACCCATGCTCGCGTGCTTCCCGGTCCGCTCTCCAAGACCTCGGTGGTGCGAAACGCCCAGCACGAGATTGGACGAAATGCACAAGGAGTGACGGCTGAACCAAAGATAACACGCCGGCCGATGAGGATCGGACCGATTCGCGAGACTTCGGACAGCCAAGCCGGCGGCTGTCTCCGATCCTGCATTTCACGATTTTTCCAGCAGCTGTCCGTCCCACATTTGCAGCCGTCGTCATTCCTCCAGATCTAACGACGTCTCCCGGAGCGCATGCTCGGACTGCTTGTGGGGCAGATGTGGGGAAAACATGCATGCATCCAATGATAGAGGGCAGAAAGAGGAAGGCCGCATCTCTCCCACCAACTGTCGCGACGGCGCCCCAGGGTCGGCACGGCAGCGCTCGGACTTTATCTTGTTCGTCTCCTGTGTTTTCCACCCAGACGCACCCCGGCTCATCCGGGCCAACAGAACTGGGCGCATAGGCCGCATGCTCAAGCCTCAAGGGCTAGAACCGAACAGCAAGACTGAATAGCGAAACTCGGACCGAGAACTCAAACGCGACCCCAACCGCCATGGCCCACCATGGCCCTCTGTGGCTCAGGCACGCTGGCGCGCGCTGATCGTCGCTGGCAAGGGACACAAGCCACCCACGTCGTGGCATCCGGTCGTTTCCGTCGACCTCAATCGCGCTCGGAGCGGCTCGTTCAGCGTCTCTTTCCGCCGTATCGTTAGTGGTTACGAATGGACTTGGGCATTCGGACCACGGCGCGTACTGCATTCGGATCGAGGTAGGCCCGTGCTTGACGCAGGTATAAGAAGAGAGCAGATGCATTCCGAATCGACCATCAACAACCACCAACACCAACAATTACAACAACAATCTCCTCTACTCATTCCGAGTAAACCTAGCAAACACCACTCCTTCCGAACGTTCTCAGTCACCGCTTAGCCAACATGTTCGCTGGACTCCGCACCGCCGCCCGCCCCATGGCTGCCTCCGCCCGCCAGGCCCGCATGTACTCTTCCGCCGCTAAGGCTGCCCCGGCCGCTGGCCCCAACCCCGTCGTCAAGTTCCTCAAGGACATTCCTGTCGACGTCTACCCCCTTTGTGGCCTTGTCACCATGTGAGTCATCAGAACTGCACGCACGAACAGTAGCTGACGAGCAGTGTTGTTTCTGCCTCCTTCTACATGGTCGGCCACCACCTTATGGACCCCCACCTCCGCCTGCTTCCTCAGGGTGCGACCCCCATCCCCAACCTCAACCTCAAGAAGGAGTAAAAATGTAGCATTAGAAGATACCATAACGACTCCTGACGCTTAGTTTTAGTTTAGACGGGCTCTACGCCACATATGCATTGTATTCCAGCCACGTTGAGGTCTACAATCTAACAACGCACGTCTATACCGGCCAACTCCCAGATTCGGACTAAACCAGAGTCATCATCCCTGTCCCATCCCACCGAGGCACAGAAGACGAACTGCTGCTGAACTGTGGCGGCAAGGGGAACGGAGACATTGCGGCGTGTGGCTTCACTGACAACAATGCCCATGTCTTTCACGAAGATCGTGACGGCAGACGTGGGTGGCTGTCGCAACCCGGCCAGCATGTTTCCTCCGCGATGACCGAGCATCCACGAGCGTGCCGGCCCCTGTAGGAGCAACTCCCTGGTCAGCCGGCCAGGAAGCCCCAAGGCTGTAGCAAACGCCAGCGTCTCAGCGACTGAGGAGATGCCACACCCTGCAAGGTGCTGGTTACTCAGCTTCGCTGCGGATCCAGCACCCACCGCCCCGAGAGAAACAATCGACCCGAGGCGATGGAGCACTGCCCTCGCCTTCGCGGCTGTCTCGGGAGGAGCACCCTCGAGACCGCCGCAGAACAGCGTCAGCTCACCCGACGCGGCCCGTGGCGTCCCGCCGCTGACCGGGACATCGAGCAGAGCAACATCTGTCCGTACGGCGGTTAGTCGCTCCTGCATTCGGAGGACGTCACCGGGCGCACCGGTCGCCATGAACAGCACGCAGGCACCGGGTGCCAGAGCCGTGAGCGCGCCAGAGGCGAGCAGCACGTCCTCGGCCTGAGCCACGTTGACGACCATGAGCACCAGAACTTCGGCTCCCGAGGCACAATCGGCGGCACTGTCTGCCACGCGGCCGCCAGACTCCTTGAATGCTTCTCGGCCAACTGGTGACACATCGTACCCCACCACTTCGGGGAGGGCGTGCAGGTGCTTTGCCATTGGCAGACCCATCGAGCCCAGACCGATGAAAGCGACCTTACTCGGCTCTTGAGACTCCGGATGTTTCGCCGCCTTACCTTCCTTCCGCTTGACAGTCGGGTTTGGGGTGACTGGGCCGAGTGACTGGCGGGCGAGCGCCATAAGGGGTGCGTAGAAGCGGATCTCACTGGCCAGAGCGAGCGCTGAACTCAGTGCCTCGGCCGCGTTGCGCAGTTGCGTCTCCGCCGATTCCCCGGAGAGGAGTGGGCCCCACAGAGCGTTGAAGCCTGCACTGCCGCCGGCACCGCTGCCGAGCGCCTCAGATAGAGTACGCATATCCAATCCGCCTTCGACCGCGAGGGTGTACGCTTCCCGAGCAACAGAGGTATTGAGCGCCGCTAACGCACCCTCGACTACAGCGTACGCGGGAGCCAAAGTTTGGTCTTCTCCGAGAAAGAATCCTTTGGGTAATGGCCGAGCGAATATGCCACTGGCAACGGCTCGCAGCCCAGACGATGGGAGCAGGACTATGACACCAACATGCGTCTGTGGATTGACAGCGTGGATGTGTTGCACTCGCTCCACAGTCGGCGTGCCCACGACCACGGCGTACTTCGCACGTAACTGGTGCACGGCCTGGTCATCAGCTACCATCCAACGTCGCTCAGCTCACCGCCTCCTCCGCCGAGTGGACCTCCGTGTCCGGCAAGTCACCTATCCCGAGCGCCTGGATGTCAGCCCATCCACAGAAGGCAGTCTCACCTCGAGGACATCTTTAGGGCTCTGCGTGTGAGTCATGAAGTGGGTGGTGGGCAGTGGGGAAGATGCGACGCTGTCCAGTCTCATCGGCTACTTAACGAGGCTGATTCAGGAACCAGGCACGCCCGATATCTTGCCATGCCTCGGTGAGAAAGTTATCAGGCTCATGACAAAGGGCCTCGTCTATCCTCGATCGCCAGCAGCCTTGGGATTGTGGTAGGCAGAAAGGAGAGATCCGGGACTTTCTGACAGCCGAGAGCATAACACAGGAACATCAAGGTGGATCCGCGTTAGCGACGACGTAGATCTTAGCCTCCCGACCGCCCCTGGCGACCAGTGTTCACGATCTGTCGGTTTGAAGTAAGGGGCAATAGCTACTGACGCTGGCAGGCGAATTCTTTTGAGGCAATTCTCAGGTCCTGCATGGCTGTATCTTCAAGGGCTGACAAATCAGCGGCATTCGAGGCGTGGCAGGGGTTATTGCGCAGGGCCAGATTCGAACGCGCCATGGCACCTCTTCACTTCCAGGCACCCAGAAGATGGAGCGGGAGCATTTTGCGAAGATGAGCGTCCTCCTTTGCCACTGCCGCTACATGTCGTTGCCTTCGAGTCCGCCCATCACCACTCGACGCATCCATCATGGTGAGTTTATCCAGCACGTGCTAAGCTGACATACAGTCTGAGCTGCGTTACACGGCCAACCAGTCTCTTGAGCAGCGTGAGTGGTACTGAGCTCGGTTTGACAGAACTGAGCGATGTTCTTCAGACGTGCCATCCCTGCTAATCACTCACTAGTCCACGCTCGCTACACAGGTACCGGACATGCGGACATGACCAAGTAGTGCGTAGCTCCAAAAGACTGGGCTTAGAGCTAACTGCTTAGCGAGTGGGCGACCCACCAGCACCGCGACACGCTTGCGTCGATCGTCGGCCACCCTCCTCTGCTGGCGTACATTTCGATCGCTGATGGCGAGTGCCAGGCCCGCGAGCGCTTCGAGGTCATCGAGGTGAGCTAACCTTCTGTTCTGTGAGCTTTAGCTGACAAACAGCGCATGATGCAGCCTTGCGGCCCTCCTCCTCCGAAGACGGATGAGTAGAACGTAGACGACTTGTTGTATTACTATGAAATAGATTGAGCGATCCCTCCTCTTAACATCCTTTGTTCCTTCGAAATACTTTAGCTCACAACAGATCTCTTTATCTCACCAGCAACGATCGGGACGCCTGAAGTACCCTGCAGCCACTCCCACTGACTAAGCGCGAGTAATCGCAGCACACTTGAAACTGCCCCGACTCCCGTATACGCAATTCCCTCAGTGCGCCTCTCGTCGGACGGATGTGTTCGTTCCGTTGTACATCCCACGACAACTCCCTGTCCATCGAATGCGGATACCTTCTGGTCCCTATGCACGACGCGACCGGAGCATGCATTCGTCCAATCGAGGCAGCGGCGCTGAGTCCAGCCAAAGCGGCCCCGCCGCACCGGCAGTCAGCATCTCTCCGATAGCTCTGGGATGTTGATCCAGTGGTTAAGATGGCTGCCTTCCATTCGTGGTTCGAGCAGCTTACCGGGGTTCGAATCCCCGACATCTCAAGCAGCTCTTGCTTTTTGGACCCCTTCTATGCATCATATGCGGTGGAAAGACGGTGTAACGAGCTGACGAATGGGTCCGATAGGATGGTGGTAAGTGGAGACCCTGCGCATGCCGTGGTTGGTTGATCGATCGGGGTGCCTGATCAGCTGGCTAGCTGAAGGCGCCCCTTGCGTAGTTTGCGATCTCGGATCCTGTTGACGAAGTGTAGAGCAGTGATGCTCGTCTTGCGCGATGGGAGGCCTTCTGACAGGAGGTAGTAGTTAGCGGAGTTTAGTGAGCAGACCGTAATGGCGGTGCTGGCGGTTGTACGATCCTTACTGCCTTCGCTCCCTTGGCATTCCAACGATCTCGCAATCGTGGTGCTGTGCATCGCCTCTGCCCTCAGCACAACAAAAGTAGAACGGACTGCCAAGCAGACAGCCCACCATACAGACCGTAAACCGGCAGAACCCCATGAATAAGCGTTCACGTGTCGAGCCCTGCTGGCTGCTCTCGCTGAGAAGCAACCCGCACTCCATTGTCCTTCCGCTGCCGCCATAGAGTGCCCTTCCGCTGCCGCCAATTATATTGAGCAACTGCGCAGAGCCTGTGCTCACCATTGCATGCGCATACGCAAGTGACCGTGACTGATGGACCGACGCAAGCAACTGAGGCCAGCGGTACCAGCGGTGTCGGCACAGCCGGTTAGCATTGTGCCAAGCCGGTGATCGGCGGCTCTGAGCGGCGAGTGCGAAAAAGCCACCGCCGACGTCATTCACCACCAGTCTGGCTATCTCTGTGCTGTGCCTTCCTTCTCGTCGCATCCCCATCCACCCCAAACATCATGTTTGCCAACCTGACGTATCAAGACAAGCAGGCGTTCTTCGCCCTGCTGGACGAGTACTTCGAGTCGCGCCCGCACCTGGCGCACCTGAGGGGCGAGTCGCCCCTGCCTTCCCCGGGCGGCCTTGCCCCGCCGAGCATCGACTCGAGCAGCCGGCCGCGAAGCTCGACGGCGAATTCGTCTTCCTCAACTGCCGGAGCCGCACCGGCGCTTGGCGGACGCACGCTGCCGCCGCCCGTGCACCACGATGCCGCGGCGACACCGCCTGTCCGCCATACCCCCTCCCCCTCTCTGCCCGCCGCTACGCACCACACGCCGGGCTCAGGACTCACGTCGTCGAGCAGCCACCGCGCTGACGGCCTGATGGGCAGCGCCAAGTCGCTCGCCTCTACAGGATATAAGTTTGGCCGCTCCGGAGTCGGAAAGCTTGCGCAGAACCAGCACGTCTCGGGCGCGATGGGCAAGATCGGAGCCGGAAGCTTCAACGACAAGCTCGCCAAGGCGGGCGACACGCCGCGCAGCCGTACCGCTGGTGCCGATGCTACTGGAGGCACCGTGGGTGGTGGTTACACACCGCGCACGACGGGTCCGCCCCAGCCCCCGCCCAGCCGTGGCGGTGCCGCGAAGGGTAACCGCGCCCAGGCGCAGTACGACTATGATGGAGGAGACGCAACCGACCTCCCCGTCAAGGAGAATCAGATCGTCAACATTATCGCGAAGACTAGCGAGGACTGTGAGTAGCTCGCTTGCCGTGCCTAGAGCTGACCCGCAGGGTGGACGTGCGAGGACGACGACGGGAGGCAGGGTCTCGTGCCGGCGAACTACCTCAAGGAGCTCTAAGCGCTACGACAGTAGGATGGCTGGGCGCTATGCAGTCACGATGGAACGATATATGCAACGGGTTACATGGCTGTAAAGGATCTCTGTAATGCATTCAGATCTAAAACACTAATAACTACTGCTACTGGTACCACAACACTGCGCGGGAATCTACTGCTGCTGTCCGAGGACACGGACGGTGCGGTCAAGGCCGGAGAGGACGATCTCGCTTCCGAGGTTGCCGAAGCGAGCGGCGGTGAGGATGCCGTTGTTGTCGTCGAATTTGAGGAGCTCGTCCCAGCTCTTGTTCGCGTAGACGCGCAGGTCGGTGCCGGCAACAGAGAGGAACTGGGCGCTCGGGTCGAAGCGCACCTCGTGCACCGAGTTCTCGCTCGGCAGGTTCCAGCTCGAGAGCACCTTGAGCTTGCGCAGGTCGAACACGCTCACGAGGCTGTCCGCGCTCGAGCCCGTCGCGAGGTAGTAGCCGTTCTCGGAGAAGGAGAGCGTCGTGATCTCCTTGCCGCCAGGGACCAGAAGCGAGCCGGCAAGAACATTGTTCTGGCGCGCGTCCCAGACACGGATGTGGCCGTCCTTCGTTCCGAGACCGTGCAGGATACCGTCCGGGTGGATGTCGAGAGACGTGTACGAGAACGAGCCCTCCTCTCCACCAACGGGCTTGTACGTCGCAATCGTCTTCACCGAAGCAATGTCGTGCATCGACCACGTGCTATCGGTCGAACCAGTGGAAGCGTAGAGACCAGAGGGGTGGATCGCAAGGCCTGTGACGTCGCCCTTGTGGGCAGAGATGTGGCCCTTGGCAGACCACGAGCCACCGTCCTCGCCCCAGAAGCGCACCGTCTTGTCGGCAGCAGTCGACACGGCCATGCGGTTGAGACCCTCCTGTTCCCGGAACTCTACGTGCGTAACCGGCTTGGTGTGGCCCTTGAGCGTGGCGATCGACTTCTCGTTCTCAATGTCGAACACTTGCACAACCTTGTCCATTCCTCCGGTAACAATCGTCTTGCCATCCTTGCTGAGGTCGAGCGCGCTCACTCCCGGGGGCTTGGTGCCGTGCATCGAGCCAATCTCCTTCACCTGAACGTACGTCTTGACCGCCTCCGCGTTCGCGTAGCCCGGGGCCGGCTTGCGCTTTTTGCGGACCGACGACAGGGAGGCGTTCGTCTCCTCGAGCACCTGCTCAACCTCCTTCGGAAGCGCTCCGCTCTCCATCTCCACGTCATCCTGCGCCGGAGCAGCCGCTGAGGCAGACGGCGCAAGACCAACCGACGCCTGGATCGACGACAGAGCCTCACGCGCCTCGTCGCGCTCCTTGATCAATCGCGCAATCACTCGCGTCGCGGCGTCTTCCCGGTAGAGCGCGTTGGCGAGCTCAGCACGCGAGTTCTGAAACGCCTTCTTGATCTCCAGAGACTCGAGCATGATCGCGTCGTACTCAGACTGGAGAGCAGTCAGGAGCGCTGGGATCGAGTTCTGCGTTGACGGGCGCGGCGGCAGCGTCGAGGGCTTGGCCTTGACGTCAATCAAGTCCTCCTTCGTCAGCGGCTCGCCAGTGATCGGATCCGTTCCATTCTCGTCTGGACGTTAGTTGTGTTCGATAACAAGTGAGCCTACCGATATACCGCTCGATCAGCGCCTTCTCGTAAACAGTGCCCGAAGTCTTCGAAACGACGGGAGCCGTAGGCGGCGATCCGGAAACTGAAGTTAGTCACGCGCCGGAACGTTATGTACTCACTGGCACAGAAGAACATGATTCCCGTGCTTTTGAGAGCGGATGCGATGGACCGGCTCTGCTAAAGATGGAGGCTGCTCGAGCTGTTGTTCCATACATCACCACGCAAATGAAGTAACTTGAGGTTACAACGAGCGGAAGCAGTTGTATCAGTGGCACACGTCAGGATTTGCCGCCCGATCGATCTCGGTCACCAACATCTTCGCGTTCGGACCGTTCATCTGATAGACGTTGTTTTCGTACCGACACCGGGGCCAGACGACGAGCAAGTTGACGAAAGCTTGTCCAGAAGTGCTCTGAGGATAAACATGGCGGACCTCAGGCAGTTCATTGGTGACAACCTCGTGCGGGTAAGTGGGGCACCTTCTACGTCGCACGCGAAGCTGACATCACAGCTGCTCGGCTCTGCTGATAGCGCCGTCACCGATTTCGTCCACTCAGCTGGTAAGAACAAGCAGGCAGAGTCTAGCGCTGACATGGTAGCTCTCTCCGCTAAAACACCTGGTGATCTTTACAACCAGCTGCTGGCTGCTGGTCTCTCCGAGTCCCCCGACACTCAAGCTTTCGCCACCCAAGTTCACGGCTTGGTTCCTCGAAAGACGAAGACGAAGAAGCCGAAGGTCGCGCCGACAGTCAACACTCAGAAGTTTACGTTTGTGACCGAGGAAGAGGAGCGGATTTCGAAAAAGAAGAAGAGCAAGAGCAAGGATAAGGACCGTGAAGTCGCTTCCCATAAGCTTGAACGATCATCAAGAAAGCGCGACACCGAGGGCAACTGGGATTCTGACCCCGAAGACTTAGAACCAGAGCCACCAAAACGTGCCCGATTCGATTCTCCTGTCCGTGATGAGGAGCCGCCGGAGCCTGAGGAGACTGAGGAGGAGCGGTTGGAGAGGGAGCGGTTGGAAGATCTCGCAGAGCGAGATGCGTTCGCCGAGCGCATGAAGAACAAAGATCAAGATCGGACGAAGAAGATCGTTCAAGACCGATCCAACGAGGGCACGGAGGAGGCTGCTCGTCGGCAGCTGTTCGCAGAGGATGCCGAGGCGCGGAGAGAGGTCATGCCGGATCTTCGAGAACGCTCCCGACAGTCGTACCTGCAGAAGCGTGAAGAGCAGCGCTTGGACTTGCTCAAGCTCGAAGTGGAGGACGAAAAGATCTTGTTCCGAGGACAAAAGCTGTCGAAGAGGGAAATCGAGGAGCACGAACGCAAGATCGAGCTCATCAAGATCCTCGAGGAGCGCAAGAAGATCGACGATGGCACGGACGGCTACATGCTCCCTGAGGACTACATCACAGAGCAGGGTCGTCTCGATTCGAAGAAGAAGAAGAACGCCCTGTATCAGCGCTACGAGGAAAGGGACAAAAATAAGGAGGCTTTCGCGACCGACGTGGATACCTGGGAGGAGTCTCAGCGGTACCGCACGGACTTTGTCACTGGAGCTCTAGACAAAGAGGTCGTCGACGAGAACGATGGCTATGACTACGTTTTCGATGAGAGTCAGGGTATCCAGTTCTTGCAGGAGGGCGGTTTGGACGGTACGCTCAACCCTGAGGCTGAAGCTTTGCTCGCCCAGGTCGAGGAGGCGGAGAAGAAGCACCAGTCCATCCAGGACACGCGAAAGTCGCTACCTGTGTACGAGTTCCGTGATGAGCTGTTGGAGGCCATCGCTGAGCATCAGGTGCTTATCGTTGTCGCCGAAACAGGTTCGGGCAAGACGACCCAACTTCCTCAGTATTTGCACGAGGCCGGGTACACTGCAGGCGGCATGAAGGTAGGTTGCACGCAACCGCGTCGTGTCGCCGCCATGTCCGTTGCTGCCCGTGTCGCTGAAGAAGTTGGCTGCCGTCTGGGTCAAGAAGTCGGCTACTCGATCCGTTTCGAGGACATGACTAGCGACAAGACGGTGCTCAAGTATATGACGGACGGTATGCTCCTCCGTGAGTTCTTGACGGACCCCGAGCTCTCAACGTATTCTGCGCTTGTCATCGACGAGGCGCACGAGCGAACACTCTCCACGGATATTCTCTTCGGACTCATCAAGGACATTGCCCGATTCCGACCAGAGCTGAAGCTTCTGATCTCCAGCGCTACTCTCAATGCGCAAAAGTTCAGTCAGTTCTTCGACGACGCTCCCATCTTCGACATTCCAGGCCGCCGCTTCCCCGTCGACATGTTCTACACTCAGCAGCCTGAAGCCAACTACATTCACGCTGCCGTCACGACCATTCTCCAGATCCACACAACCCAACCGAAGGGTGACATCCTCTTGTTCCTGACAGGTCAAGATGAGATCGAGGCTTGCGAGGAGAATCTCAAGGAGACCATGTACGCTCTCGGCGACAAGGTGCCTGAGCTTATCATCGCACCTATCTACGCCAACCTTCCGAGCGAAATGCAGACGAAGATCTTCGAGCCGACACCAGAAGGCGCGCGCAAAGTCGTCTTGGCCACCAACATTGCTGAGACGTCGATTACAATCGATGGCGTAGTTTATGTCATCGACCCGGGCTTCGTCAAGCAGAATAACTACAATCCCAAAACAGGAATGTCGTCGCTGGTGGTGGAGCCAATCTCTCGCGCCTCTGCGAATCAGCGTGCGGGTCGTGCCGGACGTGTCGGACCTGGTAAGGCGTTCAGACTGTACACCAAGTGGGCGTACAAGAATGAATTGCTGGAGGACACGATACCAGAGATCCAACGAACCAACCTCGGCATGGTCGTGCTGATGCTGAAGTCGCTCGGCATTAACGACATCCTCAACTTTGAGTTCCTGGACAAGCCGCCAGCCGAGACGATCATCCGGTCGTTCGAAATGCTGTACGCGCTCGGAGCGCTCAACCACAAGGGCGAGCTGACCCGTCTCGGTCGCCGCATGGCCGAGTTCCCCGTCGACCCGATGCTCTCGAAGGCGATCATCAACAGCGAGAATTTCAAGTGCACGCACGAGGTGCTCATCATCATTTCGATGCTGCAGGAGTCGGGATCGCTCCTGTACCGGCCGAAGGACAAGCGTGTGCATGCCGACAAGGCGCACAAGAATTTCCAGAAGCCAGGAGGCGACCACTTCACGCTGCTCAACATCTTCGAGCAGTGGGCTGAGGCGGGCTATGGCCAGCAGTTCTGCTATGAGAACTTCGTGCAGTACAAGTCTCTCTGTCGCGTGCGTGACATCCGCGATCAGCTGGCGAGTCTTTGCGACCGAGTTGAAGTTGTGATCGAGAGCTGCCCGAATGACGTTGTCCCCGTCCAGAAGGCGATCACGGCTGGCTACTTCTACAACACTGCGCGCCTCGACAAGGGTGGTGGCTACAAGACCACGAAGAACAACCACACCGTCTACATGCACCCGTCGTCGGGTCTCATTGGCATGCAGCCCCCGCCGCGCTTCATCCTGTACTACGAGCTCGTCCTTACGAGCAAGGAATACATGCGCCAGTGCATGCCGATCGAGGGAGAGTGGCTGTACGAGCTCGCGCCGCATTACTTCAACCGCGGCGACGTGCAGAAGATGATGGGAAGCGCGAGCAGCGTCAAGATGCCGAAGCAGATCAAGCCGGCCCCAGGACCGCAGGATGTGAAGTAGGCGAGGGAGGATTGAGAAGCATAACAAACAGTCTTGTATCACATTATCATACTTTGGTAGCATCATTTGGCTCTGCATTACATCATGAAATCAGGACATTCGGGCGCACAAGCAACTTAGGGGTCTAGAAAATGCATACATGTGGGTCTAGTGTGACCTGAGACAGATATGTTTAACCACGCTTCCTCTTCTTGCCGCCACCAGCACCGCCGCCATTCTCAAGGTGCGCCTTCTTGATGGCGTCCTGGCGCGCCTTCTCTCTTCGCTCCTCGCGGATCTTCTCCGCCTTGCGCTCCTCGCTCGCCTCGACCTTCTCGCGGTGTCCCTTCCTGCGCTCCTCCTGCTTCTCCTTTCGTCGTGCGACCTTGTCCTTCTTCAGACTCTGGATCTGCTGCAGAAGCGCGACAGCCTTCTTCTCCTCGTCGCCCATGACAACCGCACGAGACTGGAGATACGTCGGCTTCTTCTGCGCGTTCATGACCTTGGGCTTGGACGCGTACGGCAGGTCGGCCTGGAGCTTGCGCGGGATCTTGAGAGCGTTGAAGCGGCGCGTGCTGCGCTCGACAGTGCGGTAGGCCGAGTTGGGGTCCAGCGGCGTGTCGACACCCTCCTCGCGGCGGATCTGGCCGGTAAGACGCATGCCCTTCCAGCCCTTCTTGTCCGCAAGCAGGAGCGACGTGACGGGGTTGTAGAGCTTCTTCGGCTCGATGCTGTACCACGCGCGCAGGAAGACAATATCGCTCATCAGGATCTTGTCCTCGAACGTCGCACGGTAGGCGCCCTCGGGCTTGGCGAGCGCCTTCTTGATCTGACCACGAACACCGGAAACGGTACGGATGTTGGCGCCCTCAAACTTGGCGACCTCAAGCGCACTGTTGAACATGTCCTTGATGAAAGCGGTGTTCTTGAAGATCTTGTACGGCGTACCCGTGAGCTTGAGCTTCTTGACGATCTTGGTACTACGGTCGACGTCGAGCACGACACCGGTCGCAGACACGCGGAAGCCAGGAGCATCGTTGGTCAGGCTGTTGAAGGCGGCGAGACCCGTGTTCGGCGCCGAGACAGGACCGTAGAACGTCGCGAAACAGTGCATGTGCTCTGGAGTGTACTTGAGCATGCGGTTTCGGATACTGTGGTCGTCGAGATGGTAGATCGGCAGCGACTGGAACCGGCGCCAGCCGAGGGAGAATATGAGCGGGTCGTTCGTCTTGAGAGTCTTCGTAAACCAACGGTGACGCTTGATACGCACGGTGACGTACCCAAAGCGCTCCTCCTCGGCGAGGAGACCACCAACGATGATCGGGAACTTCGGGTCGAAGTTCTCCACAAGCTCGCACGGCACGTTGTCGATCTCGAGACGCACGTACATTCCAGAGCGGTAGCCCTCGATCTGGGCACGGGCGTCGATGTCCATGCCCTCAAACTCGGACTCGTTGAGAGCGCGCTGGCGAGCCATCTCGGCCTTCTGCTGGTCGTAGAAGTCCATGCCGCTCTCCTCGTCCTCATCGTCATATTGCTCGTCGAACTTGGCCGCGAGCGCCTTCTTCTTGCGCGCCATAGCCTCCTCACGAGCACTGATGTGGTCGACCTGTCCGGATCCGTCGGGCTTCATGCCGACATACGGAACGTTCTCTCCGTCCTCGCCGTCCTCATCGTCGCCATCCCCGCCCTCGAGGTCCTCGAAATCGTCTCCCTCCTCCTCGTAGGGCAGACCCTCAGCAGTCTCCTCACCCATCGCTCCGGAGATGAACATCTTCTGCAGTCCGTCAAGGATAGTCTCGTCGCTCCAGCGCTCCTCGAGAGCCTTGACATCGACGGGCTCCTTGATGGCGTCTCCTTCGTCTCCAGCGTTGTCTCCACCCTGGACACGGAGGAAGCCGTCGTTCGACATGGCCATGGCTGATGACTCGGCGTCGGCGGATGAAGGGCGGGTCTTGCCAGCGGCAATCTCCTCGGGCGACAACTCATCTCCGTAGATCATCGACATAAGGTCGCGGCGACGACGCATGCGCTCAGCAAACCCGGTGGCCGCACGGTCAGCGAGATTGCGCTTCCACTGGGGGACGTCCTCATCGTCCTCATCATCCTCGTCGTCGTCGTCCTCGCTGCCCTCTCCAAAGTCCGCCTCGGGCTCGGAACCGTCGTACTCGTCGTCTGAAAGGTTGATATGCTTTCCGTTCTCCTCGAAGCCAGTGACCATGTCGAGGTCATTTTCAGAGTCAGAAGACGCGTAGGCGACGTCCTTCTCCTGCTCATCATCGTCGTCGATCTCCTCGATACGAGCACCTCCCTCGTCCTCATCGAACTCGTCATCGAAGTCCTCATCGTCGTCGGAAGCGGCACCGAGCATTGGTCCGCCGGAGCGAGGAGCGGCCGCGCGACGTTTCCGCTTGCCGTCCGAGTCGACAGTGAGAGGAGCAGAGGAAGAGTCGAACAGCCTGATCTGAGATTTCTCCATACCCTCGGCGAGGGTGGCCTGCGCGTCCTGCATCTCGATGACCATGCGCTCTCCCTCGCCCTTCGGCTGGTCGCCGTCCTTGGAGAACGAGCCGAGGACGTTCACGTAAACGGCGTCCTTGTCATACATGACTCCTCCAACATCACTCATAGGGGCGTGAATCAACTTTGCCTTTTCTCCCATGCGACGACGACGCTCGCTCTCAAGTGTGGGAAGCGGACAAGGGTCGGTCAAACGCTCAACCTCCTTAACCTCGAGGTCGCCGGCTCCGGGGATGTGGATCTTGGCGTTGCGTGCCGGGAGATTGGGTCCGCGGACGTAGCCGTACAGAGTGATTGTTCGGTCCATCTTCGGGTTCTGGCGCACCTCCTCGCGAGGCGTCAGGTCCTGCAGACGGTCGGCGAGCAGGTATGGGTGCTGGTTACGGAACACTAGCGGACGGAACTTGACCACACTGATGAATCGTGTGAGCAGGTTGATCTCGGCATCGGGGTAGCGGCCGTTGATGACTCCTGAAAGCGAGAAGAGCTTGGCTCCCTGGTAAATCTCGGTCCAGAAACGGTGCTTGAGGCGCTTCTTCGTGTCCTTCAGCGTGCTCTGCTTCTTGATGAGGTCGAGGTGGGTGAGGAGACCGATGACCTTGGGGAAACCGTGAGCCTGGAGAATGTTGAGGAACTCAAAAGTTTCCTGATATTAGCTCAACCATGGCTGAAGGACTCTCACCATCTCAAAGCCGAAGCTTCCATCGATCATCAATAGCACGAGGTCAACGACCTTGCCGAGATCAATCATAGAGTTCAGGTCGTTACCGCACTCGACGAAAGTGATACGCCTCGTCTTTCCGGACACAACAGTAATCGGACCTTGGGGGTCGTTCAGATTGTGCTTGGTGTATCGCCTGACGAGCGAGCGGAGGAGCGTGGTCTTCCCCACACCGGGAGGTCCGACGATGCCGACGACGATGGGCGGCGGGGGCATGCGGCCCTCGTCCATGCCCTGTCCCTTCTCCTGGGTCACTTTGCGCTCCTCGGGGTTGCGGTTGACGAGAGGGACATGGAGCCTCTTCTGGCCAATGTCCGCCGTTCGGCGCGCAGCGATGTTCGCCGATCGCCATGATTGCGAGGTGAACGCCTGAGGTTAGCTACCAGTGGACTAGTAGTAGCACTTACCTTCGGGTTGTAACCATGAGCATGGCGTCGGTCAACGCCCTGCGCCTTGTCCTTCTTGTCGAGCTTGGAGCCCGCGGACGGCTTGTGGTGAGCCTTGTGCGGCTTCTCCATGCTGGTTGTTGTTACGGTGACCGTCGCCGTTCCAAAATTCAAGGTATCATGAGCTCGGCGACCCTTACGAAGTGGAGGTCTCAAATTTACACCCGTGTGGGTATTAGACATCGGCGACTATTGCCTAATCCAACCACTGCTGCCATAACAGTCTCCATTAGCATCAGATTCTATGAGCTTGCCACCGTTCACGTGACCGCGTCCAAAAGTCTAAATATTGAAATGTTCAGTGGTCCATCGATCTGCAACTACCCCACACCACCATGCCGAAGGAGCAGATCCGAAAGCGCGGAAAGCGCAAGCCGAAGACTGAGCAGGGGGCGCCTGCCCCTGCTCCTACTACCGAGTTCGACGCTCCGCCGGCTCCTGCCGCGGAGCCTGAGTCGATCGGCGGCATCCACCCTTCCCGACTTGCCATCCTGAAGCGAACCGGCGGCGCGAGCCAGCAGGCCGTTACGACCCAGACCGAGGAGCAGACCGCCGAGCTCGACCACCGACCAGAGGAAGAGCAGCCGGAGGAGGGAGCCGCTAACTGGACCCGCGTGTACGATCCCGATTTCCCGTTCGGTGTCCTCGACCCGGATGTTAAGGCATACTTCCGGAATCTGGAGGACCAGATCAAGGACTGGGAGGGCGCCGGCGCTGCTGGAGAGGAGCGTGAAGGTGAGTACTGTTTTTGCTTGGAAGCTGATATCAGACCGACAGATGTTCCTGAGCAGCGTGCTGCAGGAATTGCGCGGACACGAGCTGCAGGTCGCCACGGACCCCGAGGTCGGCGTCGTGCTTGAGCGCCTGCTTCCCTCGCTGAATGACTGGGGCCGGCGTGTTATCGGTGACTCGTTCGGAGAGAAGTGGGAGACTCTGCTTACGCATCGTTTCGGAAGTCACATTGTGCAGACCTGGATGACGCTCGCCGCCTCCACTCTCGATCGCGAGGTGAGTAACAGCTGTTGCACTAGGCGAAGCTGACATCAGACCCGCGGTATCTACCCGCCGCAACAGAAGAAGCAGGAGAAGAACCCGGAAGAGGGTGTTCTCCCGACGATGGCCGAGCTTATCACCTCGCTTACGACGACCTTGATCCCCAGCTTCCCCTCGCTCCTGACGAACACTCACGCCTCCCCGCCTCTCCGACTCCTCCTGCTCGTCCTCACTCCCAATCGCGCTCTTCCTTCGCTCGATGCCAGTGAGGGTGACGGTGGCCTTGTTCGTTCCAAGCGTTCCGGCAAGTTCAGGAAGGGCCAGGGCGTGCAGGGCAAGTCGATTCTCGGCGACGAGGAGCAGAAGCCGACAGACCGACAAGTGCCCGAGTCGGTCGCTGCGCTGCGGAAGAAGGTCCGCGACGAGGTGATGCAGCGCATCTCTCCGGTAGAGTGGCACGGCATGGGCGTGAACAAGGTCGGAAGTGCCGCCGTCCAGCTCTTCCTGGAGGCCGAAGCTGAGGATGGCGACAGCGAGAAGGAGGGCAGCCTGCTCGACATTATCACGGAGGGCCTTGCGTCGAACCCCAAAGACAGGGAGCAGAAGCCGTACCTGTACTCGCTTCTGGTGTCGCCGACGGGTACCCGCCTGTTCGAGGCTGTGCTCTCGGTCGCGCCGAAGAAGATCTTCAAGGCCCTGTGGAAGACATACTTCCGCAAAAAGCTCGGCAAGTTTGCTTCCCACCCGTACGCCAACTTCGTTGTCGCCAAGGGCGTCTCGCGTCTCTCAGCCGACGGCCTCAGCGAGGCGATCGCCGAGGTCCAGTCTGTCGGTGGTGGAAAGGCCCTGATCAAGACGGCGCGCACAAGCGTGCTCGTCGCTTTCGCAGAGCGCGCGACTGCGCTCGGCAAGGGCGGTGACGAGGTCATGGGCCTGGTCAAGAGCGCGACCGAGCTGCCCGAGGGAAACAACGATCTCGTGCCCGCGCTCATGGCGCTGAAGACGGTCCCGACGTATGAGGCGATCAAGAACGGCGAGGATGTTCCCGAGGACGGCGATGACGCCGAGCGGGAGAAGGACGAGGATGCGGAGGCCGCTTTTGAGGCAGCGCAGCGCCGCAGTGCGTGGGAGAACCGCCGAAACGCGAGGCCCCGCGGCGCCCTCGACCCGAACATGCAGGGCTGCCTTCTGCTGCAGGCGCTGGTTGACATGCCGGACTCCACGGAGGTGCTCGAGAGCCTCTTCGCTCAGCCCGTTGACGCTCTTCTGGCTTACGCGTCGTCGCCGATCGCTTCGCGTCTCCTCGACCGTGTGCTGCTCTCTGCCAATGTGCCGCCCAAGTACAAGCGCAAGCTCCCGCTTGCCTTTGTTGGCCACTACCTCGAGCTGGCGTCTGACCGCCTTGGATCTCGTGTCGCGGACACGATCTGGGCGACCGCGGACGGCTTCCTGCGTGAGAAGATTGCGCGCTCCCTCATTCCGAGTGCGACCCAGCTCGCCGCCGACGCCTACGGAAGGTTCATGGCGAAGAAGCTCGAGCTGCACCTGCTCCAGCGTCGACCGGACGAGTGGCGCGAGAAGCAGCTTGGTCTGAAGCACCACTTTGCGCACCAAAAGGAGGCGCGCCAGGCTGCCGACCAGCAGGAGGAGGAGCAGCCCGAGGAGGAAGAGCCGAAGAAGAAGGAGAAGAAGAGGAAGGGAGACGAGATTGACGAGGTCTTCGGCAAGCTCGAGAAGAAGAGGAAGAACAAGTAGATTGTAGCATCACCAGCACTACGCCCATAGATCTTTTCCGGACATGTCATCAATTTGCATTTTGCAGAGCAGAACTCGTCAGCCAATACACGAGAACACAGAGCAAGAGCGATGCGATGCATAAGTACAACAAAGTAGCTCTGAGATCCTGATCCGCTCCATCCGTCTTCCTGGCGAAGCGGGGGAGATATTGAGGGGAGAGGGTAAGTCTAAGTCTAACACTGGTTCCGGAAGGGTGTCGTGTGTGCGAGTCTGGCTGGCAGACCCGGTTTTATGCTCTGGGCGTTGCAGAGGTGGTCGCTTAAGGCTCCTCAGCAGGCGCCTTCCGGAGCCACCAGTCGATGGCGGCGGAGAATCCGGCGAACGCGAGACCGCCACCGACCATGGCCTTCGGGCCGGCGTTGCGCGCAAGAATCGCACCCGAGAGGAAACCACCCGCGACAGAGTTCCAGATGTCGTTCTTCGCACGGTACTGCCTGTCAGCGTTACAGAGCACAAGCTGGTTAGGGGGACACTCACAGCCTCGATACAGCACTCCGTTCCCGAGTACAGGGCTCCGACCTTGGCGAAACCCTTACCCGAGGTCCACATGTTGCGGCCCATCTCCTTGAACATGTGCTTCGCCTGGCCCTTCATGCCCTGGTCACGGAGCTCCTGCGATGCTCGCGACATCGGGTCCTCGATCGCGAAAGACGCCGACATCATAGCGAAGAATCCACCGAGCAGGAAACCTGAGAGTCAGCTGTGTCACGGAGCACCAGATGGCTATACCGAACGCCTGCATGTACTGCGCTGTGGAACACGTCCACCGCTGCTGAGGCCTCAACAGCGTCAGACACAGACTCGTCGAACCTCGGTGACGATTGAAGAACATGATCGCCAGACCAACGACCCACACTCCCAAACATAGGAAGCTCTAGACACCATGTCGTGCAGGTGTTCGGCAACATGAAAGCTTAGGTCCTACTCACCCATTCCACCGGCCATAACAACCTTGGTCGGGCACGACTCCATAACCATGTTCATCTGCTTGGTCCAGTTCTGGATCTTGCGGACCTCATCCTTCTCGTCCTGCGTCGTTCCGGGAGGGTACGGCTCGGAGCCGGGGGCGTATATCGGGGCGAGGAGGGGGTGCTGCTGGGTCATGTCGGCTGATGGGGTGGGGTTATATCAACTCGGAAAGTCAGGCCAGTCGAAAGCCAACGATCGCTATCGGGCGACCACCCAGCCGGTCGTTCCAACTTTTTGCCGCCGCCTCCGCCGCCGATGGAGGTGCGTGCCGAAGTGATGGTCCCTGATTTTGTTTGAGCCTCCTGGTTAGTAGCCTCAGAAGACCACAATGGTCGATCTGGTGGAGGTGTCTCCACTCATGCCACTCATCCGCGGGAGGCTGACCGGAGATTCGATGATGGTATTCTTTCAGCTCGTCAAGGAGAGAAGAATGAATCCCATTGATCCGGCATGCACGCTAGAGGCCATGTGTTGAACGAACTGCAACTGAGTTGAGATCGTTCAATGGAGACTGCAGACGCCGTAGCTTATGGAATAACTGACGTCTGAAACAGCTGTCACATGTGCCGGTCATACGCACTCCGCCATGCACCTCGGAGTGTCACTGGAATTGTCCTAAGTGCTAAGTGTCGATCGGCAGTCGTGCGTAAGGCGACGGATCGCCTTTCCGCATGGTGAGTCTATGTCCCGTATCCTGTCTAAAAGCAAGCAGCCCCGATTGCGACTCCCAAAAGAATGACCTCTGGCGGGGTCGAACCGCCGACCTTATGCGTAACGCGTCAAGTGTTAAGCATACGCTCTAACCAACTGAGCTAAGTGGCCTTAGACGTTCGCTCTGCTGCGGACTGCATGCATCACGCTCGGTGCCTGAGCGTCCTGCTTACGCCCGTGCTGATCGCTCGCCGTACAGACGGACGTGTCGAACCCACGCTGCTGCCGCACATCGAGTTGTTCGAATGGGTTCTCGGTTTCGCATTTCCTTCTGTAACCTAACACATCATGCACAGATCAACTTCCATCACCCTCTTTTGGAAAGCCACGGGCCAGTTTAAGCTCAACGCTTCGCCATGACCAAACCACGACGACGTCCTCGGTCCTCAGAGGAGCTCAGACGAAACGGCCCCCAGCGCCAAGCTAAATTCGGCACATCGGAGAACCCCAACGTCCCGTTGCCCGTAGGGCCCCACGGCGCGCACCATGATCGTGAGTGTGACCACCTTCCATCCGAGAGTGCGACGGCCTGCGGCGTTAGCACGATCGAAAGTGCTGGTGCGCCATGCGCGGACTATGGAATCGCGCGACCAGTGAATGGGGGTGAATGGCTCGATGCGCATGTGCCCACCGACGCCAGGTCATGACTACTGAACTGTGGCGTTCAGCTAGCCAAACTAGTTGTACTCCCATTGACTGTAACCCTGCAGTGGGCAATCAGAGGTTTGGTCAAACTTCCCCAACACAGCGAACAGCGCTAAACCTCCTGGTCCCCAGGGCCTGTGTGGTGGAGGGTGTGTACCGGGGTTAGCGCCAGTGCGCCAGGGAGCGGCGTATACACTGCCCGCCAGCTGCGATTTGCACGCTCCATGTACCCTATGATCCTGTGCGATCCTGGGTGCAATGAGTCTTGGCAGATCAACACAGATCACTGCTGCGCGTGCATCGGGCTTCGAAAGATCGAAAGCATGCTCTGCTCGGGACGTCATTCGTTCGCAGCATCATGCCGTATTCCGTCGTGCCGGCGCAAGAGGATTCTGTCTGCAGACTGGCCGGATATAGGGCACGGGGACAGAGGCAGGAAGGCAGCGAGGAGCCTGAGAGCAGAGAGCGGCAAGCGCGGCCAGCGGCCATAAGCGCCATCAGCTAGGCACTGTCAGGTAGCTCCAAGCTTATGTTGGATACAGCCGAGGCGATCAAGCACGCCGGGTACTGGCCATTCCGCGAATCCCATGCGATCTCGGGCTCGCTCTAGCCTGCCTCTCTCAACTGAAATCCACTCCAACCACGGCTTTGGCCACCGTTCTAACATGCACTTGCTCCCTTCTCCACAAGGGCACTAGCTCTACCCAACCTCGTCTTTCGGCTTCCTGACTCAGGCGCCAGCTCACGCCAGAACCACCACAGATCCGATCAGCCCTGCCAGGCCGTACCAGGATTCCTGGTCAGACGAACAGCCCGGTGGTCATTCGCTGACGGGTGCTACTTGAGGCTACTTGTCATGCCGTCGCCTTCCTCACCTTCTCACTCCGGTTCTCGACTCTCAACGATCCACCACGCTCATTCTTAACGCTTCGCTCCTCTCTTTCAGTCGCCGTTAACCTCACCTCCTTGTTCTTTGGACCTTGCTCTTTCTTGTTTTCCGAATAGGTCGTCACATCTGCGTCACTCGATACTCGGCTTCCGACTGCTAGGTCGACCGGACTTGTCTTTGCCGCTCTGGCATCGAGCTGTGGCGATCCTTTCCCTTCCGACCCTCGCTTCCCTCAACAGCAGACGGCACATCGGCCATGCCCTTCCCGTCAAAGCTGCTCAGCACTCCAGTTGGAGGCCAGGGCCCTGTGATGTCTCTGACCCAACATCAGTGGGACTGTGTCAACCGATGCAACGAGCACTTTAGCAGAGATGGACTCGTTCTCCCTGTAGGCGAGGGTAAGAAGGAGACAGCGCCCCTCACAGAGCGCGAGAAGATGTTCTTGGTGAGTAGTTGCGGGAACAGCAGTCTTCAGTATCACTAACATTCAGTCGCGGGATGCCTATCTGAGGTGAGCATAGCCGAGGTGACCATTTCCGCCTGACCGCCCACAGATTCCTGACCTCGGTTCGAGGCGATATCTCAGCATGTGTTGAAAAGTTGGAGAAGGCTATCATTTGGCGCCGCACGCACCAAATTGACGACTTTGACGAGTGGGTGAGGAGGATGAAGTTCGATGTGAGCACGACAACCACCAATTTGCCACTGACAACCGACAGTCCGACATGGGCAAGACATTCCTTTGCCACTTTGCACCTGATGGTCGCCCGCTGCTCTACATGCTGTGCAACCGCGATCAACTCCCTATGAACAAGCGACATCCTTGGCTCGTGGTGCGTATCTGCTCACGTCAGCGTCGATCGCGATACTGACCCCACCTTAGCTCTTTTGCGTGGAACGCGCTACAGAGCTGATGGCCAATGGGCAAACGTGAGTCCATGCCGTCGCTGCATAATTGACGACGAAGTGCCTTGATCAACATTTTCCCTTTCACCAAGAAGCAGGGTCTCCCTGCCTCGGTTTCGGTATCTCGAACGCTCATGTCCTCGCTGGGCAACTATTACCCCGAGGTCCTCTCTCGTTCCTATGTCCTCGACGCTCCTTGGCAGATCGGGACCTTCATCGGTCTTGTCTGGCCTATGGTCGACTGGTCCGCACGTCGCAAGATCAAGATCTGCCCATCGGAAGTCATCTTCAAAGATGGCGAAGTCCCATCTGAACGCCTTCTTAAGGACGCCGGCGGAAAGCTGGACGTCCCGTGGGACGCCGAAGCGTACTGGGAAACGCTGGTCACAACTTGCCGAGAACGGAGAGAAGATCACCTCAGACGCTGGCGAGAACTTGGCGGCAGATGTGGTCTTGAGGAGCGACTGTTCAAGGTAGTGGAGCGCAATTCCAGCGAAACCACTGCGGTCGACATCGAGGAGGAAGTGTCGGTCATGACGGAGAACACGCATTCGTCAGAAGATTCGGCCTTTACTCCCCCGTCCGTCAACGCATACACCTCCGAGCATGGAATCAAGCAATGGAAGGACAACTGGAGCTTCCACGGTACCAAGACCAGTCCTACTGGCGCACGCCCCAACATGACCAGTACAAGTCTTGAGTCCCAACATGGCCTCGTTCAACGAGTTCAGGAGAATGAAAAGTGGCTGAAGACAAATCCCCCGCCTCCCAGCAGCCTCCCTCCACAGCGAAGATGCTCGATTCAGCGGGCCGAAGCCGACACCTTGTCTAATTCTGGGTCCTCCACTTCCGGCTCTAGTGTCGCCGCCCGAGCGCCTCAGCGCAAATCGTCGTTGAGGGCGCCTCATCACCACCCTCACGCTCGCAGGTACAACGGTTCCAGCTGGACCCTTGACTCGGAGGATGAAGAGGAACCACAGCCACGCATGTACCCTCGTCCGCCCCCGCCACCTCGCAGTCTCAAAAGCTTCATCTCGTCCTCTGCACTGTCAACGACAGCACCCCCGTTGCCCTCGCCACCGATGGAGAGAGCTCGGACTAACAGCCTCGAAGCTCAATCTCCCAAGGTCACCACCCGCCCACTTCACCGCAACGGCAGAGCTGCTGCCACAAGGGCTGCTACGGAGCCTGGATACCCGTATCGGGATGAGCCTGCGCTGCGTTTGCAGCCGCGCCGCCAGTCGAGAGACGTCGAGAAGGAGCGGAAGATTACCGACTTGTTACCCGTCAGTGACCCCGAGCCTGACATCTACACTCCCGCTGCCGAGTCCGACACGGACGCGGAACCCGAGCCGATCACAACTCCGGAAAATGCCCCAGACGGTATGGACGCCTTCACTTCCAGAGTACACCTCGGTGATGATGATCACGGCATCGAGTCTTTGTCAAAGCGGGATTCAGTTTCGACCGTTGACACCGGAACGAGCGACGGGGACCACTCTACCGACTACATGTCCTCCGTGTCGTCTCCACCTCACGATCGATGGGTAGCAATCTTACCGGCCGCCATGAGCTCAACTTCTCATCTCGCCCTCGAGGCTCGACTGGAAGCCGAGCTCCAAGCACAGCTCGCCAGCGAGGGCTCCAACGACGATGACGCCACGATCAAATGCTCCGACGTCGCTTCGGTCAAGAGCAAGTTTGACGCATTCCCGTCAAGCCCCACTCCCTTCCCATCCAGCCCGACGCTCTTGCCCCCGAGCCCCACCCATCACAAGGTCAAGACGCACACGGTTGTCAACGCAAAGTCTTGGGGGAAGTCTCCGCCTGCGCGGACCTCGCCACTCGGGGTTCCCCCCCGAGACTCTGCCGTGAAGGGACCGAGATCCCCGCCGCGCTCACCTCAGTCACCCGGCCGGCCTGTCCCCGGCATGCCCTACCTCACCAACCCTGCCCCCTTTGTCCCGCACGAGTCCCCACCTCGTCTCCCGCAGATGCAAACGGACCGCTGGAGGTTTAACGCGCCAACTCTGGGCATGCAGCCGCCATGGGCGACACTGCCCCGCAACGGGGGCAACATGCGCCAGTCCAGCTAACGCACCTCTTCTTCAACTGTGTATAGCGCCCTCATTCGTTCAAAACACGACTCCACTCGCAGACACGCAACCCTCTGTCCTTACGAATCCTCTTCCCTTCACACTCTGTGTCCCTCGAGTTGTAGTTCTAGTCAGAAAGGAGTATCCCCCTTGTGTATCCTGTACCACCAGCAGAGTATCACCCACTCCACCCCGCGTCTAATTATTCCAGTGATGCATATAATACTGTGGTTGCGGACGCCAACGCTGGCGGTTGAGGGCGGTCCGTGGGGCCGGTGTGATCGGGCGATCGAGCGTGCACGCGATCAGTGCGCAGTCCTCGATCACTGCGACGGCGGAGCACGGCCCTCCTGTCTTCGGTGGGCAGCCCGTTTGAAGGCCATGGATCATGGCAGACCCAGGGCCAGCGCGCTGTGAAACGTCTCTCAGCTCTTCTGACGGGTCAGTGTGGTTCTGTGGGGATGTTTCATCAGTCCTCGTGGGTTACCCAGGTCATCGGAAGCACCATCTTCGCGGGGCCGAATGAGGTCCGTGCGGAGCCAGTATCCAAGCGTACTAGAGCTGAACACTGAAGCGTAAGTATCTCCTGTGCGCGGCGGCGCCGAGGGCGGCTAGCAGTGAAGCCGACTGAGCTCTGAGATCATGGGGCAGAGTCCTTGACACAGAGCTCCTAGACATCAGCCAAGGCGGGGCGTTCGTGCGTTCTGTTGGCGCGCAAGCGGGTGTCTCACCGCCATGTCCTCACGACGCTCGTGCGTGCGGTTAGGCCGAAGAGGTAAGCGGCATGTGCGAGAAGACCGGCTCGCTCGGACGTCTCGCGCCGGTGTCCCGCAAGTCCACAAGATGTGAGGAGGAGCTTAGCGCACCCTCGACGCCTCGGCAGTTGCAGAATTCCAACGAATCCAGTGAAGCTCAAGAGTGAGCTCGAGCGACAATGTGAATTGCCCCAAAGCCGTTCCAGTGCGTTGTTGTTCTTTCCCCGCTTTTCTGTGGGTTCTGTCCATATATGCCTCGTGACCTCGTTGCTTGCTTAAAGCCTGCTGGCTTTGCGGGTTTTACTCGCGCTTTCTTCAATAGCAGCACGACTAGCACGGCGGTGACGCTCAGTGACGCTCAGTGACGCAGTGACTCGGCGACGAACGGGTGACGCGGGTGAGACGTTCACGTGTCCAGAATCTTCTCTCAGTTAACATGTGAGCTTTTGCTTACCACCCGGCTCATTCTGTGCAAGAACATCTCCACTCACGAAGCAGTTGAGCTATGCATTTCTGCGAGTCGCGCGAGGCTCGACTCCCGATCACACACGAGGCAGCTACGACGGCACCCGCTACCGGATCCAGGAACAGCCGCCAGCGTACCAGCGTACCAGCGTACCAGCGTGTTTCCCGCCTCGCGTCCCCCTGCTCCCTGGGGTCCTTTGGACCCAGGTAGCCACTTACAACAAGACATGTAGCCCTTGCTGCCGTACGTTCCGAACCTCGCTTGTGCTGTTTGGCGCCACGCCGCTCTCCCGGCTGCCGGCTGCACACCCGTGAGCAGATGTACCGCTGTGTGGGTGTCGCGACACGATGCCATCCCCGGCCCCGCGATCAATAAGCAGCAGTGAACGAGATACGCGTATTGCTGCAAGAAGGAACAATTAGACGCAGGTGCCGAACAAGACGCCGGAGGGTGTAGCACGTCAATCACCCATTTTGCCAACAAGGCTCGCAAGGCTCGCCCCCGAGGCCCCGAGGCCGAGATTCCAGAACTCCAGACAGTGCCAGACGCCGAGGATGCCGCAGGCTGCGTGTGACGTAGTGCAGCAAGTGATGGGGCAGAGGGGACGTGTCACTTGCCTCGACATGACTTTCGTCTGGCTCTATACATTTTGCTCAGCGGTGATCGACGACGAGAGACGAGGTGAGGAGGGGGTTGTGATACCGCCGCGGAGCCACGGTAACAGTCGTCCGCAGCACGCGGCGTCAAGCGGGCCAGCGGAAGAAGCAGGAAGGCGTGCAGGCGAATGAGCCTGTTGCTCATCGTGTGTCAGCTTGTCCTCACTGTGCCGTGCTGCCGCGCTGCCGAGCGGCTGAGCTTTGTGTGCTTTTGACTGCCTCGAAACGAGGCGTCTTCCCCAACCAGCTGCAGGCTGGCAGCGTGGTAGGCAGTACGGCAAGCTCTGGGCTCTGGGTGAGCCGAAGAGCAGCACACCGGCGGAGTCAAAAGCAGGCACGGCGCAGACCCCCAAATACATGCGCTAGCGCTAGTGCATGGAAGATGAGCTGGCCAGGCCTGTCGGACTGTGCTCGCCGCAGCACCAAGCGAGGGCGGAGGCGCAGCGCGCACGGCGCACACGGCGCAGACGCGCAGACGGCGCGCACGGAGGACGGAAGCAGGAGGTGCAAACAGAAGACAGGGTGGAGGGCATGGAGGGCGCAAGGGTTGACGGCGCGGCACGCCAGGCTCGCCAGGGCAAACCCAGGACGGCCAGGACAGCCAGGACAGCCAGGACAGCCAGGACAGAGTAGGACGCCAGGGCAAGACGTCATAGGTCTCTGGGCGCGACCCGATATCTGTGTAGGGCGTCGCTTGAGCTTCGCAGGGCGCACTGAGGGCGCAGAGCATGCAGAGCAGGTTGCGTGCCATCACGCCGTTCTACGAGGCCTGCGATACGCTGCCCGATGCAGGATGGGGATGAGGGCGCATGTACATTCCCCGCGCGCCTGAACGCCCCTCGCTTCGCCGGGCTGCTCACAGTCTCGCTGCCTCTGCGCGCCGCCTCCGCTTCTGCTGACCACGGCGTCGTCTTCAACTCAATCCTCTTGCAATGTCAGGTGGCAGCCTCGGCAGGTCCGGCACCTGGCACGCTTGCTGGTCACGAGCTGCTCGGAGGGGGGCGTGCTCTCGGTGCGGGCAACTTTGGCCAGCGATGAGCACGAGTCTGCTGTGATAGTCCGAGAAGCATGCCAGTTGATGAGGTTAATGCAACCCTTGGGCCCTGATACGATGTCTGAGGATTATGTATGCAGCGGAGGATGCTTGCCTATCGACGGTGCTGGTTGGCGATCTGCTGGTCGTCTGAATGCTGCCTTATTGCGTCCACCTAGTGCATCAACCTTTACGCATCTTGCTCGATACTCTTTGGCAACAAAAGCAGCCAAGCACGAGCTATCGCTTGCTAGTCAACAGCCATCTGAGCGTGCGCAGCGCCGAAGCCCTCCAGCCTCAAGCCCAACAGCCGTCACCCCGAGCGCCCTGCCGCCCAGCCAGGAAGCCAGTAGTAGTGAGCCAGGCAGCCAGGAGTGACCCAAACGATATCCCACCTGACCATCGGACCCATCCAAGGAAATAGGAACTTGGACCTCAACCTGACCCCGGTACCCCGGTTTCACCTTCACTTGGTCGCCTATCGCTCATCCATCATCCACCATCTCTGCACGCATCTCAACTTCGACAGCATCCTTCGCCGTCTAACTCGACCTTGACATCCGCGCCCGCCGCCGCTCGCACCCCCTGCAACCCCGCACGCCGCCGTCTCGACTCTTGCTCGCTGCGGCCCGTCACTCGCTTCCCTTCAGGTGCGACATCCCCGGCCCGCTTTTCGTCATTGTCATCATCGCCGTACGGCATCAAGTCATCTCGACCACCATCACACGTCCACCACTCCCCATCTCCGTAAGCTTGAACGTTCCTTCCCTCCCCTTTCACCATCCACTGTCATTTCCCGCTTGTCCCCCGCAACGCCCCGCGCATCAATCCACCCCCGCCCTCCCTGCGTCTCGCCGTGACTGTTCCAGGCCGTGACTGTCCCACCTCTCGGTCCACACCTGCTGCGCCCGCACTGGCACACCTGGCAGATTGGCTCAAGCTCCTCCCCACTGCTCGAGCGTCCGTGAGGAAAGTGAGGAATGGACCTGTCACCTCCTCATTGTCCTCGAGTCCTTCCTCCCCCCGCCATCGACGTCAATGGCGTTTTGCCCCAGCGTCCTCACCACCAGCCTATCAGCCAGCGCTCCAGCGGCCGAGCTGACCTCTTTTCCTTGTTTTCCTGCAACCACCTTCCTCCCTTCCCTGTCCTCACGGCCTCGCCGCCGCCCCCTCCGTCCCCCGCCGTCCTGGACCTCTCCTTTGCGCGTGGGACGCCGAGCTGACACTTGGCCTTCTTTTTCGCCATTCGATCGGTCTTTTCGCCCGTACTCATCGCATACCGTGCTCACCCGTCCGACGACCGCCGTGCTCGCTTCCTGCTCCTGACCGCTGAACATCTGGACTCTCGCCGCTGAACCCAACGCACCACCACCCTTCGCTCACGCGGTCCGTGCTCCGACTACTTGGACACCTGCTTCGTTTCACTTGTGCGCCCACGCACACCCAGACGGAAGGAACGGACGTCCTGAATTGATTCGATCTTCGAGTCTCTACTTCCAAGGAGCTCATCGTGGTCTCCACTTCTCTCTGCACCTCGTCACTGCATTCTAAAACACAGCATGCCTGCTAGCCCGGAACCTGCTGCCGCGTCGCCGGTAGCTGCGCCGGTTGACCCCGTCAAGTCGGAGGACACCAAGGACACTGCCAAGGAGACGGCTACTGTGAGTTTTCAGTTGACGGCGGGACGGCGGATGACGTCTTGGGTGGGAGGCTGGGTACGCCTGGCCGCTGCTCGTGCGCACGACCCATCCAAGCGCGCATGCGTTCCCCGCTTTGTCATGCTTGCGCTCTTGACTTGCGTCGCATCATGCTGACCACGATTCGCAATGGTCACGACGATCCTGCGCCCCCTCCTTCCGTGTCTATCCGAACGAACGCCATGGCATACCGCGATAACGTACGACAGCCTGCTGCTGCTGCCGCCGATTCCCCAGCGCCTGTTGCTGAGGCTCCCGCGACGCCTGCCCCGACCACGCCCGCTCCGTCCCAACCCGCACCTGCTGCCGACACCGAGGAGAAGAAGGATGAGAAGAAGGAGGACGTGAAGGAGGGCAAGAAGGACGAGCCGGCTGCCGAGGAGCCGTTGCCGGACTCGCCCGATGGAATCATCAACATGGAGATCTTCTCGCAGATCCAGGACATGGATGACGAGGACGACGAGGATGGACCAGGGTCGCGCGAGTTCTCCAAGGGCATCGTGTGGGGATACTTTGAGCAGGCCGAGGCGACGTTCAAGCAGATGGAGGAGGCCATGTGAGTTATCTTCAGCATGCTATTGCTCGTTTGACTGACATCTGCAGTGCCGAGGCGTCGCTCAGCAACCTGTCGTCGCTGGGACACTTCCTGAAGGGATCATCAGCAGCGCTCGGCATCATCAAGGTGCAGAACTCGTGCGAGAAGATGCAGCACTACGGCAACTTGCGCGACGAGGAGGTCGGCGAGAACCTCGAGGAGGGTGAAGCGTTAGAGCGGATCAAGCAGCTGCTCGTCGACTGCAAGCGCGACTACGGCGTCGCCTCGCGCTATCTCCGTAGACTGTACAACGATGAGGAGTAAGTTGCGTTCGGCCGAGTGTCTCCGATGGACGCCGAGGTCGGGCGCAGTTCACGACCTCAACACGGTACAGCAAGGCAGCGTATAGCATAAGTTTAAGGCAGTATGTAGTCCAAGTTGCGCATTCCCGTCACCCTGTCACCCCCGCCGTCTTCTTCTTTCTCTCTCTTTCTCTTTTTTCTCCCATCCCCACCCCTACCCATATCCAAGGTTCCCTGCATGACACGTAGCGGCGCAGCCGAAGGAGTAATGATACGATCAGTATGAAATGTCAACATGACCCCAACGTGTGCGCATCTGCGAGCGGAGCGGGCGTCCTCTAGCCAGGACCTGACTCGGTCAACCCAACGCGATGATTATTAATTAAAACGTGTTCCCCTCTCCTGAGTCACCCCTTGTGCACAAGGAAAGTGAGCGCGTGTTGATCACTGGACAATGCGTGCAGCGCGTGTGTACGGAAAGGGGTTGAGTGTAAGCGAGCCAGACCGAAGATATGGAAGGAGGCCGCGGCCTCTCCGAGTAGCTACTTCGCTTATGACGCGCCGACCTCAAATGACAGAGGTACCTATGGGCGACATGACGTGCAGAGCATGCAGAGCCAAGCCGCCGGCATAAGCAGCACTGATGACTGGCCCGTGTCCGCGGATCGTGACCATTCGAGAGTATGACCGAGTCAAGACCGAGGAGGGGCACCGGAGTCGTACACTCAACAGTTCTGCGGGCCTGCATACCTGCAACGAGTCGAGTAGTCGCAAGAGCCCGGTTACGGAATGCGAACGTTGCATTCCGACCACTGTCCTGGACTCGTACTGGCAGTGGCATCTCCGTCAATCGTCACCTCTCCCTCACCTCACTACCTCTCTGCGTCAAACCAATGTCGGGCGCATACGTGCATGCATGCATGACTATATGGCCACTGGGCTGTATGCATGCGGCGTTTGCGTGTGCGTGTGCATGTGCGTAGATACGGCAACTCGGTCCGCCTTCCGGTCGCATATAGACCAATCGTGGACCCAGAGAGAGAGACGCTTGGCGCGCTGAAGCGAAAGTAGAGCGTCGGATCGGAGTCGGCGACGGAGCCACGTACAAAGCACACAAAACACTCCGAAACCGGCGCAGTTTTGATGCCGCAGTATATGGCTATTGCCATGAGATCTCTGAGTAACGTGATGCACTGGAAAGAGTCCTTGAGAGCTGGCTGCTTGGACTTGCCCTGTTCAGGACGGTCAATAGTCAGGACTGTCAGCAGGGAGCCGTCAGGAGCTCAGGAGGAGAAGAAAGCGGACTGGATAGCTGCCTGCTGCGCCTGAGTTGTTGACGCCTGCACCGCCGCCGAGCAGCGCCTTTCGCCGCCGCCGAGCGCCGCTGTGCGCCCCGAACGCCGCCGACTGCGCGTGGCGCTCACCCTACTTGCCCACTGCTCCGTCCCACTGCATAGTCTTCTGCTCACGCCGAGCACATCATTATGGATACATACACGCCCGAGCTAGATCGGGCAGGAATACTCGTCAGGTGACTCGTGTCAAGCGACAGATTACTTGAAGGACACGTAACGCGCCGCCCTCATCACTGCTAAAGGCTACGCTTCGCTTCACTCACGCACGCCCCTTGAACAGGCGCGAGATCTTGACTCCGCTGCCCCCATTCGCGCCGTTGGGCTTGGTCAGCTTGCCATTTGTACTGCTTGGCTGCGGCGCGCCAAAGCTCGGCGCAGGGGGTACGGGCGGGCTCTGCTGGCTCGGCTTCCCCCCGTGGGAGGGGTGCTTCCCGTGCGACGCGTGCTGCGCCGTCTTACTTGGTTCCGGCGAGGGAGAGAGGCGGACATTCGGCAGGCCGTGCGGAGCAGTATGCCCATTGGGACGCTTGGGCTGCGGAGCGATTAAGACGGGGGTCGCCTTGCCCTTTGTGGGGTGACGGACTACGCCGGGCGGAGAAGACTGAGCCTCGCGCCGGCCCGGTGCCAGGTCGGGGAGCTCGATCGTCGAGAGGTAGATCGCAAGGAGAGGGGGTCGCCACGGTTCCGGCCTGCCTTGTCAGCTACTTCGTGGGCGGAAGGTCGCAGCTTCTACTACTCACTTCGGATCGTCCAGGTTGATGACGCGCGGGCCTCGGGGTGCCGGCGGCTGCTCCTCGTTCACGTACTGGTGCAGCTCTGGCTCGCCGTTACGGTGCCGCGCGCGGGTGATACCAGAGCACACCTGCATGGCGCGCTGGGCTGCCTCTGGCCGCTTCGTCCGGATCACGATGTAGAGAATGCTCGGATCACATAGGAGGGCGAGCGCGCGGTCAATATGCGTGTTGATGTCGGTCTGCATCCCGACGATGATCTCGTTGGACTCCTCCTGATGGTCAGCTACGCTCGTATGCCTGGTAGCATAAGTGTGGTCGTCAAAGTACTCACCGGCTCAAAGTCCTCAGGGGTGATGATACGCTGAGGCTCGTGTGACGAGGAAGACGTCGGCGGTGAGGGTTTAGCGGGCACGACGGGTTTGGAGCCTGACGGTGTGCGAAGCAGACCTGTTGACTGTGCGCGCTCGGCCTGACGCTCCTCGGCCGCGTCCATGAGACAGAGCACCCTGGGGTCAGTTCATACGAAGATCCCGGCTAACTTACGACATCACAAGTAGGTACTCGAGACCGCGCAGGTCCTTAATGTCCTGGAAGCGCTCAATGTTGTAGTGCAGAATCGAGATACGGGGGAAGTCTCGCTTGTCGCCCTCACGCGCAAGGCAGATTTCGACGCTAGGCTCCGGTTTGCGGTCAAGCGAGCACACCATGTCTTTCCCCACCAGGTCGCGCTTCCACTTGTACTTGTTGCTGTTATCAGCTCTGGACATCTGAGTTTGGCTCACCCCTCGAAGATGAATGTCCATTCCTGAATGTTAGCTGTCGCTTCGCTCCATTAGCCTGTAAGACGTACGAAGTGCCTGTCGTCAGTTCAACCCGCGGAGTCACCTAACTTACAATCGCCCCGTGAACTCCATTCCGACAGACACGTCCGGGCCGTGCAGCTCGAGCCGCCGTGTCTTCAGCTTCTCCGAGACGTACCCCGCGGACGCGAGCTTAGCGCCGCTGAATGCATCTGTACGTCAGCTCGTCGGCTCTAAAAAGCTTTGCAGGGCGATCGCTTGCGATGCGTCATTGATGGTGCCATGCGGGGCGCAACGATGAGCGAACATCACTGAAGACTTTTTGCCCAGAATAGAGGGCGACTGCGGCGTAGTTGCACCTTATCGCGGCACCAGTCTTGGACACGCTCAAGCGACCACTGCGCACGCTGCAGCGCACCGGCGTAGTCATGAGCGTAGCGCACTGTTCCGACAATAGTCACGGCCCCCCGACTCTCCTCTCACTCACCATACAGCGCCGTGGCGTAAGCCTCGCCGTTGACCTTTTCGCGGACACGGGCGTACCGGACCTCGCCGTTGTTTTCCTTCAGCTCGAGGATGGCGGGGTTCTCGCGGCTCGGCTCGGCCGTGAGCGTGTAGCACGAGGCGTCTCGGAGGGCCATGTCGGAGGTTGCGGCGGCGTGACGGGTCTGGTCGGTATCGGTGCAGCCGGGCGGCAAGGGCCCCCTAGTCGTGTGCTCGGGCGGTCGCTCGTGGAATGCGGCGTTGCCAGTGTCGAGATGTCGATGGGGACAAAGGGAGAACTTGTGGAGAACGCGCTGCTGGATTAATAGGTGAGCAAGCGTGTCCGTTTGTGTGTGTGTGTGAGAGCAGACTGTGTCTGTATGCAAATGCGAATGGAGGAAAGAGTGAAGAGTGAATGTGAAGAACGACGACGGATCCGCACTGCCTCAATGTCTCAATGTCTTGGCCAGTGTCGGTCACTGCACTGGCCGAGGGTGGGTGGACTCAGGCACGGACCTGTAGCACGAAATCAAGCGGCAAAATTCAGGGTGGCAACTCCAGGCACACACCCCGCCCATCCACCTCGATCATGTGCCGGGAGCCGTTTCGGCTCTCTTCGTCCAACGATAGTCCGTAGCGATAGCGGCCATCGCATTGCAGACCGGAAGGTAGCTCAGGTGACCGCGGGACTCTGCACAGGACACAGGATATCAGATACCGTGGGACTGCATGCGATGTTTATACATGTTGATGTTTATTGATACAAGAGCGGCCTCATATCACCGCCGTCTATCCTCATGCTCACGCCATCCCCATCGGGGCGGCTTGACTGCTTGTTAACGCGTCGAGCTCCTCTGCGTTCGCAGCGAAGAACGCGTCGAATTCGTCGTCCTCATCCGCCTCCTCGGCCCAGGCTAGCACCCGCTTGGAAACCATAATGCTATATGGTCAGCAACACCGCTTCGGGAATCGGAATGTCCGCCTCGGTAACTCACTGCTTTAAGTTGAATCCCCGTAGCTCCAGTCCGTCAAGCGACGTCGCACGAGAGAGTGCAACATACGCCTGTCCATCGTCAAAGGTACCCTGCAGGTCGACTTTGACTCGGCTCAGAGTCATCCCCTGCGCCTTGTGGATCGTGATAGCCCTACAGGTCAGCTGCGAAGCTTCTAACTGCACTCACCACGCGAGAATGAGCGGCACCTGAATTCGCTTCGCTTCCATCTTGTTGCGAGCGTTCTCGACGCTAACCTCCATGGTTGGGACCAAGACCGGAGGACGCTTCAGGCCGTTCTTCGCCTCGAAGTCGACCACGGGGTACAGCGGCCCTCGGTCAGCGCCGTCAGCGTCGCGGTCCGCCTTTGGCAACTTCTTCGCGCCGTCGTCGTCGACACCAAAGTCGGCCATGGTGCTAAAGCCCACGACTTTGCCGGTGGATCCGTTCACTAGACCGGGCGCCCAGTTCTGGCATCGTCAGTGGGGTGTCACGTTCGTAACTCACGTAAACTAGCATGACCTGAGCTCCGACCTTGAGAGCGATGGATTCGGGCCAACGAGTATGGCTATTAAGAGTCTTGGTGGCCTGCTCTTGAGACACCTCATAGCCATTGGTCGTCTGGCCGCCGATATCGATAGCCCGGTAGACCTGAGGGCTTCCAGGGAGGGAAGCCAGATTCTGGTTGTTGACCTGCTCGACTTGGTATCGGCGAGAGTACCTGGATGGTCAGCATAGACCGTAGAGGAGGCCGCAGAGGGTTACTTACAGTTGAACAGGTCGTGTCCCCTCCGGGCACTGAACTGGTCGGTTACACCGGGTCAGCAGAGCGCTTGCCTCCTTCGTCATCCTGCCGCGGCGGATGTGCTCGAGGGCGGTGACAAGGCTCTCCTCTGACTGACGGAAGACCTGCTGAAGAGTGATGCGATTGCTTCTGGGGAAGGCTCGGTCCCAAACGTCCGCATCGAAGGCGTACTTCGGTTTCGGTCCATCATGGTCGGCAACAGGAGGAAGCTGGAAAAAGTCGCCGCAGAAGATGACCTGCAGGCCGCCGAACGGAGTTGATCGGCGGCGCACTACGCGACCGATCTGGTCGAGCTTGTCAAGCAGTTCTCCAGAGATCATGGAGATCTCATCGACGAGGAGGACGTCAGTCTTCCTCCACGCCTCGGTCGATCCTCTGTTCTTCATGACCTGGCCGATCAGCCGTTGCACCGGCTTGGTACCGAGGCCGATGCGCGCCCAGGAGTGCAGCGTCACGCCTCCGACATTCCTACTTTGTCAGCTGACGCTCCGTATCCTACACTTACAGTGCTGCCATGCCGGTCGACGCCGTCACGGCCACTTGCCGGGCACCGCCGATAGAGCCGCGCAGCGCCTTGATGATTGCGCGGAAGAGATGCGATTTTCCCGTACCAGCAGCGCCGGTGAAGAAGATGTTCTCGCCCCTGAGGATACGATCGAGTACCTCCTTCTGCTGAGGAGAGAGCGAGGCTAGCTCCTCGGGGACCTCTACCTCGGCCGAAGGAGTCCACTTGCCATCCTTCATGACAGGCTCGTCCCCGTCTTCATCGTCCGAGACCAGGCTGATAGATGGCTGCGATTGCGACGGTTGTGGAGGGAGCAGAGGCGTCTCCTTCATGGCCCTGAGATAATCCTCAACCTGATTCTTCGCCGAGCGACTCCATTTGCCGTCGGTCATGGTCGGTTCGGGTTCGTCGTCAGACAGCGTAACCAAAGAGCGACTCGGTCCCAGTTTCGCCTTCTTCTTCTTTGAGCGGTTGAATTTGTTATAGTAGTTGTTCGCCGGCTTCCTACTCTCCGATTTCAGCCATTCCTATTGTTAGCTGCGCCAGAGGTTCCTAAGGGATACGTACCGAAGCCTCAAAATGATCTGGGAAGCTTCTGAAGTACGCGCCCGGAAAGCCTTCCGTTTGCTTGAGAGCTTCTTCAAAGCTGGCGTAGATGCCTGGGTTTCGACCTTTCGCAACAGCGGTGTAGTTTGGTTGGTAAGACGACATGGTACCAGACCAAGGAACGCCGGGTGGTTGACTCAACCACAACAATGTTGCAGAGGTGCCATTTCGCGACGCGTCGCGCAGCGCGGGGAAGGTGGACTCGCCAGGTGGAGGTCTAGCAGATCTCATGCCTCAGTGTTAGTGACATTTTACACGTGGGTGGTTGTGCAAATGTCAGGTTGGATTGAGGACCTTCAGATTACGTAACGTTAGCTTCGTCTTCTCGTGCGAGTGTGTGGCACGGACCTCCCAGAGGTGGCGGTCGACGACGTTTGCCACAGGGACGAGCACACGCTGCATGCCTCAGGTGCGCGCCACCGGAGTGTGCTCTATTGTTCTCTACATCGCAGGCTGTCGAAGAACCTAACTTGAGGTTCTTGGACCCGGTCTTGGGGTGCTGAGACAAAGAGAACGAGGGTTGGTGAGGGTCGACGAGACATTGCCGGCGAGAACTTGGATCTCGGTCGCCGCCTGTATTACGAGCCGGCCTGATCTGCCCCACCCGCTACAGGCTGAGCGAATACCGTTCATTCGAAAAGACGAATCACATAAGCAACAAAAGGGACTAGCTGTAGTCACTTACCCATACAGCCTCCTGGATAGCCTGAGGACATGACCCCCTCATCCTGTGCATACCGCAGTGAAGAGCTTGGACCAGCGCCCGGGTATCCTGGTCCTGTCAGGAGATACTGTCACATTATCTAAGGTGTGAGGTCAGCCGCAGGTATGCTTGCCTAAGCTGGGCTCGACGAAAGCGTGGTCTGAGGTCGTGTGGTGAGCATCCTGGCTGCATGTCGGTGCGCAAAATTCGAAATCACTGCAACGTGAGAATCTGTATTGTAGTCGATGGAGGCGGCTGAAGGTGATGATACTGACACTTCTGGACCCCCAAGTGTGCATTGTGTATTTGGTGTACAGCACACAGAGTCGGTTTAATTCGGGGATAGGCTATGCGTACGTTAGGAAGTCGTACGCAGTTTATGTATGTAGTCTCGGAATAAGTTCGAGAACGATAGGCGAGGAGAGTTTCGTACTCTGGGACACAGATGAGAAGGCGTCCGGAAGGCTTAAACCTCGGAATGTGGACAAGTAAGCCTAAAGTGATCTCTGCGCAGTGGGCCAGACTGCGCCAGAGTGCTATTGATCCAATCGGTGCTTGGCATGGGCCGTCTTCCCTGGGCATGAGCCAGGTGAAGTTACAGGAAAGTTGATCTTCCTGTCGGTCTGTGGGAGGTATGTTGATATGCCCTCGTCTGCCTTGGATCCGTAGAAGCTGATATCGTCAGCTTGGGAGAATGGTCCAAAGTCACGCCCAGCATTTGCGCCCTCGCAGTGCACATACCGGTCCGGCTCGTTGGCTGCTGGGATGGTGCGGTAGGCTGAGGGGAGGGCGCGGAGGACGCGACGTCGGACTGCGTCAACGGAGGCGACTCTGCAGTGTCTCGTGTACCATGTCCCTGGCGACACTTACATGCTGCGCCTTCGCGACTGTGCCTCCTTCGAGCCCTGCTGACAACTCTACTTGGTATCTATGTCAAGTCGGGGAGTCTGTCTGGTATCCTCCTCGTGCCCCCCTGGTCCCCGTGGTCTCGTCACACTGGCGTTTCCAGCCGATCACTCGATCGCTCGTCGTTATCACACCCAGAGCTGGCTTATGTCCTGCCGTCACTGACCACTCTGCGCCTCTGGCTCCCCTGCGTCCATGCATCATACATCTCATCGCCCGGTCACGATGCACGTACCCCGCACCCACTGCATTCCGGCCTGCACAACTACCTCGCTGTCTGACATCCTTTCCCACTTGCTCCATTTTCCAGGCAACGTCAGCAGGAATGCATAGGGCGTTAAACCACTGCTCTTCTCTCCAATCACGCCCCCTGTTGACCACTGTTGATCATATCGAGGGGATCGCCCGGCATCAACAATCACCCCTCTCACCAGGTCCGAAACTGTGCCAGAACCTAGGTCAGCCCTCGCTGTCCCGCAAGCAACCCCCGCGCGCCGCGAACATCACCTCGTCCCGCTGACGCTCGAGCGCAAGGCAACCCCTTAGCCCTCGGGCGGTGGTCAAGAGGTCACAGCCCCGGGCCCGCAACCACAACCCACAGGTTCAAACCAGCAGCCGTCCCGCGGCGACTCGAATCAAGGGCGCAAACGCACAAGCCTTGCTCCCATCGTCGAGATTGTCTTGCCTCGCGACCTACACTGGCTTACCAGGCCTTGCTGCCCCGCTGCAACGTTACGTGTACACTGTCCACCACGCTCCTTCCAACACCCCAGGCCGTTCCTCACTGTCCCTCACTGTCCCTCCGTCCCTCCTTCGCCGATTGTCGCGCCTTCACAGACCACACCTTCGGACTTTGCACAACATCCCTTTCATACCTCGCCATTACGCCATCCCTCATTTCCGCCATCCACCTCCTAGACCCTTCCTTCTAGCCGCCTCAACTTCGCATCGGTCAGTGACCATCATCAGATCATCATCGCATCAACCCTGGACAACAACAAACACGACTTGCTGTCTTGGCCGGCGTGGTCATCGTTGGTGCTCTCTTTCGACTGATTGCATCACCCTCAAAGGCCCAATTGGGCCGTTGTCAATCGCTGCATCCATTCCTGAACGCCCAGCTCATTAACTCGTGGCTTCCTGCGAACGAGTGCGTGAGTGAAGGTACGTGATTCTTCTTCCATGGTTCTGGGTTGGATTGGGCCATATTGTGCTACATCCCCCGTGCGGTGATTGCCCTGTCAATCTTACCCGGTGATGTTGATATAAGCGTCCGGGTCCCCTTTTGTTGTCTCCAAACACAATGCTGACACCACATGTGCGTTCATCATCCGCAGGCCGCAGAAAACTCCGCGTACATAACCCCGTATCGTTTACCTCACTACTCCTGCTACCCCGTACCTTGTCACACCCTCCGTCGACTTTTTCTTACCTGGCAAACTTCTCGAGGCGCTTAGGCCATGACCCAGCTCCTCGCCGGCCCGCATTCGTCTTCAGGTCATCCACACCAGATCAGAGCCTCTCGTTCACGCACACACGAGCCACCCAGATCTACCGCCTCTCAGACACTAGTGTTTGACCCGGACCTCGGTGTGGGAGGAAAGAGTATGAATGGGCCTATCAACTTGCTTGTTAAGGCGGCGCTGGAGGTGGCAGACGACGACCACCAACGTAATCCCCTCGCCCATTCCACCGCCGCGGACCAACCCCATCCCGCCTCAGTGGCCACCCAAAGCACCGCTCATCCGCACGCGTACTCCCGCCCTCATCATGAGCACCCGCAACATTATGCAGCACCCCATTCCCACGACTATGGACACTATGCCGACGTACCTCGTCAAGCACCTGGTGGTTCTGACAGGAATCGCATGGTGAGTGGTGATCGTGCACAGGTGCGCCTTGATCCTTGAGGTGTCACGGTGGCGCATAGGCCGATTCGGTTATCGACGAGATTGTGTTGACATTTTTCGAAGATGGGGCCTCCTGGTCACCCGCGCGACGACGAGCGATATGCATCTCACCAAGGTCATGGCTGGATGCCGGGTCCCCCGCCACCAGGCTTCGACTACCACCACCAACCACCACCGCCGCCCCACCACCAGCAGGGGTACTATGGTGGACCTGGCTATCATCATCCTCAGGCTCACCCGTACCCGCCGCACGGCTACCACGACGGCGGGTGGCAGGCACCTCCCCCTCAGCACGGCGGTCGGCATGACTGGCCACCTGAGGCTTACTACCGCCCGATGTCGCACTCCTCCGAAGAGCAGGCGAGGCAGAGGCGCAGTGGTGGATCCGCAGAGGGCGGCGAGCCCTCATCGCCACAGAAGCGTTACCGCGACACGCCTCGGCACAGCAGCAGCCCCGAAGAGGCGAGCGGTGCCAGTGGCAGTTCTAAGACGACGTCCTCTGGAAGCTCTGACGAGTATCAGCCCACGACTAAGAAGGTGCGCAAGAATCCCGGCCGCACTACTCGCGCCAGCGCCCGCCTCCGCGCTACCACCGCCGTCAAGGAGGAGTCGCCCGAAACAACCACGCCGGAGAGCATGAGCTCCCTCCGCGAGTCCAATGGCTCCAGTAGTGTCCCCAAGATTGGTCCTGACAATGAGGGCGATGAGGACGGAGACGGCGAAGGCAACGATGACCAGGAAGACGCAGACGGCGAGGAGAAGCCCAAGCCGAAGAGGCGGAAGTACGTCCGCCGCGACCAAGCCCGCCGCAAGGAGCAGAACGCCCAGGCGCAGAAGAAGTTCCGTCAGAAGAAGAAGAAGCTGGCTGAGCAGGTACGTGACGATCTACAACGTGGACGGTCCACTGACAGCGCTCAGATGAAGACGGACCTGGACGAGGCGCTCGAGAGGGCCACGATGCTCGCTGAGAAGCTCGACAAGGCGAATGAGCAGATCGTGGCCATGGGCGTCGAAATCAACCAGCTCCGCCTTGGCATGATGAAGTGCAAGTGTGTCGGTCCTGACACGTAGTGCGATCAGGACTGCACCATTTAGTACATTTCGCTCCTCCCGGCCTATCTCGACCCGCAAGATTCTTGCCCCAGACTCTCCCATAAGGACTCTGCACAGCCTAACGCAAGTTGCGGCTTTTCGCTCCCTGTCAATACCCACACTACTCTCCAGTGATCTCCTGGAATGGAGGAACGAGCAGCTCCGAGCCGTACGGCGGCGCCGATCGTCCTCCCCACCACATATTCCCTCTACTCGCCTCACTTAATTGACCGACCACCCACAACACAACTGTATCGAGATCTCTCTCCGCTTCGTTACGCCGATATCCATTCCCCTAAACCTCCAATATACCCGCTTGCGCCCCGCCGACTGTGGCTGGTTCACACTTAGCGCGCAACGCATGCTTATTACACTTCGACTTTTCGATATTTCGCTCATGGCCTTTTGGCTTCGGCGCCGTGCCACCTTTGCGCCTTCGCACCACGCACTTTCGCGAACGGCTCGCCGAATCAATTCTCACTCTACGCGCTATGCTCTACTTCCTCATCCCTGTCTCTGTTTCATTAGCTGTTGTGCAACACGTAGTCCAAAATCGACATGCATGCTCATGTTCATGACCGCGAGCTCCAAACTGCGCGCGCGTGCCTTGGCTCGCTCACATGCAGAGCGTGGTGATCTCCTGCCTGATCGTGCCGACCTCCTCGTCATAGCTCGCAATGAGCATGACCCGCTCCGCATCCATCATGACGCCCTTTGGCTTCTTGCCCGTCGCCTTGAACGGCCGCTGGACAGCGCGGAACGGCAGCGTCGTGACGACCTTGTCGCGCCACGCGGGCTCGGGCGCGATGGTGGTGGGCTCGTCCCGATCCCACAGCGCGACCTGGTACTCGCCGTCGTCGGACTGGATCCAGCCCGTGCCCTTGCCCTCGGCGCGGCGGCGGGCGCGCTCCCGCGCAATTGTGTGTGGGTTGAAGTCCTGGATCACAACGTTCAAATACTCTGAGGGGCCCGTCGAGTTCAACATTGACACATAGCGATACCCGGAACAAGAGCAGACCTGTATGTCAGCTAGCGAAGACGGCGAGTGAAGCTCGGGGTGAAGGATACGTACTAGTTGTCGCGGCGGGTCCATAAACTTCAGCAACATGCGCGAGTTGGCCTCGCCCCAGTCTTCCCAGAAGATGGTCCTGAGCGCGGCCCGCTCGCTCAGGTCGTTCGCCCACCCGACTCGGCGGCGCGCCTCGCCCTCCTCTGCCAGCTGGATTAGGTACTCGCGCAGGATGAAGAAGTCGAAGAACTGCGGGTGGAACTCGGTATGCGGCGCTGTTGCGCTCGCAATCACGAGGTCGCAGACGATCACGCCCTTCCCCGGGTCCTGCGTGAAGGGCTTTGATGCGAGCGGCGCATCTTTCTGAGGCGGGAAGGCAGGGTCAGGCCGCATGTGGAACGTGTACAGTCCCGCGCCGTCTGCGAGGGCCGGAATCAGCAGTTTCGCAACGGGCACGGCGCGCGGTGTCGTGTCGTCCAGCCTGTTGAAGGTGAGCGGCTGCTCGACCTTTTGGCCCGGATTGCGCTGCGCGAAACTGTAGATCTGGATCATGGGCGGGGCGGTCCGGACGGGTCGGAGCGATTCGACGACGGCAGGCATCGCGATCGCCACTGTCGTCGGGGTGAGCATGACGAAGGAGCACTCGCTCGCGCTTCGGCCGAGATGAATGCGTGCCAGCACCTCGCCCGTTTTCCAGTTCCACGCCACAAGCTCCTCTTCCATGTCGATGCCGAAGACGGCGAGCAGGTCGTCCGCCTGTTGCAGCATGTTTGCACCTTCGCGGGACACGAGCACCACAAGCGTGTCGCCCAGGACCTGCAGGAGCTGTCTCGGCATGATTGCCGGCACGTCCACGGGCGGGAAGTCGAGCACTGTCCGCGCTGCAAGCGGGTGAGGCTCGAACGTCGAGAGGGTCAGGAGATGCAACTTGTGGGCGGGAGCTGGCTGGCCTGGCCGCTCAGGTCGCGGGTCCAGCTCGCTGACCACAATTAGGTCCTGCGTCGGGTCCATCGTCAAGTCGGCGATCTGGAAGTCGACCTTGTTCGCTTTCGTCGGTATGATCGGGTCCTCTAGGTCCGGGTCCGTCACCGACGGTAGCGGAATGAGTCTCACGACTCGTGGCTGATGTCAGAATGCAATGCAATATCAGACTCACTCGGTGGTGCGTCGTCAGACTCTCGCACACGAGCAGAATACCTTCCTGCAGCTCGTAGACGTTCATATTCCCCGAGACTTGGAACGTGCGGACCTCAGCGGCGTCGAGGGCGTCCCACCGGTCCTCTCGCTCGCGGAGCAGCTTCGCCTTGTCTACGGCGCTCAGGTTCGAGAGGTCGACTGTCTCGGAGGGCGTCGCTGGCCAGTCCGCCAACGTCACGCTCGGAATAGTAGGGCGCAGCCGTCCGGTGTGCGGTGATGTGCGAGCCTTGTTTGACGGCACCCCGCTGAACGTTGGCGGGGCAGGCCGCGGTTGGTTCGGGCAGTCGATGTATCCAGACCTCTCGAGTATCAGACGGTACTGCACCGCCGGCGACTCGGAGACAGCCTTCAACGTGCGGCAGGTCTGGAGTGAGCTATAGCCGGTCGGGACACGAGCTGAGAGGCGTACCTGAATAGCGTTCAAGATGCTACCATTGTCCGCGAGCAGGAGGATACGCTCAAGAACCTCGTGCGGCAGTCCGAGGAGGAAGCAGGGTCCGTCCGGCTCCCACTTCGGCTTCGGGTTGCCCCACATCGATATCCGGTCGAGGACGGAGTCGACGGCGCTCGGCTCCTCCTTGTCGGTCGGAAGGACCATGGTCAGGCGGTCGAACATTGTCGGCAGTCGTCGCGCGTCTGGCAAGCTAACGGTGCCGGTATCTCTAGAGGGAGAGAGGAAACAAGGATCAAGACAAGAGGTAGTGTGTGAGTGCAGAGTCAAAGACTGCGATGCTTATGGGTGCCCCCTGCTCTTGCACGACATTAGGCGACGCTACGTCAGCGCCAGTGCGCGGTGCACGCCTGTCCATGACTCCGCTCTAACTCTCACCGAAAAGTACCGCAATCGGCGCCCCAGTCGTCAGGAGACGCCATTTAAACGGCTACCGTCCCTGGCGAATCTGGATTAGCTGAGTCTAATCCCACGTGGCCTCATTAACACCCAACCCTAAATTGTCCACTGAACGGCGGGCAGCTTGCTTGGCAGGTGACGACCTCCACTCGACCGCTATCCAGAAACAGAAACCTCGGTGTCTTGCCTCGATTGTTTTCGTCGTCTTCCTTCCCTCCTTCCCCATCCGTCTCGACTTCTCTTTCCCGATCTGTGCAACTGATCGAGATGGACACCAAGAAGCCGACAGTCTACGTCGCCGGCTTCCCCGCCCAGGTCGATGAGAACCAGCTCCTCGAGGCGTTCGTCACGTTCGGAGACATCCTCGAGATCAACATCCCTCACGAGCCGCATGAGCGTGAGTCAAGACGCGGTCCAGCATCACTTACTATCCTACGATTAAGGGGATGAGGATGTGTTGAACGATCTCAGTGCCTACAGCACGCTAACATCCACAGCGACGAAACACCGAGGTTACGCGTTCATCACGTTCGCGAACCCGGCGGACGCGCAGGAGGCGATTGACAACTACGACCTGAACGAGCTTCCGGCGTACCGGGGGCAGGGCAAGTTCCTGAAGTGCAGCATTGCCGCGCCGAATAAGTACGGCACTACGGGCGAGAAGGCAGGTGAGTGGAGTCATCAGGCGTATGACGTGATACCGTTGCTGATGATCAGTGTGGGAGTCGGAGCAGTGGCTGCAGGAGCATGGAGCAGGGAAGGGCACGCCGACGGCCGCGAACGGCGACGCCCCGGCAGAGGCATAGACACATCATCAACATGTATTTTTAGGCTGGTTCCGGAGACACTGGTAATACATCTCATTCTAACAGACCAATACTGAACTACAGATCATCACGTTCACACCATCAACTAACAAGGTACATCAAGCAATGCGGCCCAGTCGCGCCCATCTCTCGGCCAGATGCTCGAAGCCGCTGAGCTGGTGTGTACCGACCAGCTGGAGGACCTCAATGTGCATCTGGTTCAGGCCATTGACAATCTGAACCAAACACACGAGCGCGGTCGCAAAGATGGCAAACTGCTCGTCCCGGATGGTATTCCAGTTGATGAAGGGCGAGATGATGTCAACGAGACGATTCTCGGCATCCGACAGGGTGCCTTCTTCTGAGCCACTACTCTCCTTGTCGCCACCGCCCACGGTCTGCGAGCTCTGATTACTGGAGCTCTCGTCCTTGAGCTGCGCTACCTGCCCTCGTGACTCCTGGGCGACCAGCATTCGCGAAGTCGACGACTTGCGGTGGTAGATGAGGCGCTCGAAGATTGGAACGATGGGAGGCAGTGGGGTGCCGTTTCTCAGCGAATGGCGTAGGAGCGCGAAGAGGGAGAAGCAGTCGGCGATGAACATGGGTTCCATGATACCACCCAGATTGGTGAGGAATCGACAGTACTTCTCGTCCATCTTGGCGTATGCCCCCGACAGCACAGCGCCAGCCGCAAGGATCATCTTCTGGGTGTGCACGAGCTTGATGTAATGCGACTTGGGCCAAGGTCCGGTCATGCTCGGTTCAAACTTGGCACTGTTGATGCGAGACTCGATGCCCTGCAAGCGCATGAAGATCTTGAAGAAATGGTGGCGGTAGCGCTCTCGGCGCTGCTTGACATCGCCCTCCGCGTCCTCATCGCCCCTACCAGTCTCGAACGCCGTGACCTCGAGCGCGTATAGCTCACCAAGGGACGCGATATTCTTGGAGATGCCCTGGCGTACGAGCACTTTGGCGCTTGTCGGTTTCGGAATCAGCGAGATGATAATACCTCCAGCGAATCCAATCAGCACCAGCAAAGCTCGACGACCTGCTAAAGATGCGCCCGCGCCTTGGTTTGCAGATGTTGGGATCTTGTTGTCGTCCCACGAGTATCCGACCAAGAAGGAGATTGTGACACAGAACATGAGCCAGAAGCCGAGCAGGCTCATGGGGCAGCAGGTGCGGATGAACAGCCAGGGAGCCAAGAGACACATGGTGGCTGCCACAACGCCATAAGGATTGCCGGAAGCGTTGCCAGGCGCACCGATGTACCAGGCGACCATTCCCACAACCACACCAAGCACAGTGCCACCCATACGAGTCACAAAGTTTGCGACTTGCTCGCCAGCTGTCACACCGAGGCCGCATTGCGCCATGATGAGCGCCCAAACGCCTCGGTGGATGTAGTAGAAGGACGCGCTGGTGTTACAGACGGACGGGATCCACAAAGCGATACTGATGAAGGCGTAACGAAGAGCGAAGATACCGTTGCTCGAAGACAGGGTCTTGACAACCCTAACGATGGCGGCGTTGACATGCTGGAAGATGTTGACCGGCTTGCGAGCGTCCGGGTCCTTTGCCCATTTGCGGCGGATCCTCTTGTCACGCTTGACGCTCTTCTTAAACTCCTTCTCGTCATCAGCGAAGACGCCCAGACTTCCTCCAGTATCGACCGACTGGTGGTTGTCCTTGAGAGGGTCGTGAACGCTGAAGTCGAAGGCGTCCTCGCCAGTATCCTCGTCCTTCGCGCTGCTCCAGAGCGTCGAGATAAAGCGCTTCCTGCCTGGGTACTGCAAGACGTTGTCCGGGTTTTTCGCCTCGATGCCGATTAGAAGTTGCGTCCACTCAATGAGGGTCGTGCAGAACTGCACCAGCGTGGTCGTGAAGACAAACATCTGGAATAGCGGGCGCATGTCGGTCGCAAGGTGGGGCGCAACCGAGGTCTTCAGCTTGCCTTCCGCGTCGAAGAGACCGCGATACCCATCCAGGATCTGCAGCTGCTTGCTCTGCCGGAACCTGAGTAGGGCATCCTCAAGCGCGTGCAGGGCGGCAGAGCGGCTCTCGATGCCAGGGAAGTCCTTGGGAAGCTTCGAATAACGGTAGTAGTTGACCTTGTCGAGCCACTCGATCTCGCCCAACATCACGATTTCGGCGACCTGACGCAACTCTTGCGATAGTGACGCGACCTGGGGCATGAGGTCGTCCAGGGTCAACCCGCCTGCGTGCCTTCGGGCTTCGATAAGATCGATCTCCTCCTTGACCCGCAGTGTGGTGATTGGGTGCGGATGAGCTTTCCACTCAGACCAGTTCTTGTACCGCCCCTCGATCATCATTGCGAACGAGCCCATCGCAAATGCTCTTGATCCCAGCTCCCGCCCAGCCTTCAGGATGGACTGCATCTCCTTCGGCCCGATACGGCCATAGCTGATCTCGAGCGGCAGCATTCTGCCCTCCGAGAGAACGATCGCGCTCGCTGCCGTCGACGCATCACGCATGTTGGCGATTTTCTTCGCAAGGCTGGCCCATTCGTCACGGTCCTGGATTCTTGTGTGGATGACGTCGTTCTGGATCGCCAGAAGGTTGTAAATGTTTCTCAGCTGCTCCCTGCTGTGCAGCTTAAGGACGTGATGGCTCAGCGTCTCAGGGAAGATGAGCATTGTCGACACCAGCCCAACCGCCATGTACGCCGCCGCCGGCTTGATAAGGACGGTCTGCCGTCAGAATGACTCGTCCCTACAACTTACAGCAAGAGGGAAGTAGTTCTTCGGAATCAGCGGTCCAATCGTCAACATGACTGTGGGTCAGCGTGGTCTAGCTCCTCGACTCACTGTCCATGATGATCGTCGCGAACACGACGAGGAAAACACTGACTTGTCAGTAACTGTAGCCTTCATCACCACCTACAGCTTCGGCTTGGTCGCACGGATCCAACCCAATCCGTATGCGCCGATGAACATGAAGGCGCCGTACACCGCAGAAGAGCGTGGGTCGAGGAAGGCGGCATGGAATGCCTCGCCTTTCACTGCGACGTTAGCTGGACCTCACATACGGGCATACCAATTTTCGAGATGTCCTCGTCCTCCTTGTGCCCTGACAACACGCCTCCCAGCTGTTGACGTAGAAGGTTGGAGTCGCGCACGCTGGTGGCGGCCGCCATCGCAGCACATCCCCAAGCCCAGCCGAGCAGCATGCCGACGCCGACAGTGCATTGTGCGAGGAAGAAGATTGTGGTCGTCATGTTTGGTGTGATCATCTGAGAGCACAGGAAGCCGAAGAAGCTTCCACCCGCGAACACAGCAGCAGCTGACTGTCAGCATGAGCTTCGTGTAAGACATACTCTTCCTCGCCACCATTATGATCATCATTGCAAGGGCGGCGACCATGGAGCGGAACCAGTTCTTCCATGCACGACTCGTGGTGAGCGCCTCCTGCAGCCAGTCGGGAAGGATCTCCAGCATTCGACCAAAGCGCGTCCCGCGGCGTGCAGGGGGCTTGTTCTCGCCAGCGGAGTGCCTCTCGAAGCCCTGCGGTGTCGTGTTCCGTGGCGTCGATGTCGTGGTGCCATTCTGGCCCGAAGGCCCCCCGTTGAGTTCCTCGCCAAGCTCATTCGATACTTGCACAAACTTTGGAGCCGGGATGGAGTGCGCTGAAGAGCGCGCAGAGTGGAAGGATGTTCGTTCGGAATCAGGTGTTTCTGGTGGCGCGCGTTGCGCCAAGCCCGCGTTCGTGTTGTTGTTCGTTTGCGCCGCGCGCGCGTTATCCGCAGCCATCGAGGGCATGATAACGAGCTCGTGACGGCGGAGTGACGACGGTGGCGTGCGAGGCGTCTCACTTAGCGGATGATAAAAAGCGATAAGCAGGAATGCGGTATCCGATGGCGAGTTTTCATTGCAACTATCCACTGCATCGTCTGTTGTGGTTCGCTGTTTTCAGCGGGCACGGAAAGACGTCGGTCCTCGCGCGTACGGAGCTGCAGACGACCAGTGACCGCATGCAGCACCAGGGGTGTAGTCGGCATTCACCCAGGAGCCTTGCCCGTCACCCCGTCGCTCAGTGACCGATGTTTCCAAACCTGTCGGGACATCCGAACTAAACCCCCAGCTCCTGACGCTGTCATTCGCTCCAGTGGGCTCTTCACTCCTGGAAGCAAGGTACATGACGTCCTGACCTCGGTCATTGGAATCGAGCCTTCCAGTCAAGGACAGGCAATCCCCGTCCCGTCTGCCTCGTCTCGATCACTGGCTCCTGGATGCACGTGACGATGACCACGTGGTTGCTTGAGGTGCGGACAATAGCTGACCTCCACTCGCATGTGCCCTCCACTTCTGGACAGCTCGAGGAAGGTCAATGTTGTGATTGCGCAACTCACTCAGACATCATGGCGGCAGCTACAGGCGTGCCGGAGAACTCGACGACGGAACAGACGCCACAGGCGCCGCAGGCAGACCGCATCATGCGGCTTCCGCCATTGCCAAATCCGCTCTCGCAGCGGGGACCAGCCGCCTTCGCGCAAGCCGGCGAGGCCATGAATACGCTGAACATGCTGAGTGCGGGCGCGGCGAACGGCACGGTTGGTGAGTGACATGGGTTTTCAGAGACTTTTTACGAGCATGTTTAGCTGCAAGAAAGTGTTCGTGATCCACAAGCTGACCGCAGACTACCCCTACCCGACCAATACATCTTACCCCGTTCCGCCGCTACCGCCCATCCCGGTACCGTTGGGCGTGAAGCGATATCGCCCGCAGCCGTCCAAGACCATCCTCCCTGACCTCTCGCCACCTATTCCACCTTCTTCACCACTGTACGGGATCGAGGATGCAGACGAGGCTGTCGCCGCGCACAACAAGGCGTACCCCCAGTTCGTCGCTCGGTACGAGTTCAAGGGTTCGACACTGCTTGTCCGCATCGGTGGTGGGGGCTGGATCCGCGTCTTCCTCAGCGGGAGCGACGTTCTTGGTGTTAGGTTCCTGCCGTCCAGGAGTACTAGCGTGAGTGTGCACCTGTAAAGGCGAGCCCATGCAGACGGGTGTCTCCATAGGTGTTGTCAGCTGCAAAACGTGAACCGAAGCTGACCTCAGGTGCCTCCTGTTCATGCTCTTCCGCCCTCGGGCCCCTCGGTGCAGATTACGGAGCTGTTCAACTCTTTGCACATGAACATTCCCCAGATCCTCTTCCGCATCCCAGCGCTGTTCAAGCTGCTCTACGAGCCGTGCCACTACTGTCATCGCCGCCTGAGCGAGATCGACGGATACCCGCTGGGACGCATCGGTTGGTTGCCGTATCCGCCTAAGCCAGCGACGCATGAGCCTGCCGAGAAGAAGGCTGGGGAGGATGGCGAGAAGAAGGATGTTGAGGGTGAGAATAAGGGAGAGAAGAAGGATGAAGAGATTGCCGCGGCCAACGGCGAGAAGAAAGAGGAAGACAAGAAGGAGGAGGGAGACGTGAGCATGGCAGATGGGGAGAAGAAGGACCCCGAGGATAAGGCAGAGGACAAGTCTGAGGAGAAGAAGGACGAGGACAATAAAGAGGACAAGATGGTGATAGAAGACGAGAAGAAGGAAGACGGCCGGTGGATCTGCTGGCACCAGTCGTGTCTGGCGCAGGTCCGCTGACCTGAGCGATGTTGTATGAATATGCATAGTTAGACAAAGTACAAGTTAACAACTACTCTGGCCTCTCGAAGCCGGGGGGAAACACTTGACGAGCATTGATATTGACGCGAGCGGTGGAGATCCACTCCTTGGCCGCCTTGGTCTGGGGAGAGTCGCCCTCCTTCGGCAGGAAGTGGCTTGGCAGCGTGTCTTCCATAATTCGCGGAACGCCTAGGGTTAGTTGCGTAGCAAAATGGCCAACTCACCATGGTACGCTTGCCGTCCCTTGCCTGCCATGATGAGGACGTCGCCGGAACGCAGGATCAGCGGCCGCGGCGGGTCGGCTCTCGAACCAGTGCCGAGGAGGAAGATGGCGGCGTGTCCGAGTCTGCTGTCAGCTGGTGAAGACCGCCAAGCTCACGAGACAGAGACTAGGGGGCGGCTCGGGTCGAGCTCGCTTCGGTCAACATGCGCCATGAGCGTGTCGTTCATCTGGTAAAAGTTGACAATCCCCGTGTCCGGTTCTGACATCAGCTCACGGAACACATCCACAGCTTACCATAATCCTCATCCCAGGAGAGATGGAACGACTCGCTGGGAAACACATCGCTCCACGGCATGTCCCGCACGACCTTGCGACAGAGCGCAGCCAGCGGGGCAGGGAAGGGGATCGGCTCGTCGGTCGAGAAATCGTAGCTCTTCGTGGACCACTGATACACCCAGCCGAGGTTCGCCCACCGCACCTCCTTTACGAGCTGGCCCACCGTCTTCCACCCGACTTTCAGGCTCGGCACGTCGCCCGTCCACGTCGCGTTGCGCCGCTTCACCTCGTCGTAGCCTATTTGCGACGCTGGGGCTGTCTCTATCAGTTCCCGGCGGGTACGCTGTGTCTCGGCCTCGAGGCGGGCCTTCTCCTCTGCCGCGAGGTCGAGGTGTTTTGGCGGCACGGGCGTGTCGGGGGCGGTGGCGTAGAGCTCGAACAGGTTCGGGGGGAGGGCGAAGTGCGTATCGAGCGACAAGGGGTTGGGCGGGCGGGTATACTCGTACAGCGCCGATTCGAGGAGCTCGAGCTGCTCCGCGGCATCGAGGTATTGGGGGATCAGCACGCAGCCTGCTTGTCAGCTCTGACGCGCCCTTCCAGCTCACCCTCTGCGACGAGGTAGGTTGTGCGCCCATCCTTCAGGTGGAGGCACGGCACGCCGTCCAGGTCCATGACGGGGCGCTCGCCGCGCTCGCCCACGGCGCGCTCCTTGCCCTTCCTTCGCCGCCGCTGGGGAGTCGGCTCGGTGTACTCTGCACCCCACCAGCCTGCCTGCCAGACGGGGTCTGAGGTCTGGTCAGGCGGGCCAGAGAGGTCGAGCACGGCCTGGGTGTACTCGGGCAAATTCCGGAGCGCCGGGAGCGCATTCGTCGTGCGGTTCTTGAAGTGCTTCTCCGCCAGCCGGAAGGCGGGGTGCGTGCCCTCGGTGGACACCATGGATTGACAGGAAACGGCAAGTCGGACGGTGGAGGAAGCAAGATAGCAGGGTGTGAAGCGTACGCGGGGTAAGATAATATGCACAAGATGATTCGAGCAGAGCAGGAGAGCAAGAGAGAAAGGAAGACGGAAGGAATGGAGTGACGAGGGTTTGTGTGGTTCTGAAATTTCGGGCTGGGTGCGGTTACTAAAGTCTCGGTGACCAGGCTTCGGTCTCATGCGGCGCGTCGACGCGTCCAGAGTTTACGAAACTTTACTGAATGGCATGCATCGGAGTGGTACGGTGTATATCATGCACCGGCGCAAGCGATGCGATGTATAGCTGAAGGACAGCAGGCAAGCAGGGCGAGCACAGCAGCTAGCCGGTCCTAGCGTCCGCACCACCCGAACGTCTCGCCACGAGTCCGTGGCACTGCTTGAGCACCGACCCCATCCGACCCCGTCCTCCGCAATCGTCCATATCTCCCGTCCCCCTGCATGCAACAATTCGCAAATTACACAGAAACAAAGCTGAGACGCGGGCGAGTCAGTAAGCCGCCCAGAATGCCCCGGACGCTGCTCCTTTGCGGTCATAAAACAACATAGCTTATTAGCATCGATATTATCTTCTACGAGCTGTGCCAGTAGTTTACGAGCGTCCCCCTCTCTGCAAGACAAGCAGAATCGACGAGAAACTTAGATCTTCGTCTGTTTGAGGCCATCTTTCCAGAAAGTGAACTTTGACATTAGCAAATGCGCTGTTGAAAGACGAAGAAGAGGAGGAAGAAGAAAGAGGAGTTGGACGGCTGGTGGCATGGTGGTGTGGCGGTGCGGTGTGGTGGAGGGATGACGGAGGTTATGTTGGGCTGGTACTCACGTAGGGGGTGGTGCCGTCCTCACGGTAGTTGAGGAGAGCGACCATGCCGTCGGGGTTCATGGACTCGCCGACGTAGAACTCGTAGTCCTTGAAGTTGCCAATGATCTTCTTGGCGAAGGTCTGGGCGTTCTTCTCGAAAGCCTCAACGCGCTCGGGGTTCTTCTCCTGGAGGTGGGCCTTGACAGCCTTCATGTAGCCCTTAAGGTAGGCAAGGTACGACTGTGATGTTAGCTTGAGAAAAGATGTTGCGTGTCGGCTGATAAGTTCAGGCTCGATGGTACACATCAGAGTCTCGCTTCCCAGGGTCCGACTGTCGCGCTCACCTTCTTGTCGAACGAAGAGGGCTGGAGACGCATGGAGTGGACAACGTTGTTGACCTGCTCGGCACCGTCGGCCATGGCCTCCTCAGCCTCCTCGGCGGAGGGGTTGGCACCAATGTCAACGTCACCGTCCTTGACGAGGATCATGGCGCAGTCGACCTCGTAGGCGATGTCGTCGACCTCCTTGCTGGACTGTCAGCGCGATTTCTGGTACGCATGCTTACATGTCGAAAGCGTCCGAGAGCATCTCGTCGCCGGTGACAATGTCCTCGTAGATGATCATGGTGCTTTTTGTTGTTTTGGGGGTAAGGTGGTAGAGTGTAGAGAGAGGACAAAGAATGCCAGCAAACGTTTTGCTGCTACTTTTCTGGCGGTGCTGGCGGGGGCCCTGCCTGCGTACGGATCATCTCACCGTGCAGCCCATTCAGGGCAAAATTACAGCGCGGGTGCAATTTTTTCAGCATTCATCCCGCGTCCAGAGGGCCTCGCCAGCGATCTTCCCCACGTGTTCCGAGACATCACGTGACGCATTAGAGTAAGAGGGAGGCACAAACAATCCGCTCGCACCAGCGTCATCCCAAAGTTGGCGGAAGCTGCACCTGAGTCTGAGGCTGAGGCTGGTTGGACGGGTCAGTGTGGTGTCAACAACAGCTGATCGACTTTCCTTCTCTCCACCACCCCTTCCCTTTCCCCACTCCCTCAAAAATGCAGGCCAACCCAGAGACACTCAGCGCCGTCTCCAAGTGCCTCGCCAACACCGTCTCTCCTGACGCCGCCGCACGTCGCGCGGCCGAGGAGCAGCTCCGGCAAGGCGAGGCGCAGGCTGGCTTCCTGCCCCTGATCCTCCAGCTCGTTCGTTCCGAGGAGGCCGACATGCTTGTTCGCCAGGCCGCTGGTCTGTACTTCAAGAACACTGTCAAGCGACTCTGGGATGACGAGGAGGAGGTCCAGATCCCCGAGGCCGACAAGGCCGCCGTCAAGTCGGAGCTCGTCCCGCTGATGATTGCTCTTGGAACCCCCAAGACCCAGCGCCTCCAGGCTCAGATCGGAGAAGGTCTCTCGACAATTGCCTCGTCGGACTTCCCTGAGAAGTGGGAGGGTCTCATTGATGTGAGTTATCATCGTTTGTGCTGTACAACTGACAATACCAGGAGCTTGTCAACAGCTTGACCCCGGACAACTTTGTTGTCAACAACGGTGTCCTTGCCACCGCCCACTCCATCTTCAAGCGATGGCGATCGCAGTTCCGTTCCGACCGGCTGTTCTCGGAAATTAACTACGTTCTTGACAGGTTCTGCAAGCCTCACTTCGAGCTCTTCAAGCATGTCGACTCCCTCCTCGACACCCCCGCTGGCCAGCCGTTGCCGCCAAATGCCTCCCTCCCTCTTCTCGCCCAGGCGCTCCTCCTTCTCATTCAGATTTTCCATGACCTCTCGTCGCAGGATCTGCCGCCGTTTATCGAGGACAACATGGGCGCTTTCATGGGTGACGGTGACCAGCAGGGTTGGCTGCACAAGTATCTCAGCTGGGAGCGACCGGAACTGAAGGGAGTGAGTCATTGCCAGTTTACTCGTGCTGACGACACAGGACGACGACGATGAGGCTCCGGGGCCTTTGCAGAAGATCCGCGCCTCGATTTGTGAGATTGCTGAGCTCTACGCCCAGAAGTACTCGGACGTTTTCCCGCAACTCGGCAACTTCGTCAGCGCCGTCTGGCAGATGCTCACGACCATCGGTCCTCAGACCCGCGACGATGTGGTAAGTCTCGGCCCCTGCCTCCTAGCCGCGCTAACTTCAGCTTGTTTCGCGGGCCCTTCGCTTCCTGTCCGTTGTCGTTAAGATGGGCAGCCACCGTGACATGTTCGCCTCGCCGGAGACGCTGAACGCCTTCTGTGAGAAGATCATCCTGCCGAACATGAGCATCAGGGGTGAGTGACTGCACGATCTCGTTCGCTGACATATAGAGCACGAGGAGGAGATGTTCGAGGATGACCCCGCCGAGTACATCCGTCGTGACCTGGAGCCGTCAGCTGAGAGCGACACTCGTCGTCAGGCTGCCACCGACTTCACTCAGGCGCTCATGGCCAACTTCGAAACCGAGGTTACGAGCATTGTCCAGGGTTACATCACCACCTTCCTTGGCCAGTACGCCCAGAACCCGCAGGCCAACTGGAAGAGCAAAGACACGGCCATTTATCTCCTCACGTCTATCGCTTCTCGTGGCTCGACGGTCCAGGTGAGCTTAACACTGTAGCATGTGAGCTGACGCCCAGCGCGGAGTAACCTCCGTCAACGTCCTTGTTGACGTTGTCGACTTCTTTGGCAAGAACGTCTTCTCGGACCTCCAGGCCGCCCCGGGAACTGTTCACCCCATCCTGATTGTCGACGCCATCAAGTACCTGTACACGTTCCGCAACCAGCTCACCAAGGAGCAGCTCATCTCTGTCCTGCCCCTGCTTGTCCAGCACCTGACTTCCGACAACGTTGTCATCTACTCATATGCCGCTATCACTATCGAGCGTATCCTGTTCATCAAGAACGACCAGCGCCAGCCTCTCTTCACGAGCGCCGACGTCAAGCCCTTCGCCGAGAACGTCCTCATGGCCGTCTTCACTAACATTGAGCGCGGCGGTACGCCCGAGAAGATCGCCGAGAACGACTACCTCATGAAGTGCGCGATGCGTGTCATCATCACGGCACGCCAGGAGCTTGTCCCGTCATACGAAGCTATTCTCACTCGCCTTGTTAACATCCTCGGAGAAATCAGCAAGAACCCCTCGAACCCGCGCTTCAACCAGTACTGCTTCGAGAGTGTGTCGGCTCTGATCCGCTTCGTGTGCGAGGCTCAGCCTTCTGCCGTCGCCAACTTTGAGAAGGCGCTCTTCGGCCCGGCCGAGGTTATCCTTGCTCAGGACGTGACTGGTATGCTTGCCAACTGACCGCTTAGCTGACCGCAGAATTCATCCCGTACATCTTCCAGATCCTTGCCCAGCTGCTTGAGCTGCACGCCCCGACGGACCTGCCGTCTGAGTACCAGGCGCTGCTTGCGCCACTTCTCTCCGCGAGCCTCTGGGAGCAGCGCGGCAACATCCCGGCGCTCGCGCGGTTGTGGAAGGCGCTGCTTATGCGCGGCCCGCAGCTCATCGTGCAGAACGGTCAGGTCGAGGGTCTCCTGGGTATCTTCCAGCGTCTGGTCGGATCCAAGATCAACGACGTCTACGCCTTCGAGCTCCTCCAGGCCATGTACGAGTTCATCCCCATGTGAGTTGACCTTACGCTGAAAGCAACTAACGACAGCGCGACGATGCAGCCGTTCAGCCAGACCATCTTCATGCTCCTCCTGAACCGCCTGCAGTCCAAGCCGAGCACGCAGTTCACGCAGTCCTTCGTCTACTTCCTCGCCTACCTCGCTGCAATCCAGAACGTCGGCGCCAACGTCGTCATCCAGATCCTCGAGGCGATCCAGCCCGGGTATGTTATCCAGCTTTGCTTCTTCTTCTCGTGTGTTGCTTAGCTAACATCCAGCCTGTTCGGCAACCTGGTCAACGGCGTCGTGCTCCCGAACACGCAGAAGGCGCCTGTGCGCTCGCGCCGCGTGATCGAGGTCGGCCTCACGAACCTGCTGACGTGCGATGCGATCTTCGCCGAGCCCAACGCCAAGCTCTGGCCCGCCACCTTCCTCGCGCTCCTCGACCTCTTCACCCTGCCGCAGGACATCACGTATGCAGACGAGGTCGGCGACCTCGACCCGAGCGAGGGCTTCCAGTCCTCCTTCTCCAAGCTCGGCGCGTCCGAGAAGGTCCAGCACGACCCCGTCCCGGGCATCCCCGAGAGCCGGAAGTATGCGTCCAAGAAGATTGCTGAGGCCGCCAAGGCGCGTCCCGGCGTCCTGCCCCCGCTCATCCAGCAGGCGCAGCAGCAGGAGGAGAAGACCGTCACCGACTTTGTCAACTACATGAGCTCTAACGGAGACCAGGTTGCATGAGTGATGGGACATGAGTAGTGTAGGGGATCATAACGAAAGAACGACGTCTAGAAACTGCATTTTTTACCTAATCCATCAGTCGTGTTACATGCATTTATGTGGGCTACGAATCGACGTCCATTGCGTCGTTCGTGGGTGGTTGTACAGTGGTGGTGGTGGTTGCCTCAGGCTCAGGCGGCGCCGCCGCAGGCTCGACCGGCTCGGTAGGAGGAGCAGCTGCATCCGCCGGCAAAGAGGCAACAGCAGGCTGGTCGGAAGGGGCTTCAGAAGGACCGTCGTCCTTCTTCGCCTCCTCAGCGGCTCCATCCTGGTCCATCTTCTCATCGCCATCGGCTGCCTCCTCCGCCTCCTTCGGCCCCTCGAAGGCCGCAGGAGTCTCGGAGGACGCAGCGTCCTTCGGAGCAGGTGTCTTGTCGCCATCGGCGAGAGAGTCGGGGGCGGTCTCAGCCGGCGTCTCACCAGCCTTGTCCGCGCCCTCGGTCTCAGCCTCCTTCGGCTCCTTCTTGACCTCGTCGCCGTCCTTCTCCTCCAGTCCTTCCGTGCCCTCCTTCTCGTCATCGTCATCCTTCTGGCTAGCAGCGCCAGGCGCCTTAAGTTCGCCCAGCGTGCCAGCCAGGAACTTGTCTCCGCATCCATTACACACTGCGCGTCAGCTGTGTTCGTATCCTCGTAGCTGTCACTCACGAGTTCCTCTTCCGTTAGGACCGCGGCGCCAGACTTTGAGCCCTGGCTTGCCGCATCCTTCGCAGATGGCACCGGCAGTGCCGCGCCTGAACTTGCGCACGGGGGCGCTCCCACGCCCCCTACCTCGGCGGGAGAGACTAACAGCCGCGCCGGCCTCGACACGCTCGTCGAGCGCATCGAGCGACACGGGCATCTCGAACGTGACTGTCGGCTCGGGATCCTTCCGTCCCCGCTTGGCAGCCAGCTCAGGCGATAACGGCACGAACTCCTCGCCCTCTTCTTCCCCGTCCCCTGCGTCGCGCGTGTAGAGCGGCCGCGTCGTCATGTGGTACGGCCGGAGAGCCCACTTGTCCGCCGTCGCTTCGGTGATGAGCGGAATGGTCGACTCGACGCGGAAGCGAGGGAAGACGCGCTCCCCGACACGGTTCAGGAGAGAGGTGAAACGTTCTTTCTTGCGCGACAGCCATGTCTCGCGAACTTCAGGAGCCAGAGTCTTCTTCTGTGGCGCAGGAGACGGCGGAGCTGCCTTTGGTGTAGCTGGTGTAGGCGTCTCCGTTGTCTTCGCGGATGCAGGAGTGGGAGCGACAGCTGGAGCCGCTGACACCGGTGCCGGAGTGGATGTCTGCGCTGGGGTCTGAGGAGGCTGCGTGGCGGTAGGAGCCTGTGCAGAAGCAGTCACGGACGCGGCTGGCGTTTCCGGTGCTGGCGTGGCAGGGGCTGGCGCTGCAGTCGCTGGTGTAGCAGGGGCTGCTGGAACAGCAGGAACGGCGGCATCGCCCGGGCGAGCTGTTGAGTCTGCTGGTACACTGGCAGCCGCGCCCTTGACCGGTTCGGCCGCAGGCGTTGACGAGGCAGCTGTCTGGCTGACAGGCGGGGTAACAGGCTTAGGTTCCGGGGCATTCTTGTTCAGCTCTGGCTCAGCCCAAGCCAACGCCTCCAGCTCGCACTTCTCGACCTCGTCCATGACACCCTTGAAACGCTTCCAGTTCTGGTCGTTCAGACCTACGATGCGGATCGTGATGGGCTCTACGTTGCCTTCCGCCGGAAGGTAGTTCTCAGCAGCTAGGTTCAGCATCCCCTCACGTGTCGTCACGGGTGGCTTAGCTGGTTTCTGCACCGGCCGCAGGTCACGCTTGGGAGATTGAGGAGATTTGATGGGCGAGGACTGCTCAGTGGTGGAGGGCGCCTTCAGTTTCTCCACAAACTTAGGGTTGTCGAAGGACAGACGCTTCTGGAACTTGGTCCAGTCGGGCTTGTGCCAGCCGTTCATGGGGAGATACGTCGAGAGCAGCACGGTGCCACTGTCTGGCTTCATGCCTGGCACAACCGGTAAGTCCGCGTACGGGTCCTTCTTGGGCGGTGCCGGTGTCGGTTCCTTTTCGGGCTCCGGCTCGGGAGTGGGCTCCTTTGGCGGAGGAGGCTTCGCCATGGAGGCGCGTGTGCGCTTCTTCGCTGGAGCCTCTGTCGTTGGCGCGGACACGGCTTCCGGCTCTTCCTTGATCTCGACCTTGACAGGAGAGGGCTCCTTCACTTGGGGTGGAAGGGGAGCAGGTGACGTGACGTAGTCGCCTCCCACACGAGAGACATACGAGTTGGAACCCAATGGAATCAAGAACTTTTCCGTGGGGGCTTCCTTGAAGGCGACGAGAAGGAACCGCGGGGGCAGGGGATAAGTCGGTTTGGGAGACGGAGCAGGGCCTGGTGTAGAGACAGACGGAGACGCTCCGACCTTCCCGGGTCCAGACTGAGGAGTGCTCTGCCCCGGCATGTAGTACGCGACGTTGGGAGGACGAGCCGGCGTCGGCGTTACAGGAATGGTGGGCACCGTCCGGGGACCTGAGCCATGGTTGGTCTGCGCTGCCGTAGCTTGCGTGGCTGTCGAGGCCGGAGTAGTAGCCGTGGCCGAAGAGGAAGCAGGTGCAGGAGGAGCGGGAGCAGTCGGTACCGAAACTGAAGTTGCCTGCACTGAGGGATTTACAGGTTGTTGCGAGGCTGGAGCTGGAGTTGACGGCTGTGCCGACGTAGGTGTCGGCAGAGGCTGAGTTGCAGCAGGAGTAGTGCTGACCTGCGGCGTGGCAGGTGCCCCGTTCGATGGAGCTGTTGCAGCGGGCTGCGCAGTCGATGGCGCCGGAATCACGGCGGCAGGCGGCTGGACCGTGGAGGCAGCAGGGGCTGCTGTAGACACTGCCGCCTGAGTCGGCGGATTGGCACTGGATGCAGCAGCGGTGGCCGGCGGAGCAGAAGGCGGCGCGGGAGCAGCAATAGCAGCCTTTTCCTGCTCCGTTGAAGCAGCATCTGCCATCTCTACATCAGCCGAAGTCTCCGCGGTGGAAGTTGGTGCCTCTGCAGGTTCAGGCGCCGACGATGCAGAGTCGGCGGGTGCTTCAGCTGTCGCTGACGGCACTGGAACTGGCCCACCACCGCTCTGAGGGGGTCCAGTCAGATCGGCGTCGCTATCAGAGTCGGAGAGATCGCTGAGATCAGATTCCGCTGGCGTATACTGAGGTTGATCGGGCGCCGGAGCGGGCGCAGGTGCAGACGGAGCGGGTGCTGGTGTCGGCTGAGGTGCTGCAGGCGCCGGCGAAATAACAGCAGGCGCTGCAGAAGTCGCAGGTGCAGCAGACTGAGCTGCTGTAGCCGTGGGAGGTCGCACTGCCGATGCAGCTGCGGAGACAGGAGCTGCGGCTGGCTGCGCGACGCCCGGAGGACGGGCGCCAGGAGCAGCTACACCTGCCGGTCGAACGCTGGGTGCAGCAGTCGCAGGCGGTGGCCGTGCAGGGACACCAGCTGCAGCAGCAGGCGGTCGAGCACCAGGAGCATCTGCAGTCATTGGCCTAGCTGCTGGGGTGGCGGCGGCGGCCGGCCTGATCCCAGCGGCTGCAGCAGTTGCAGGCGGTCGCACACCAGCCGGCGGGCGGGCAGCTGCAGCGCCCGCTACTGGAGGTCGAGCCCCAGCAATCGGAGGGCGAACGCCCGGGGCCGGTGGCCTGACTCCTGCTGGCTGAGCGGCGGCTGCCCCCGGTCGTGCAGGTGCTGGTCGAGCTCCTGGAGCACCCGGTCGCGGAAGAAGACCTGCCATAGTAGGACCACCGGGCAGACCAGGCATTTCCGGCCCTTCACCGACACCTTCTCCCCTCCCAAGCCTACCAACAACCCGACCCAGCTTCGCCAGCTCGTCCTTGTTCGCGACATTCCTCGCCGCCTTGTGGATGAGGATACTCAGCCACGGATGCTGAGAGGCAGCGGCGTTCACTCGCTGGATCAGAGTTTGGGGCTGTTGTTAGCTTGCATGGCAGGGTTTCAAGCTCACAATGTCAGCCCGGGAGGCGTATCGTACTCCTGCCCCAGGAATGGGTCCCGTCGAGGGGCCAGCGCCCGGAGTTTGCGAAGGAGGACGAGCAGCTGGCGGAGCAGCAGCAGGAGCGGGTGGCCGCGGGGTCGGTCGCGCCGGCACAGTCGCACTGGTGCGAGGACGTTTCGGTTCCTTCTTCTTGGGTTCTCTCTCCGAAGGGCGCTTCTCCCGGGGCTTTTCCCGAGGCTCCTTCGGTTTCGGCTCCTTGGGCGCTTTCGGTGGTCGCATCCGCACGGTGCCGCCCACGCCTTCCCTCTCCTCGACAAACTGTCCGACCCACAGCTCCGTGTTGGGAAAGGACATCGGTCCAACCTGCAACGTCACTCGAGCAATGCACTCGATCTCGTGAGGAGGTGCAGGTGTTCCTTCGGCAGCCTTGGCTTTCCGGCGGCTTCCCTTCTTCTTCGCCTCCACCTCATCCTTGTTCTCGCCTTCCTTGGCGTCTTCCTCCTTTCCCTTCTCTCCGTCCTTCTCGGCATCGTCGCCGTCTTTCCCCTTATCCTTCTTGCCCTTGTCCTTCTTCAGCGGAGCGTGGTACTCGCGCGCGGGCAGCGGGGCGACCGGCTTGGGTGTCGGGTAGAGGAATGTGCCCTTCGGTGGAGGTCGTGCACGAGGGCGGGAGTGTGCTGGAACGGCCGGGTGTGAGAAGATGTGAGGAAAGAGATTGTTGAGGTGGTGATAGCGTGTTTGAATGAGAGAGTACTGAAGAATCATACTGCGCGTCAGACTAGCGTCACCGACAACTCACCTCTCTGCCAGATCGAGCAGCGGCTGCCTTGGCGGCTCTTGAGGCTCGGCACCCTCAGTGGCCTCGACCTCCTCGACCTCCATGGGCTCAGCGTCACCCTCTACCTCTCCGTCGACTTCCATCTCGTCTGGCTCTTGTTCATCATTGCGTTCTTCCTCTTTGGCCGATTCAGTAGTTGGCTCGGCGGTGGTCGCTCTGATTACTTCGCCGGCGAAGTCCGGCAATTGCTCTTCTGTGAGCTCGAAGCCTCCCGCATCCACCACTTGAGGATGCGGAAGTGTTGGCAGATCGACATGAGGTGGCGGCGCTGGCGCGAACCGACCAGACACCCGGTTCGCCATGTCGTGTGGGGTGTCGTCGAGGTTGCGGACATGACATGAGTGACGCGCTCAACCTGGAAATCATGGCGAAAACAACTTTACGTAAGCTACCTACAGCTCGCAGCAGCATGGTGATTAGCGACCGAGGAAGACATGATCATCAGCACGCTCGAGCAGCAGTGGAAGCAAGCATTTGTGAACGGTGAATGCATGATGCTCTAATTAGATGTACACGATGATATGAGATAGGCGACGAAACAAGCTACTCCTCACTTAAGCATCATCAGCGGCGGGGAGCTCATCATCGACGCTCCAGCGGCGCATGCTGACGACCTGTACATTGACGCCGCGGTCGTTGCCCCAGTCAACAATCACCTCCTCAACAGGCTTGTCCTGTCCGAGCATCATAGCCGGCTGCGAGAGAAGAGCCTCCTCCGGAGCGACACCCTCTCCCGGGTGGAAGGCCTTCGTAGGGAAGCCGACGACCTGGCGAGCGAGCGAGCGCGCAAGGGAGAGGAGCTCCTTGTCGAGCTTCTCGCCCTCGGGACCGGCCATGATAGCGGCGATGGGCTTGTCGGCGTCACCCTCAACGCGGAGTACCACAATTCCTCCGATCTTTCCAGTTTCACCCGAGCCGTGGGTGAAGGCGCCGGGGACGAGGCGGACGTCCGGCTTGGCGGGGAAGGGAGCCGCGAAGCTGACAGCGCGCTTGAGCTGCAGGTTCTCTCCGGTCTGGGCGAGCGAGGCAAGGAGAAGCTGCTGGACCGTCTGCGCTTCACCGCTCTTGCCGATGGGAGCGGGCTCCGTTCCGTCTTCGGGCATGGTGATCACAGGAGCGGAGAGGAGGGCCTCGGTGGGGAAGACCTCGATGGGGTCGGCGCCAACGGGCTTCGAAGGAAGGGGGTGGTCGGAGGGGACATCGAGGAAAGCGGCGGTCTCAGCGATTGACCGGGCGGCCTTGAGGAAGACGTCGTTACGGGCTACGAAGTCCGTCTCGCAGGCGAGCTGGACCATCGCGACGCGCTTGCCGCCAAGGAGCGAGACGGCGATCGTTCCTTCGTCGGTGCTGCGTCCGGCGACCTTGTCGGCCTTCTTCTGCGCAGACGCACCACCCGCCGAGTTCAGATAAGCGACGGCAGCCTGGAGGTCGAGGTTGGTCTTCTCAAGAGCCTCGCGGGCCTGTCCCATGGGGACGGGGATCTCCTTGCGGAGCTTGGCGATAAGAGCGACGGGGACCTTGGGTGCGTCGGCGGCGAGCCTGACAGAGGTGCTGAAGGCGCGGGCCTGCGCACGGGCACGAACGGCGGAGCGGAGGCCGAACATGGTTTTCGGAGCGGATGGTGGAAGCAGAAAGGGGGCAAAGACCAACTTTTGACCGAAGAGGAGGTTTAAAGGGGCTCACCGGCCGTGCCTGAATTGGGAGTGAGGGAGGGGCTTGAGCATGCCAATGAAGTTTCGTCAGAATTCCTCCCACCTTGGATTCTGCATCCACAACAACACCCGACACCCCTCCTCCACCCCGCCCCGTCCACTCGTCTTCACGCGTCTCCGTCGATTCTTTGGCCATGGCCGGCGGGAAGCGGAAGCGCACCTCCTCGCCCGGGCCCGCCGCGACTCCCGAGGCCGACTCCACAAGGGGTTCCAAAAAGTCAAAGTCATCTGACGCGCGCGACAAGGACGGCGACCGTAAAGTCAAGATTGTGTACGAGCTCGTTGGCACCAACAAGACGTACAGTCGAGATGCTGGTGAGTTGACCCGCAATGCGAGCCAAACTGACGACAGACTCCCGTTCGCTCGACAAGGTTGCTACCAAGGTCGCGAGCCGTCTCGGTGTGCCCTTCCTTGGTCTGCAGATGTTCCATGTTCGCCCTGGAGGCATTGAAGCTCCGTTGTGGGACAGTGAGTTCTACCACATATATGCATACTAACGCGCAGACTTTGACTTTGACGCTTTGAAGGCTCGCGCTGCTCGCAACAAGTCGAAGCGCGAGGTCATCCGTGTTTATGCGGCAGGCAGCAAGGCACCCTCATCTTCGAGCGCCCCCGTAACTGCGGCGTCAACTCCTGAGCTGCCCCGCAGAGCCACAAGTGTCCCGACCGCTCTTGCTACGCCTCGCAGTGCACTTCGCCTTCCCGGGAACAATACGCCGCGCTCAGAGAAGCGGGTCGTGCTAGCTCTGCCAGCGGACTCTCCGCCCGACTCTCCGTCGCCGGCTCCGACTGTTACCCCGGCCCCCGCGTCGCCTTCCGTTCATCCGAGCAAAACCAGAAGGAGGCGAGTTAGAGGCCGTGCTTCGCTTGAAAGCAACGAGAACGAGCAGCTTCAAACTGAAAACGCGACAGCGCCGGCAGCTTCGCGCTCAACCCTTTCAACTCCGCCAAACGCCACTAACGAAGCGCGCCGTTTGGAGATTGCGAGGCAGGAGATTGCGAAACGCGAGGCTGCATCGATTGCGAAGCGTGACGCCGCCACGTTGTTTAGGCCTGCCAACCCGAGTCCGTTATCTCAAGCCACCACCGCATACACATCCGACGAGGAACCGCCGGCCAAGAAAAAGAAAGAGTCTAAGGCTGCAGCCTCTCCTGCCAAGAAAGCTACGCCCACCAAGTCACCTGCGACTAAGAAGTCTGAAGCTGCAGCGAAGAAGAAGGCGGACAAGCCGACCCGTCGGCAGAGTCGCACGTCTGACCTGCCTCTTGTCTATGGCGACATTCCTCCTGTCGTTGGCAGTCTCCCCACCACTGCTGCGGAAACGACTCAGCCCGCCGAGAGTACGCCCACGGCAACTACGGCCTCTCCGATCACCGCGTCCGGGTCAACGCCGACTACGCCGAAGGGTTCTGGCGCCGCGCGACCGGCAACGCCATTGACGAAGACTCAGCTGGAGATACGGGCGCTCCGACAGCGCCAGGCCGAGGAAGCAGCTCGCAAGGCTGCGGCTTCTGAGTCTGCCGGGACTCCATCGGGGCAGGATGCCGCTGGCGCTGGCACCTCGGACCAGTCTTCGCGACCGACAGAGCCTGCGGTTGAGGCGCTAATCCCACCGAAGGGTCGACCCGGTCGGCCACGGAAGAGTGACTCTGTCGCTGCGCAGGGACAAGAAACGGCGACGTCAGACGTAAGCACCGCGCCGGCGCCTTCCACTGATGCGCCCACTGCGGAAGAGGTCACACCCAAAACCGCCGCCCAGCGCAGGAAGGAGGAAGCTCAGCAGCGCAAAAAGGAGAAGGAGGAGGCGCAGGCCAAGAAGAAGGCTGAGGCGGCAGCGAAGAGAGAGGCTCGTGAGAAGGCACGGGAGGAAGCAAGGGCCCAGAAGGAGGCAGAGAGACGGGAGAAGGCTGCTGCCAAGGCCTCCAAGGCTGCCGAAACTGTCAAGCCGGCGCGTTCCCAGAAGGCGAAGGCCGCTAGCCCTGTTCAGGACAGCGAACTGGAATCTGAAGAGGGCCAATCGACAACCGACACTGCAGAGAAGGTTGACGATGCGGAAGACGACAGTGGGAGCGACGCAGTTGCTGTCGAGGCCACGGAGGTCGAGGTCGAAGAAAGCAGACATTCGACCCCCTCTCAAGATGGCGCGGACGCCAGCGAGGCCCCAAACGCTCCGGGTCCGTCTGCGGTCGCTGAGGAGCAAGCTTCTGCGCAAAAGCCACCTTCCGGCAAGAAGAGGCAATCCAGCTCTGGGAAGGAGCTCTGCATTTATTGCGGCCAAGTCGGGCTTCACAAGCTCCTGAAGGACTGTCCCATTGCCAACGATAAAGCAGCTCTGCTCAATAGAATGGAGGAGCGTAAGGCCGACCTGGCGAAGTGGCGACGGGAGGCGAAGGAGACAGGAGGAAATCCAGCAGACTACTCTGAGGCCTCAGACCTCGTGCTGAAGCAGGTCCGATCGCGGTATCACAGCGCCGACCAAACCATTTCTGCCAAGGTGAACGGCGTCCACAAGCCTTTGGCTGAGTTGGGTCCCAGCAAATACCCGACCAGCGCTTCTGAGCCTATAACTCTTGCCGACGATGACGAGCCTGGAGAAGCATCCGCTGCCGAATCAGGAGCCCCTGCTGCGGAAGCTGTTGCTGAGGTGGCAGACATGACGGTCGAAAGCCCCGAGAGCAGTGGCTCTTCAGAGGCCGACGAAGCCATGGATGTTGATGTCGTCGAAGTGGCGGGAGACGAAGAGGCGAATGAGACGGCGAAGCAGGCCCCTGTCAAGAGCGTTGTCGGCAACGCGATGGCAAGGGCCAGTCCCCGAGCTCCGGTGACACCGCAACGTGAGGCGGGCGCCGAGTCTACTTCTTCAGGCTCCTCCCGCTCCAGTCCATCCGAAAGCGGGGAGGGTGGCACCCCCTTCTTGCCCCAGATGCTGCAGATGAAGGCCGCAAGGGCACGCCGACCCGGGTCCCGACTCAGTGTCTCGGACGCCGTGATCGAGACAGGAGACTCGGACTCTGATGATAGCGACAACTCGGGCTCGGACTCAGATTCTGACTCGGACAGTGCAACCACATCCGATTCCGACAGCAGTTCGTCAGCTGCTGGCTCTGATTACGATGGACAGGTCTTGGCGAGGCAAGTCATGAATGGGCCCCTCAACAAGCGACAGCGGCATCGCGTGAGCGTTTCCGCCCCTGGTATACACGAAACGCAAGCGCTGTCTGATGAAGACATTGCCTCGGCCGATGAGGAAGACGACATCATTCCTCGTCGTCTCACTCAGCGTCGCGACAGCGAGAGCTCAATCGGCGAGTTTGAGGAGGACAACAACTCCCCGGCTCCCTCTGACGTGGAGGAGAGCGACGAAGACGATGAGAGGCGGAGGACACTGCTCTCGGCTGTCGCTGACCGCTCGATGGCCATCGATGACGATCAGGAAGACGCCGTGGAGACCGACTCTGACGAGGAGCCTCCAGCAGCCGACATCGCCAATCGATCCTTCACCCGCTTAGCGGAGCGCGCTGGAACCTCCCCCGCCCTTGACGACCTGCCCGGGGACCAGGCATTGCGAGAGGTCATTCAGGAGGACGACGGCATGGAGTTTACGCAGAACTCCGCGAAGGAGTCGGCGGAGTTCAGCGCGACCCAGCCCATCGAGATGGAGTCTGTCGAGCCTGAGTCTGCCGAGCCTGAGCCGCAGCCTGCCTCATCGTCGCAAGCTAAGCGACGCCCTGGCCGGCCCGCGAAGGCCGCATCCCAACCCGAGCCGTCTTCCTCCAAGAGCAAGACGCCGGAGGAGACTGAATCACCTGAGCCCTCAGCGTCTCAGCCCTTGCGGAGAACAACGAGGGGCGCGGCCGCGAAGGCCAAGGAGCCGCCTGCATCGCAGCCTGCTCCTGGAGGCCGTGTCACGCGTTCATCTGCTCGTGTCGTCAGCTCGAGCCAGCCGGTCACCCGGCGGACGACCCGCAGTAGCTCGAAGGAGCCTGAGGCCGCTCCCGTGTCCTCGTCCAAGGCGCCAACTTCGCAGGATATCGCGGAGGAGGACTCTGACGCGGAACCGGAAGAGACCCCTCGGTCGAAGAAGAAGGTCGTCACGTACTCGCGGTCATCTCGCTCCAAGCAAAAGGCGCCCGAAGTCGACGGTAAAGATAGCGACGAGGAGGATAATGCCGCCAATGAGGAGGTGCTTGTGGAGCCGACGCCGGCGCAGCCCGTGCCCTCTTCGCTTCCGCCCTCATCTCTGCCTCAGTCGAACGGCGTCCCGTCCAGCCAGCCTGCGGCATCATCCCAGCCGGGCAGGACGCAGTCCTCACCGACGAAGCAAAATGGCGAAGGCAGTCCCCTGTTCCTGTCGCAGCCGACGCAGCTTCCTCAGACACAGGCATACAACCCGCACCCCGAGCCGCTCGTGCCCGAGACGCAGGCGCCCGACAGCGGTCCCGTGAGGCCGTCGAGCCCGGTGCCGCGGTCTTCGCCCTCTCCCTCTCCTTCCGAGCGCGGGTCTCCGCAGCCCAACGGCAGGGCGAACGGCAAGGCGGTCATGAACGGCGATGACAGCGAGGACGATGGCTCGGACCAGGATGTCGACTACGCACCCCCGATCAGCCTGTCTCTGTCCCGCCGCAGCACTGGCCCCCCGATGCCCGCGACGGCCTTCCCGACGCTCTCGTCGCTGCCCAAGGAGCTCCTGCGGCAGGGCAAGGACGCAACGGTGGGCTACATCTCGCGCATCACGAAGGGCTCAACGATCGGCGGTGGCCTGCCGAGCGCGACGCAGCAGCACGACGACAGCGACTCGTCGGACGACGATGTCGACAGCTCTGAGGACGAGATTCCCGAGGAGAGGCAGGAGCGCTACGCTGGCCGCAAGAAGCGCCGCAGCACGATTGGCCAGCAGATCGGATGGTAGTGTATTGAAGGTGCATGGTAGCGTAGATTACAATTCAAAGCAATGGTCTCTCAGTAGGACTCACACTGTATATGCATTTAGTTATCTGGTCGTGCCGGGGATGCGGTACTTGTCAGCTGCTTTGTTGCGTGACGGCCTTGTCCGAGGTGTCCGGCAGAACGCGAGAACTAACGCGTCGAGGTACGCCGAAGCGTCTGACCTCTTCGTCATACTTCTCGTTCTCACCGTCTCAAGCGTAACTCGCTTAGCATGAGAAGAAGATGTTGGCACACGACCATTCCCGATGGTACGGAGAACGCCGGTATGCTTCGGTGGGCGCGAGGTATTCCAACACGAACACCTGCTGGCAAACAACTCCACTGGCAATCATCTCGCTGGCAAACATGACAGCCATTCATGCCCTAGCCCAATGGCAAACCCGGGGCCCAGACCGTACATACCTCGCGCATCACTCATCGTCATGCCCAGTCTCACGCGCAGCAGTACAACGCGTCACGCTTCCCACGGCACAAATGCCAGCCTCGTTTCAGTTCCTTCAATCGAGTGACTGAATGGAGGAGGCGTCGAAGTCGAGAAGCCAGCGGCAGGTCAGATTCGGGTGCGGAATGTCGTTGTATTCCAATCTGACGTCTTTTGGCAGATTGTTGCCTGAATGTCAGGCGCGTCCAGCCGAGTGTGTGCCGATGCCGAGCGAAGTCAAAGTGGGCGGCTACATCCACATCTGGGCTGATTTCCAGTTCCGAGGATGATGGCAGCGTGCCTTACCCCTTCAGGCCCTCTGCCAAGCGAAGTCCCGCAGATGCCGCGGTCTTCAAGGAGCAGCAGATGTTAAGCTTATGCCAGGCGCCAACCTGCCCGCTCTCCGTTGTCTCCAGGAAGTCGGCGAAATCTCGGACCCAGCTTTCGGGTGAGAGAAGAGCAGAAGTGCAGGGAAATCGCCGCATCTCCTCCACGGCAACGGCACGATGGGTCCAGGCATATGGCGACCGAGAACGGACACAAATCTGTGCCCGTTTTGAACCTCCACCTCCTCCACTGGTAACCAGCCATCGTTGGTTCACGTTGTTTACATCGCTCGTGTCATTTACCTTCTTCACTCTCTCTACCACCGACAACGCATCTCAAGCGCATCACATCTGTTCCACAGCATTCCCCCGATTTTTCTCTGCCCAACCATGCCCGGAGATTACGTCGAACGGCCCCAGTTAACCTATTTCAAGCCAGGACCACCCTCCAGCGACCTGTCTGAGCAAGATGTCGTCGATCTTCAAGGTCTTCTCTATCTCGAGCTCACACCTATTATCTCATGGCTCGAGTCAGATGGTGAGGACCGTGACTACACCCTCCTGGGCGACTACATCCGCATTGCGGAGGACGTACTCGAAGGCTGGGGCCAGCTTTACGGCTCAATGCCTCGCAACAGGTTTACTCAAGTCTACATCATGTTGGAGAAGCTTTACAAAGAGCTTGCAGCCTGCCAGGACTTTCTAGTCGAGAAAGCCGCCGCTTCGATTGCCCCGGGACGTCTTCCCCCTGTCCCCGGTCTCCGTGGGGCACCTCGCTTGGATATCGATGTGGTCCAATTGACCTCTCTACTCTGCATTCGCGACATGACCTACGCCCAGATTGGCGGCCTGGCCGGTTGCTCAGGCAAAACCGTTCAACGCCGGGCAAAGGAGATGGGGGTCAATCGTCGGAAGTTCTCAGAGATCACTCAGGAAGAGCTGGATCGAGCGGTCATTGCCGCGTACCTTCGAGGATCTGGCGATCAAGGCTACCGAGCCATCCACACCTACCTTGAACTCGAGGGCATCAAGGTCACAAGGGATCAAGTTCAAGCCACCTGTCGCCGTCTCAACCCCGATGGGACCTGGGACCGCTGGATTCGCGCTCGCCTTCGACGAGTTTACCGTGTTCCATGGGTTAATTCTCTATGGCATATCGACGGCCACCACAAGTTGAATCCTTGGAAGATCGTCATCCACGGCGGCATTGATGGCTTCTCCCGACGTATTGTCTTTCTCCAGGCCTCGAACAACAACCTGGCTGTTACGGTGGAAGACTGCTTCATGCACGCCACGCGCTGCTACGGCTGGCCCTCGAGGGTACGCGTGGACTATGGCGGAGAAAACCTCGGCGTGAAGAAACGATTGGAAGAAGTTCGCGGCACCGTTGATTCCAAGGGTCCGCCAGAGGAAGGAGATGCTGTACTTCAACCGCAGCGGCGAACTCGGTATGGAAATGCACCAGTAACCGCCGTCCAAGCCCGTCATTGTACAATATACTACCAGGCCCCTCTCCCGACCAATCGATTAGCTATGTGTTGATCTATGTATGTTCTGTTTCTATGGAAGTTCTGTGACTCTTTAAGTCGTTTTCCATGCCACGAGGATGCATACTTACAACCGTATCGAACCTGGTAGTTGTGAAACCAGTGGAATTGGCTCCGTCCTTAAGTACCGCTAGGGCGGAGCTGGCACGATCTCGAGTCACTAGGGACCGCCCCGTCGGGCACGCCCCGACGGAGGACCGGCGGGGTCCCGAGGTACCTACCTGCGGGACCCGGCCGGGGATAATCGGTCGGGGTAGCGGGTGCTATCCGACCCAGTACCCCCTCGTCGGGACCCTCCCGACGGGGTGTGACAGACGGACATCGGGGGATGTCCGTCTCCGTCGCGGTGCGGTCCGTGACAGGGTCGTTGGCGAGGGACGTTTATTCAAGGTCCCTCTACCCGCAACCAGCGTATCGAGCGACTTTGGGTTGATTTGCAGAGGACCTGCACCTCGCGTTACCGAACGGTCTTCATCCACCTAGAGAATATCGGGCTGCTGTCTCCGGACAACGATCTCGACCTCTGGGCCCTCCATTATGTCTACCTGCCTGTTATCAATGAGGCCCTCAGGTGCTTTGCCCGCTACTGGGACATGCATCGTATCAGGACTGCTGGCAATCAGAGCCCTGCAAAGATGTGGGCCATGAACGAGGCCAAGGCAAGGAAGGTTGGCGTTGAGCCTGTCAGGTATCTCGAGGACCTCCATGGCGAGCAAGACAAAGACATCTCCAACCTACCGGATGATCAGACTCAGCAATTCTTTGAGGACTATGGCGTTGACGACTACGGGCGGCGACCTACAGCTCGTGTTAGGAGAAAGGATCCACACGTCGAGTTCCCCTCGCCTGACGAGGTTAATCCAATCAGCCACCGCGAACTCCTCAACGATCCGGTCTTTCTGCAGGCCTTGGCAGCATCAGTAGGACCATTGTGGCCTGTGGATGACACCTGCGCTGTTCCTCAGTACTTGACATGTCGAGAAATGGTGTACGCACGTCTAGGGTTACAACCACCTCGGCCCGAATGGTGGAATCACTAAGGTGAGCCTGGATCTCGAAGTTTTACAAGTTTATGCATGCCTTTTTCCTCTTTTCTAACAACCTCTGACCACTATGAGTGTATTGCACCTCTTGTTTCGCTCCTGCGTTGCCCAAACGATGCTGTTCTGCCGGTGGCAAACTAGGCCACCGACGAGGTGCAAGTGACAAAGGCCATCCTTTGCATGGCATCATCATTGACTGACATGGTGTTGGCGTTTCTGACCTATCTCGCCTAATACTGGTCCATTCATGCCCGTTCGACTTCGAGCGTACTCTGCTGTCCCTCACGGGGTTCCTCGTCGGTGTCGGAGCTCAATTCACAGGCTCAAACGCTCTCGGTGCCATCACGAGAGTTGAGCACACCGTGTCGCGCCCTCGTACCTCCTCTTCGCACGCCCCCTTCCCATGCTGCAGTATATAAGGCCATCCAGGCCCTTTGCGTTTCCCTATCACCCACTTCTTCACCTGCTCACCACAGCATGCCCGCGAGCCAGCTCAGAGCCTCCGTCTCTCGTTCTAAACGTCCCCGCGCCGCCGCACACAATGCCGGCGTCAAACAGATGAATAAGCTGCGTAGGGCCAAGTCGGGTCAGCGCTTCCAGAAGATCCATGGCCACACCACCCTTGAGGTGGTAAGTTCTCCAGCCTGGTCTCTTGAGCGTGACTGACAGCAGCTTTCTGTCTGGACCGGAGTGGGTCCCCGCGGTACCCCCTTCTCCGACGGCCAGGCGGCCCGCTACTGCGAGTTCGCGTTCGATTGCATCGTCGAGGGCGAACTTTGGCTCGAGTGCGAGAACAAGCAGGTCACCATCACCAACCCCGACACCGGGAAGCGTCAGAAGGTTTACCCCGTCTCGACCCTCGTTGCCCGTGGCTTCTCCGCTGCGGATCCCATCGATGTCGACGCCCAAGACGACACTGAGCAACAGGCCAAGGCCGAGGCCGCGCCTCAGGACGTCTGCCTTGCGGACGGTGACGGTGATGGTGACGTCACGCACAAGGAGGGCGGTGTCAACGCCTACGACAAGGACAAGGACCTGAAGAAGGACAAGGACCTGAAGAAGAGCAGCAATGACGACGGCAAGATGGTCGGTAACCCTCACGAGACTACGCACGATGCCAAGGACAAGTCGGAGCTGGAGACCGTCCCTGCTCTTGACGAGGGCAAGGCCACGGCGGTTGACCAGGGCAACGATGATGGGAAAGACGCGGAGAGTGAGGAGGATGACGAGTCTGTCTCCGACAGCGACAGCATGATCATCGAGGACGAGGAGGACTACGAGGTCCAGATCGTGAGCGAGGGCGCCTACCAGCCCGCTACGAAGCGCCGCCGTCTCGACGCCCTCGGCCGTGCTACCGACGTGATCTCTGTCCATCCAAACATGGACAAGATCACCGACACCCGCTGCCGCCGTTGCAAGCTCTACGGCCAACGCTGCTTCCACGGCACCGTCTTCGGCGATGACACCCGCGCCGCCTCGTGTGCCGGCTGCGTAAGCGTTATGGGTGAATGCCTCTTCGAGCATCTTTCACCCAAGCCAGCTAAGCACGGCAATGGCGTCCACCCCGCGCCTTATCCCCCCGAGCACACCTATGAAGGGTTCTTAGAGCCTTCCAACCGTATCCATTACGACAACTTCCTGAAGATGTTCACTGCCGCTGGTATCCATGACAACTCTTGGCGCGAGGATGCCCTCGACCTCTACGACCAGGTGAAGGAGAAGGCTGACTCATTCGTGGGCATGCTGTACTTCAACCGCAGCGGCGAACTCGGTATGGAAATGCACCAGTAACCGCCGTCCAAGCCCGTCATTGTACAATATACTACCAGGCCCCTCTCCCGACCAATCGATTAGCTATGTGTTGATCTATGTATGTTCTGTTTCTATGGAAGTTCTGTGACTCTTTAAGTCGTTTTCCATGCCACGAGGATGCATACTTACAACCGTATCGAACCTGGTAGTTGTGAAACCAGTGGAATCGCCACATAACATGTTACCATCTGTTCGGACTGCAACCAGTTGCCACGGGCAATGCAGCGTGTTCCTGTATTTATTAACGCGTGCAGATGGATCGAAGGATTGCGTTTGAGTAGCTTTTGCATGCATATGTCATCTTATCGCAGCCAGAATCTCGTGGAAAGTCTCCAAAGTGGAGATTTGGCCTGTCCTCCCAACGCCGTTGTCCCCGACCCTTCTCCATCGCGTCTGATGCATGCTAAACGCTCAGGCACATATGATGGCTGTCACTCTCCAGCCTCAGAGATACGGCAGCAAAAAAGATCGTGCAGAAAGATGCAGTGGTTGTGTAGTTATGCCTTTCTGGTGAGCTGTAGGTTGGGCTGGGCGGAGGTATAGGTGGCAGTGCAGTTTTGAACGTCTCGGGGAGGCGAGGGTCTGCAACTAGCTTATCTCGCCATGCAACATCGATTCAGACTTGTAAGATGGCAAGAGGACTGGCTTCAGTTCCTCTGCACTTATGGCAGGTTCACTTTCATGCATAGATCAAAGAGAAAGGGGGTATCAAAGTTTTCACGGCCGAGAGGAGGGTTGCAGTCTGGTAGAGCGACGGAGAGGTTCGGTGGTCGGCCCTGTACGAGTGGGCTGCGTTGGCGGCTTTCTTAGAGCAGGTACAGACGGCACTGGTATCTGTTCAGATACTAGACTACTCAGACTGCCTGTAGGTGAGCCTTGCGAGGCAAAAGGCTCCGGCAACGGCACTGCTGGAGGCGTGAGACCGACTGCTGGTCCTGGTGGAGTGAAACCAACAGCTGGTGGTGTGCGACCAATGCACTCGGGGTCGCTATAGGGTACGATTACGCCAGCCCTCTGAGATGTTCGCGAAGACCGAGGACCCCGTGAGCGGGGCGGAGTGGATGGAGATCTACTCCGAGCAAGTGGTGCATGTCCGTCAGGCCCTTTGGACCGGATGCCAGTAGCAGTGCGCCTGGACGGCACACTAGACCCATCCACGGGAACTGCAGTGGTCTTCCGTGGCCTGCCTCGCTTTGTTGGTCCTTTGGCAGCCTTCCGAGCGGCAGCAGCCTCCTTGGCTGCAATAGCAGCCTCCTTCGCGGCTGCCCTCTCTGCAGCTGCTGCTTCCTTTGCTGCCGCTGCAGCCTCCCTAGCAGCAGCCCTCTCTGCAGCAGCCGCTTCTTTGGCAGCAGCGGCTGCCTCCTTCGCTGCAGCCCTTTCCGCTGCTGCCGCTTCCCTGGCAGCAGCCCTCTCCGCTGCTGCTGCTTCCCTCGCTGCGGCCCTCTCCTGCGCCAACGCCTCAGCGGCCAAGCGGGCAATCTCCTTCTTCTCCGCTTCACGGCGTTTCTGGGTGAATCTTTGGTGGTCTCGGAGGATGAACGGCTTCGCGATGGCCGCCTCTACTTTCTCAGCCACCCTGAAGTCGACCGGTGACCATCGTTCTCCCAGTGGGATGCCTGCATCGCAGAGTTTCGGGTCTGTGGAAGCCCGGTCATCCGATATGTCACCATCGGAGATGTAATCATCGAGGAAGATGTAGTGCTTCAGGGCGTTGTTGCGATATCCATCCTTGTAGATCCGGCGTAGAAAGTCCCTCAGCAGAGCAAAGTCCTGCTGCTCATCGCAGGTTTCAGCGTGGTGCACAACAAGGAAAGGACAACATCCTTGGTTGATGGTGCACACTGCCTGGCCAGTGGCTTTGTCTAACGATTCTCGGAAGTTGAGTTTGGAGTAGTCTCTGTTGGTGCCATACCAACTGTCATCAGTCAAATGGCTTTTAGCTCACGTTCACGAACCTCAACGTATGATTGCAGCACAGCGGTGGTTGTGCATGGTATGGGTATACAAACCTGCCCAGGACATCCTCGACGAGAGGCTCTAGGTGATCCTTAACGTCCTGTGCCGACATCGTGGTATACAGCGAGGGAATGACACTCAATCCTGCATTGTCGCATGCTTCATGCAGGCGATTTATGCGATGTTCACCTCCGCCGTCCAGGTGCTTGTCGAGGAATGGCACCCAGTGAGCTGAAGGGATAACCGCAATCTGGGATCGATAAGAGAACGACGTAGTTGCAGCTCTACTCACAAATGTGTTCTTCATAGAGATCTGCTCTGCCTTGGTACGCCGTGGTGCAAGCTCTTCTTTCGGCGGTGGGTTCGGAGCCGATGGATTCGAAGCAGCGGGAGTTTGCAGCGGGGAGGAACTGCTTGACAAAGGAGATGAGGTGTGAGGACTTGTGGACACCGCAGACGTTCGCTGCTGTAATTGAGATCTCTGAGTAGCTTGAGAGCTCCCCCGGCGAGCACTGGGTACTGGAGGGAAAACAACATGCTGGGGGAGGCGCCCAACTACGGCTTGTTGACCTAAGAGCAGCGAGCTGACGCTGGACGAGGTTAGGAGCGGACTGTCTTCTCCTGAGGTGGATGGGGTTGACGGGACTTGCATCAGGTCCTGGCCCTCTGACATGCGCTCCCAAACCGCTGATCGGACTTCAGGAGAGTATCTTCCAGTAGCAAAAACCTTTTTGAGCGTCTGGGTGTCTCGGGTTTCGATGAACTGGGGTCAGAGGTATACAGAGATCATTGCCTTCGAAACGTACCCTATTAAGCATTACGACCGTCTCGGGGTCGAGCAAGGCGAGGGGATCGTCACATGACTGTGACGACAAAATTCTGCCGGAATCGTTGGTAGGCATGGGGAGAAGCTGCGAGCAGAGGTTGGTGAGATACGGTGACAAGAAGGAGATAAATGCAGTCGGTTGCAAGACGTCGTTGACAGATGTAAACAGAGGACCCAATACCCGGTGGAGGGATTCAGCGGGGTCAGATTTGTGTCCGTTCTCGTCTACCATACAGGCACGGCTAGCCGGGTCAAGTGACGAGGTCAAATCTGGGTGGTGGATCCCTGAGTGCCTGCTCTGCTCGTGGCGAATATTTCCAGAGATATTTGACCACTCCTGCACTTCCGACTTCCGAGTTTGACTGCTCTGCCGCCTACCTCCATCGGGCAACGCGCATTCCCCCCTGCGCATCTACACAGAGCTGGGAAAATCTTCCCCTCACCGGACATGCTGCATTTGTGCACGAAGCCTTGCAGGAAGGCAGGACGCCAGAGGAAGGAGCAGAAGCATGATGTGGTGATGCACCTCTCTGCAGAGAGCGTTGATCGGCTCGCTCGCCAGGTCCAGACCAAGATGCCGACCGGCACAGGGTCCAGTCACCGATATTGGACCTCGAGCATGCCTTGCTCGCTTCCGACCAGTCAGAATCCAGGAATAGTCGTCGAGATTGGACCACTTTGCCCAGCCTGCTCCCCTTCGTACAACCCGTTCTCACCGTTCCACCCGTCCAGCTCGCCGTACCTTCCACTCTTCGCATCCTCCGGCGGCATTCATCTGCATAGTGATTGGCTCGACCGTGCCTTCCCGCCAGACTTCCTGAGACGCCTGCCCGCGTCCCTGGGAGATATTGGACCACCACGGGGTCCTCACACACCCACCGGCCCTGAGTGGCAGCGCCGTGACAGCGAATATTGGACCACGACCAGCGCGGAAGCTGCGGCAGATTGGACCACTACCCGGCATATTGGACCACAAACCCAGCGAGCAGGTTTGGAATGCCGGCGAGTCCGCCCACACTTCCGGCCTGCTCGCTGCCAGCGGCTGAACGCCGCCTAGCCCAGAGTGGGCAGGAGAAGGCCGCATTTGACCACACAAACGCCAGGATACTCACCCAAATAGCTGGCAAACCGGGCAGAACGGGCCTGGCCAGACCCAACGCACCAGGGAGGGCTGGCGCACGGCCGCTCCGGAGTGGCAGATTTGACCACTCGATTTGACCACTGTCTGCACCTCTCGCTGGAGTTTGCCAGCCTGGAGAAACGCTTCTTCCCACCATTCTCCGGAACGAGACGAGTAGATAAAACCCATTGCTAACCTGGCACTGACGGTCTTCCCCAGCTCACTGCATCCATTCTTACTCCAGGTTTACCCACACCTCGAACACGCACATCCACTAGAGATCCCAAACATCATAACCGGGACTAGAGTCCGGAAGAAATAGAACAACCACACCACAGTAACAAACACTCAAAGAGACAGGAATGCGCCCCGACGCCCGCACCGAGTCCGAGACGACGCTGACGGACCTGCGCGACGTGCGTCTGCCCACTGTCTCGTACTCCTCCTCCCCTCTGTCCATCTCCTCCCGCGCCTCCTCTACCGAGACACTCCCCACCCTCCCTTCCTCCACTGGTGCCCCAGCCTCCCGGTTCCCAGACAAGAACCCCTCCCTCAACCCTACCCCCGTAGACGATGAGCCAGCCAAGCCGACGAAGCTCGAGACGGCCCTGTGCCTGCTCTCGGCGCACCTCCTGCTCGGCACGTTCTTCGGCCTGATCACCTCCTTTGGAGCCCTCCAGCCTGTGTACGGGCAGAAGTACTCCAAGTCGGCGGTATCCTGGATCGGCTCTGTTCAGAGCACCCTTGGCTTCCTCCCCTCCTTCGCGGTCGGGCTTATCTTTGACCGCTGCGGCCCGCGCTGGCTCTGCGTCGCGGGCAGCCTGGTCGGTTTCCTCGCTATGGTCGGCGTTGCTTGTGAGTACATACACATAACCCCCATCCCTCCTTGAACGGACCTGCATCGGACCATCACTGGACCAGCGGACCCACTGTACCCCTTCGAACACGACTGAGCCCCACGCGACTCGAGACCCATGGCGACCCCTCCCATCGGGCGACGAGGTAATGTTCCCCATAAGCACTTTGTCAGACCAGCGGCGCAGCACAGGCTAACATCAGACTCCAACTCGTACCTTGCCGCGACGTGCGTCTGCCCACTGTCTCGTACTCCTCCTCCCCTCTGTCCATCTCCTCCCGCGCCTCCTCTACCGAGACACTCCCCACCCTCCCTTCCTCCACTGGTGCCCCAGCCTCCCGGTTCCCAGACAAGAACCCCTCCCTCAACCCTACCCCCGTAGACGATGAGCCAGCCAAGCCGACGAAGCTCGAGACGGCCCTGTGCCTGCTCTCGGCGCACCTCCTGCTCGTCACGTTCTTCGGCCTGATCACCTCCTTTGGAGCCCTCCAGCCTGTGTACGGGCAGAAGTACTCCAAGTCGGCGGTATCCTGGATCGGCTCTGTTCAGAGCACCCTTGGCTTCCTCCCCTCCTTCGCGGTCGGGCTTATCTTTGACCGCTGCGGCCCGCGCTGGCTCTGCGTCGCGGGCAGCCTGGTCGGTTTCCTCGCTATGGTCGGCGTTGCTTGTGAGTACATACACATAACCCCCATCCCTCCTTGAACGGACCTGCATCGGACCATCACTGGACCAGCGGACCCACTGTACCCCTTCGAACACGACTGAGCCCCACGCGACTCGAGACCCATGGCGACCCCTCCCATCGGGCGACGAGGTAATGTTCCCCATAAGCACTTTGTCAGACCAGCGGCGCAGCACAGGCTAACATCAGACTCCAACTCGTACCTTGCCACCATCCTCTCTCATGCGCTGTACGGCCTCGGCGCCGCTCTTGTGTGGACCCCCGCCGCAGCCATCCCGGTGCAGTACACGAAGCGCTCGTACGCGATCGGGTTCGTTGGCTCCGGCTCCGGTCTCGGCGGAGTAGCGTACCCTTTCCTCCTCCGCGCGCTCTGGGCCCGCCTGGGTTTCCAGAGGGGCATGCTGGCGCTCGCCGGCATCAACCTCGCGCTCACGGTGCCGAGCTGGATCTTCCTCCGCTCGCCCCGCGGCGGCCTTAAGCCTCCTGCCTTCCGCGAGTTCCTGCGCGAGCTCGTCCGTCCCCAGGCCCCGCGCAAGGGGCTTATCGCCTCCCCCCTCCCCTCTCCCCCCAACAGTGCCATGAACTCTGCCGCGCCCTCCGTCGTCTCCTCCCCCGTCCCATCGCGCACGGCCAGTGTCGCAAGCGACCTGGACAAGAAGGGACTGGAGGTCAAGACCAAGAAGACCCCAGTCAAGGTCGGCCTGTTCACGGACCCGGAGCAGCCGCGCTTCCGCGCGACGTACATCTTCCTCCTCCTCGGCGTCGGCATCAGCATGCTCAACATGTTCTCGCCGTACTTTGACGCGGCGCTGCTCCCCGTGAGCTCGCCCGTGGCAATCCTGCAGGCCGGCTCTGCCGTTGGCCGCTTCAGCAGTGGACTCCTCGCGGACAAGTTTGGCGTCTGGCGTACCTTCCTCTGCGCGAGCATGTGCTGTGCGGCCTCCCTGCTCGCTTTCTGGCTCCCCGTGTCTCTCGGCGCGGGCGGCGTCAAGGCCCTCTCTGTCGTTGGACTTGTGGCCTACGGCCTCAGCTCGGGAGCTTGGGTCACGCTCGTGTCTGCGTCTTGCGCGGCGATCTCGCGCCGCCGCACCGGAGCCAGGATCGGGCTGCTCTGGACTGTGGTCAGCCTGCCCATCCTCCCCGGTCCTGTGCTCTGCTCCGTCCTCCTTGAGAAGAGCAAGGCGGGCATGATCGCCTTCTGTGCGGCCACCTTCATCCTTGGCAGCGCTGTCACTTCCGTTCCCGCCCTCAGGCGCCGGATCAGGAAGCACAGGCGCGACGTCGAGGAGAGGGCGGCGGCGGAGAAGGCCGAGAAGCCCCACGAGGAGGGAGAGGAGGAGAAGCACGAGGAGGAGCAGCACGAGCACCGCGAGCAGGCGTAAGTGAACACTGTGTGAGTTGAACCAAAAGTAAGCACTGTATCTTTGTACTATTACTCCAAGGGTTAATTGAGACCGTCACCATGAACTTGAATGCATTATCTGTTGTTACAAACACTGTTGTTTCACTCACTCACGACTCCCTGATGGACACGATTTGCCGGTTCTTGTCCAACTGCACGCGCACGTCGCCAGACGCATCCCAGCACTCGTACACGGGCATGTACCGGTCCACGAAAGCCCTCACCTCGTCCTCAGTCATGCCGCTCCCTCTCTCCTGGATGAGTTTCTCCTCCTGTTCAATCCGCCATTCGTACACCCATTCCCGCGGTGCGTCCAGCGTCACTCTCCGGTCGACCTTCTTGTCTAGCACAGCCTCGAGTTCCCGGAACCCTTCATTGATCTGCTCAAGCGAGGCGAAGGGATGGCGGCTCGATATTGGCGCGGTAGGGTGTCTTTCGGCAAGCAATGAAGTTTCAGCAGGGGAGGTGTTGATGCACCATCCCTCCAACAGGAAGAGGTCGAGCGGTTCGGACAGTTGAGTCGGAGAGCCTCGATCACCGAATCCAGAGTGTGCCGACTTGTCGAACGAGGGCAGGTCAACTGCCTGCCCGGAGCGGATGGATGAGAGCACCGATGAGAGGAGGGGTATGTCATGTGTACCAGGGAGACCGCGGCCTTGCAAGAGGGCATTGTCTGGAGTCGCAGCTGCGACGGCTTTCAGACCGGAGTAAGGAAGGTAGAAGTCTGTCGTCAGCTGAGCCGCGGTCCCGGAAGCTGGCATTTCCACTTCATACTACTCCCCATACTTAGTGCAAAGTATGAGAGAAGTATACAGTGAGAGCGGGAAGGTCTCACTCACCGTCCAGACTCGCCGCGGCACAGCGCACACCTTCCTTCCGCTTCAGCTCGACTAGCGCCTTCACGAGCGCACTCTTCCCCGAGCCCTGGGGACCTTGCAGCGTCACAATGCCAGAGGTGAAGTACGGCGCGAGACGGCGCGCCTTGGCTGCGATCTGCTCGGCGGCGGTGCTCATCGTTCCTTCATTCGGTTGGGGTTGAGTGGGCGACGGAGAGCTGGGGGACGTCATGACGAGCTCGTGTGGAGGCGACTGGTGGAGGTGGAGGTGCAGGCCAGGCGAGCGTGGGAGAGCAACGGGCTGGGCGTGAGCAGGGAGACACGGCAACCAGAGCCGTAGCCGTCGTGCCTTTCTTCCTCCCCTCGTCAGCACCGATCTCTGCAGGTAGCAGCTGATGCTATTGACGTTCATTACTGTCATCAATGCACAGCCCTCGAGAATCGATATAGCTGGACAGACGGTCAGCTCGTCCGTGCCAGTCGATCAGCGGGCAGACCGCGTGCCTGCCCGTCCAGTCCAGCCTCGCCCTGGGACTCGTTGTTCCCGAGAGCGTGTATCCTGAAGCCTGAGGAGTGCGTATAGCCCTCTCCTCCCTCTCCGCCTGTAGAGTCTGCACCGACTTCTGCACTGCTGCTGCACCGCTGAACGTCTCTGCACCGACACAGGTATGCGGCTGGAATGGATTCCTGCACCTGATGCGGGCACCTGAACTCCGAAGAATCCTGGTATTCCTGTGATTTATCCAACTCTGCTCTTCATGCATAACGATACAAGGCGGATGTCGACACCGGTCCGGCGACGTACCTCTGTTTCCCGATGAAATGTCACTGTCCTCAGTGGCCGGTGGCGTTACGGTCGCGCCGTTGAGAGCTGTCACTTAAGACCCACTGCGTGTGTGTCCAGAGACAGACGCAGAGAACAAGTGAACATGTGAACGCTAGATCCCGGCGCAGACATGCGCCTTGCGAGTGTGAGAGCTGACATTGGCGTTGAGGTGGACGCCTGCGCAACGGACACCTCTGGACGGAAGCTTCAGACTCAGCTGCGCCGGTACCGTTTCCAGCAGTAGCTTCCGAGGCAGCTACCGTAGCTGAACAACGCTCGGTCTGTCAGATGAGCTTTTGCTGGAGCGTTGCTGGGCTTCGATGAGAAAGTGCGAAGGAAGCTGCAGAGCAACGCGCAACGCGTCCTGGGCGAGGGACGGAGAGTCGTACTCCATGTTGTTCCGGGAACCGCGACTGTTCCACGCAGAGTCCTGTTAGTCTGTTCGGAACAAGCTGGCGTGGATCAATCTGTGTCTTCTTCGGTGAGCTAACATTGCTTCGAATTCGCCGCTACACGCCGCACACGCCGCATACGTCCTCGGACGCCCGGCGCCTGGCGGATAGGGGAAGTGTGTTTACGGCTTCGAGAAGTGTGCGGTGTGCAATGTGAGAGCGGTGAGGCGGTCGATCACTGCGCGCTAGCCCAAGCAAGGTCTCGCTTCAGGTGTCTGGTTAAGCTCGGCCCAGCCGTCGTTCCGAACGCCCCGGCTTCGCGACGTTACACGCCGGACGCGACGGAGACTCGATCAAGGTTGAGAGACGGTGAAGCCAAGCCTGTGCTCGCGTCGACGGGGGTACCAAAATGGACACGGATGACGGCATTGCAGATGAGGGCAGTACAGCAAGTGTCGAAGATGCAGCTGCGATGCGTGCGCCCAGGTGAGTCCAGGCACGATCCGGAGTAACCCTCTGGAGGTGTTTTGGGTTGCATCCCCTGGCACTGAGGCCCTGCATTTCCCGAGTTTCCTGAATTTCCCCCTGGTGGCCCTGGTGTTTGGAATGCAGTCCACTGCAACTGCTGCTCTTTCGCGTCTTGCAGCTCGCAGATGGTGGTGTTACAGTCCTGCTGTGGTGCAGTTGCTCGCGACTGGCGTGGGCGGGCGACAATTACACTCCTGGCGTCACAGGCTGCAGACATGCTGGCCCTCTCGATGCCATCACCGGCACACGAAAATCTCCCCTTCCATCTAGCACAAACTCAGGCTGACGCAAGGTAGACAAGGCAGGCCGTGATATATACCCACGCCCCGACCTTGCCTCACCGCTCTTCTCGCTGTCCTCGCTCTCTGTATCGTCACTTCTTCCAGACTTCAGCCTAACACCTGGCTGCACACACGCCTTAGCATCATCGCCCCGCCCTTCTCCGGCCCCGACTACGCACCCGTGGCACGCTCTCGATATCGACGACAAAACATTATAAACCCCGCCTCAACGTCCCTTGAATCCCCTCTTCCCACCAAAACAGCCATGCTTGCCACGGCACTTCTCGCTCTTGCGAGCTCGGCGGCTGCCTCGCCGCTCGACATGTCCAAGCGTGGTCCCGAACGCTCCCTCGGCTGGAAGCTCCAAGTACGTCCTGTGTTCTCATCTCGAACTCCACTCTGACATGTAGACAACATACCAGGGTGACAACTGGTACTCAACGTGGAACTTTGAGACCTTCGACGACCCGACGCGAGGCAAAACCAAGTGAGTCCTACCTCCATCTCCTCCTTCCTTCGGGGATCGTCGATGTGTGTAGTGTGCTCCCCCTCTGCGTTGCGCTGGCAACACATAGCCAAAGTTGGGTGCCAAAACCCAGCTGTCCCGGGAAGTTCAGGCCCGGTTCCTGGCACCTTGCTTGCACCTGGGCGGAGGATTTGGCCGGCTGCGTTTAGGTTCGCGCCGACACGCACACCGAGCGTGCAGTGACATCTCTTCCGCACCCGGTCGGATCGGCCGGGTCGTGTACGTGATGCGTGCATGCGTGCATGCGTGCATGCCAGAGGGTGGTTCGGACGCGAGTCACTCATGCGCATCTGGGCGTCCTGTTTGCATCGCATCTGTGCGAGATTCGGACACATGTGCATGCCGCCCTTGCCTTCTTTCCTTCGAAAGCTGCGCCCTTTTCCGGCTCCCCGCATCATCCGCAAGCCCGCAGGAGTCCGCGCGCGTCATGGGTGTGTGCATGCTTCGTGGGGAGCTTCTGTCGGATTCCCGCGATTCCACGTTAGCCATGTCCCTCTGCCCCGCTGCTCCAGCCGCGAGCACGTTTGAGGGATCCACGGCATTGTCCGCAGCGGATGGCGCGGAAGCAGGTGACGGGCCCGGGCCGGCGCGTTAGCATGCGGCGACCTGAGACGGGGCCAGAGGGGGCAGCATCGCATTTCAGTGGTCTCAAACAATTCGGCGAAAGGACTAGTGCCAGCGTAGATCCTGCCACTCCCCTTCTGCATGCCGTTAGTTTCGGAACCCGGTGGCCGGGACCACATCCTGTTGTTCGGTCACTCTCTGCACTTGCACCTCCCTTGCCGTTTTGGCGTTTCACCACCACCACCAGTCTACTGCAGCTACTGCATCGCAGAACCGGAAGCATGCTGACGGCAGCTACGTCAACTTGGACGAGGCGCGTTCGAAGAATCTGACATGGGTCGACGACCAGGGCCGCTTCGGCATGAAGGCGGACCACTGGAGCAAGCCTGCGCGTGACCAGGGGCGAGGGAGGGACAGTATCCGTATCCAGTCGCACGAGCGGTTCTTCGACTCGCTCCTCGTGCTGGACCTAGTCCACATGCCGACGGGGTGCGGCACGTGGCCTGCTTTCTGGACGATCGGCACTGGTGAATGGCCAACGGGCGGCGAGATCGACATCATCGAGGGCACGAACGACCAGGGCAACAACCAGTACACGGTGCACACGACTACGGGCTGCAAGATCCCAAAGAAGAACAATGACGACCTGTCCGGCAACAACGAGGCTTTCACTGGCGAGGCGCGTGCGCTCGACTGCTCCCCTGTGGCCGGGTGCAGTGTCGACGGCTCGGACCCGGACGGCACCACCTTTGGCCCGGGGCTGAACAAGGCCGGTGGCGGGTTCCTCGTCACGCGCATCAAGCAGTCTGCGGGCATCAGCATGTGGTGGTTCCCGCGCAGCAAGGGGATTCCCTCCGTCCTGACCGAGGGCAAGGACCAGGTGGACGAGAAGGAGCTCGGCATGCGTATCGCCCACTTCCCCGCTAGCGACCAGTGCGACCTCGAGAAGAGTCTGACGGAGCAGCAGCTCATCTTCAACCTTGCCATGTGTGGCGGATGGTGCGCCAGCAGGTACCAGGGTGCAGGACACTGTCAGGCCAAGTACCCCGGTAAGAGCTGGGAGGACGTCATCTACGACCACCCCGAGGAGTTCAACGAGGCGTACTGGCTCATCAACAGTCTCAAGGTGTTCCAGCCTTGTGATGAGTGTGGGTCTGGACCGGACACTGTCCCGCCTCCCGCTTCGTCTAGCGCTCAGCAGTCTTCCGCGTCCCCGTCTCCCTCGCAGTCGAGCTCTGAGTCTCCTTCGCCTTCGCCGACGCCTGAGTCGAGCTCCGATTCGCCTTCGCCCTCGCCCACCCCCGAGTCGAGCTCCGAGTCGCCTTCCCCGTTTCCCTCCCCTGAGTCCTCTTCCAGCGAGCAGACTCAGCCCTCTTCAACTATGGAGGAGGTCCAGCCTTCGACTTCGACCGAGGACACGTCCACGCAGACCCTCAGCGTCGGCGAGACGGTCACCATGGACGGCAAGCCGTGGACGTCCACCTGGTCAACTGCTTGGACGTCTGCCTGGACCTCGGCTTGGACGAGCACGTACACTGTCCCTGCCGCTCTGCCGACGGACTGGAAAGGCCACTTCAACGGCGGCATCTATCTCCCCGGTGAGGGCGGCAACGGCGACGGCGAAGCTGGAGCCGGAGACGACGGCGCTGCCCGTGAGAAGAACGAGTTCCAGTGCCTCGGCCAGCACCAGATGCCGGCCGACGATGCGTGGGACGAGGCGTACGAGCGCTGGGCGGACGAGTACCAGTGGCATTACCACTCGCAGGGCAACCGCCGCTGGAAGCATAAGGTGCTCCGCGGTAACGCGAGCGGCGCGAGCGGAGCAAGCGACGCTCAATCGGACGAGTCTGGCAAACAGGAGGTGCAGGCTGAGCCGGCCGCCGAGGCCGCCGAGCCTGTGAAGAGGGCTCAGCGCCATCGCCGCAGCTGGGCCTCGGGAAGCAGGAGGCACTAGACCCCCCACACGTGTTAAACACTGCGCGGCGCGCTCGACGACATACGACCTCTCATTACATAGAGACCAGTACACGGATATACTTCTACAGCGTAGAAACAGAGAACACTGTGACATAGACATAGCCAGATGGACAATTTAGGCACTCGCGCTGCACCCTGCGCCCTGCAGCCTAGCACCTGCGTGCATGCATGTGCATAACGCGCAATGCGCAATTCCGGTTCGAGCGGAGTGTTGACGGCGCATGACCGCGACGCGAATCGAACCTGCTGACAACATGGTTGGCTCCGAGCACAAGGCACGAGGAACGCGGCCCTCAGCGCGGCCCTCGGCACGCCCGGCACGGCGCTCCGATAACTGCTTATCGCGATCTGCAATCTGCAAGCAATCGTTGCATTACAAGAGGGTAAACGTTTATACAACGTGAAGTCGTTAAATATTCTATGCACCTTCACCCCATTATGCCTGCGCCGCCTTCTTCCCGTTCTCACCGGCCGTGCCCGACGCACCCGCGCCGGCAGCAGCAGCGACGGCAGCGAGCGCCTCGGCATCGCACCGCCTCCAATGGGCCACGACCAGCTCCCTCGCCGCGTCTAGGTCAAAACAAGCGCGCCGGCTCGTGTTGCCCAGCAGATTCATGACGACCTCGCGAGCGGGATCTGTGCGCGCCAGCTGGCATCCGGCGAGCACGACGGGCCACGCGAGCCACACCACGCTCCCGAACGTGCTGACTGCCTCGACGGCGAGTTCGAGGACTGCCTTCGCGGCGGCTTGGACTCGGCGGTCGGAGGCGGGACAGTTGAACACGTCGCGGATCAGGCGGATCGTGAGGGCATGTCGGTGTGCGGCGTTGCCGTACGCCGTGCGCTGGTGCCAGGGGGAGAACTTGGCGCTCTCGTCCCAGACCTTGAGCTCGGCCATGAGACTGTCCGCTTCCGCTTCGAGGCTCTCCTCGCCGCCCCCTCCACTCTGAGCACCGTCCTTGGCCCCGTCCGGCTTTTCCCCGACTCCAGAGCCGACGCCCGCCCCTGCACCGGCAGCAGAATCTCGACTCCCCGGCCGCTCCGCCGTCGGTGACTCAGCCTGGCCGCCGCGGACATGCGCAACGAGCGTGCTCGTCTTGGCGATGAGATCGACGAGCGTCCGCGACACACCGAAACCGCGCTCGACGCTCTCCCACTCCTCGTCGGTCGCACTCCATGCCGCTGCATCAAAGAAGACGGCTGCAAATGCCCGGTCCCGCCCCGCCTTTAGAAGCATCGGCTCCCCACTCCCTGCTATCTCGGCCATGCACCCGAGGACGTCGCGCACGGCTAGCTGTTCGAGCACGAATCGCCGGATGCTCAGCTGGTCCTTCGGCGCTGTTGACAATAGGTGGGCGGCACCGCCCAGGTCGGTGAGGAGACCGACAACGTCCCGAAGCAGTGGGGACCATGCTGAGTCTGCGGAGAGGGCACTGGCGACACAGAGACCGAGCAGAGACCCGAGAATGAGGTCGAGCTCCACGCCGGATGGTGGAGTCGAGGATGTGTTGAGGGAGGAACGAACGAGGCCTAGGATTGTTGGCCGCGCGAGTGCTATGATCTTGCCCGCGCCTAACGAGTCGAGCGGGTCGGAGAGGTAGTGCAGGTGTACTGATCCGATAGCAAGGAGGGCTGCACGCAGCGCGTCGCCGGCTGGCGATTCCCTGTGGTGTCAGTGCGGCTGCCCCTGTGTCTCATCCGTGCCTCGGACCAAAGCTTCACTTCGGCCCTCGGACTAGTCCTCGCCGGCCGATCGGCCGCATCCTCAGCATCATGCCTCGGCTCCGCCTCGGAGCCTCGGTCAACTCACCCCGGGAGATGGACAAACGCCAGCGGCGCAAGCAAGCTGACCCACGGGTTCCAGGTGCGTTTCGGATCTGGATCGTCCCTCGCGAGCCCGAGCGGCGCAGTGTGGTGCACAAAGTGGCGGAAGATGAGCCTCTCGTCAACCTGCGGAAAGTACGGGGCGAGAAAGGCCGCGTCCGTCATCAACCCCGCCCTCAGTCGTCGCGGCATCATCCTCTCCCCCATCCCCTTCAGCCCTTTCAAGCCTTGCATGCCCGTCATGGTCCCCGCGATCCCGGCCGGACCCGTGTCGTACCCCCGATCTCGGGGGAGTTTCGGCAACGTCGCTGCGAAAGCTTGCAAGGCGTGGATCGGCACGCGCAACGTCCGCTTCGCATCCTCTGTCAACGGCGGCGGTGGGGCGGGAGGTGCTGCTGGCGGAGAGGAGGCCGGCTTCGAGTCCGACACGAGGTGAAGCTTCATCTTGCGTGGCCTGTTCTTGCGCCTTATCACGGGGTCTTCGGGCGGCCACTCGCACCCCCTTCCGCTGTACTCGCATTTGATGCAGATGGGCGTGCGCTCGTCACACTTGACCTTGCGCTTGCGGCAGGTGTAGCACCCATTGCGCGAGCGCTGGACGGGCCGCGAACCCGATGCCGAGCCAGAGGCGGTGGGCGTCCCGCCCGCCGAGATGGAGGGGCCTGCTGGGGATGCTGGTGTCGCCGACGCAGTTGCGCTCGGATGTCGCGGGTGCGTGATCGGGCGGGCGTAGGGGTTCATCTCGCGGTGTCCGTTGTGCGTGTGTGCGTGCGAGGCAAAGGTCGTATGTGAGTGTCCGGCGTGACCGTTCCTCCCCCCTCGCTGCAGCAGCGGTAAGAGGGCAGATAACGGTGCGCCATAGCTCGGGTTCGTCGGACGGCGGTGCATGGCGGCGCTGGCAGAGGAGGCAGGCGAGGAAGCCGAGGCCGAGCCCGGCGCCGAAGCCGAGTGTGTCGGATGCGCGCGATCGGGATTGTCGAAGCGGTCATGACGCTCTCGCTCTGCGCGTTCTGCTCGCTCTGCGGCGCGTTCCACTCGTTCTGGGAGACGCGGGGCGAAGCCGAGGTGGCTTGGCCCGGCGTGCGGGAGGTCGTGCCCGCGGCCGATCGTCATTGTCGTGCCGCGCTGGCTTTTCGGAGAGCGAGAGGTGTCGCACGGTGGAGAGGATGTGGTGCGACTAGGAGGGTGTTGTGCAAGAGTGCAATGCGTTGAGTGCCGAGCGAGGCAAGCATGCACCGAACACCTGCTTGCAGCAGTGGACCAAACGACCCGCGCCGTAAGAGCGGGTGGATGGAATAGCCTGCACATAGCCGGGTAGCGTGCGCACTGGAAATAGCCGAGCCCCTGTCTCCCCCCTCTCTTCTTCAAGATGCTCCGGCCCCGGCACCCCTCGGCAAGACTCTCTCGCACCTCGCAGCCCTTCTTCGCATGCATCCCCCCTCCTCTCCGCTCACCGCCGCGCGGACCACCTCTGCGCCGCTCGTCCATTGTTCCGCTGAAAGCATAATCTACAATGGCGTCGACGGCGCTGCACACAAGCAGTGATGGCGACGCCCGCCTGTTCCAAAACTCTGTCGAGCAGGCGAAAAACGGTCAATTGCGCGTATCGCGGGTGGGGGACTAAGGGTGATAGGGTGATACCCCACGCGTCTCGCATGCTCTCTCTCTCTCTCTCTCTCGCATTACACGCGCAGACCTCGTCTGCTTCACATCGCGCTCGTCACCCATCACGCCTCCCCCGCCTCCAAAGCCGCCACGGGGGAAGAGGGGGCGGGGGAACAAGCGCCCCCCGCACGATCGTCTGGGGTGTCGGTAGTGGGGAGTCTGGGGCCACCAGACCACTAGATAGCACGTCCGAGCTTGTAGCTCGCAAGGTTGTGATGGCTTGCTGGCGTTTGTCGGTCTTTCTCAGTAGTGGAGAGGAGCGGGGGACACGGCCTGTGCACACCACCCCCGGCTACCCCAGCGGTCTAAGCACAAAACATCGGCGTATATCCAGCCGCTAGACCGTCTTTGGCGAGCACACCTAGCACACACCTAGCATCGATCGTGCATGTGCCGGTTCTGACGCACGCCACTTGTTTTATGATCAGCGTCCTAGCATCCTAGGCTCAGTGCCAAGAGGGCGGCGGAATGCCCCTTGCCCTCTGGGCTGCCCAGGCTGTCCGGGCTGGTTGGGCTGAGACCAGGCGTTTGCGCGCGCTTTTAGCGAGCCCCCTCATGTTCCTCAGGCCGGCTCACGATGCCGGGGTTCTTCACATGCCCAGCCAGATGGCGCGGGCTGGTGGGCGGGGGCGGAGGCGGCGGAGAGCGCTACCGATCGTCCAGTTCTTCAAAACAAACACAGTAAGCTAAGTTGTCCCAGCGTATCACCGTGTCACCGTTGTCACGCTCCGAGGATGGAGTGGGCCAGGGTGAGTCCGCGCAGTCCTCCGCGCGGAGAGCAAACTGTAATCCTGCACCGTTGAATGCAACGATGATGGCGATGACGAGATTCCCACAGCCTTTGCGACCGATCACCGCTGCTATGCTGGTCTGGGGCTCCGTCGGCGGTCGGGAAACTCGGCTTGGGCGCATTCATAAACATTCGCTCGGTAATCTCGCACGCACGGTGCGGTCCGTGGGGAAATCACATCCACCCTCGCCTATACGCATCATGACGTTGTGCTGCATTTCATGGCATATTCATACGTACAACCTTGCTTCTCTCACTCCTATGAATGCTATTCTGGCTTTTCATTATTGTTTACTTCTGAGCCTTGTTCAGCGCATCGATCGCGACGCCAGTCAGCTTGAGCGCCTTCTCCTCGTGGTGCCTGGGCAGGAGCAGCTGGAGGCCGACCGGCATGCCCTCGAGACGCTTCGTGTCGTACTGCTTCCAGAGCCTCTCCTCGTCGGCATTGCGCCAGTCGGTCGGCATCTGCTTGATCTCGTCGTCGGCGCGCGAGAAGCCAGCACGGTACGCGACGCCGCAGAAGTCGGCCACGTTCCAGAGCATGGTGTAGTTGGCGCCGATGACAAAGTCGAGCTTGGGGCTAGCGGGGGCCGGGTACACGCCGCCAATGACGCAGTCGATCGGCCGGCCGGTGCCGGTGCGCTTGCGGGTCGCGTCCCAGTCCTCCATGAACTTGCGCAGGTAGTTGGAGCGGTTCAGCTGGCGCTCCCACAGCTGCGTGATTGTTGGCGGCGTGTCCTTGAGCGCCAGGTAGCGCTCCTCGAACATCTCCAAGTCCTTGGGCCACGGCTCGGGGATGGGAGCGTCAACGACCTGCTTGCGCATGAGGAAGCCGCCGTCGCCGAGCAGCAGCGCCCACGTCGTCGCGCGTCCGGTCGCAACGTCGTACGGCACGTACTCGAGCACCTCGTGTCCGGCGGCGATGAGGGCGCGCGGGCGCGCGCCTGCTCCTCGAGCACACGCTTGACGCACGGCGTGGGCCGCGTGATCCCGTCGTCCATGATGATGCCGAAACAAAGCTTCTCGGGCAGCTTCTCCTCGCGGAAGGGGATGGGCCACGTCCACGGGTCGCGCTCCCACTGCTTGTCCTCGAGGATGGCGCGGGTGAAGAGCTCGAGCGAGCTAAAGTCGGGGCTCATCGGGCCGTTCACAGCCTTGATCGTCTCCTGGCCTGGCTGGCCGGAGCGCGCACCGTGAGAGCTGAAACGGCCATAGGCCGGCTTCAGGCCGTAGATGCCACAGATCGCGGCGGGGATACGGATGGACCCGCCAATGTCGCTGCCGATGCCGAGGGGAGAGCCGCGGAGAGCGAGCAGAGCGCCCTCGCCGCCCGACGAGCCGCCGGCACCGAACTCGGTGTTGTACGGGTTGCCGGTGTGGCCCCAGACATTGTTGTACGAGTCAGCCATGAGCATGGCGGTGGGCACGTTGGTCTTGCAGTAGAAGACGGCACCGGCGCGGCGCAGCGACACAACGCTGTCGGCGTCCTCGGTCGCGGGGTTGCCGCACTGGTTGACGAAGCCGACACTGCTGTCGTACCCGATGTAACCGATGTTGTCCTTGAGCGAGATCGGGAGACCGTGCAGCATACCCCGCGGCTTGCCGGTGCGCGCGTACTCCTCGTCGATGGCGCGGGCGGCGGCAATGCCCTCGTCGAAGAAGATCTCCGTCAGGCAGTTCGTCAGCTGCTGCGCGATCGCGGCGCGCTTGCAGAACGCAGTCGTCACCTCCTCAGAGGTGTACTTCTTGTCGACCATGGCCTGGACGAGGTCCTTGGCGCAGGACTCAGTGATCTCGATCTCGCGGTCGGAGAGGATGCCGCACGTGCGCGGCACGTCCATCACGTTGGTGCCCTTGGGCAGCTCCTTGAGCCTCCACTCGGCGGGAATGCGTTTCTCGCGCTCCGCCTGCTTCGCGTCACGGACTGTCTCCCAGGTCTTGGCCACTGTCATGGTGAGTTGGGTGATAATGAAAGTAGTGTGCGGGGAAACGTTTCAGCGCAGCCGAGCACCAGGTATATAGAGTGTCCGCCGGAGATGTAATATGCGCATTCCCGCTCCACCATGTCCGCGATTCTCTACATGCCCACATGATAGTGCGTGCCCACATTGGACAAGCTCAGCGAGCTGACTGCGGTTACGTACCTGGGCCGCGGGCCCACCGGTCGTCTCCGGCTGCTGATCTGCACAAGTACGAGATCTCGCAATGCAATCGCGGCATGAGCACCCAGTAAGACGGTGGGCAATCGTGTCAGCAAGTTATCGGGTTAGTCCGAGGTTCTGGCGCCGCGTGGCGTTCGGAGGACGGCATCTTCACAAATCGGTATCATCGACGGAGGTGGTCTCCTTGTCCGCTTTCGATCGTTTGGTTCACCCGCTCTTCCAGATCTTGCTTTCGGCGACATCTGCAAGTCGTATCGGGCCACGCGAGCATGGGACATCAATACACCGCGCACCGAACCCACCGCGTCGTATCCTGAGCGGTGCCCGACGGCGTGAGATGTGAACTCCGCGAGACGCCAGACATGAGCAGAGCGACGGAGGTCGGGGTTCTAAATAGAAAGCGCCAGGAATAGAAACCCCACAGGACCACCCCAGGACGCCGTGCGGAGCACAGTGTCCCGTCCAAGGTGGCCCACGCGTGCTGCGCCGCGGCATTCGTCGTGCACTATGCTCCCCGCTCCTCGGTTCCCAGGGTCGGGGTTGCCCGGCGCCGTCAGCGCACGTACCTACCTACCTACCTACCTACGCGTATAAACTGCACGCCGCCTGACATTTCCCCGCCCTTGCTCGGAGCAATCTGTTCTAAACTAGATTCAGTGCCATGGTGACGCAGAAAGCGGAGCCGTTGCGGCGTCCACGGCGTCGGCAGGGCCGTGACTCCACCAGACCGTCAGTAGGGGATGTGACAAGGCTGAGAAGGAGGGGACTGATGTGCCGGCCAGGCAGGTCTTTCTCGGTGTACTCGGTACGCCTTGCGATCAGGCGGGTTGCGCCGGCATGCTGGAAGGAACACCTGACCAGGGTCAAGAGCAGGAGGAGAGTTGAGTGAGTACCCTCGACCCTCAGTAGTTCTCACATCCGCAGCCTTCTTGTTCGGTTCTTTCCCTGGCAATTATCTATTTCTGCCGAGGCACATCATACCTATCCCGTGCCCGTGTTCTAACAATGGTCCGGGCTGATGTCACGATGGACAGGTCGCCGGTGCGGGGTCTCCGTTGAGGTTTTCTTTTGAACGCCGCAGAAAAGGCGGCCCGGACGCACCCCGGACGCGTTTCGGAAGTCCCGGACCTTCTTTCTGAGTGAATGGCACAAGAGAGCCAAGACGCGATCACTGAGACATAGCATCTGTGGACGGGGGACGGGCGCAGCATGGGTTGAGCATTCCGCCGGGGGTGCAGATGGCTGTCTCTACGCTGGGGTAGTCTCTGGCTCCTCACCGAGCGGATCAAAACATAGCTCGAGGGAGGTTGTGCATTCCTGTCTCACGCGAGCTGGACAAGGTTAGAGTGTCTTGCACGCCATGTATGCGGAGCACTACCCGCCGCAGGCTGCCAGCCTCATGAGGCTGAAGGACAGTCAGAGCTTGTAGACGACGTCTCAAGTAGACGCCGAGGTGCGAGGCACCTCGTGCTTGACGAGCTAAGCGAGCAAGCCGCACATCTGGAAGCACGCTCGGCCCCGGCGTATCCTTTTCGGAACATATCTATTTGACCTCTATTTGACCTCATTGGAGGTCAAATGCCGGCGCTGTTGGGGCGGCCGGCGAGCTCGAGCGTGGCGTGGGCATTCGCCGTTACGAGTCCTAAGGTCAGTCCGCCGTGTATGCCGCAGAAAGGTCAGAGTGGGGATGCGGTAGAACTATGTACAGCACAACGTGAGCAAGAGCACACGAGCACGAGCGGGCGAGCAGACGTTGCTCCGCAGGTCGCGTGTGCAGAATGCACGACTGATCGTCAGCGGGCAGGTGACGGTTAGGAAGCTGGAGCCCCGCAGTCCACAACCTTTCCGGGATTTCTTGCTGCCAAGTTATCGATTGCAAGCACCGCTCAGTTGTTGGCGCCGTGAGGTCGAAGAGACTGGAAGATGAGATACAAAGAAGATGCATGAGTCGCAACGAACAAGGAAGACATCTGACTCGACTGGGGCGTTATCTCGGGTCCGAGCGCACGGTCCACCGATCGCAGATCGCTCGTGACTCAACCTCCACCTGCTTCTGATCTTCCTCCATCTCACCTTCCTTCAACCCACCTTCACTCTTCCATCTCAGCGGATGACCCAATTACGCATCGACGACATGTTTGGAGCACCTCGGCCACCTCCCTCCGAGACCCGTCCCAACGCCCGCGCAGACCGCAACGATCACAAAGCCAAGCCGCGCAATCCCAGCCCTCAACGCCCGCCCGAGAAGCTGGCCAAGGACAGCCCCCGCCGCGCCTCCAACCGCGCGCTGGCCGAGGAGAATGGCCGCCTCACAAAACGCGGCTACGACGTGGGCAACGTGCACGTCGACCTGCAAGCGTACGTGGCGCGGTGCAAGCGCCTGACGCGCAGCTACACCGTGGACGACACGGAGCGGATCCTCACCAAGCAGCGCGCGCTGCCGCACACCACAACAACAACCTTTGAAGTCTCAAGTGAGAGCTCCATGGCCGCGGCGCAGAGGCTCGCTGGTCATCGCACATCCACATCAACTTCTGGTGCCAGCTCCAGCGCATGCACAAGCGCACCATCAAATGGCCGTGTCTGCGTGCTCAACTTTGCCTCGGCGCGGCACGTCGGCGGGGGATACCTGACGGGCGCCAAGGCGCAGGAGGAAGACGTCTGCCGCGTCTCTGGTCTTTACTCTTCTCTGCTGTGCGCTCCCGACTTTTACGCCGCGCACAAGGCCCGCGGCGCCGAGAACCTACGCTACTCCCATCGCATGGTGTACTCGCCCGACGTGCCCGTGTTCCGGGACGCGGATAGGAAGAGCGCGAGCGGAGGCTCCGCAGGAGCCGCCGGAGCGTCAACCAGCGGATCAAGTCCAGCGAACGCCGCGAACGGCGCAGGCTCAAGCTCTCGAACGCCAACGCAGAGCACGACGAGCACGACGAGCGGCAACGCCCTCCTCCCGCGCCCGTACATGGTCGACATCCTAACCTCGCCCGCACCCAACGCGACGGCGCTGCGCCAAAACCTCCCCTCGGCCGCGAGCAATCTGGAGGGGATTCTGAAGGAACGCGCCGGCCGCATCCTCGCGCTCGCGCTGGAGCATGGGGCCGAGACAATCGTGCTGGGAGCGTGGGGGTGTGGCGTGTTCGGAAACGACCTGGGGACGGTCCTGGGCGTGTTCAAGGGATGGCTTGAGGGCGAGCTCGGGGGCAGGCTTGCCAAGGTCGTCTGGGCCATGAACGACGATAAGGGGGCAGGGAGGGCTCTACAGGCGTTCCCGAGCGCGACGCGGGTGTAGCTTTCCGTCCTCGTGCCAATCAGTTAGATCACCTCTGTGTAGAATATTTCCTAGAGCCAATAAAGCATCCATGTAAATAATGCGACCCTCCTTAACAGTCGCACGAGAAACGACGCCCAGTGCAAGAATATAGTATGATGCAAAGTGATACATAAAAGCAAAGCAATATCCTAAAAACACAACTGTGTGTCTACATCCCAACCGCTACCGCTTCCCGCGACCAGCGCGTGCGCGTTGACGTTCACCAGAGCGAAGTGACCTCGGTCCGCTGCCTCTTGAGTCCGCGCCAGTCATCGCGATCGGCGGCCGCGATGAGATTCCAGAGTGCAGGCTTGCGAACTTCCATGGGGCGCTCGGCTGCCCTTTCCCTCTCTACGGCGCGCTCGTGCTCGGCGCGTTCGGCGCGTTCGTGGCGCTCGGCACGCTCGGCGCGTTCGTGACGCTCCATCCTCTCCATGCGCTCCATCCTCTCCATCCTCTCCAGACGCTCGATCCGCTCGATCCTCTCCAGGCGCTCGGAATGAGCGTGGTGGTGCGGAGGCGGCGGAGGCGGCAGGGCGCGGGGCATCTCCTCCTCCTCCCTGGTGCTCCTGGCGCGCTTGGGCGTGTGTGGCCTAAAGCTGGCAGAGTAGGCAGGCGGGGGGGAGTGGTGCGCATAGTGGTGCGGGTCGCTGGGCGGGGAGCGCGCAAACGAGGACGGCCGCTTCAGGTGTCTGTACTCCTCCTCGCGCTCGTAGGCGTACTCCCTTGAACGCGGGGAGACGGGGGAGAGGGGCGGGAGCGACTCGCGCGGCTCGCGCGGCTCACGCTTGGTTTCGACGTGCATGTCGCGCTCGCGCATCTCGCGCATGTCTGCACCAGACTCGGCGCGCGACTCGTTCCGGTGCTCCCGGTGCTCGGACCGGGGGAGGGAGTCGCGACTCCCGCCCGAGACGAGGGAGGCGAGGCTGGTCCGGCGCTCGGACTGGGACATGCTCGGCGCGACACTCGGCGCGACGCTTGGCGCGACGCTCGGCGCATAGTCGCTCTCATTGGCACCTTCGTTGGCCTCGTCCTCCTCGATCTCGCGCACACTGTCCAGGAACGAGAGCACGTCGCCTCCGGTCCGGATGCCGTGCGCGTCCCACCAGTCTGCGCGCGTGATGCGCTCCAGCTTGGCAGTGGGCGCTTTGGGTAGCGGGGTCTGTGGTCTGTCAGCCGAGTTTCTAATTTCGGTGCCGGAGTGAGTGAGTGTCCATGCATGCCACAGGAACCTAGTCGCCACGCATCCGCATCAAGTGGTTGCGACGCACACGCAACGCGCAACGCGCAACGGACCATTGACCATGGCACATGGCCGATGCCCGAACCCAAGACCCAGGGTGGGGCCGGCGGGCGCCGGTGGCCAAGCACGTAGGCTGCAGCCAGTAGGAGACCGTGGCAAAGTCCGATCGGAGAACCCGGGGATGGGCCGGGTTTTCCGTGCGGCGCTTCTGCCTTTTGGACCCAGGCACCGACGTCTGCGGCAAATTCATGCGGCGAACCGGACGACCTAATGGCCCACGCTGTCTGCTTGCTTTGCTTACTGCGCAGGCTGGCTCTGCCTGCACTCAGATGCAGTGCAATGCAGCAGAATACGCATGCGTAACTTGCGTAACTTGTGCTCGGCAGACCAGACGCACAGGGGGAAAGCACCGCCCTGTTTCGAGCCCATTTCGAGCCTGCGGCATTGCAGTGCGGCGCGGTGCGGTGACTTGTGGCCCACGACTGGGACTGGAATAGAACACGCATGGACGTATCCGGAGATGCGCGAGGGGTGTTAACTCACATTGTCGGCGTGGCGCCTGACGAGCTCGGCGACGTCGGGGATCGCGAGCACCCACCACAGCGCGTTCTCGCACTGCTGCACGCGCGCCTCGGCCTTCTTGCCTAGGCCGGCGACGGGGCCGCGCCGCGCCTGCGGAGGGGGGTACTCGCACCCGAGGTTGAGCTTGGAGCAGAGGCCGCACGAGGGGCGCTTGTGGTCGCACTGAGCGTTAGCATGGGTCTTTGTTGCCACTGTTGTCCGTCGTGATGAACGCAAAGCTGATGGCGATGCGATGATGGTTGTGGCCATATCGCTTGCGGCTCCAGTCCAGAGCAGGGTTGTAACTCACCTTCCTCTTCTTGGAGATACACCTGAGACAAGCACGGGAGGACATGGTGTATGAAAGTGTGGAAGTGAAAGGTGGTGTCGAAGGAGGAGAAAAGTGGAACCGAGATGATGGTCTTTGGAGTGATATAGTGTTGTCTTGTGTCTTTGTAATGGGATGTCGTCGGTGGCCGGCGGTGAGTGTTGAGGGGTAAAGCGGGGGAGGGGGGCAGTGGTGGGCTGGGATTGAAAAGTCACCGATGGGGGCAGGTAGAGAGCAGTGGCCGGGACAATGATGGTCCGTTTTGACAGGCAGTGGATTTTTAATGGCGCGGGGGGGAGCTCAGAGCACAGGCTAGCACAGGCAGATGGGTACTTCAGGCAGACTAGTCCCAAGTTAGGTTCGGTGTTGGGAGGGATGCTGTATATCCTCTTTCCGCTGGATCCGCTGCTGGGCGTAAGCAGCCGGGGATAATATACGATACGCACACGGACCCGGCCCGCCCGGTCAGGCGCAGGGACAGGGACAGGGGGCATCCAGGGGAAACGGCGAAAGTGCGTACGGCTGATCCTGCATTGCTCAGGGCCGGTACATCTTTTCGCTTCACCATCGGTTCTTGCCGAGAACAGCCCGCACAACCGCACTCCTGCACTCCTGCTTACACAGCTCCGCGGCACGTATCGAGCAAGGGGACCATGTCACGCAGGTAGACAAACCTGTCCGTCTCTATGTGCTCGAATCAGCAAGCAACCGTGGCAGATATTCGGATTCCGATTCCATCAGCACCGTCTTGTGTGCGGACCACCGCGGCGGACGCCGACGCCTGGACCCCATCGCCCTCGCCGCACGCCCCGCACGAGCGCCGGAGCATACCACGAAGCATGCGTCATGCTGCAAAATACAGCACGCCCAGCAGCAAGCAAGCGCTCGCCTGCGTGCCGCGGGGTTCGCGGGGGAGAGACATCAGATGCAGGACGAGGGGCGCGGGCGAGCCGGCTGTCAGTGAGGAATGTCAGAAACGAATGCACAAATGCATTCGGAACGGGCGTAGCGGTGTGCTCCACTTGCTTCGTTTCGCGACGTCTCTTGACTACGGTGCTACTACGGACTACGGAACGCATCCACGACCCCGATGAAGCATTAGCGAACCACGGAGCAGCAAGCGACGTCGGCCGGCGGCTCCAGTCAACCCCCAGTGAGTGGGCTTGTTGCTCGGCGAGCTGCGCGGGTGGCGTCAGGAGTGGTCAGGACGTGTGCATGCATGGTGCATGGTAGCAGTGGTGGTGTGTATGAGCCATCGTGGGCCGGCAGATCTGGTCGGCTGGCTCGCTCTGTCGCTCGCTCGGGAGGTGAAAGTGGCTCCGCATGCAAGCACGCGTGATGGCAGTCGTCTGAGCAGAGTCTCCGGGCCGGATTGACTTTGCGCCGCTTGGCAGCCCAAGGGTGAGCCAAAGGGCTTGGCCGTAGTCATCCAGGTCATCCAGGGAGACTCGGCTCAGGGATTGGAGGGGGCCACTCCACATGCCTCTGGCCTCTGGCGGACTGCGTGGCGCCCAGAAATCACGAACCTCGCTTCCGTCGCTTACACTCTGCGCAGACGGTGCGCGGTGCGGGTCGACGTGTGGGTGCGGTTGGGTGCGGCACCACTGACACCAGGCGCAGATGGCCGACGGTTTAGTCGCCGTCCGCGTGCCCACGCGCCCACGCCAGATACACCTGCCCATGCACCCATCTTTGTCGCCCGACGGCCTGCCCAATCCCCCCTCGTCTTCTCGTCCAACTCGCACATCTCCGGATCCGCTCCGCACTCAAATCCTTCGCATCTCGCATCTCGGCGGACTCGGCGCCGGCCCCAACAGCGGAGCTGACCTGCTGGCGGCCAATACGCTGTGGCCACAACGCTGCCGTTGCCGCTATACGTCGATGTGCAGATCTGCAGATCCGGCGCCCGGGAAGCTAAGTATCGAGAGGTTGAAGATCTGCCTGCGCTCCCGTAAGCACGAAATGCGTAAGGCTGCGGCGCTGCGGCTGTGGTCAGATGGCTGCGGGGAAGCGCGGCAGTTGTGACAATGAGTCTGCGCACCTGCGCCGGGATCGGTAGATTGACTGCGCAGGCCCAGACACTTAGAAGATCTGCCCATTCCTCGATCTGATGGTTGGGTGTAACCGGGCCCAACGATGTTGCGGGAACCGAGCAAGGATCCGCTCTCGTCTGCTCGTTCGTCTGCTTGAAGCACAGTCACCATGGAGCTCGCTCCTGGCTCGCTACGCTCGAATCTTGACGATCGCAAGCGAAAAGTGCACAAGGGACTCGGTGCGTGCCCGGGTGTTGTGCCTGGGATGCACGCGGTACACGTCAGGTCCACCCAGGTACCAGCCAGGTACCAGCCAGGAAAACTCTGATCCACCCCGGGATATCGGCTCTCCTTTGGCTGGGCGTGCTGGGCAAACCCACGCCGCCCAGAGAAAGCGACACAGGGACACACAAAGGAGCTCTGCATCCGGCATTGACCCCGGCAAAAATCCAGGTTGAGACCCTTCGTAATGGGCCGAGCGTAAAGTGTCCGAGTGCATGCTATGCATGCAATGCACTTGATTGTGCCAATAATCCAATGAAGTTGCCGCAGGGCGCGCAGGGCGTGGGTCGCATTACTAAGATACCTAGCAGCTCAGTGCCAACGGAACCGCGATGCCTGCGCAAGCTCACTACGCACGCACGCGCCGAGCGTACCGAGATGCAAAGGTGCGGATGCACGTACCCCACTCTAATTCTGGATCCTGCCTCACTTTGCCCCGCTTTGCCGCTACGCTGTCTGAACGCGTGTGCATCGAGTAGCGTATAGTGGTGGGATGGCCTTCGGCCTCGTCTGGACTGGCAGCCTAACAGACCTACAGACCTACAGACCCACAGACTAACAGACTGACACCCCGCACGCTAAAGGGCCAGTCTCGGGATCCCCGAAGCACGCTACGGGGTTTCTAGCAGAGCTAGCAGAGCAGATCACACTAGCGGCGGAACGCTCGCTCACGGAACGCTCACGCAGTGTCTAGCGGCCAATCTGCTAGTGTGCTTTGTGTAGTGGGTTGCTGTGTCTGGTGACATGGTACGGGTCCGAACCGAGCGACTCGACTCTATACGACTATACACTACTATACACACGCTGTGCAGGAACCGATCGAGCCGACTTGGCACGCGTTGGCGCCCGCATCCGCTGGTGCTTAGCGCGATCTGGCAAGTGTCCGTGTCCGCCATGTTTTGTATATCGTCTCTAACATGATCTGCTTTGATCACCCAGTCGTTCTGGTTCTAATCGAGTTCGGTCTGCAATGCTCCGCATGCTCCGCAATTGGCATCTCCGAATCCCACCTTGGCCCGGCTTGGCCATGACTTGGCTCCGCTCCTCCGCTCGGCCTGGGGCTTGGGTTGTCACCATGAGCACAGTGTGAAAGTTGATCCGAGGCGGTGCGTCAAACGTATCAAACGTGGGCGCGTGTGGGCGGGCATGCTCCGTTCGGCTGATTGTCCCAGGCACATCCTTCCTGTCATCACAACTTGTCTGCATTGCCTCGTTTCACGCACTCGACAGCTGACAAGAGTTACTGACCAGCTGACCCGACTACTGTGCATATCTGTGCATATCTGTGCTTGGAGAGTGCGAAGTTGTCGTCTCGTGAGACCGAAACGCGCACATGATCTCGTTTCAGCAGGAGCAGGGATGAAACGATGCAGTGTTGCCTGGAACGATGCGGTGCTCCTGGCAAGGAACGATAGGAACGGTATTGGATTTTGGTACTTCGCCGATCGATCACGGCGGAGCAGCGGAGGGCCGGGAACGTGCGTGCTGAGTGTCTGCTGACCTGACCTCCGACGTACCTTTGCGCCGAGCCCCGAATTCGAACTCTGCAGAGGCCTGGACGCAGAGGCGGAGTCGGAGTGGCACCGCTCTTGCTTTTTCGTATGACGAGACCAGTCCTCTGGAACTCCCGAATCGCCTCCGTATCCATGAGTTCCCAAACATGGAACATGGCAGTGCAGCCGTGCAGCCGTGCAGCCGTGCTTCGTGTAGAAGGGACGGCTCCAGTGACGGATCTGGGCCGTCATGGGTGAGCATGTGACTGCCACTCGATCGTACAGTGTCGCCTTGGACGACAAGAGGCGGCGCAGCGTTCCGAACTCACTTGGAACAGCGCCGTCTGACGTCTGAGCAGCTCTGGCCCAGTACCTTGGCCCACGGGAGGACCCCGCAGCTGCAACACTTCTGCAGTTTACCTGTAGTTGCCTATGGTAACTGGGATGGCATCCAGTGGCATGCAGCAGCGCCACGTCCGATCAATAGACGACGGGACGCATGCAAAGGCACGAACCACGGTGGCCGGGGAGTACCTGGGGTCCACCTCCGTCACGTCGGGAGGCTTATGGCGGGGCTGTGCTGCACGCCTCTAGCGCCTCTAGTGCGTCGAGGTCCTCACACTTTGGCTGGGGTGTTCCGTCGGCCCGGACAAACGAGAGGCAGAAGAATGGACACCCTTGCACGGTCGACCTGTCAAGAGCGTTGGCGCTCGACGAGAACGCAGTCGCGCAGACTCGTTGCGACTCTTTGCGACTGCCGGCCGCTGTGGCACTGCTGCACCGCTGTTCTTGCCCGACAACTGTGTCAGCTTGCAGTGCTTGGGGGATGAAACGCGTGCTGACCTCCAACGTGGCAAATGTGCATCGCCTGGGATGGCGCTGCGAGAAAGTCGCCGGCCACTTTCTGCAAGGCTTGATTCCGAGATGCTGGGGGTTACTCGGCCGCGTCGCTGTCGTTGAGGCTTACCGGCAGCTCGATAGCAGGTTCAGCAGCCTTCGACTGGTCTCACCGCTCTCAGCGACCAGCTTCACTCGAGCACCCAGCTGTCATCGAGCCACGCACCAGCATGACCGAGTCTGAAGGTCAGCTTGGGGGTTATCGGGCGCATCAGCTTGGACAAACGCTACTCACACTTTAACCGCTCCGCTCCTGTCGCACCGTCTACGGATTCGCTGTGAGTCAGTTCTCTGTGAGGGCCCAGTGAACTACGACTCACTCTTTCGACAGACTGCCCAGCGCCCGTCACCGCCTAGCCTGGCTGCAAGTCAGCTTCGCCGTGAACGGATGTGACAGCTTTCGACTCATCCTCCCTCGACAGTCAGACTGCAATCGTACAAGTCGCGCTCAGGAGATACTGATCATTAGCTCAAGATCTTATGCCAAGAGCTGTGGTTCACCTCTCCGACCTATGGTTCTCAGAAGAACCAACAATGGCCTGCTATCAGCTTACCACCGAATACGCAAGCGAACCTTCCTCCCTATCAGTTATCACAGTCGACAGCTCTCTCCGTCACTCGCCGGCTGGTGGCGGCGCTGGCCGTCAGCTCTGGGCGAGCTGTGGGCACTACTCTTTGGACATTTGTTCCGAGACACAAGCTGTTCGTTAGCTTACGATAGCGATCCTCGCCCAGCTGAAACCCACAGAAACCCACAATAAAAGAATCATTCTCACGGAAGCGCCTCTCCAACGGCCACAATGTCAGTCAATGGCTGGTGATCAGCTGTCACAGAGGGTCGCCACAGCTACCGACTCACTAGTTGCACTCAGTCTTGACTGGTTCCGTTTTCGACGCTCTACGGCTCTTGCTCTTGCTGAGCGTCAGCTTGCCAGACGATGGGCTTAGCTGTGACTCACCCCTCCGGCTTTCCACTCAGCCCCCGTTGTCCACCCCGTTTGAGCTCTCTGGGCACTGACGGTCAGCTGTGCAACAGCTGCGGGCCAGGTGCGACTCACCGCCAAGTCCATGCCTCTGAAGCCTCTCTGGCATGCAAGGTTGCTCTGACGGTTAGCTCCACGAACTCGACCTCGAGCTGTGACTCACGTCTCATGCGTTGGAGCACACAGGGTTCAGAGCACGAGTGAGTCTGTCGTGGCAGCTGGTCAGGTTAAGCAGCTGTCGTCTCCGGCTTGAACATTCGGCGCCCAGGTGAGCGAGACTCTGCCTGTCAGCTGTCGACCCAAAGACGCTATAGCTTGGAACTCACCCGTGCGCACTCTGACACCCTCATCGCCCTTCCTGGTGTTGTGGGGGGGCCTCCGTATCGCTTTCGAGCCGGGGCTCTTGCAGCAAAAAATACTGTCTGTCAGCTGAGACACATCCGGAAGCTATAGCTTGATCCCACCCGCCAGTTTGTACGGGCCTCCTCGTGATCGGCCTCGTTGACGTGCTGCATGGCGTCATGGTCACGGTGTCGCCCAACGACTGCGATGCCATCCTGAGTCGAAAGCCGGTGATATCAATCGGCCCCAGCCACTGCCAACTCGTGGCGCTAGTACTGTGGTCAGCTTCTATCGATCTCGTATCGGAGCTCGGCCGCTCTGAAGACATTGCACGAGACAAAGAGAAGACTGTATCCAGCTCGGCGTGGTGAGGATTCCAGCTCACCATCCCAATGACGTGCGTTAGTGCTCGATGACCCCAGCGAACCGGTCACGAGCAACCTGTGGCACTGGGTCAGCTACACACGAAGCTCTGCGTAGCTCACCCCACCGAAACACTGGACAGCCGAGCAGTCGCTGAGTAAACTGTAGTCAGCTCAATGGCTGAGTGTCCGCAGCTCACCTGCCACAAGAATCCGCGATCAGCGAAAGCAAGTGTGACCTGGTGGTCAGCTGCAACAAGCTTCAACAAAGGGAACGGCACAGCTCATTATCATTTGCCTGTGGTTAGCTTCTATGCAGTCATTACACAGCTTAAGTTCCTCAGAGCAAAGTCAAACTGGATGTCAGCTTACACGTGGTTCTGAAGCTTGCCTCTGAGTCGCTACCCGACGGCCGATACGAAAGCTCCGAACAAACAGAGTCTGTCAAGCCTCTGGTTCTGGCGGTCAGCTCATAGAGGAGGCCTTTGCCAGCTCACCTCTCCATGCTTCTTCGGGAGAGACGGATTGCGCGGGAGGAGTTAGTAGAGTAAACTGTGATCAGCTTGCTGAGGCGCACTTCGCAGCTCACTTCAGCTGCAGTGCGACAAGGCGCTGGGTGGCTTCCTATCCTACAAGGAGCGGCGAAAGACTGTGGTGGCGCTGGTGGTCAGCTCAGCGTATGAAGTGGAGTAGCTGACCCCTGTAGCAATAGACTGCGCAGGACAGAGGGTAGCTAAGACTGTGTGGTGAGCTCATTGCCGCTCATCTGTTCGGTAGCTCACCTGCTGGGAGGATTTGCCTCTCTGTGCCCCTCACGAACCAGCCGCGAGCGCGTGGCACTGAGCGTCAGCTTCGAAGTATCTTGACGTTAGCTCACCGCCCTTCGAGAGACTGCGCTGAACAGAGAGCAAGCTGTATTCGGCTTAGCGAAGGGACCTTGCAGCCTACGTGCTTTGAGGAAGTGGGCACGCGACATCCACACAGCCCAGGCGATGCCACTTTGCTGCTGGTCAGCTGCGCAGAGAACTGGCCAAAGCTCACCCTCGACGAGTCAGGCCGGAGAAGAGAGTGTACTACGGTCAGCTCGTTGGGAGACGCTGGCAGTTCACCTCGAAGCAATGAGCACACTGCAGCCCCCAAGCCCAGCGGCACTGAGCGTTAGCTTCCATCCCCAAGCTGCGAAGCTCACCCCTTCGGAGAGACCTCGACGCAAGCGAGCAGACCGCAGTTAGCTCAGTAGGTGAAGTTGTCAGCTCACCTCAGAGGGTATAGGCATTCAATGACCACCGCAAACGCAGCCCTTTTGGATACGCGGCACTGAGAGTCAGCTTCAGGATGTACAGCATAGCAGCTCACCCTCTCTCGAGGGACTGCGCGGGCCTATAGAGTTGCCTGTCCTCAGCTCATGGTCTGACGTTCGTAGCTTAGCTCACCTTCTTCACTTGGCTCGAACACTCGATACCCGTCGTAAAATAGTCGTGAGTCCGTGTCACTGACCGTCAGCTTCGACGAAGACCTATGTAGCTCACCCCAGCATCACGAAAGTCCGCCAAGAACATAGCAGTCAGCTAACCCGCAGAGGACGCGCAGCTCACCTCCGGCTCTCGGTGGGCACCCGGTGGCCGCCACCGACCCCGCCGTGGCACTGAGTCCCCATCTACTCCCGATGATCATCAGCCCACACCTGATTCGATAGAGCTCCGTAATATCAGTGTGCACTGCTGTCAGCTCGACGTACAGCGGCGCACAACTCACCCAGGAACTGATAGGCGGCTCTATCCTGGCCCAGCCGAGGCGGACGTAGCACTGGTGGTCAGCTTTGCCGAGTGCGGCGTAGGAGCTCACCCCGCTCGAGACCTCGATGCGAGACAACAGAATAGAATGTTATCAGCCTCTATGCCGAGACACACAGCTCATCTCCACCCACTCCCCGTCGGCATTCGACTCCAACAGACGCAGCCGAGACTCTTCCTGTCCTGGAGGTCAGCTTCCATTACCGTCATGTCGAAGCTCACTTCCTCAAGGCACTTCACGTTGCCAAAGTACACCACAGCTGCAGTCAGCTGGCCTTTACAGGGTCTTCAGCTCACCTTCCCAGCACCTTCGTTCTGGGCGATTACTCACCCACCCTGTGAGACCAGGACCAGTTCCGTCGAGTGTGGCACTGCTGGGTCAGTCCTCAGGGCAAACTGTATATTGAGCTCAATTTCTCGACGATACGCTGGTCGAGTACTGTAGACTGCTGATCAGCTCATCGGTCCAAGCGCAGCAGCTCACCCGCCCAAACTCGTGTTACTCTCCAAGACGTCGCGACCGGCCGCTTTGACTACGCCGCGATGACTACGCCGCCATGACTACGTGGCTCTGTAGGTCAGCTTCACCCCAACCCTGTTCTGAGCTCACGTCCCCAAAGGCAGCACGCGTCGCCCCTCTCTACAGTTGCAGTCAGTTGGTCAGCAGCGGCGCATAGCCCATCTCCTGATCACCTCGTGCACTCGCTGCGATCAGACTGACGGTTCAGCTTAACTTCCACACAATTGTAGCTCACCCCCTCCCCCTCCCCGATGGAAAGTCCACTTGGCGTAAGAGGTCTGGCAGTCAGCTCATTATGAGGCAGCTCCTAGCTCACTCGCTAAGACATCGGCATTCAACTACTCCTCGCAGCCCGGCCGCCGCGCTTACGCTATACTGGAAGTCAGCTTCAAGCGTGTTCTTAGCTCACGCACAGACGAGTCAGCGCTCAGGTCCACCGCAGCTGTAGTCAGCTGGCATTTCCAGACTCGTCAGCTCACCCTGCTAGCACCTTTGTTTTGCGCGAGTACTCGACCCTCCCGGTCCCCCGGCCCGGCGCGGGACAGACGCGGGGTGGCACTGGTTGATCAGCTCCACGCATAACTTCGACGTAGCTTACCCGTTCTTCTCCGAAAGGGATCGACGAGGTTGTGCGAGAATACTGCAGTCAGCTAAGTCGCAGTGTCCACAGCTCACCTCATAACCCGGGCGGTAATCGACACTTGACAGGAGTACTAATGAAAGATGTGCGTGACGCTGGCGGTTAGCTTCAACCGACGTACCCATGGAGCTCACCCACTGCCGGACGACAGTCCTAGCCGAGTAAACTGTGGCCAACTCAGTGGTCGGACTTTTGGAGCTCACCATTCCTACCTTCCAGACGTATCGATAACTCCTCCGCTAGAGCTAGGACTGGCGCGTGACAACTGATTGTCAGCTTCATCCCACTGGATCTAAGCTCACCCACTGTCAAACGACAGCTGGCCGAAGAATGTAAACTGTAGTCAGCTCAGTGAACCAAGAATTCTAGCTCACCCCCGATACATCAGACTGCGCGTCACTCGACGAACCCATCCCTACCCCAGCCACATGAATTCCATAGCACTCGAGCCTGGAGGTCAGCTTCAACACCCCAAACGTCAAGCTCACCCCGTCCCCGCACTCCGCCCCAGTCTCGCACAAAAGCTGCAGTCAGCTCACCATTACAGACTCATCAGCTCACGTTTCGAGTATCCTTCCACTCGTGTCGACGACACTCTCGCTAGACAGTCTTTGACAGTGCGCGTGACACTGATGGTCAGCTTCGGACCGAAGAGAATCATAGCTCACCCATCGTTGGACACCCCCGAGTCCACCGCAGCTGTCGTCAGCTCACAGCTGGAAGGGACCCAGCTCACACTTCCAGGACCATCCCCCTTGCGCCGACACCCCCCCCCCACCTGGACCGAGGACAGACACGGCGGCGCTGGAGGTCAGCTTTTCATCAACGGATTATCGAAGCTCACCTCGCCCCCGAGTGTCCGCTGTCCGTAAACACGAGAACGCGAGAGCATCGTGAGAACATGAGAGCACGAGAACGCGAGAGCCAAGAACACTGGTCTCAGCTCGTCGTCTGGCAATCTACAGCTCACCTCCTCCATACCTCGGCGCTGTCGGTTCACCCCATGCCCCACTCTCCGGCCCAGAAGGCACGCGTACTGATGGTTCAGCTTACCAGGCCATGAGTACCTAGCTTACTTACCTCCTCTTACCTCCGCACTCCGCTGATGAGTGCCCGGAACGTCCGGAACAAGGATGTGGTATGTGGTCAATGAATCGTCAAATCGTGACCTCGTGAGCTGGTCGAGCGGGGGTGAGTGGACAATGACGAGGCAATGACGAGGCAACGGCAAGGGCGTGAGCATTGTGCTCCCGTTCAACGGGTGTTTGATCGGCGGACGCAGGGCGTGGGAGAGCATCAGCATGCTAGCAGGCCGCAATAATGTTCTCCCTCGCACTCCTCTTCCATTCACCCGATACGAGGGACAGCGCGCCTCATGGAAACTCTACACACATGCACATGCAAGGACTCTCTGTGTCTCTGTGTAGTCAGACGGGATGTTAGTGGGACAAAACTGTAATCAGTGAGAAAGACATTTAGAACGTTAGAGATGAAAGATAACCTCCCGGACGTCTTCTCGAGGCAAAAGTCAGGATACATATGGCAATTACGGTGTCGCGAGCGTCTCTGCGGCCGCTCAAACTTAACAGATGAACATGAGGTTCGTGTCGATCGGGTGCGAGGCCGAGAGCTGGGGTTTCTGATCGTAGCGGCCTGCGAGCTCGTCTCGGATGCTCCTCAGCAGCATCACGTAGCTCTGGCGCGGGTTCTTCGTTAAAGCCGCAATGAAGGCGTACGACATGGCGCCCGTACTGCGTCTTTGTGGTGTCAGCGTTGTCACAAAGGAAAGGAGAGCATGAGGGATGTGTAGGTGGGGCTGTGCGGAGTGGACGTCGGTGGGGTGAAAGCAATGGAGGCGGTGGAGGTGGTGATGAGTGAACGGAGTGAGAGGTCAACTTACCCAGCCTCTGTTGTGTCCGCGGAGGTCTGCGAGTCCTTGCACCCAGACCACATGACGACGTCTGCGGGCGACGTGCGCGTCTGCTTGGTGACCTCGCCAGCCTTGGAGTTGGATCCCATCAGGTTCTTGCCGACGCTCATGAGGCCGGATACGACCCCGCCAATGTCGCCGCGGAGGTACGACATGCCTGCGCCGAGCACGCCCTGCCCTGCCTCGGCGAGCAGGTTGGGTTCCTTGATCTTGCCCTCGGTCGAGTACACGTACGGCAGGTCGAGGCAGGTGGCTGAGTGGCACGAGTCGAAGATGGCCGTGAGACGGCATCCGGCGGGGAGGGGGCGGACAAGGCGCATGTGCACTGCTGTCAGCTCCTGCAGTCTTGCGCAACTTACACTCGTCGTCGACAATGTGGCCGGCCTGCTTAAAGTCGACAGGGTAGATGACCTCGTCGTACCCGTCGTCCTCGTCTCCGTCCTTGTCCTTGGTCTGGCCGCCGTGGCCCGAGTAGTGGAAGAAGAGCGCGTCGTTGGCACGCGCGCCCTGCACGAGCCACTGCATCGCCGCAATCATGTTGGCGCGCGTCGGGATCTGGCGCGGGTTCCGCGAGTCGTCCGTCAGCACCACCATGTCGTCGGGCTTGTACCCGTGGCGCTCGATCAGGAACTTTTGCACATTGTGCACGTCGTTGATGCACCCGCGCAGCTCGCCCGACTGGCCGCGGTAGTTGATGCCGATCAGGAGTGCCTTTCGCTTGCCAGTACCTGATTAAGCAATGTGTGAGGTCCATGCGCAAACGCGAATCCGTGTCAGCGCCTTGTTACACGTCGCCACTAGGCTACTCACACTGCGAGTACTGGAAGTACGGCTGCTGCTGCTGTCCGTGGTGGCCTTGGAACTGCGGGCCGTAGTGCTGGGTTCCAGACGGAGGGGCTGATGTTAGCTGCCATTACGAGCCGCGCAGCTTACGAGGAGGAGCGCCCTGGGGGGGCTGGTAGTGCTGCTGGGGCGGGCCGGACGGGGGCTGGTAGCCCGCGGCGGTCGGCTGGTAGTGGCTAGGCGGGGGAGCGCCGGTGGGAGGCGGGTAGTGCTGCTGCTGGTAGTTCTGAGGAGGGGGCGCCTGCTGGTACCCGCCCTGCTGGTAGCCTCCCTGCTGGAATCCACCTTGCTGGTATCCGCCCTGCTGGTATCCCCCGTAGCTGGATGGTCAGCGCTGTTCGCGTGATCGCCGACGTCACAACATTGCGCCGGCGTCGTCCGGCGCCGTCCTGAGGCTTGGACGGCAAACGCCAAGAACTCGGGCCAATCATCACTGTCATCGCGCGTACTTCGCCCACTGAGGGGGAGGGGGGTTGTTCTGGTACTGGTTGTAGGCCATGTTGCTTTGTGTTGTGACTAGGCAACGATGAGAAAGCAAGTTGACAACAACAGGGTGTGCACTAGGGCAACCCACGTCAATAGCTGGCTGGGCACAGGTTCGTGATCGACGCGTGCGGGCGACGGGCGACGGCGATGCGGAACCATTTGAACGGGCTAAAAGTAGCGCACTATTACGGCCATAGCCGCCCAAGGCCGTACCGCCCCCGGAAAGCGCAGACCGCAGCACACAGCGGTGCAGCAACCTCTCTTCAGTCGCTTAGTCAACGTAGTGCAATGCATATAACTGATCGCTGAGTCACTCTACAAAAGCTGCTGTACTGCTGTCCTGCTGCTCACGCTCGCGCCGCCCTCTTACTTCTTCTTGGGTCCGTGGAGGGGCTGGCCGATCTGCGACGCAGCACCACGCAGCTTGACGCCGACAATGCGCTCAAGCTTGCCGAGCAGCTGCTGGTTGGGCAGCGCGCGTCCAGACTCGAGGTCGGCAATGTCCTGGGGCTTGGCGTTGGCGGCAGTCGCGAGCTCCTTCTGGGTCATCGACTTTCCGTCCGCGTTCTTCTTCGCCATACGGGCAGTAGCGAGCGCCTTGCCGACCGAGATGTCGACCTTCTCAGGGGGCTTGGGGGCGTCGTCGGCGTCGAGCTTGCCGAGCTTCTGGTAGTTGGTGGCTGCGGGTTAGCTATGAATCGGGCCTCGTGAGCTTGGGCGGGGCGAGCGGCGTCCGAACATTGATTGCACACAAACAACAGATCGCCGCTCGATTCTAGATGACGCAGATCCACAATGGTCTCCGCTCATCTCCGACCCAGAAAAGCACTCACCACCTCCTCCCTGGGCACGGCCCTTGGCAGTGGTCGAGGTGACGGTACCGGCGCGCTGGGCGGCGTTGAGGGCAGAGCCCTTGGCGACGGTAGGGCGCTTGGTTCCGAAACCGATGACGGTAGGCTTCTCGTCCCAGCCAGACTGTACATTATGAATGCGTGAGCGGAAGGTGGCCAAGTGATGCGTGTCGCGTGCAAGGGTTTGTAATGTCGGTGGAGGCCAAGAAGAGCGGCACGTCAGCGCCCACAGCGTCTCGAGTTTCCGCAGCGACTCACCATGTTTGCAGATGAGTTGATCGGGGTGTTGCGGTAATTTGAAAGGTGAGAACTTTGGAAGAACAAGCTGTTGTGTGCTTGCTGTTATCAGTGGAAAGCGGTGGAAGCCGTTGCAAAACGAGGCCTTGCATGCTGGCGAGTCGTGATCTCGTCAGGAGTCAGAACGGTCGGAGCCGCAAATTCGCGGGAGCAAATGCCATGTGGCACAATGCGTCATCGGTCGGTGCGAAGGCGACTCCTGCTCTTGCGCAGCTTCAGTGCGGAACTACTTCGGAGAGATCGATGCAGGGCCCTTGGCTAGGCGGCTGAAGGCGGCTTGCACTCGGCTCTGTCGATCATCAACGATTCAGTGGCACTCAAGCGTTATCGTGGTAAATCATCGAGCACCAGGCTCATGCATGAAAGGCGTAGCTTGCAAGCGTAAAAGGTATGAAGAGACTATGGCGTGAGGCATACGGAAGATGCGCAATGATGGGGTGTTTGCCGTGCTGCTCCTTACTGGTTGCAGACGGTGCAGCGGCCAACGTTCTCCTCAAAGTAAACTCCGGGCTTCTCCTTGGAGACAGTGTTGCCACCGGGCGAGTAAACGCAGCGGAAGTTGAGCTTGCGCGCCATGCCGCCCTCGGCAGGGCAGGTGTAGGTCCAGCCGCATCCGACCTCGGTGGCCTCCTTCCAGACCATCTGCGTAAAGTGGGAGTAGGCCTGCGCGGCGGGGTTGTCAAAGGGGTACTCCTTCCACTCGTCGGCCCAGGCCTTGCAAGCCTGACCACCAGCCTCGGAAGCGGACTCGTACGACGCCGAGAACGTGTGAAGGTTGTCCTCGCCCTTGTGCTCCCAGAGGCAGTCGTTCCAGTCCGACCTCGCCCTGCGCGCGTACTGCTCGTTCCAAGCGAGGGGCTCGGCACCAAAGTTGGCACGGAGGTCGTTGTGGAACTTGAGGATCGACTGCGACAGCGCAGAGGTACCCTTGTAGTCCTCATCGGTAGGCTCCTGGTCGATGCGGAGGCCAATGTCGTAGGTGGGGACGGGGTCGCCGGACTCGCGCTTCGAGGCCTCGTTCTTCTCAGCCTCGCTGTAGTCACCGCCGTTGCTGGTGTCCGTGTGAGTCGACATGAACTCCTCACCAGACGAAGTGGGGGCGGGGGGCTTGTACTCGGACGAGGTGCTGGGGTTGGCGTTTTCGACCCGAGCGTCGGCGGAGGGGGCAGGAGCGGCAGAAGCCTCAGCGGGGGCGGCAGAGGACTGGGCGTCATGGGACTGGGCAGGGGCAGGCGCCTGCTCCTGAGCCTGGGAGTCAGAGCCAGACTTGTCGCTGCCAGCGTCAGCCAGGTTGGCACCGCCAGTAGCCTGAGGGCTGCCCCAGGTGGAGGTCCAACCCCAAGTGGAGGTCCAGCCCTTGTTGGGCATGTAGTGACCACCGTTGTGCTGCTTGGCGGCGTTCTCCTTGACGGGGGCCTCGGCGGCAGAGGGGCTGGGCTCGGCAGAGTTGGCGGCCGAAGGGCTGGGCTCGGCGGAGCTGGCGGCAGAGGGGCTAGGCTCAGCCGAGTTGACAGCGGAGGAGCTAGCCTCAGCCGAGCTAGCGGCCGAAGGAGCGGGCTCAGCAGAGTTGGCAGCCGAGGACTCGGCAGCGGCGCTCGAGGGGACGACCGAGGAGACGGCAGACGCGTCGGTCGGGGCGGGCTGGGCGTCACCACCGGCAGGGACAGTGACGGTGACGGTCTGAGTGACAGCCTTGCAACCGCCGTGCTTGGCGTGGCGGTGCTTGTAGGGGTGAGCCTCGACGGCCACCAGGGCAGTGAGGGCGGTGAAGAGGATGGCGTTCTTCATTGTTATCGTCGTTTGTGAAATGCAGGTGCGAGGTTGATACAGATGATGCTTAATGAGTGTGAAAGGAGTGGGGGTCTTCAACGCTGGGTCGAGAGGATGAACGATAACAAGAGGTCGAACAAAGGAGAGGAAGGAGAAGGGTGTCGAAACGGTCACAGACTGTTTGCTGGTTGCGGAAAGAGAAAGGAGGAGGGAGAAGACGTCGCAAGGAGAAGCGTTATATAGAGTGGGTACGACTTTTGCACGTTTAGGAGACTGCCTTGGCGTTGCGGGGCAGAGATGTGCGATGGCCCATCTGAAGCCACTTGTCAGAGTCACATCAGGAGCCAGGGCCCCCTCTCGCGCGCAGCTGCAGGATATCAGTCTGTGGTGGTGAAGTAGAGTTCCAGAACAACGACTCTCTGCACGCGTCCTGCAGGATGCTTTCGGTGGATCGCGCTCTGGACTTGCTCTCTCTCGATCGGCACAAGGGGGAGGCGTCCCCCAGACATGTGCCCTGAGACGATCAGGGAGGCGCAAGGGCTTTGGCGCCAACTCTGACGGTAACGAGGGACTCGCGACTCGGGTTGCCCGTCGATGCGCCAATCAGCATGGCCGCAGCGGGTCGCGACGACCCACCGGTACCTGCTTCTTGAGCTTGTCATTCCTTCCCTGCGGGTCCAGCTCTTTGCCATTTCACGCACGTCCATTCATCCTCAGCATCCTCAGCCATGCTGATCAGGACTCGACACAAGGCCAGACCACGCCTCGATCCCCTCGGAGAAGAGACACCCCACTCGCCCACACTTGGCCGATGCTGCTCACCACAACTTGACACTGCAGGGGGAGCTCCTCATATCCCCTCCCTCTCTCTCGTCATTCTCCTCTCTGTCTCCTGCTGTATCGAGCATGTTTGCATCTTTGGGTCGACATTCTGGAACACCCGACTAATCTGATATCAGCCATTCAATCCAACCTCATCGGTCTATTGGACGTGCACTTTTCGGCTCAGCAGTGGGGTAAGAATCCCGCTATCACCTCACAACCGAGCACATGTGTCGCACCTCCTGCTGACTACTGTCACTGCACCCCCTCGGCATCGCTAAGCTGACCCAGTTTCTGCCCTTGACCATACTGCATGCGGGCATGCACGTCCATCCACCGCCGAGACCGCCGAACAAGCTCACCAGTCATCACTTCTCCGCCCGTTTCGGCTGCGGGGCGAACAAAAATCCAAACTCTACTCCATCTTTTGGTCCACCCCCCGGAACCCATTCGCTTTCCAGTGAAGCGCTGAGCGTCTGCATGCGGCCGCACGTCGACATGCCCGAAGGACCACCCACCCATCCGGCCCACCACCCGATCGGCCGGTACGAGCAAACTTTGAGGCGGGTGCCGTGTCTTCCCTGCAGCCAGAGGAACTGTCCTAGTGAACTCTGTTGCTCCAGAGCTAGAAGTCTGCTATTCACAATCGGCAACAGGACGCCAGGCAGGCACTCGGCTGCGTCTGCCCACACCTGGGTTCTTCTCGTTGGCTGAGCGTACTGCACGGCCAACGCGAGAAGGCTTACGAGATCCACCTGCACCACTTTGCGTTTTGCTCCATCTGACGTCCCTCTGAACGTCGAACGGCGTACCTTTCCCCGGCCCGAAAACGACCCCAACTCGCCTCCATCATTCACAGAACGTCTGCCTGTGCTCACTTTCTACTTTCTCTTCCCTCGCCCGATCCTGCCAGATTCGGGAACCCGTTCCAGTACACTGGTGTACGCACTCCCTCTTCGTCTGGCGCCTGGCTCGTTGCCCGTTCATCGAAAGGGGCGCAGGCATGACCACCCGTCTGCCCAGCCTGATGGCCAGAACATCTCGAGATTCCAGTTCCTCGTCTGTTCTCCTCCCACATCCAGCTCCCCATTACTTTCTCCCTCGTTGCTACGTTTCGTCTCGGACCTCACTTCCTCCACACCAGTTGAACACTGCAGAGCCTCGCCGAGGCACGGGCTGCAACGCACGCAGCACCTGCTCATCCTGCGTGCTTCGCTGCGGGGCCAGACTCCGTTGCGCCCCAACGGCTAACTTCTATGTGCCCTCATCTCGGTGCCCAGATTCAAACCTCTGACAGCAGATACAGTCCGCTCCGACCTATCGGCCTATCGAAGCCAACTTACAGGCCGCCTCGCCAGCTTTCGAAACGGGCCTCGACACATCCTCCTTCACGCCCTCGCAAGCGCATCGCATCAGCGACAAGGCAGTCTCCAGGCCCGAGCACAGCGCTTCAGCGTCACCTGATCACTAACCCGGTGGCCGTCACCATCTCGACGCAACTCTGTCCACCTCGCGACGGCTACAGGTGCGTCACAGTGTTTACAGTGACAGGCAACAGACTCGGCCTGTGCCGACCGCCGCACCGTGGTGGTATTCTGGGTAGAGTGGCCCATCCGTGCCTGAAACTCTGCTCTTCCGTAATGGTGGGTCGTGGTCGACGCGTCGCGTGTGCTCAGAGAGCGCGTCGCTCTCGACGAAGTCACGTGTTTCTTTAAACGCGCCGGGGCTGCGGAGGATGACCGCTGGGCACACTATGCAGAAATGTCGCGAATGTCGACGCGTCGTAAGCTAAGAGGTGGCACCGGGGGGGGCGCCGGGGAGGACGAAAAGGTTGAGCTTGCCATCTGGTCTAGCACCCGCAGTCCGTTTGGCCCGACAGGCTGATCCCCGCATTGATGCCTCCGGCAGAACGAAGAGGAGCCGGGCTCAGCAAAGAACGTTCGAAATGTTCCTTTTCACAGCGGAAGAAGAGACCAAAGTTCGGCCAAAGTGTGATGAGGGTCAATCACTTCAAGCTCTCACCGCAAGCTCAAGGACGCTGAGCATGAGCATGGATGAGGGTTGTTGCTCCCATCTTGTAATATTCCCACGAGCTCACCGTTCTCTCCCCATCACAGAGTACCGAAGAGCCGTGAATGGTCATGTGCTGTGCACTGGACACTTGGTCAGATGTCCATCTCGTTTCAGAGAGCCAGAGCTTGAAGCCAGCAACGAGATCTGACGTCCTTCGCTCCACGCGCCCCAGTTGCGGCCAAGTCGCATCCTCGCAACGAGGACCCCTAAAGAGAGATAAGATCTGGAGCCGCGGGTGATCTCTTCGCTTTCCTCCAGATATAAGCGCTGAAACGCGATCATCAGGTGAGTCACATCCACCACGGCCTGCCTCAGAGCTCAGATCTGGAGTGCCGGTTCGTTTCCAAGCGCGATGCTTCAATGCTCAAGCTCTCGGCGATCGTTGACTCATTCCTCAAATTCTCATGTCGAAGTGGCCAAGGTTTAGCGCTGAAACATCGTTGTCCGTATCTTGGATCCCACAAACGGCTTTCAGTGGAGCTAGTGGAGCAGGAGCGGAGACCCCAGCACTCCAGGTTGTACAGCGGAGCTCCAACGATCCAGCCAGCTCTGGCCAGCTCGGTAACTCACGCCAAGTAGAATGCTGAAACAGACAGAGTGATTAGCAAGTCGCGTCCATCACAGCCCCCAGCGTGAGATCTGAGATCGAGCGGAGTCAAGGCGATGAGCACCGAGATCTCCACGATCCACGCCAGTACGCCAAGCATATCGAGCAGGTCGAACATGGAAGGTATCGAACATCCCGACTCCACTTGTTCGACTGAGATCTGGTCGCCCACCGCCTTTCGGTCCCGGACTGCCGCGCCTTCGGTTTCTAAACCTGTTCGGCATCCTCCCACCGCCCCGATCTGATCGTCGATCCGCATTGGGAGGTCTGGAAGGTCTAGAACGTTAGTCGATCTCGGGGCGTCGTGACGTGTTAGTGTGTGATGGCGTCTAGCTGGTAAGTCGGTCTGAACGATTAGACTGTGCCGTGTAGGTAACGATCGGTGGGCCGATGCTGACAACTGCCGTGGACGGCCCATCGCCAGACTGATGGATATATGCAAGTAGGGGGGTAGTCACTGATGGGCCTGTGCAGTGGTGATTGTGATATAAGAGCATGACGCGAGAGTAAGATGGCGCAAGCATTCGAGCAATCGCTCGAAGCGTTCTCGAGTTAGTCCGAGGTGCATCTCTCTGATTGGTTGTGAGGGAGGGTCACGGTGCAGTGGTACGGGCCGGCTAAGTGAGTATTCCGATTATCTCTGGCAGGGAGTGATCGCGAGATTATGCCGAGGTTCCCCTAAGGCTGAAAAGCGATGTCGTGATCAGTTGGCCCGCCCCCATACAGCGCGCAATGTCACGCGCTAATCGCCCAATCACGGTTCCTAATTGCCGATTAGTCCTGAAGTTGGACCACGCACAGATGCCGAGACTAGCGAGCACTGTCCTACACTTGCCCACTGATACTCCTTGCACGGCCATCGCTCTCGACCGCCAGAGCCCGCAGAGCCCGCACAGTGCGCAAAGATCCCAGATTGGCCTCCCAGCGATGGCGCAATCACGTCATTCACTACTGCTCCTACACTGCACCGATCCACTACACACTCACCGCTTCACCGCCCGACTCCCGAACCGAGGATTCCCCGCAGCCCAAGACTCGCTCTCGCTCTCGCCGCAATATAACCCCCCGCCAGCCATCCCGTTAAGCATCTTTCTCTCCCAACTTTGTTCCCCTACACCACAACCATGGCTCAGTACAAGAACTTTGAGACCCTCCAGCTCCACGCCGGGTAAGTCTTACCAGGAGCTACCAGAGATGTGGGCGCTGACATTCCCCTTTGCAGCCAGGAGACCGTCGACTCGACCAAGTCGCGCGCCGTCCCCATCTATGCCACGTCGTCGTACGTCTTCGACGACTCGGCCCACGCCGCCCGTCTCTTCGGTCTCAAGGAGTTCGGAAACATCTACTCGCGTATCATGAACGTGAGTAACCAGTGTCGGCGAGAGGAAGGAAGGTGGCTGCGGTGACCTTTTTCTTCCCAGCCAGCCGGCCTAAGTCTCAGCCGGACGAGCTCACGGACACACGCTGATCCGCACAGCCCACCGTCGACGTCTTCGAGAAGCGTGTCGCCGCTCTTGAGGGTGGTGTCGCCGCCGTCGCCACCGCTTCGGGCCAGGCCGCTCAGTTCCTGACCATTGCTGCGCTCGCGCACGCCGGCGACAACATTGTCGCTACCACCAACCTCTACGGCGGCACCTACAACCAGCTCAAGGTCATCCTCCCCCGTCTCGGCATCACGACCAAGTTTGTCGCCGGCGACAAGCCCGAGGACATTGCCGCCGCGATCGACGACAAGACCAAGGCCGTCTACCTCGAGACGATCGGCAACCCGCGCTTCAACGTCCCCGACTTTGAGGCGATCACCAAGGCCGCGCACGAGAAGGGCGTCCCCGTCATTGTCGACAACACCTTCGGTGCGGGCGGCTACTTCTGCCAGCCTATCCAGCACGGTGCGGACATTGTCGTCCACTCGGCGACCAAGTGGATCGGCGGCCACGGCACGACCATTGGCGGTGTCATCGTCGACTCGGGCAAGTTCAACTGGGGCGAGAACGCGGCGCGCTTCCCCCAGTTCACGGAGCCGTCCGAGGGTTACCACGGCCTCAAGTTCTGGGAGACCTTTGGCCCCATTTCGTTCGCGATCCGTGTCCGCGTCGAGCTCCTCCGCGACCTCGGCCCCGCCCTCAACCCCTTCGGCGCGCAGCAGCTCATCCTCGGTCTCGAGACGCTCTCGCTCCGTGCCGAGCGTCACGCCTCCAACGCCCTCGCCCTCGCCAAGTGGCTCGAGCAGAACGAAAACGTCAACTGGGTCTCCTACCCCGGCCTGGCCTCGCACCCCTCCCACGAGACGGCCACCAAGTACCTCCCCCGCGGCTACGGCGGTGTCCTCGCCGTCGGTGTCAAGGGCGGCGCCGCCGCCGGCGCCAAGGTCGTCGACAGCTTCAAGCTCATCAGCAACCTGGCCAACGTCGGCGACTCCAAGACCCTCGCCATCCACCCCTGGACCACGACGCACGAGCAGCTCTCCGACGAGGAGAAGAAGAACTCGGGCGTCACCGAGGACCTCATTCGCATCTCCGTCGGCACCGAGCACATTGACGACATCATTGCCGACTTTGAGCAGGCCTTCAAGGCCGCCAACGCTGTTGCCGCTTAAGCGGCGCGAGCGCCGAGGCAAAGCCGAGGCGTGAACGCAGAGCTGATATAGCTCTCTCACCGCCAACGCAACCTATAGTTTAAAAGGACGTTCGCTAAACTGCACGCGTCCAGATTGTAGATCTTCCTTCTTCAGAGGTTATAAATGTAGATTTGGGATTTCGTCAGGACCACTGGACGCCGAGGCCGAGCGACAGCGAGGCGACTGAATCGATCTCTGACTGACGGACGACGGACTCGACTGCGCTTACACCGCCAGCATATACTGACGACCTCACCGGAACCTCCGGTATCGCAGAAGCCCGCCACGACAGCCGCGAACAACTCGGTGCAACGTTGGCATTACGAACTGAGGAATAAATTATTCGTCTAGGGGTCTACCAGAGGATAGCGTTCGAGGAGCGGCAGCGAGCTCGGTGCAGGATGATGCCGTGCAAGCTTGCAAGCGCAGCCATTGGGGGTTACATCGATCGAGGAATTGCAAACATAGCAAAGGGCCTCGCCTTGCGTATTAGAGATAACGATGCGATTGACCTCGGCGTGACTTCCAGTGTTTGTTAAGGTGAGGCACGGCTCCGGATAGCAGAACAACGACAACAACACGCACACATGCAGCAACAGAAGCGCCGGCACCTACGACAGGCCGGCACTCGGGCTTGTGTACGATCACTATCCCGTTCTTCATTGCGTTCTCGGTGCACAGCCGCCAGGCCAATACTTTCGCTCTGTACGACAACAGCAGAAGTGAAACACGGCCCGGTCCGCATACGACGATCAGGTCCGACGTCTTTCCGTCGGAAGTCGTTGAAAGTGCTTGCTCGCTTGCTCGCTCGGAAGTATGGGCCCTCTCAGACTCTCCAGCCGCCTCAGTATCCACGACGTACGACTTGGGCCTTTGGGTCCAGAGCGATCCTACCTGCAATTGAGACCCGTTTCGAAGCATTTCAGTTGCTTGGCGGCAGCAAGCGAGCCCCACGCGAAGTCTCCCTTCCCCCTCAGCGTTAAGATCAGCCGTATCCGCGTCTTCGCATACCGCGTACCGACTCGCGCTACTCTCGCTACGTCCCACCGAGGTCAGTGCACGTCAAGACGCCGCTCACTCTATTAGATCTTAAGAGGTGATCATTGCGCAGAAGATTTCGAAACGGCTCGCATAAGGAGGGATGTTTTCATCCTACCGCACGGATGGAGAAGAGGGCGGGTTTGGCCGTGAGAGATTCCGGTTGTAGCCGGGTGTCCTCTTACGGCTGACGGTAAGAGAGAAGCGTGCTTGTGGGACAGGCACATGTCCGGCATGGCTGGCACATGCCCCCCGCCCCACTGTCCCCGGCAAGAGACATGGCGTCAGCCAAACCCCGTCTGCCTCCACCACTCCTCCAGCTGCTCATGGATGGCCACTCCGAATACACACCCAGCCCCGAGCAAGTACCAGCGCCACACGGAAGAACTAAGATGCGCACCGACTCTGGCCGGACCAGAGTTGGTGCAGAGTGCCAGTCTGGAGCTCCCCGGGGTTCTCGGACGTTGAGTGGATGGGAAGATGGGTAAGGGATACGCAACGCAAGAGTTAATTTTCCGCCTGTCAGCGATCTCAGGCCGAATTATCGCCGACCATACCACAGAACTGGCCAGTCGCATCCTTTCTACTCCACCTCTGTGCCTCCGTTCCTGCTTCGCTTGGCCGTTTACTCTGCTCCATTCTGCCAGAAGAGCAAGGGAGAAGAGAGGGGCAGAGCAAGGGTTGTGTGGGGTAAGAGGGCAGGACAAGGCAGGTTTTTGCGAATGCTGGATGCTGGTGGTCAAATGAAAAGTGACAGGCATACCTGCGGCCCTGCTGTTACCCTGGGAGCATTTCCCGGATTCAGTTTCCGGCTTGCCCACCGTCTCCACGTCTTCAAACATAGGGCAAGCCGCAATCAGCCGCCCAGTCATGACCAGTCAGCAGCCACGCTAGTTCAGGATTCTGGACCCCGGCTGCCCTACTTTCGCCCTGGCTGCCCCAGTCACAAGACCAGCAGGTTGTTCTAATAGTGGCCGCTCCGGGGCGTGCGGACGGCAGAGCGGCGGCAGCTGGGCACCTGGGCACCTGGGCTGACGGTCGTCTCGGCTGAACTGCGCGTTTGCAGCAAAGTTTGCAGTTGGACATCAGTGCGACCTCAGTGGACATTGGCCCCACACTCGTTGTCCCTTTCCTGGGCCCTTGGTTCTCCTGCCCAGTTCCCCGCGCGGCCGCGCACTACTCGTTTAGTCCCCGTCGCGCCAGCTCCAGGCCAAGACGCAAAGCAAATTTCGGCGGCATCTCCAGGCGGGCCAACTGGCCAGATGAACCTGCGGGCATATGACTCGAAGCGTATCCAACGGCATCGCCGAGGCGTGCCCTAAGCGTGCGAGTCGGATCGACACGACTCCATCTCTCACTCTCTCACACCACGGTCACGGTCACGGTTGCTTGTGAGCTTCCTGTTGCCCACTTGCACATTTACTCTTTCACACACTTTACACACTCTCTTTACTACTTTTTTTTTAGACCCCGGCCAAACGACCCCGACTACTCAGCTCGACAGCGACACCGGGCAGTTGACATCTTCACGATGACGGAAAAGAAGAAGGCCGGGCTGTTCCACAGCTCCAGCGAGAAGAAGCGGTTCGACGACAACTCGTCTGGCGCCTCGGTCACGAACCCGGACAACATTGAGGCGTATCCCAGTGTCAAAACGCAGATTGCGGCCGATGACAGGCGGCACGACGCCGTCTTCGGCGAGATCACAGAGAAGGGCCCCGACTACCGCAACGTCGGCTGGCTGGGCGCGACGGTGCTCATGATCAAGTCGGCGTTCGGTCTCGGTGTGCTGTCCATCCCCTTCGTGTTCCAGGCCGTCGGCATCGTCCCGGGCATCATCCTCATCATTGTCATCGAGGCCATTGTCACGTGGAGCGCCTGGGTGCTCGGCGAGTTCAAGCTCGCCCACCGCGACACCTACTCTCTCGCCGATGTCGGAAGGACGCTCGGCGGCCGCGTCGGCGAGGAGTTCTTCACCCTCGCCGTGTGCATCTGTATGCTCTTCTTCTCTGGCTCGGGCATGGTCGGTGTCACCACTGCGCTGAACGCGGTCTCGACCCACGCCACCTGCACCGCTGTCTGGATGGTGGTCGTCTTTGTCGTCTCCTTTGCGGCCGCCTCGATCCGCACCCTTGGCAACATCACGTGGCTCGGTTGGGTCGGTCTCATCTCGATTCTGTCCGCCGTCCTCGTCATGACGATCAGCGTCGGCGTCCAGGACCGCCCCTACGACGCCCCCAAGGCTCCCGCCCCCTGGGACAAGGACTTCAAGGTCGTCGTCCCCACCACGTTCGCGAACGGTATCTCTGCCGTGGCCACGATCCTCTTCGCGGCCGCCGGAACGCCCACCTACTTTGGCATCATCTCCGAGATGCGCAACCCGCGCCTCTACAAGCGCGCGATGCTCATCAACCAGGCCTTCGTCACCACCGTGTACATTGTGATTGCCTCGGTCGTCTACTGGTACTGCGGCAAGTATGTGACGCAGCCTGCGCTCGGCTCCGCGGGCCCGCTCATGAAGAAGATTGCGTACGGCCTGTCCATCCCCGGACTCTTCTTTTCCGTCTTCCTCTGGATCCACATTCCCGCCAAGTTCATCTTTGTGCGCCTCCTCCGCGGCTCGCGCCACCTGAACGCCAACACGCCCACGCACTGGGCCACCTGGGTCGGCCTCGCCTTCCTCGGCACGACGATTGCGTACATCATTGCGTCGGCCATCCCTATTCTTGACTCGATCATCTCCCTCGTCGGCGCCCTCATCGCGCCCACCCTCTGCATCATCCCCTTCGGATTCATGTACCTCCACCTCAACGTGCGCTACCGCCGCTGGAGCGACCTGCCCCTCAGCACCAAGATTGGCGCCATCTGGGCCTGCATCGTCATCCTCATCGGCCTCTTCATCACCGTCGCCGGCACCTATGGCGCCGTCGTCACCATCATCAACCAGCCGGGTGACGGAAAGCCGTGGTCGTGCGCGGACAATTCGAACTCGGTCTAAGCGCTGCCGCGAAGCGAGCGCAGCGAGCGAGCGGGCGAATACGACGGGCCCACGGCGGTACGCGATCGCCACTGTCCGATGTCGCGCCCCGGCAGTCACCCTTTCGACCTAGCTGCACACATTTCTTTTTCAACAAATCCACTTGACCAAACCAACGATCTTCTGAAGCAACAAGAAGCAACAAACTCATCATGTACCACTAGCAAAACCGACCATACCATTCTCTCCATAGGTCCGTCCGTCCGACCATAGGGCGTGCGAAAAATGTCATTTTCTCCTTTTTCCTCTTGCCATCATCGCGGCTGTGTGAGCCACTGCCACAGCTCGCGCACAGCACCAATGAGCATACGGGACCAGCTGAAATCACACTCGACGAAGCGGCGCGTCTTTGCCCCTGCCAGGGTCCACTCATCAGCGGACTCTCCGGGGGGTCTGGGCGTCAGCCATACCTCCTTCTCCTTCCCTTTTGAGGGGGCGGGACTCACGCAGCAATCTCATGCACGAATCTGCCCCTCAGACGCGCACATGTCAGCCCATTGAAGAGCAGACTGATCGCGCTGCTGATCCAGAACCGGGTGCCCGGCGTGTCCTCGCCGTGATACCAGTCCCTCAAGGCTGGAGTTACGACGCCTGCTGTCAGGCCTAGGAAGAAGATGGCGCAGAAGGTGAGGAGGGGCGTGGCGCCGGGGTGCGAGACGAGGAGGTACGTTGGCGCGTCGAAGTGCAGGTCCTCTGTGGGGTCTGGCATTTCTGGCGTTCGGGGGAGGGGGACGCGGCGGGTTAGGGAGGACATGGGGCGAGGGGGGATGAGTGAGGTCTCAACATGGAAGAGGTGACTGGCGATTGACGCCCGTCCGGGACGGCTGGTCGGCACTGCCAAAGGACCCCGGACCAAACTCCCAATTGCTACACTCGCCCCTGATGAAGTGCAAGACAGGCACCGACGATCACATGATGCTATATCTTGCATCACAACTGTTTAGCCTGCTATGCCTTATGCCGGCTTGTTGATCTTGTTGATCTCGCTATCACTAAGGACACTCCACGAAGCGCCTGATCCGCAACCCGTCAACGAACTCGGCGCCAATGTCGACGTTCCTGTTCCCCTGTCAGCGCGCTCCTTAATCAAAGGCCCACGGGGGCACCTCGCGCACCCTCTCTGCGCTGTAGCCCGCGCAGAACCAGATACCGACAGCATCGTCAGGATGCTGAGCCACCCGAGCTCGGGGTCTCTCTCCCCCGAGGCCATTGAGCGCAAGAGGGCGGGGAGGAAGCTGCGTAGCTAGTCTCCCAGCAGGACGAGCCAGAAGGGGGGCGGCACCATGCGTGTCCGTTACGATTAGGATGACTGGTTCTTGGAAGGGCAGAGTTGGCATTGGTGTGGCTGCTGCTGAAGAGAGAAGAACTGACGACTAGTGGTAGAAGCGATAGAGGAAGTGGGGCGACGGGGATAGTTCCCAGCTGTGAGGGCGCTACCGGCGTATCTGAAACGAGTGCGGGGACGACCGGGCGTAACTCGTCCCCTTGTCCCAGAGGTGGTGTGCGTCATCTAAAGGATGGCAGCATGGGACTTGGATTAGACGTCTTTGCATGGGAGTAGTGCATCGACAACTTAAGGGCGCTACGTACGAGAAGCACGAGTATGGCCAAGAGCGACTCATCGCCACGATGACCACGCCGAGTTGGCTTTCTGCCACAGCCAGCGTCCGATATCCACTGCCGTTTGCATAAGGCTCAAATCGCACTCCACAAAGCAACGTACGGGAACGCCGTCCACTTGCAGCCCCCCGCGTCTGTATCGTCAGTACGTCTTCCCCGGAACTGACCTCCAAGATCAACTCACACCGTGATCTCGTGCACCTGCGTTCCCCGCAACTGGGCGAACTCGTACGCCGTTCTAAGCAGGATGAGGCCCAGGCCGGTGTAATAGCGTTTGTCGCCTATTCCGGTACCAGTCAAGTCGTGCACTGCCTCGACAACAATACAGCCTAGAGACAGTCCACACAGAAACACGTCCGTCATGATACTGAACATGGATGAGGAGGCGCCGCACTTCACAAGCATGAAGGAAGGCGCATCGGTGTGGATGTCGAAGTCGGCGCGCTGGGCGGCCTGCTGGTTAGCCTGGGGTGCGTCGTCGCGGTTGTCCGGCATATCTGTATAGAAGAATGGATAAGTCGTGAAGGAGTGACAGGAGCCGGATGGGTGAAGTAAAATGACGAACTGCGACTAGCCGACAACTCAAAACAAGGTTTCATCGACTTGGTGCTCCACACCCGCGAGCTCAGCTGCGTGCCTGACGTTTCATGTTTGCCAGCCCCTCAGCGTCGAGTGTGTATGCGATCCAAAGGTTATATACAGAGCACACTGGCGGGGTTTCGAGATTATGGCTCCTTGATGTCATCGGACGCACGCCCGCCGTCCTCCTCGATATCGCCTGCACCGGGCCTGACGTTAGTCATAAAAGCAGGCTTATTGCCATATCTCACAAAATGTTGTCATTCATTGCGCGCCCGCGGATGAAGTACGCAGCAATTCCATAGGCGACAGTGTAGGCGAACGCGATCCAAACAGTCCAGCTGTCCCCGCTCGGTTCTCCTATCCATATGGCAACCAAGCACTGGACCCAAACGGAGAAGTATGCGCCGAAAAGGAACAGAATGGCCGCCGTCGTGAAGGGGCTCCAGCGGGACTTGACGAGGATTTGCCTCTCCTTGAACAGACCGATGGGCATGTTGGGCTTCTTGAGAGTAACGGACTGACGCAGAGATAATAGCGAGTAGTCAAACGATGACGGGCTTGAAGGTGCACAGATCAGCAACGATCTAGCGGTGTAGGCGCTCACGCCTCCCACGCGCAGCCGAGGTTGAATCGCCACTTTCTCATCAGCAATCTCGCAGACTGTGGGCGTTCAGGGCGTGCATCTGAACACAATTGGACGAGCTGCATCTCTTAGCGCTACGGATTGAGGACCATCAGGGACAAGCGGGGTAGGTTATGCCTCAATATCTATGTGCTATCTTGCGTCGAACAAACTGGCGGAGCTGCAGATAGTCGGCGAGGTCAGTTCCAAAGACGACTAAGTAGAGCAGAGTCGACTTCGCGCCGAAGCCGCAGCCGCCAGTCATGTCGAGGTGCCTGAGATCAATGTTCATGGGGTCAAAGAGGGGTGAGTAAGGAGTTGTGGGGAGTTGGAAACACCAGAGATTGCATGTTGGGAGCTCCGCAGCGACCGTCGCAGTTGGGCCAAATACGGCAAATAAATAAGGTTTACGTGCCACAACCAGCCCGAGGACGAAAGTCCACCTCCTAGACTGCAGGAGACCGAGACTATAACTTCGGCTCCAGGATTCCAGGGGCTGGCGTTCCAGTACGCATCACATGATGCAGTCACGCTGCGGCTGTGATCAGCCGATGGTGACCAAAGCCACTGCTGACAGCTCGGTCAGCGATACCTGTCGACCACACGGAGCACGGTCTCCGTCTGTACGCCACGCCTAGCATCAGACTTATATTCATGGCGGCGGACTCACGGAGTGATATCGCACACCCTTCGCGGACGCATCCAAAAGACATTTGTTCCCAAGCAAGGGACAGCGACATACGGTGACCAGCGCCAGCCCGTATACTCAAAAGAGCAGAGTTCGCCCCCGCGCTCGCACCACCATACAGTAGGAGCACATTATTGAAGAGCCGACCTATGGCGACCTCCAGGAAGACCATGAGCAGCAAGGAGATCCACGGACCATACCCAAACGGGTCGTGCACTAGGATGTACTTGCGCTCCTTGTCGTCCATTGCGGGCGGCATTGTCGTATTGCGTATCGAATGGAGGATTGATGGGAGAGTGTACAGATTCACAGTAAAGTGTTTGCCAAAGCAGAATTGCGGCCGTCGTTCCGTTCCTTTGAATCCAAGTAGAGTAAACTCTGTTCCGCAGAGATTCAGCTATATGTGGAATCTCGCGTAGGTCACGCTCCCCACTCGCATGGACAGAAAAGCCGCCCGCGCTCGGCAAAGCAGCATTAAAGTAAGAGAGGATGACACTGCCGACGGCCCACATCACTTGTTAAACATGGCAGGCAAAGCTTATCAGTAAAGTCCGGGCTCCTTCTTGGAAATGACCTGCGAATTGAAGGGAAGGTGTACCTTGTCCCTGCTCTAGCGATGCGAGGTTAACGTTGGAGATGCGAGGCTGGCTTGTTGGAGCACTTTGTTTCAGGGCATCTAGGTTGAGTTTATCGAGGTATCGAAAGCCGAGTTACGCGGCAGCTTGGCTGCCGGCGATCCTGGGTGTCGAAGACGCGACAGGATCGCTGCAGGGGATGGTGGCCGTGGAGCAACGACAAGTGCCCGTTGAGGAGCACTATAACAAGAGCTGCACCAGCGACAGACCGAACGAGTGCACAATGAACTATCGGTTCAACATTGAATGTCCCGACCCCAACTAGGTCGATGCTACGTCGAGCCATGTTAGTAGTAGTTGCTAAGTACATCGTTGCGTTTCAAGTCGGTATGAATGAGGATTGTTTACAAAAGATCAGCAGCAACCGCATGCGCTTCGTGAATGCTGATGGCTTCGTCACCCTTCTTTGTGCTCTGTCCTCACGCTCGAGCTCGACTGGCCAGTTGTCTGGCTGCTTGCTTGCGTCAGTGCCGAGCCTGTACCCGTCTTTGTTTGGCAATCGTAACAAGTTAAAAGCAAGAGGCAGAGCACTTTCCACCATACTATCAACCTCCAGCTGCTCAACGACCTCTCAATCCCACGAAACCTTTGACCATGCGCCCGTACCCAGACACACCGCACCATTCCGCGGCCACCGCAAACCCGAACGAACGCCGAGACGCAATTCCGGGCCCTTTGACGGACTCTTGCATCCTTATCAGAGTCCCGCGCAACCAGGGGCCCGTCCGGACGGGCGCCATCCTGATTCTTACAGGTGTTCTTGTCGGGCTGCTCATCTCCGAGTTCCTGCTCTTGTGGAGTGGCGGCTGCCCTAGGATGTCGGCCACGACGCATGCTTTGGTCGCGTTCTCGTTGATCATCTCGGGCGTCCACGTACTCGATCTGGCGAGAAGGACTACTGTCGTCCACCTGCCGCGTCAATAGAATGTTGGACACAGTGAGGAGCTCAGGGAAAACTAGGCTAGATGATGATTAGCGAGTCGATAGTATCAGCTGCAGCGTCAATCATTAGAATCGGTTCGAATTCAGAGCTCGAGACTGGCAGAAGTTGTGTCAGTTAATGTTGTCAAGTGTGAGAAGAGCCTGCGCCGCCGGAGAGTAGCATTGTCGGCGTCGCGGGGCCGACGGTGCACGGACCTCGGCGGTGGAGGTGGCTTGAACATGAGCGGACATGGCCCCTCGGTGTAAGCTCGTCACGTGATTGGACATGATATCGCCGGAATCTCCGACCGCGTGGCTTTCCGATGTAGTCACGAACTTTTGTTGGAGGGGCATGGCTGGCACGCTCAGGCACGGCGGCCTACAGTGAGGGAGAGGCTGCGCCTGGGCCACCCAAGCCTAAGGCATAACGGTGAGCCTACCGCCAGCCGCCAGAGCGCTCGACGGCGACGAGTCTGTCACAGTCACTGTCGACGGCAACCATCTCCAACCCACCTCAAACTTTCCCTCTCACAACCCCCCCTACCAACCCCAACAAAACAACCGCCACCATGCGTGAGTAGCGCACATCGCATGCAGAGACAAGCCCCAGTCCGATGCGCAAGCGACGCCGAAATCCCATCCCGATCATGCGAAAACTGACGGTCCACAGCTCCCAAGAAAAAGGCTCAGAAGATGGCTCTCGCCGACTTCTTCGCCGAGACCAGTACGTTCTTATCCGCGAAGAAGCGCTGACCATTTCCAGCCGGCGGAAGCTCGTGGGCCGACGAGATGGAGTCGCTCCCCACTGCGCGTATGTTTACCTATCGGGTGCTAGGGACCCCCAGGGACTCTGGAACTGGAACATTGAACGGGGACTTGGAACTGACGCTTTCACAGCCGCCGCTCGTGAGGACACTGGTCCCCGCCGCGGCGAGCCCGGCTACCTCGACAGCATGCCCGACCGCTCTGCGCGCACGTTCCCCGGTGCGCCGATGGGCCGCGCCGAGAACCCGCTCCCCGATGTGCCGCCGTTTACGGCGTTCGTCGGCAACCTCACTTTCGAGGTGCAGGACGACGAGGTGCGCGACTTCTTCGCTGAGCTCAAGCCCATCTCGGTCCGCCTCGTCAAGGACTCGGAGGGCAAGGCCAAGGGTTTCGGCTACGTCGAGTTCGGCTCTCGCGATGACCTCAAGAACGCCCTCGACCTGACCGGCCAGAATCTCGGCGGACGCACTGTGCGCATCAACGTCGCTGAGGCTCCCGCTCCCTCGCGCCCCGGCCGCGAGTACACCCCGTCGGCTGCCGACGAGGCTTCGCAGTGGCGCCGCACTGCCCCGCTTGCTCCGCGTGAGCCCCCCGCCCCTCGCCGCACGTTCTCGGGCGCCTCCCATGACGACCGCGACTGGGGAGCGGCCCGCGGCGCCAAGTTCACCCCCTCGCGCGAGAGCTCTGGCTACGGCCGCCCCCGTGGTGAGCGTGAGCACCACCACGAGCCCACTGCCGCCGACGAGGCCAACCAGTGGCGCTCGGCCAAGCCCCTCGTTGCTGCCACCGAGGGCGCCCGTGGACCCCGCGGCGGACGGGATACGCCCCCCCACCGCC